AAGCTTCAAGGATGCACGTTTATTAACCCACCAGGCAACGTTGAGTAGTAAAACCACGTTTCAGGAAACTGGGCTGCTTTGAAATATTCACAAACAACCGCCTATTCAGTTTTCAGGCTTATTCAAACCCCTGGTCCAGTGAAATTGTATCATGTTAAAAAAGCATTGCCAACACTATTCCTTCTTTTCCCATGCTTTGTTGAGACAGTAACAGAAACCACCCCTATTAGCTTTTATGTTCTGCTGACAAAGCGTTTTCTAGTATTTTGCAGATGGAACTGATAGAGAAAATGGAAAAACAGTTCTATGGAATATATCTTAAACGCGAGTATAGATACTTAACTAATCCTATTGGTCATTTTCCTATTCTCCAAAAACGTATGTATCTTACAGAATAAAAAAGAGGGACTTGGCAAATGCCAGGCAGGAGTCTAGCATTTTGTCTGCAGTTGAGATAAGATATTCTGGAAAACCAATCTACAAAATCCCTCTTTAGACTGCAAACTTTTCAGCCCTGCATGCTTGCATAACAAATCCAACAGAATACAGAAAAGTGAATATTCAACTCTCATGTTGAAGATCTTGTGTTATTAAAAAAGTACCTTATTTCATGTCACATTGTATTGTATAATTCATTTATTTGCTTTTTAGGTCTGTAATGTCAATTTATACTTTTTATGTTTTGTCACTGTTAAAGATATGAAACAACCGACAGTTATGATTGTGGGTTGATTCTGTAATAATTTTATTCAATACAACGGAAAATGCCTTTGAGGTGAACAAAATAGAATCATGCAACACAAAAGGTATCAGAAAACATCATTGAGAAGCTCCATGTTATTCTTTATTCAAAAGAGATCAAATGGTGATTTTCTGTCACTCGATGCTGCGTAGGAGATGATGATGTGATTTTTAACTTAGGAGATCCATGTAAATCCAAAGAAGAGAATCTTAGAATAAGATTTTTGTGTGTATGTCTTTCATGACTATTCTTGACTGACAAAATCTGCGTGCGACTACACTTGATCTAAAATCAAATTTGCTTACTACCAGTGGTAGATTTAAGGGGGGCAACTAGGGGTAGTTGCCCCTCCCTTGACAAGCTGTAGCAAGTCTGGCAACCCTTTCTTGGAAATTGTGCGCCACTTTTGAAGAATGAGAATCAGGTGAAAAAGTTTCTGAGACTGATAGGTTAATTTGCTTCAAGGATTACCTCAAAGTTATGTTGTTTATTCTGAAAATGGATCTGAGATTGTTGTATACAGCGTACTCTCATCACCAATTTTTAAAAATTTTTCAGCGCCCTCACTACCAACTGCCCCTCCTTCAAATTTGCTCTGGATCCGCCCCTGCTTACTACAAATAGATATAAAAATAAAAATAAAAATAAAAATAAAGCAAGAGAGAAATAAAGTAACAGAAATGATAGAGGGAATGACGTATGGTGTGTATGATTAGTGATGGTTGACATGAAGTAAAAGGGGGGAATGAAAGAATGATGGCCTAAATACTACAGTGGTTAAGCTGCCTATCGATTAGTTCTGTAAAGTTATTGAATCTTTCCTTTAAAAAGAGAAGATTGAAAGCAGCCCTCAGCAAGGAGAGGTAGAAGAATAAAAGTCAGTCATTGGACTTTGATATTGCCCCCAGTGGGCTTCGTCACTTCAATTTCATTTCAATTAATGCACGTATTGAAGGTTTTAGAAGAATTAAAAACTGTTTTTGGCTAAAATTATAAGAAAACACTCCATTCCCCTGTTTCAACCATATGTCGACGAAAAGGATTCTGCTCCTTCTATAAAAGGTTCTACCAATGGTGGTACCAGGCGGGGGACAAAGCAAAAATTTTTAGGCCACGCCCTTTTTACCACAAGAAAACGTCCTTTTATCAACAAGGAACGCCAATTTCACTTGAAGGGAACGTTGATGACTAACTTTTTATACGTAAACGCAAATCGAAGATCATTAGATTACATCACAAGAAGTGCCTTGCCAAAATATAACCCCTTCCTCTGACATTTTCTCATTGAATTTAGACGAAATGCAAAATTAATCCAGCCGAGAACTGGGGGACGTTTGTCCCCCCAGTCCCCCCTCCCCGTGGCGCCGCTACTGGATTCTACCTTTACGGGGAATAAAACTGCAGGTGAAAAGTCTTTCTTTCCGGGAGCTAAAAAAGCTTATAAAACAATCGTGATTTTTGTTTTTGTTTTTTAGACTACTCTAAACTGGTAGCTTCAATTTAAAGAACACATCAACAATAAACGATAAGTAGCCAAGGACTATCTTGAATCTGTTTTCGAAACAAGAGTCACCAAATGGAATTAAAAGAAATTTTTTTGATAAAGTACGACTTATTCAGCTTATAGGTGAATTAAAGGCATTTCAAAAGAACTCAGTTGCTTTATCTTTATTAAAACTCCTTAAATGTGGATAAAGAAGATCCATCAAAATGGCGAAAGTCAATAGATTATACAGTCTGTTTTGTGCTGATAAGCCCATATGATATTAGATGTTGTATCTGGTGAAGTCGTGATTAAATAGGACGAAGGCAAATATGGCTTAGCACGAAGTTTATTAGCAATGGGATTTCATTGAATGGATATGGAATATACAAAAGTATACATGCATAATCTCTCGCCATTGAACATATCCATTACGGAATTCATATTGTAATTTGTGGTAACTGAGAATGATTCACCTCAGTTTCGAGAACTTCCAACGAACATACAACCACAATCGCAGCTAATGGTCGCACCGCCAAGAGTTGCGGGTTGGCACTGGAGATGTGCCAATGGCAGGGTCGATTTTGTAGTTCATCTAGATCTAGGAAAAATGTTTGGGTAGGGGTTTTTACTTTATGTAACCAAATTAGCGTTTGAGAGCAAAGCTTGGCTAGTGCTGCCACTGGTCGTAGCTACAGTTTTGCGAGAGGTGTGAAACCTTAAGTCTAACAGCTGATTTGAATATGTGGGGCAAACTGGGGTAGTGACACATTACCCTTGGACCTGCCGAGCTAAAAATGAGCGATATACGCCAGCTTTTAAGAAATAAAGAAGGCAACCCACAGATGAATTTTAATGTATTACAGGTTTTTCTTATTATAAGAAAGATGAAATTCTCAATTTTTTCACATTTTCACCCTGCCGATGTTTCTTAATTTTTCTTAAAAGTACATGTACCTCAGTTTAAATTTCCCAATAGGAAATTCGTTTTTTGCCATTTGCTTGCTGTTGAAGACATTCCAGTGCTTGATAGAAAAATCTTCGATATCATCAATCATGTCATGTCTATTGACTAGTTTACAAAATGATGTATATGTATTCTTAGTTTAATGCTGAACAACATTACTTTTCAAAAAAGTTTCTTTTTTGCTTGACTCAGCCTGCCTTTTTTTAAAATGATTTTCAAAATTTAGGCAATCTGAGCCTCAGGTTTCTTATAAAACAAAAGACGTGTACACATTTATCATGATTGCGGCAATACTACCTATTTATAAAAAGTTAGAAGAAATATCTAACGTTTGTTATCACAAAGCATGAGGGTAACATAATTTTTTTCGTCTTCTAGATTGAAAGGGAGCGTCTCATTGTCGAATTGCCTGGCACTTCAAACATAAAATGTCACTGATACTAGCGGCCCTGAAGAATACCGTCCACTCCCGAAATTCAACGTAAGTTTATGATTTGATTTTGCGCCACTAACAAATAAATTGCAATAGAAAATGTGTGTGAAATCAAAGTTTATTTTCAGATCTGCTGGATACCAAGATCCTCGAATTGACCCTCCTCGTATAAGCCCCCACACTGGAAGTAACAACTGTTAATAAGGACTCGAACAACACCCTATCCCGACGTGTAAAATTCACAATACACGATTTCAGTCCGTGATAGATGGATCCCATTCTAAAAAACGTTTGACATTGATAAACCCCCAAGGGGGCTCATTCAAAGATTTACCGTTTATGCTTTGGCGCACAAATTAAAGGAGATTACTTGGAATCCACACAATGCTTTGAAACTGTGTTTAAACTAGTTTCGAACAACTTTAGACCGAAAAAGCATCATTCAAGCAATAAATGGTTTTCACTTTCCCATCCTTCCTTGGAAATTCCGTTGATACAAATTTAATCGCCATTTTCATCGACAGAACGAAAACAAGCCCCGGCACGAATAACTTCGGGTTTTCCCTGAATGTAAATGATGACAAAATGAAAGATTTTGAAAACTGGATAACATCTAGCGGAAGTTGAGAATTATCTGCAATTGCCTTGGGCTTTGCATATGTTGAACACCTTAATGAAATAAACCTGGAAAAAGATGGTTCACAGGCCTTGACTTTGGAGCAAAGGGGGAAGTATTCAGTGCGCCTATGTGGTAGCGACAACAGTAACACTAACAGTTACTTAATGGGGGGTTTAGGTTGTTGGAAGGTCAATTGCCCCTGTTGGGGCTTTGCCCTTTGATTACATGGGCTCCGATACAGGTTGAAAAGTGTGAGGGGGGGGTGCAAGGGAAAATTTAACACCCATAACAAAATATTTTGAAAAAAGCTCTATTGTTATGCAAAAAAGCTCTATTGTTTTGCAAAACAGAGGTGTTAAACCCCGGCCCTCCCTCCTTCATCGGAGGCCCTGGATCAGATGGTTAATCAATAAGTGAGAGGATCTTAAGTATAATCAGAGTATAATTAGAGTATGCATAAATGGAATGTCAATCAAAGTATAAATAGGAGGGCTTGAATAAGAAAATATTTTCCCTATTACATTCTAACTATTTTAATTTTCCATGCATAAAGTCCCATTTTAAGTATATTCATTCATTGGTAAAATTAGGAGGGGCTTATATGAAATACAGTATAGGTTCATGATTGATTGTTTAAAGCATAAGAAATAGTGGCTAGTGGCAGCAAGGTTGTCGGGGAATAAACAAAATATATCTTTAGGAATCAATAGAAAATCAACAAGAAAAATCATATTTGTATGTTAAAATTTTTATTAAATATTGAAAAATGTTTATTTACAAACGGCAATCTCAAACAATCGTTATAATAGACCTATATTTATTATATTCCTTTACTTTCTATTGTTTCTTTTCAAAACGATAACTCCATTTTCTTTTACAAATGTGGTTTTTTGGAATCTCAATAGATTCAAGAGAATCTTTCAGATACTGAAATTTCAGAAAAAACAAGTCTATGATCTGACGCGGTGAAATCACTGGGCCATTCCTAAAGAGAAAATGAAATGATACAATGAATACGAAGTAAATGAAGTAATTTAAAAATCAAATGCAAAGGAAATTTTTATGACCACTACAGTGTAAGCTGAGATTCTTTTGTACAAGAATTCCCCCTTTTTAATTACGTTGTTTGAAAACAATTACCTGTATCGCGGCTTTAATGCATAGTTTAGAGAAATATGATATAAAATTCGTATTTCTTTCTAGCTGCATACCATTGGGGCGGCGTAGCGTCCTGTAGCGCTCTGAAAACCCTTAGATTTTCAGAGAATTATATAAAAATATATGAAATTGTAATAACTTGAAGATGCTTTAGCGATCATTGACTAAGCCTACTGCGTTGACATTCATTATGTCGGCTATAATAATACTTCAAAATATCACAAAATCAACTGAAAAATAAAGCTTTACTGACGAAGAGAACATTTTTCTAATTTACCTACCTTCTTTAGGTGGATTTATCTACTAAAAACGATGCCAACCAAGTAAAACGTTTTCAGAAAAATGGAGTGTTATGTTACGAAATATAAATTTTTTTGTTCATTGGCTTATAAAGAACAATATTCCCTTTAGAAAAGCAACACATCTTTTTGAGTGATAAATAATTTCCTTCTACATCACAATGTATAAGAGGTCAACATACCGTATCCGAACGGTCCCTTGGAACCAGGTATGCATCATCGACCTTGCATTGCAGTTCTTCAGGCATTCTAGAATCGAATAGAGTCGAATAATACGAATAAATTGAACAATAATTCTCAAGTACGTAATGGCAGGTTTGAACAAATAGACAGGGTAAGTTGTCAGTGTCAAATGATTGGACAACCTTTTTCTCAACGAATAACTGCCTTATCCAGTGTTTTGAAACCAAAGCCAATGGTTCACTTGTGAGTAAAAATGAATAAGTGAGGATTCACCGAAGCATTGAATGACAAGGAGGAGAAACAATCACACTTAATAGTATCTACGAGACTATCTACGTGATGGATATGAAAGGATTTTGAGGCTAAATAGCTGCACTAAACGTAATACAATAAAGTATCCTGTAATGCTTTAATAAAAAATTTAGAAAATAAAAATTCCCGTAATTCTTCTTTTTTGGAATCAAGTAAAGAAATCTTAAATCTTGATTGGGCGGCTGCAGTCATGTGAACAATCTCAAGGCAATCAAAATCTGTGGGCTGTCAAGCGAATATGTCAAACGTTTTGGCTCGACTGTGCCGTTAGGGCTGGCAGAGTCGAATCAGTTTGACTCTTTTGACATTAGCTATAAATAAATGACTTCTGTTAAAACCCGTTTGATTGGTGATATGACGCAGCACTAGCACATAATCTTATGGCTCTTACAGTTATATGGAAAGTGGACACCAGGGTTTAAGTCTAGAACAGAGGTGTTCAACTTAATCTTTTGGTAGGCGATAGACAAAAACCTTACTCAACAGGGGGGCCAGATGAATATTGATGTAAATCATCAATATTGAACAGTAAATGAATTAATATTTACAGTTACATGAAAAATTACATGAAAATGTATACAAACAGTTACATGGAAAAGTGATCAATGTGAAATGTTACATTATTTGCTTGTAGAAAGTTTATTGACATCTCACATTAAACTTGTAGATGAAGTGCAAGGAAAGTCATGTAAATATTTTCTGCATGCTTATAAAAATGACAGAGTCTGCCTAATAATGAGACTGTGTACCTTATAATGAGAAAGTATGCCTAATAATGAATCGTAAAAATTTTAGCAAGGATGGCACTCCATTAACATAGCACAAGGACCAAATTGTTAAAAAATTTATTGATTACGTGTGAGCTGTATGTTGGAAACCCCTGGTCTAAAAGGTTATCAAAGAAGCCAACTTAAAAAACTGTTCTCCCAGTAGACAAATGAATAACTCTTTCAATTTTAGAATGTTTCATTCCGAAAAGTAACTATGAAATATTTGTTGCTATATAACTTGCAAAAAATCAACTGACATCATATGATGAAATTTCCTTTAACAGCAAATAAATAACACACTGCTATAACTTGTACTCATACCTGTAGAAAATGTAATCAACAGCTAGTACGGAAGAATTATGATCTAGGTGTGTTATCAGTGGTTCACGTCCATGGTAGTTGAAATATGATGACCGGAAACCATGCTCTGAAAAGAACTTGTATATCGGTCCAGATGGGCTGCCATTGAAGTCTCCTGCCAAAAACACTGGGATATCTTTGCCGTGTAATCTGAAATTCAAATACTTTAAAAATAAGACACAAAGGATCTTACAGCATAGCGTCACATCAAAGTTTCACTTGATACCTGTTGCACCAGTTCCCTTCCTCCCAAATAAACATCAATAGGCACACAAGTTTCAAAGAAGCTACTGGTGCAAGATAGTTGGGGACATCCTACAGATTATACAACCTCAAAGAGAACAACCTCCTCAATCGTGTCGGTCTAGAAACACAGTAAAAGCTAGTGACTCTGCCTTCGAACAACACAGACTGTGCAAAACAGTGGTGGCGCCAGAGGGAGGGCAGGGGGGGCTACAGCCCCCCCCCCGTCGGAGCTGCTTAGCCCACCCGTCGGAAGATATACAAAGAAAATCAATAATTTTGTCGGGGCAAAATTTTGCTACCGTTTGTGAAGTTTTTAAGAAAAGGAAGGAGTAATGGTTACGATTGCGGAAATCCCACTGAGTATATATGTTCAAACAGGTAACTTCCAAGTAATTTAAACACCATTTCGGGAAACTCAACCCTCTTTTTCGGAATACAAACGGCAATCGGACTATCAATATAAGTAAAATTCTTAAAGATCACTGGGACATAATTTTAAAAGATATATTTCTAGAAAAGATATGTTTAAGTCTCTAAAATGAATTGTCAATTAGCAATCTTTTTTGCTGCAATATAGCGTTGATCAATGCCTGATGTAATGAGCTTGAGTATTTTAGAATTCGGTAGCCTCTGGGAAATAATTTTAAAAAACTAAATAAGTATGGAAATAGCCCCCTATACTAGCATTAAAAAGACATAAAAACATTGGAGATCTAATAACCAACACTTTGGGAAAAATTGGTGACAGCACCCCCCTCCCCCTCCCCCCCAGGAGTTCTGAATCTTTTCTTAACTCGGCAGACGCGGCATTTTCGGTGTTTATTCGGCAAACTTGGCGGTTGCATCAATTAAAGAATCAATGATAGTCGATTCGATGGTATATTTTATTGTTTTTATTTTCATTTCACTCCTTGATCCTCTTCACTCCTTGGCACGTCAATATTTCAACGTAAATGGCAAACCGAAGCCAGTGAGAACCAAACTCCACATTACAATGTTTCAGGGTTGGGTGCGCGAATGACGAGAATAGCGTTCCGCACAGCTAAACTGGATTCGGGGGGGGCATGGATAGAAATATAGCTTTTTCTATACCTGCCTTACGTAATACTGTCAAATCAAGCTGCGCTTATAAGATCTGCAAACACCAATTCTGCAAATTATTGGGGGGCATTGCCCCCCTGCCCCCAGCGCCTACAGGCCTCATCGTAAAAGTAGAAAATATTGCTCCAATGAGATATTTTCCAGCGAGGTGCAATCATCAAAATTCGAAAAGTTCCTCACCTTCTGCGGCAACCATGGTACCGCCTCAGGTAGTAACTTTCGTGTACTTGTTTACTGCGACACGAGCATCTGCAAAGCTAGCAAAGACCTAACCTACCTAAGTAAAATTGGTCCCTATTCTGTTTAATGATTAAGTGATGTCTTTTTCCTTACCCAGAACAATTTAGAGCGTTGGGAATATTTGAAAATCACGGGAAAAGATCTACAAAGAGCTTTCTTAATATGTCTGTTTTCTTTTAGGGACATTTTGTTAAAAAAGCGAGTCCCCACAAAATATAATAATCCGGCTCTAAAGATCTGCTCTTTCTTGTTTGTTGAATTCATATCTTGTCGTAATCTCGATGTCTGTGCGTCCTTTTCAACTGGGATTCCATGTTTTCACTCCGATTGCCGAGCCCCCCTGTCGGAAAGTCAAGCCCCTCCGTCGGAAAATTTCTAGCGCTACCACTGGTGCAAAACTCTATAATGATGGCATGTTTCAGATAATTGGCAGAGCCAGGTCGTCATTTCATCTAGCAGTTTTGAAAAAAGCTGCTAAGTTCGTTTTCTTGGACTCTCTTTCTCGGACAGTGGTAGTTTCCCTATAGGCAGCCAGCACTGATTGGACAACTATAGCAGTCATGTGCTGGCATTTTTCTGATTGACCTATTTCGATCCACAACTGGGTATATATTTTCCATCATGTTCTTCAGAGCCTAATTCTCACGTTTTATACTCTGAAGGGTGTCAGACGAAAAGCTTTCAGTAGTATGTTGTGAAATGTTTGCTTTTTTCAAGCAATTTTCAAGTTCTGTACCACCAAAAAATTGTTCAAATTTCACATTTTTACATTGCAGGTTTTTTCACTTTCATCAACTACTTTGCTCTTATAAATCATCTATTATAAAATATGATGTCTGTAAGGCTATGAGGTAAGGGTGGTTTAATAAAAAAATACCTTTGTTTTCCTGTTACAAAGGTTTTGTTGAGAGGCTAGGGGAATGAGGCCATTTATGCCTTCTCAAAAATGGGAAAAATTTTTATGACTTAGTTTAAAATCAATTCCCAGAATACAATGACCTAAAATTCATCGAGTACAAATAATCAAAACAAATAAATAAAAGGAAACCTTTCCATTTAATATTTACTAAATAATAATAGGCCATGCAACATTGTGTATGCAACATGCTGCATTTTTACAAAAAACAACAAGTATAGCTTTAAACTTTTTAGATCTTTTAACAAATCAACAGGTAAAAATAAAATAATCTCAATAAAGAACTTTCTTGATGCAAAAATTGCTGCATGGGACCCTAGTGACGATGAAAAACTGAAAGGAATGACATCAAACCAAACAGAAACAAACTTTATATTCTACTACCAGTTGTCATAGCTTCAAGAAGATATGTAAATTATAATTTTTGAATCATTTTACAATGAATCAAATATAACTTTACTGACCCTTGCATATACGACTCAATTGCTTCAACCAGCTTTTTGGCTTGTGTCTGCAGAAAGATGCAATACATTTGACTAGTATGAAATAAATTCATTTTTCCTAAGTAAAAAATAATTTCCAAAATTTTTTTATGAAATTGCTTATTTATTAAATGATATTTCAAGAAAACCTATTTTTGAACTATGCTAATTGTTAAAAAGATTCTTTCATCAATTAAAACCAGTGTTTAGTAAAGGCCTGTCGCAAGAAATTATCTGATGTGAAGTTGGCTAGTTTTAAATACTTAACAAGCACAATGTTTATAACACCAAAATTTGTATATCAATAACCCTAATAACATAAATACATTTCAAAAATTGGATTCAAATTAGATTTTTCTCAATAAGGAAATGACCAATTATTTATGATAATGACTATAAAGATAGGCTTTATCTAGCCATGTACATTTGCTGTGCATCACTAAATATTAAAACAAAAGCTCTGAAAAATTCCTGAAAACAACTTTCAAACCTAAGTAAGTTTAGTTCAAAGATGTTTCTAATTTCAAAAACACACAATGGAAAACTGATTCATTTGAATATTTAGTTCAAATTATTTGAAGAGAAATTAGAGAGCAAATTACAAACCATTCTTGTGAACTGATCTAGGTAATTTGCCAAATAGGTTAAATGTGTAGTGACTATAACAGCCTACAAAAATAAATGTTTGCTGGATATTACATACATTACAAAAATTCAATGAAAGAAGAAAGAAAATGACCAAGTCTTCTGAATGATATCTGCAAGGATAATATACTTTCCATGTTTCTTTGGTATTCGGCATGAGTATTTTCAATGTAGCTAGTAGATGCAATTTTCTCATAGAAAATTTTATCTTGTACATAATTCATTAGAAACTTAATTTAGAACTTTCCACGAGGCTTAATTTACTCAACATTAAGAGAAAAACAACGAATGAATTTTAAAAGATAAAAATTAGAAAGGCATACTTCTTGATTGGTATCGGGATCCACAACATGAGCTAGTAGTGCCACGCGCATACCAATGTCATTATACTTTATATATTCAACATCCTTTATCCTTCAAAAGCAATTAACTATCAAAATTTTCACCTAATATGTTTATATCTACTAACAAATTTAAAAACGAATCAAGACAATAACAGGTATAACAATCTGATTATTATAACTGAATGCTAGAACAAGAAAATTTCTAAACTCAGGATGAATGAGAATTAATTTTTTATTCTTATTGCATAAATTTGACCCTTCAAAGAAGAGGCCTGAAGCATGCTACAAAAGAACAAATGATGTCACGAAGTTAATATTTCAATCAAATGTAAACAAAAATAGTTGAAAAATATAAAAATTGAATAAAAAAGGTGGAGATAATTTTTTTGTCAACCCTTTGGCCTTTATTAGCATTTTACACTCTGAGCGGTGTCAGATGATAAGGTTTAATGAAAGTAATATTGTACTTCCTTTTTTATGCAGTTTTAAAAATAAATGATGAAAAAAGTATATAAAAAATAATTTACCTGAAATTTCTACTGACTAGCAGAGCTACACCATCATGCCTAGTTGGACGCCTATGTTTCAAGATGTAATACCTATGAATGAAGAATCATTGTTATAAATAATTAGATTTTCAATATTGTTGCAAATACTGAAGACAATTTGACAAGTAACAAATGAAGTAACAACCAAATGAATCAAGAAAATTTTCAGGTGGCAGGCCTTCCTGGGAAAGGCGTGCAATCACACTACGCCTTCCCACACCAAGGAGTGCATTTAACCACCCACCTTTTTTTGTAATCATTTGTTCATTTTTTAACCAAAGCGCTGGAAACTAACAAGGTGACAAAAAAAAACAAGAAATTGTTTTGTGTTTTTATTTTGATGTGTTTTGCCCGCCCTGTCCACCGCCTGGAACACTGTAATCATTTTGAAAAGCTGTTGTGACGACACCTTAATGCAACTAAACACGAACCAAATCACCATAGTATCGGGGCTAGTAGTGGTCCGGTAAATTTCATTCTTACATCTAAGGCTGCAGAAACCATGATTATACCACAATTTGCAATCATCTTCTAGCCCAGTGCTCATAAAAACTAACTCGCATTTTTATCATAGACCTGTGTTAGCATGCACATGTTTCTAAAATACCTTTTTTGATTGGTAAATTAAGTTGAATTTTCAAACAAAAGATTTGTGCTGTATTTCTTCTTATCTATTCTTGTGAATTTGGTGTCTTCAGCAAGAAATGTAAAGGGGACACAAAGGAGCTTGCCATATTCCTGAAAAGGGGTAACAATGACATTTTGGGCTATACTATTTAAGTCCATGACAATAAGCAATATGCAACAAAGATTTGGAGCAAGTTGTGTGCAAAATATCAGATCGTCAGGCATCCATCATTCTAAGGAGCTACTGTTTCTTTGAAAGCCTTTGCGAATGGCCCCTTGCTGGAAAGCTCGTTTTCTGTACTCTATTCTTTTACGCCAGTGATTTCTGTACCAGTTGCTACCACCAGCTGGGTTAAAAATAAACGGAGTGTGACCCTAAACAACCCTCCCCAGATAGGAATGCGCAATATGGCATATTTGCCCGACGAGGATGTCCCGTTCTTCCACAAATTATTCAATGTTGTATCGTTTTCATATGAAAGCAGAAACATTTGGAAAAGGGCAGGTTGTGACAAAGGCATGAAACTTTCAAGGGTTTTTTGGTCCAAAGATTTGGAATTCTCATGCAAATGAAATAAAATCATCCAAAAATGCAAGTCAATTGAAAGTTCTTATAAAAGATTGTTATTTTGAAAATCAATGCGCCTGTAATGTTTGCAGTCAATAACTTCCATAATGCAATCTCTTAAATTGCTCCATGTTAGTGTTTATTAGTGTTCACACTATTGTCAAACTAACAGTAAAAAAATGTATTATTATTTTTATATTATTATTACACTTGTAGACAGAAAGATAGCGCTTTGGATTCAAAGAGAGGGAAATCTACAATAGAATTGTTTTGTTTCAAGCGTTTGCACTGAAACGTTTCTTGCTGTTTTCAAATCATGCCATTTTTAAATTGTGCCGTTTTCAAATCGTACTGTTTTCAAAACTGTTTTCATATACCTTTTGATGAGACACGTTTGAAAGTTGGGGCCAAAATTTTAACTTTTTTCAAGGGTTTCATGAAGACTGCCAACATGGTTGGTGGCATAAGGGATTGCCGGTTACTGCATCTAAAATACTTTCAGCATCAAATTTAGTAAAGATCTCTGGCAATATCCTTACTCTTCCTTTATTGTTTTGCCACCAGAGATATTTATTGCTAAAGTTGTAATCAAACATTTGTAGAAATAAGACAAAAGACCAATAGCACTCCATCACACACCTAAAACAGCCTAGGGGTGCGAAATGCCACACTTGTGCTAATTTATTCCTAGGAAGGCCTGGGTGGCCTAATTTTTTTCTTATCATTGAAACAAATGACTCCTAAAAAACAATTTGTGACAACAAGGCATTGATTCTTTTTAGGCAAAAGTTCAGGGTTTGAAAACTTATCTTATATATAAACTCTAAAAATCATTTCCGTTAAAGAAATTCTTTTTTTGAACTATCAAATTAGAAAAAAAATTAAATTCTTCACTGTCAATATAGATAAATAAATAATCATGCAAAGATGCAGACAAAGAAATTACCTGTCTCCAATTCTTTTCTCGAAAAGCTCAGCTATGCCACAATCAAACCAAAACTCTTGCAGACAGAGGAAATCAAATGCAGGCAGTGCTTCAAAAATCTTAAAAATTTCTTCATATCTTGACAAAAATTGATCAGGATGAGCACTTTCTTTTTGCCCACCCCACCATGTCTTCCAACTTCTGCAAAATAAAGTATCAAGGATTTTCAAAGACAAACAAAGAAGTAAAGACAATTGCAAAAAGAAAAAAGCAGAAGATCTGGATTTGTTTTTAGGAAAAAGGCAAACCTTTCATAACTGATCAGTTCATTTCTACTTCTAAAGGAGAGAATGATGTAAAAAATATTTTGCAGCACATACATCAAATGCATATACTCAGAGTGGAGAGTGATAGGTTTTAAAAATCTAATCTAATCTAATCTAAATGTTATAGTACAGTCCTCATAATGGGTATTGCGTACTAGAGGTTAGTAGGTTAGTCTTAATCATAAAAAAAGCGATAATATTAGCAAATAAACTGGTCAGCACTGCCAGATTGGTAAGCATATTAAAAAACTTCGTTAATTTGTTAACGAAGGTACACCAATTTCAATAAAAAACAAATCTTTAAATAAAAGCATACAATCACACCAGGAGAGGCTCAAGCAAAAGCATTATTTGAATTTTCACATAGCTCTAAATTTGTATAATTTGAAATTTTTTGAGAAGTTGGATAAAACTAATTAATGCATGGTAAAAAACTTACTTGGATGTTATCTTAACTTATAATTATTCATCGAGTCTTCTGCAACTCTGCAACTAATTTTTTTACGCTGAGTCAAAATTTCCATTTGATGCACTAGTTCCTCCACTTGAGCAGGTTAACATTTTTTTTTAATTTCAGTTAACATTTGAATTTGTAAACTTATTGCAAAAGTATTGTTTTATTGCATGCAGATTATGTATTTCTGCCAGTTCTTAGTTTTTTAAACCACTTCAGACCACTGTAGACATTTTTTTATTGTGGCTGTTAGACAAAACACCACATGGGTAAGTAAAACAATATCATAAAAAAGTATACGAAGCAGGTAAACATTTTGAATTGTATGGTCCATAAAACACCCATAGCACGTACCCAGGAGCTATGGTTTTGTAGCAAGGAGCCAACAAATTAAAAGTTCCCATTTTGAATGTCCTTGCATTTTCCCACCTCGACGTTGTTGACAAAACTTCACCTTGCTCTGCAACGAAATCGGCTGTTCTAAGTCTCGGTCTTTGGCATGCCATTGAGTACTGGCTAGGCCTCCGATGAAAGGAGCGACAGCAATGACTATTGATCTTGTGTGTTTGATAATAAATTCTCCTCCACTGGTGTTGACTGGAAACAAAAACTGGTCTAAGAGATAATCGCAGCGATGCCATGCGAGTCGTGTGTAGGACCCCCGACATGCAATTCAACTAATGAAAATACTGCTTTGCTCCATTAGATGTTGGCGTCTGCAAAGAACAGCGATATCTAAAATATCAATGTCTTGACAGTAATTTGTGTAAAACTGACCGTTTGCGGCATGTAAAGTTAATATCGTCACATATATCGTTATACAAGCCAAACGCCATCACTAAATCCATCACATCACAGTTGCATCGTTCAAACTATCTGGTATCACGATCCAAAATAAGCTTTCTAAATATGAAATGAAAAGGTGGATAGCACAGAAATCTTTCTTTGATATCTTTGAGCCTCCACAGCTTTCTAGTTGCAACGATTAACAGTTTTTCTTTTCGCTGATGCAAACCTGACCTTTGATCAATCGGATGGGATAAATATCGATTTTTAATGAAACAGAGGCCAGCCTACTTTTCATGTAAGTTTGTGAGGAAAGTGGACAAAATTGAAGTCAACGGATATCAAAAAATGCATCTACACAACTTATTGTGTAAAGAAAAATATGCTGTCATTATGCATCATGTAGCTTTGTTTTTTTTATAGCAGGGTTTTTAAGCGTGCAGTTCTACATAAAATGCACAGTTCTAAAAACCTGTTGTGCACTTGTAAACAAATCTCAGTGCAGTTGTAAAATTTGTTACTTTAATGCAAAAATAAGTCAATAACATTGTTGCAAAAAGTCATACAAACGCAAACATGGCAGAAAAAACAAAAAGTTTCATTAATGAAACAAACAAAAGTTAACAAAGATTTTTTCTCAATTTAAACAAACAACCTGGGAAAATTATAGGTATAGAAAGACATTGGTTGATAAGGAGATATAGTGTTTACGAAACTTCAATGACCTTTTTTGTACAATACAGTACTCCCCAGATATTCAACTCTAAATCTTCAATACTTGCAAAGGGCTTTTCATGCATTTAGAAAAAATTTGAAAAAGTTTGGAAAGGAATTGATTAAATTCAGGGACCGCGAGAAAACCAAAGAAATGGAGGGGCTGAAATTGGTATGACCGAAAAAGTTTTGAGGCCACGCCCCCTTGAACACCGGAAAACGCCCCTTTTAGAAAATGCTTGCTTATTTCTATTTAATTTTCATAAACAGTGTGGTTCAGAAAAGATATCAATAACTATAAAAATAGATAGGATTAGCTCGAGGGTAATAAAAAACCAAGCTAACCAAGTTAGAAAATATATCATATCATTAAGTAAGATGAAACACTTAGAAAAAGAACAAAAATGGTTCCCAAGAGAACTGCTACTACATACATAGGAGTAAACTATCGAAAGTTTCGTTAGAGTAAACCTTCAAAAAACTTTTCTAGCCTATTATTGCAAAAAAGTGGGTGGGCTATAGCCCCTGCTAGCCCAATGGCTTCGCGGTGCCTGATTTAATATTGAATAGAAATAATGCTCAGTCCTCTCAAGATATCCAACTATAGTTTGAGGGAAAATCAATCTCAGGTCATTTGAAAGTTGCAAATGCATTTAATCAGGCTTAGCCTGACCAACCTCTGGCTTTGCCACTGCTTGCATGTCAGTACAATTGTATATCATATGAATATACAACTGCTTTTAATTGAGACTCGATCATTATTAGACCAATGTCGTAACGGAGCAGTGTGGGACCCTTACTAAAAGAAGTGTTTTGGGGCCCCTCTGCTTAACTAAATTTGAGTCAAATTTTAGAGCCTGAGTACTCGCTCTTTGAGGTTTTCCTGAAAAACCCAACTAAATAATATACAACATCCGAAGAGAAATTCTGCCACCTAAGTTATTTCATATGATCTTCATTTAAGCTTTTCCCAGGTTTCCATGGATTGAATAACAGAGCCACCAAAGCCTTAGAGCTGAAATGTTTTAATGTTTATTAGAATATCTAGCAATATAATTTGTATAGACAGATTCATCTTCCTTTATGCACTCGAATGTACCACCTGGTCGACATGGCCCATGCTGCAAAATCAATCTCTCAACATCAGCAACAAGCACATCTTCACAAAGATGACCATGATCAGTTGAACAAGATTTTGGAAGATCTAGAGTGGCATGATTTTGCTTGAGTTAAAGGTTGATTCGCACTTCATCGTTCCTTTTAAGAGTTTCAGAAGATTCATCAAAGACAGGGCTCGTGCTCGTGACTTCTGCGTAGGGAGACTTGAGCTAGGTAGATCTTGGTCTTTGCTATTCTAAAAATGGAAAATTTCCTTTGTGTTTGATGTAGCAGCTTCGACTTTTCGTTGCAATTCGGCCCCTTTGCTCGCACAAGATTCATAAACGCGCTTAGGATTTTTGAAGACATTGTGAAATGAAAGCAGGAACATCGAACGATGCACTTGAAAGCATTACTAGACTCGAAGTTAAAAGATAAACATTTTTAAACTGCCTCATTTAGGAAATCTATTCGATTATAGATATCTGTAATATCAATAAAAAATACAGTCATATGCTCATTTCAATGCTGCTGTGAATACTATTAAGAAATATATGCATACATCCAAAAATATTTTTTTCGAAAAACTTCTTAGGGCCCCACTCAGGGCCCAAATGTTTGAGGGCCCTAAGTTTTGTGCTTGAAGGTGCACAAAAGGGCCCTTAGTCTTATTTTCACATTCACGATCTCGAAGCATTATCCTTACTCAGATTCCTCATATTTATCTAGCCTAAACCAAAATCCAGGCCACATTTAAAGCAACTTCTCAAACTAAAATGGAACAGTGGAGCCCAGGGTGGATGGTTCAGGCTTGTGTCAGGAAATTATCATGCAAAAATTGTAACTTGGTAGCCTCACCTCCACTAAATTGATCGAATAAAGAGCACTTATGCGTTATTATGAATTTCATTCAGATGTCATGTTCTTACATACTTTTCCAATGATTTATGATTATGATGATATTCCGATGTGAAAAAAGTTGAGTGCAGTTACATCTATTTTGATATATTACTTTAATTGTTTTCATTACTGCAGTCAATAAATGTAATTTACTAAGGCAAAGAAATCCACGAATGACTAACATGTCCTGAATAAATATCACAAAATTTTAGACAGTTTACGCTGGCTAATGCAAACTTTCGTCAGATAATCCTTTCAGTTTCTTTTGCTCTCTGCAAACGATGTTTCATTTATCAAATTCATTTATCTATTTTATCATAGTTCTCATCTTAGCTTATTTTTACATTTCTTGTGAGAAACACCGTATCCACTGCTTTTAGTGCTTCTATTACCTTTTTTCATTTGATATCAAGTCAGTGAACTTTTTAAGGGAATAGTCCAAGTGCCTTAGCTCTTTTGTGCTTCTAATACCTTCAAGCAAATTGCAATTCTGTATATCATTTGCGTTTGCCAACTCGTACTCACAACAAACAGGGCGGAAAGCCTGATCATTATGTGGTTCTTTCCTTGTACTCTCAAGGCTTGCTTGTTGTGTCCTTACACACTTTTCCTGTATCGATTTCGATTGATTATCCAGTATATTATAATGGTTGCGAAACATATATTGTCATCAGAAGAGATTCACCAACAGCTCAGAGTTGGGTGTCATTTTCCAACCTTCAATGCTGTTAAACCCCCGCCTTACTTCATGTTTGATGCTTAAGTTTGCTAAACAAACACTCTAGAGAACAAAAGTCTGGCATCTTCTGTGATAAATCTTTAACATGGTGGGGCGAATGACCAAACGCAGGAAGGGAAGACTATCTGATTACGAGCCTGCCTGGGAAGCTGACGACTATGTAAGTGATTTTTTATCGAAAAAACCGCACCTTTTTTTTCTAGCACCGATGCCATTCTCTGGCATCTTGCGCGTGGCACCTTTGCTTGCATTTCAACGCTTTTGATTATCATACAGAATATAAACGCATTATCATGCAAGTCCAGTGATACCAAATATCATATCTTCAATTGCATCTAATGATACTGGCCGATACTCTCAGAGGACCCTTCCGGAAGGGAGAACAGTTGGAAAATATTAAACAAAAGGCTGTTCAACTTTGGCACTTTTGAGAACTTGATGCGGTTTAGATTAACGACTAGTTGTCTTTGGAACGGGCAACTGTTTGGAAACTTTAAACCAGGGAAGGAGATTGTTCCCTTGTCCTTGACTAATTTTCAACCCTCATTCTATGCAATAGGTTGAAGTAGAGCTCGGTTGGTATCAATCATTCAGCAGTTTCGGTTTCCCTATCATGGAAATTTAAAATGTAAACAACAACTTTAGAAGTTCACTGTAGTGCTCTGCGCTCTTTCTGATAAACAAATATTTGATGTTTTTGATTATCGAAGAGCATTTTACACCTTTTTGGAAGGTGTTTTTCGTGAATTTTGTCCGGCAAAGAAAGTAATAGTTTACACAATCAAAGAGGTTTTTAGCATTGCAACAATGCAGTGGGGAGATTGTAGTGAGCCATTATATGGAGTCACTAGTAGCAGCTCCACTTGCGGCAGACGGAGAGCAGGAGCAAAGGCTGCAGACCCCTAGATTTGCGAGAAAAAAATAGTCGTACACAGCCAATTTTAAAGGAATGGAGTACTTAACATGCGTGAATTTGTTAATGGCTATGGATATATCTTCGGAATGTAGGCATTGGCGTAAAATTGCCCCCTCTCTTTTTTGCAAAACAATAAAGCTTTTTTGTGATTGTTATATTTTCTCTTGGCCCCTCCACTTTCCAACCTGCTTCGGAGCCCATGGCTTTGAGGTGTTCATTTTCAAAAAAGGAAAAACAAGCATCATCATGATCATGATCATCATCATCATCATGATCATGATCATGATCATGATCATCATCATCATCGTCATCATCATCATCATCATCATCATCATCATCAATTAAGTTAACTAAGGTACAATTTAATACTTAAAAAAACTCTTTACATCTAAATGACAAATTAGAGCTTTCTCCGCAAACGTGGAAAAGAGTCAAAAATATGTTTCCCGTTTCTGCTGCATGGGATAGAGGCTGCGAGACAAAAAACATAAGCAATGCGGATGAGGAAAAGTTTTCTCTTTCTAAGCGAAGAGAGAAAAATGAGTGAACTCACACGTCTCATGACTAGCCAAGTATGAGTGAGGGGAAATCTTGGGTAGACAAAGCTGTGCAGCTTACATCAAGTAAGAAACGGGGCTCACTATATCATCAGGAAGCTATCGAAGAGCCAATAATAAGTTTCCAAAAGGCGGGTGACAGACCCCCAATGGTCTCTGGTGTTAGCAATAGTAGTTACTCTTTCGATTCTCCAATCAGTCACAGAGTTTCTTATGCTGCAAATGAACGGTCAGTAAGAAAGGTAAGATTTGTAATTTTCGTTACGAACATATGCCTATCTCTGTGATAAAGACATTCCATGTTGCAGCCAGAGGTCATTCGACGTCAACAGTTCAGCAAACCGGATGTGGCACATTTTATACTGCTTTTCTCTTGTGGTTCTAAACAGTGATTTCTGTGTCTGACCAGAATATTTTTTAATCAAATCTTTTGTTTTTTACAGGCAAGGACGACTTCATCAATTTTGTCTCCATTCAAAAAGAAAACGTGTATATATTATTTCGAAAATGAAGAAAAATTGGGGTATGTTATTGACCTGGATCGTTATTGTTGAAATTGTTTTTAGGGAGAAGTCCGAATTTCATAGCTTAGAATTTGTGAAATAATATTGAGAGAACTTGTCAGAATATCAACCATAGCTGAAAATGGGTGGAATGTCATTGCCTTTGTTTAGGTATGAAGCAAATCTCATTAATGCAAATAAGTCTTTGTCTAGCAGGATGTAGCAGGATAATGAGAAAACTAAACTGTGGGAAGGAGCTTCTTATCTGTTCATAGAGCATCATCAACTGCATCAACATGCATAGCCTTTTTGAAGGAAAATTAGATGTGGGAGCAAGTCTTTGTTAATGTATAGATGAGGACAATAGCCTTTTGTTTAAAACAACGGACAGTCACTGGCATTGGAGGGGAGGGGTTGCCCTCTAAATATTCCTTAGAATTTAAATTGAGGGGAGGGGTGGATTGGGTCTCCTGAAGTAGAAAAGTATGTTTATCAATCATTAATAATCTACTTTAGAACAAGGACCCAATACAACTTTTTTAAGGGGGGGGGGGGAGTTACTGATAGATGAGTGTAACAATAACAATTCTAATAAAAGTAATTTACTCATGCTACTAACATTTTGGGGGGGGGCAAGACTCCTGCCAAGGCTCCTCTTTTACTGACAAATGCAACACCCTGGCCCCTCTGCCCTCCCTTTTAAGGGCCTCTTAATAGCTTTCATTAAGGATGAAAAATTGTCAAGGTTTATGTCAACTGTTTAACACCCTGACTGAGTTACTTAAAGGATGTCTACAGGGCATTATCAATATTGACATTATTTTGTTTGGAATGCCTGAAATAGAAAATCATAATATGAGAGAAGACAAGAGGACTACCCATGAATTTCAACAATCTTTACACTGTTAAATTGCCCCCAAAGAACTGAAAACTTCACATGACGCACTAAAATGTTGATACCTGATTATGAGTTTGAAATGAATTTTGCAAATCATGCCAACTTTGACATTTTTATGTATACTTTCTACCAATTTTTATAATGTTTAATTTGTTTATGAATAGATTCTGCAAGTGTGGAAGACCAAAGAGTGACCACAGTAAAGATGCAATAAAAAATGCAAATTTTCAATGGAACATAAAGAAGCATATTAAAAGTTGCAAGACCAATGCATATGGAGAAGTTGAATTTCATGGAACAAACAGAAAGACAAGAGCTAAAGTAAATACTAAAGCACAAATTGTAGACATAAATTGCTTAAGAGGGAAATGTCTGTTACAAAGTTGATATATTTTCTTAAAACTACAGGTAAAAAGGACCATTTACAGGCCTGGCCGTTTGTATTTTTATAGGTGAGCTGTGAATCGCTCTCCTCATTTGCTGAGGCGAGCTAAATCAGTAACACATAGAATGTAATTTAAAGACAATCAACAGATGACAATAATGGCTTTGCCAATAATGCGAAACATGTCGCCGTTATAGTTTTTCACCCAATCTGGGTTTTTCAGTAAATGCTGCTGGATAGTGGAATTCCATGTTTTGGTTGTCGTTTTTGATCTGCAAGACAGAGTACCCTGTTCTCTTTGAGGGATAGTTTTGTTTCTATTGCTGGAAGGGACCTGCTGTCTTATTATATCCCCAATCTACAATTCCTACCCATTTCTTCGACTTTCCTTCCAAAAATATTCCTGTTTTCTTAAGATTAAAAGGTTCTAATCGCTACAAACGTACCTTTCGGTTAACTATCCTTTTCCAAATAGATCGAAGTTTATGCCTATCATAACAAAAACCGCCCAACAAGCAAAAAGTTAATTGCAAAAAATGCAGTGACGGGAGAAATCGCTGTTACAAAAATAAGCCAATTAACCCGTTTTCAGGGTTCTCTGAATAGGAAAAGGGCAAATGAATGGAAATTTTAGGGGAGCGATTCTCCCTTCATGTTCTGTTTAGGAGAGCAATTCATAGCTCGCCTCAGGTTGCGAGGGGAGCGTGGAGGCGAGCGCGAGCTATCGCTCGCCTCAAACGGCCAGGCCTGCATTTATCACAATTGTTTATTTTCATTCTGATGTTAGATATTACATGGTATCAAATCCAGTTAAAAACCACAATATAGTTGACTTAGTTACTGATGCAGTGGTCCAGAACAATACCTTGCCCTGTGTTTATAGTAATTATGGTATGGAGATTCATGTACGTCTTGCGCCCCCTCCCTTAAAAAGAATCTTCTCTGCCTGCCTGGGAAGAAAAGGCAGCATTTTCATTTTTTAGTTTAGGAGTAAGTATTTTTGTAACAATTAAATTTAAGACAAAAGTCAACTGGCATAAATATTTGTTCCTTGTTATCATACATAATGTTTGCAAATGAGGGTAGGTAGTTTCAAGATTAATCCATTAAAATCTTTATAAAAGTTTATTCTTCATTTCTTCAAATTTAGTATATTCGAGTATCAGATGAAACTGATGCAAAAGATGCCTTAAAATTGCTGCTGAGAGAATGGAAACTGGAATACCCAAACTTTCTCGTCTCAGTAACTGGAGGTGCAAAGACCTTCAAACTCCCTGTGAAACTGAAACACCTATTCAGTAATGGGCTTTATAAAGTGGCACAAACTTCAGGAGCATGGGTAATCACTGGAGGAACAAATACTGGTGTAATGAAACATGTTGGAGAGGCATTACAGATTGCATCCAATACCCAATATGGCACACAAGGAGATTCTAATAGGAGAGTCTATTGTATTGGTATTGCCACTTGGGGTATTGTGGAAAACAGAAACCTGCTAACTAACACTCGGGTATGTTATTTTTAACTTTAAGATCGAAGTTTACATTTTTAAAAGTCCTTGGTAATTACTGGTCAAATAATTTGTTATAATTCACCAAAATTTAGGAAATTTTACTCTTAAACACAAGTTTTAATCTCATATTGTATCCTTCCAAGCTATAAAACAAGGAGTGAGATTCAGTGCCAACATGAAGGTTTTGCACATAATTTTTTAAGGCCTAAGTCTTTTTTGTACAAAAAAATTCGGCCTCTGGTACACAAAGAATTATAAGTTTTCAAAATTTTTGAATATTTAGTTGTTGATTGAGTCATTTCCTCTTTTATTTGCTCACAGTACAGCTCCTTGCATACCTTCTTTGTAACAGGGATTGTTGCAGCTTGTTATAAGGATATCACATTGAGTCATTGATATTTGCAGGCAAAACATATTATAACATACTGTTTTACTATTTGCAGGGTACTGTGAAGTATTATATGAAGAACAGTATTGAAGCAGCTGGTGCATGTCTTGACAACAACCACACACACTTCTTTCTTGTTGATAATGGCACTGTTAATCAATATGGTAAAGAAATCCAGTTTAGAGCTCGACTTGAAAAGCAAATAATGAAAATGGAAGTTGATAAAAGTGAGATTCTTACTCCATCTTGTAAACCTTCTTTTAAACTTGAAAGAACAAAGCCATTCTTAGGGGACTTTTTGGGCCGTAATGATTAACATTTGATAACTGAATCTTTTTCTAACAAATTTTGTATAGTAAAGAACATTCAACTATCTTTACTCCTTGACTTGCAACAGGGGCTTTGGTGGTTAATGCATTGATTTTAGTTATTTTTGAGCCTGAAGATTTCTATGCTGTCTTTTTTCCTTCGTGTGCATTCTTGTTGTTAATATATTTTACATAAATTTAGCACTTTCACGTTTTCAAGCTTAAGTTTTAGCAGAAACTGTTATCTAACAGGTTTTTTATGGAATTTTATGCCTTTTGTTACAGGCAAATAAGTGAAAATATATACCTCAGCCTATTGAATACCCCAATCTAGAATAAGAAAGATGATTATCAAGGAACATTTAAGAAATTATTGTTTGCTTATCATGGTATTTGTGCTTTCCAATTTGCTAGCCTTATTGAATAGCCATCCCCCTCCTGAAAGTTATGCTAAATATGATGAGAGAAAATTCTGCTGAATTATACGTAATGATCAACCATTAGTCACAACCAGATCATTTTGCCAATTCTACCCCCAAATGGGTTCATACTAAATTCCTTTTCTTATTCATTTTCTTCTGTTATCAGATCGTGGAAAAGTCCCAGCGGTTCTGCTTGTGCTGGAAGGTGGCCCTAACACTGTGGCCACTGTGTATGAAGCAATAACAAACGACCCAGCTGTGCCAGTTATCGTGATAAAGGACAGTGGACGTGCTGCTGATCTTCTCGCTTATGCCCATAATATATCTCATGGAGAGGGGTAAACTTGTATTTAGATTCCTCTGACCTTGCTCTTTGCATTATCTTGCTATATTTGAACACATATGAGTAAAGCATACAATAAATTGAACGTCAGACAGGTGAATACCATTTAAGACAGATGCTCGTCAAATTTAGTGATACTCCAGTGCTTTTACTGCCAACACAAGCATTTCATTAAATGAAGTTAAATGAGAAAGTTAATGGTTTGGTCGTTACGCTTTGACAGGAAAATAAAAATAGTATGCTATGTTGTCAAGTCACCATCTTCTTTCCATCTATCTCCTCAATTTTTTTTCCAAGAACAGCCCCGTTGTCGTATACTCAATTGGCCTTCGAAATAGTATTCTGGTTGAAATAAAACCATTCAAAAGATTTTCTTCCCTATTGCATTTAAAAATGCTTCGTTTGTTTTCCGCGTGATTTGTTAAGTAGTGAACGAGTTTACAGGAGTAGATGACTTCCTGAGAGATTAAAATGTTATTTCTAAGTCAAAACATAGGGGATCAAGTTACTATCAATATTTTAGTTTTACTTCAAGAGGTGTCGAGAAATGAAAGGAAGACCAAGGCGGGCGATTAACGTGCGAACTGACATTGAGGCGAGCGATGAACAGCCTCGCTTACCCGAGGCGAGCGTGGAGGCGCGCGCGGGCGATCGCCCGACTCAAACGGCCAGGGCTGCTCAATTATGAACACTCTGATCTTTTGTAGGACCTTTTATTACATGGGGGATGTTGTGGAGCACAAACAGCTTTTTAAGAGGATTGAACAAACCTACCCCGAGTTGAATCAAGAAGGTTGTTTGAAGGTGTACGGAAACGTATTGAAGTGCGTTGAAAGAAAGCATCTGGTAGGTATACATTCTAAGGACATTTGCATTTTTTCATCTACAGTGTTTAACTTTATATTTTGCATTTTATTTAACTTTATGACAAAAACATAACTCTATAACATAATTTTACAACTGTGTACATTTGTGTGTACACTGCTCCTTACGAGTTGACTCACTTAAACTCTTAAAGCAGCATTTTATAAAAAAGCCCGAATTATTATGTTATTATGCTCGTTGCTGCAAACGCAATTCTTTCAGGTCAAGTTTTTCTTGCATTTTTGCCCTACTGACTCTTGTTTAGCAAGGTTCATATAGACTGGCTATGTTTGAATCTGATAAAGGAATTTCCAATTTTTCCGGTTCCATTGACTTGTTTTACAATATTGTCCTTGACTACTGCTTTGGCGGAGCTTTACCTACTGGCTATAAGATCTTCATAAAAATTGTCCTCTAGATCTTTTAGATGAAAACAGCAGATGTTGATATTATATCCAAGTCAATATATCGATGCATAAATAAATTGTGTTATTTCCTTTTTCCTTTAACCGTTTCAGATAACAATTTTCGAGATGGAGGAAGGTACTGCCGATCTGGATCAAGCTATTCTGAAAGCCTTGTTAAAAAGTTCGTTGCGTTTTTTCTGTTTTGTTTTTGTTAGTTTAATTAACCTCTAAACGTATTTTGCCTGAACTCTTTGTCAGTATTAACGTTTATGAAACGGTTCTTCCTTCAGGGTGGCAAATATCCCCTTGATTATGCTTTCTTCGCTCAAATTATTGGGCATTTTCTTTCTTCATTAAACTGGTGTGACTTGTTCTCCGGTTTTTATCGGCTGCCATCTTGTTCTGTGAATTCCCTAAAATTATTTATATGCCCAATATTTATTGTAGTTACTCCGTGCAGTTATATTTGAAAATGTAATATTACGGACTAAGAATTGTGCCGTATGTAGGTAGTTTGCTGCTCATGGAGGTTGTCTGAAATTTGACATTTTCCTTCAAGTAATGAGTGGTTTCAATAACATTTTTAAGCCCTGGTATTCGGTTCTGTGGTATGACTTCACCTACTTGTCGATTTGTCTCGGCCTTCTGAATTTTGTTGTAGTCTCAATCAATGTATTATCTGTTTTGTTGCACAGGTAAGAGTGCCTCTCCAGAAGAGCAACTCAAACTAGCCTTGTTATGGAACCGTCCTGATGTTGCTCGTGCACAGATATTCAGCGAGGAGTTAAAATGGCCTGTGAGCAATCTTATTTCTATCCCTTGTTGGTATTAAAGAAATTAGTAATTTGCAACTCTTGTTTATGTTCATGAGAGACAGGCAAAGATCGTCGAGGCATTGTCAAAGAACATGAGCAATTTGAACCTTGGGCCTTAAATTAAATTGGAAGCATATCATACTAAAGTACTTTGATTCCGACACTTCATAGAGTAGAAAAGTCGGAAAGTACCCAGAAAATCCATTGATAAATATTTACTAAATGTCTCTTGCAAAACTTTGGCCAGTCAGAAAGGAACGATTGAAAACTCATTTAGCCGAACAATTATCAAACTTGTCCTGTAAATTTACAAATTTTCTTGCGAAAATTGAACGATATGTCCTCTGATTGGCACTTGCTTTCGTTTAAGAAAAATTTAAAGCTCCATATATGAACTAACAAAGTTAAAATATTCGACACTTCGTAAAATCTGAAATGGGAAGTTATAATATTCGATCCGATATTTGATTCGATTAAAAATCGTTTTTTATATTGTCGGTGCGCCAGTTAAGAGAAGATTCACCCGAGCTTTTGTGCATCATATCTCTTACCTACATGTTGTTTTTGATTGCCCCACGGTTAAGCCTACATCTATGAATTCCTCAGAGTCAGGAAAACATTACGGTCGCACGACCACTGACCGGAGGAAGGTCCACGAAAAACAAAAGAAGTTTCTATGACACACCCAAGCCAAGCCCACTTTATAATGTTTTGTAAGGAAGGTTTGCCTTCTGGGATGTTTTTGTCTGGAAGAAGGTTAAAAACTTTTCTGGACTCTGGAATTCCTCTTGCTTTCAGTGCATTCTTAACCCTAGAAGCAACTTCACAAACAAGCTAATGGTTCACCTTGACTTGTATTGGCTTGCTTTGTCTTGTACTGCACAGATATATGTACATATCCAATCATTGTAGGAACTCTTTTACTTGTGTCTGGTGATAATTTGCATGTCTGATGATAATTTTACCCAGTGACATTAGTCTTGAACAAATCTGTCATAGTAGCCACAACTTGCTATTAGATAGTGCTGTATACAATAAAACAACCCAATATTCTTAACACACTAAAGCTTTCGTATCATTTTACCTATCATCATATCGTTACATGCAGCTGTCATCTTTGGAAAGTGCAATGAAAGTAGCCTTGGCGAAAGACAGAACGGAATTTGTTGAGCTCCTTTTAGAACAAGGTGTCAGCATGGGGAATTTCCTAACACGAGACCGGCTTGACAGTCTTTATAGTACGGTGAGTTTATTTTGCTTAATAAACATTCGACAAAACTTCATTGGAAACTCGGGCTTTGTTGAGCTGTGTCATAATAAATGAGAGAAATTTAAGTATCATTTGAAAGATGCTGTTTGTCATGCTTTCTATCCTCGAATCTTATTGTTTTTAAATTTTTTATAGTTTTATTTTTTAGCATTTTTAGTTTTATTTTCATCGTTGTCATTTCTGAATTTTCTAGCATTGGTTTTTTTCTGATTAGAAGTGTTCAAATGTGTAATGAATTATTGCTTTCTTATATTCAACAATTTTTAAAGATTTGGTAATTTGCCAAATTAGCATCTTGTAAATTAGCTGAGTAAATTATTCAATTTTATAAGTTGAAATCGATGAAATATTATGGATGAAATATTTCTCTCTGAAATGTGGCCTCTGGAGTGAAAATAAAAACCGCCTTAGTTATATGAACAATGGAAGAATGAGATATTTTTTTAAAAATATGTTTATTTTGCCGTGGAAGTTACTGATCTAGAATTGTTTGCTTAAATCATTCAGCGAGCTCGAGAAAGAAAAAGCATGTTACGGTATATGTTAGACAAGGTCAGTTCCAACTTTTTTTAGGGCAGTAAAATTTCATCTCTGTCATTGCAGTCACTGTGCTATATTCATTTTAATTCCAGCTTTAAGTTATTCAGATGTTTAGTACAAGATATTTCTTCTCTGTTTGAAACTGTTGTCGTATTTTCAGTAAGTCGTGAAGCAACGATCAGGGTTCACATACATTTAATTTTCCAGACCTTTTACCGTTCCTTGTGCACTAGATTTTCAGATTTCAAAATATCTCGCAAGCATGAAACTCGGTGTAACCGCGAGCATGTGTCATTATTAGCCAGACGTCTACTGTAGATTTCAAAATATATACAATTAAAGGTATTTTCTTGAATAAAATGCCTTGTAAAGTAGTCTTTGGTTGTTAATGCCACCGTATTTACGTTTTGACAAGATTGAATAAGGGTAGTTTGAATTATCCTTGTCTCCATTCAAGTTTTTATTTACTCGTTATTGCTGCTAGACATTTATTCCTTTGATACGGTCGTTAAAGTCATAATAATTGTTTCTTGAAAAGTTGTAGCCATGGGCAGGGTGCGCATTGAATGAATCAAAAATCATTCATACATACATACATGCGATATTTGTTATTGCAGGTTACGCTAAAGTCAGCTTATGCTGATGTGGACCTGCATATACTTCTAATAAATGAAAAGTTTACCTGAAATGTAAAGAGATGTTAGTTGACTGAGTGCATGATTTTCGTTTCAGGCCAAATTTGGAGCTGTCACGCTCCGTGATGCAGAAAGTCTTTTTTATACCTTGACTGGTCTGTCCTTAAACCCTCAGCAGCAACAGACTCACCGAACTGTCCCACACGCTATAGCACATATTGTTCCTCTCAACACCCGCGATGCGTTGCACCAGTCATTTCACCATCCGTTCAATCAGCTATTTGTCTGGGCAGTGCTAAACAACATGCAGAAAATGGCTCTATGTTTTTGGAAGCATGGCGAGGAACCAATGGCAAAAGCATTGGTTGCTTGTAAGTTGTACTTTGCATTGGCCAAGTATGCAGACAAAAGGGACATGAAAGATGACATCATGGAGACACTTACAACCAACGGAGAGTGAGTTTTGTAGATACAACGGTTTTACAGCTGAAAAGCCCTATGAAGTGCAGGTTCTTAACTGTCAGTGAATGGGAGCAGTTTTTTTTAAAAGAACAAGCCACTTAGAAACATTTTAAATCCCTCGACACGTGAAAGTAACTTTTTCCTCCATACCGTTTTATGCAGTCGTGGGTTTTGTTGGTATCACCCTTAGTTAAATGCAGCTAAAAACAGTGGAGTTTAACTAGAAAAAGATAAATTCTGATAAGTAGGAGGCTGGGGGGGGGAGGGGGGTATAGCGTATAGCGTTGCCCAAAGGTCTGGTGTTATCTTGATTTCTATTTTTGCCATATTTGGCAATTTTGCAGGCTTATTTGATATCTTATAGCTTTTTGTCATCATGTTCTTTTTCCAGAGAATTCCAAAGACTTGCAGTGCAGTTACTTGACCACTGTTTCGTCACAGATGAATCGCGTTCAAGCAAACTGATGACGTATGAATTAAGAAATTGGGGAAACACCACCAACTTGAACCTGGCTGTTACGTCTGGACACACATTATTTGTCGCACACTCTTGCAACCAAGAGCTCTTGACAGACATTTGGTCTGGTGTAATGACGTTAAGGACGCTAAAGTCATTGAAGGTGTGTTAACTTTTAGGTTTCGCAAAGAAAAACTATTCTTCATTCACCCAATAATTTTTTTGTAAGCACGGGACCTTCCTATTAAGGGAGACATTTAGGACAGCAGAACCAAAGTTTTTGAACTGGATGAAGCGCCACCTCATCAACATCCTAGACCTCGAGAATTTGGATTCCACTGTGCAAAATCAATATTAGCTCAACGTGTATCCAAAACATTGCATTCGCTTCTATTTTGGTGTTCAAAAACAAGTTCTCTTTTTCATTGCTTAACAACAAACCAATTTAAGGGGTCCGCGAAAAAACATGAAAATATTAGCAGATTTTTCATGCCACCTCTTCGGGTATGAAAAAAACCTCTTTCAGAAGTGAAATACCTAATTTAATACCATCTATGATTATAAGATGAGATTGATGATTCTTTGTAGCGGCCTATTACAGTTGACAAATCAGCTTGCTAGAATAATAGTAACGTGAAGTCTCAAGAGGAAATAATGAAGTGTCGTTATCGAAATCAGAAGTTATTACTATACTAATGCTATGATGTACAATCCTAAAGTTCTATATCAAAGAACTTTATGATGTACAACAACAGTAGCAAGTATGATAATAAGTACCACGACAAATAACAAAGACGTTGTTTGAAACAGTCGACAACTTGTTATAAGTAGACAAACAAGATATTCATAATGACTTATCTATTTAATGAAATTGTCAACATCGTCATTATGAAAATCTGGTTTGTCTACTTATAACAAGTTGTCGACTGTTTCAAACAATGTCTTTGTTATTTGTCGTGGTACTTATTATCAAGTTTATTAACAAGCTGCGATCTCTGAAATCTCAATCTAGTAACAAGTATTAATTTTTTGTTTTTGCAAACAATTGTGGCGTAATGACCCATAACATATCATGATCAAAGTTTTCCACTGAAATGCTATTGCCGACCATAACTGTTCTTTGGTTAAAACTCTAGCTTTCAAGTTTTCAAGATGAGTCGAAAGTTTTCACTCAAGGTAATTTCAGGTTGTTGTCACTGTGTCATTTGAAAATCTTGGAAGGGATGCAACTGTCCTACTATGGCATCCCATAGTACCACGCGTGCTTGCAAGCAAGACTTGATTATCCTTCGTTTAAGCTACTGACCCACTTTTTCTTTTCTGCAGACTGTCCTGTGCATGTTTTGCCCCCCTCTTGTGTTGTGCCTGAGTTTCCGTACAAAGCGTGAGGTTCTAAAGATGCCACAGACTGAAGGAATGCTAGATGAGTTTTCATTTAGAGAAGAGGACGAGGAGGATGCACCTGTCACCAATGTTGAGATTGAAGAAGGGCTAGGAGAAAAAAAGGGTGATTTGTAAGTCATTTTTATTTCTTGTCTTTGTTCATGTTGTTTTTTAAACTTTTTGGTCATTAGATAGGAGAGCTTGGAAGCTGGAGGCGAATGATATGCGGGTGTAAGTAGGATGTTGTTAAAGGAATCACCACAATGCAAGATATCTAAAAATGAAATATAACTGTATCCGCCAGGTAGTGGTAACTTTGATGTTATGTAATTGAGCATAGTTCCCTGTTATTGTGAAATTACCTCTTTGCTAACAAAGTTTGCTTCCACGATAGTCTGAAAGTACTTTTTGATCGTTTATTGGCCTTTCATACGTATGCATCTGGATTGAAAATCCAATTGACATTCCTCTATAAAGCCTTTTTCAAAATGAATTTTTGAGTTAGGTTGAATTTCATTTGTTCTTTAACGATAACTGTTGATCTAACGTGAAGTTAGTGCTGCTGGTAATTTAGCATGATTGTCAAACTTATCTTTTCAGAAATCTTAAAAGAAATGAAACATTCAGCTCCTCTTTCGATGATTCAATTCTTGGCGCGAGTGAACGAGATGCTGACACTGTTATGTCTGCGGAGATGGTTAAGACACAGTCGCTCAGTTATTTGGAAAAGTATCGTGGCTTTTACACTGCTCCAATCACCAAGTTCTGGGGAAACGTTGTAAGTAAAACTTCTATACTCAATCTTATTTCTTACTATTTTCTACTATGTGAGCCGTCAAGGTGTACAACTTCACTTCCAAAGCAATTTCAAGCAAAGATGTAAAATGTAACTTTGTTGCAGCTTGTGTGGCTAGACTACCTTTCTGTTCAAGAGCCAAGTGAGAAACGTAATATTGATCTAAAAAGCAAAAAGGATTCTGCAGAATCGCGAAACATGTTGCATAAAAAACAAGAAGACTGCTTTCAGAAATCGGTTCTATTTAACATTATGGCAGTCATAAAAAGCAGAATTATTGTTAAATCTTGTTTTTTCGTAAGAATTTTTTGTACCTTTTAATCCATTCTTTCATTCAGCTTGCTTACTTGGTGTTTCTTGGACTGTTCACCTACGTATTGTTGGGGAAGCTGGAGAAAACCCTTTCCAACACGGAGATAGTTGTTATTGTGTTTGTAATTTCTATGACAACTGAAGAAATAAGGCAGGCAAGTTACCATTCATGCATTTTTTAGGTTCTATTATTTAAATCATTTTGTTTGAATTAGCTACTGAAATACCTATACTCGTTAGTTGCCTTCTGAATTGGCAGGATAGGAGAAGCAAAATATTTTGAAGTTTCATTAGCAAAATATTCTCCTATATCTATACTAGTGTCTATGCGATGAACCAAGATTGCCAGACGTTTAGAAAGCCTCAGGAAACTGCCTTTAGATAAAAAAGAGTACACGAGTAAGAAACAGTGATTCGAATAAACATGCGATTTTTTGCTCATCGTAATTCATTTTAATCCTAGCCATAGCATAGGCCTTGTTACTCATTGCTATTCTGTGGCGGCATGAGTTTAGACTCTTTGACTTTTCAAAGAATGTTTTTCTTTTTAGGTCCTTAAATCCGACACTGGTCGACTTTACAAGAAGGTATATGAATGGTCTCGATCCAAGTGGAATTTGTGCGACGGGCTGGCCATATTTTTGTTCTATATTGGACTAGGTCTTCGCCTAAACCCATCAACAGTTAGCGCTGGTAGGGTGGTCCTAGCAGTCGATATTATGTTCTGGATTATAAGGCTCCTTGACATTTTTTCAGTCAATCAAAACCTTGGCCCGTATGTTGTCATCATCGGCAAAATGGTAAGTGCAAAAATTTATCATACACAATAATATATGTACCTTGAATACTCGAATTAATCCCCAAAGGACTTCTTCATTTGGGATGATTTTTGTTGGGGGCTTATTCGAAGATTGGGGCCTTGACCTCGATGGTCAAACGATCGGTGAATGTTGTATCGTTTGACCAGGGCTTTATTAGAACTCACCTTGACGAATCCTTGATGAGGAGGTCTTGTTAAAGTTATCTTGAAATCACCATAGTAGCCGCTCATTTTCAAGGCTTTTCACCTTTTTCAAGTCTGTTTTATCGATGCTGGTAAGAATCGCCAGATTGCCTCGTTTATTCTAGTTTTCGTTTTTCTGTTGCATGTCTGATTTATCATAGACTAAAATTATGTATTGTGATAATTTGCATATTTGGGTTCGTTCTTTTTCTATGGTTTTCAGCAATTTTCTACATCAACTCATTTAGTCAGGTTTTGTCAGGTCATCCAAAGTTGTGACAGCTTTCTTTTTTATTTGTCTTTGGATACCAAGTGCCCTTCGAGTTGTGTTAGTAAATAAATATATTTCCAGCGCAAGTATTTATGTTTTGTAACCTTCATATTTTACTAAATATTTCTACGTTTTCACAGACGATCGACCTTGCATATTTTCTGTTCATCATGGCCGTCTTCCTACTCGCTTATGGTGTTGCAAGGCAGACAATTCTGGAACCAAACAAACCTGTTTCTTGGAAATCAGTTGCGGAAATCTTCTTTGTGCCATACTTCCAGGTTTACGGGGAACTTTTCATTGACAAAGAGCACTTATACAGCAGTAAGTAAGATTACTGTTGATGTGTTTATTTAACCCCTGCGGATCAGACAGCTTTGAAGCGCATCTTTTAGATGAATGATGAGGCTTTGTGAGAGCTTTAATGCAATGTTGTAGTGAAAAAAACATTTACTGTTCTAAATTTTTGCTGTCTTTACCATGTCGTAAACCAGGCTTGTTCATTTTGAATAAGGTACGGTTGAAAATTGTCGATGCTGAGCACAATCAAAGATAATATACTAAGATACCATTGACAAACTAATATCTTAAAACTAGGAATAATATTTATCTAGGCCTCATCATTTTCATAAACAAAAGAGCCAGTTTGTTGATCATGTCCCTCTTAAGTCTATCAGGATGAGGCTAACGTAAAAGAAAAGGTCATTAAAAATCCCTGAAAGAGGGAGAATGTCCTTCTGCACCAGCTGCATGTTTTGTCTTGTGACCTTTTTCTCCCTCTTTCTACAAAACCAATATGTTTTGATTTTGCCAGGTTTTATTACACTAATTATATTTTGCAGACAACCTGACATACTTTGGGACGACGAAACACAACGATTACAGTGAACCTGCCGTTTCCCTGCTAATGGCCTTCTATCTACTCATCGCCAATATATTGCTGCTTAATCTCCTTATCGCCATTTTCAAGTGAGTCACAAGAGTATTTCACTTTTTTAGGCCTGATTTCGAGACAATCTTGTGATCTGTCATTAATATACATACCCTTGACCAAGGAAACTGCTTCTTCTGCCAGTTGATAGGCGAAAGAATACTCAATATGCTTTTGCTTTCTTTATCTAATAGTTACAGAGTATCACTTTTATATAGAGAGGATTATATAGGCTCTGGTATGTAGAACAGGACTTTTTTTAATTGGCAAATCAACATTTTCTACACTTTCAGCAAGGGCGAATGGCTTTCTGTTATTGCATCAAACTACCAGAATGTATTCAGTGGATGAAGAACTCGAAAATTCATGTTTTAATTTGCCGTAGTACTTTTGTATGTCATCGTCCACAGGCTTGCAGTTTCAAAACGCAATTCTACTGTACATATGTACTTTATGATATTCAAATACACCATTGCATGATGACTCTGTTGACTTACTTTACCAACATCAGTTTCGTAAAATTGTCAAAGGGCTCTTGTTATATCAACATCTAATATAGTTTCTAAAGTTTCTTTATACAAAGGGGGATGTTTTTTGTAATATTCACGGTTGCGATAGAGTAATATACAGTGGAAGTAGCTTATTAGTTTCTCGCAGACCTCAGTGCTGTCATGCTAAGGCATATTGAAGACCCATAACAACAGATATTGCGAAAACGCTCAATTATTTTGCAAAAAACTAGGGGGGGGGATGAAGCCTCCTTGGAGGATGTTTACTGTAAACTGTAATGCTCTGGCTAGCTCTTCAAAATTTTGCTGTGGAGCATTTAAAAATGCCGTATTCTTGCTTTCATTTCATTAGTTCCAAAATAAAAGTGCATCTTGAGTATTGGATGTTAGGAATAAAAAGGGAATACAAACGGTGTTTTTCTCGCTGTCTTAGACAGTGGGATCAGGGGAAATGATTTTACTACTAAGAAAAATAGTTTAAAATTTTTTTAATGATAGTTTCAATTTATATTGATGCTTCAAACTATGCTAGTTTTCTCGGGAAATGTAACAATCCATCTTAGCAATTTATCCTTTTTTGTCTCTATTTTCTATTTATTTTAGCCATTAAGCTTAGCGGAATAACTTTAGTGGAATGATAAATATGAAGAATATGACGTCATATCTGTTCTGTGTTTTGCAGCAATACATTTTCAAAAGTTCAAGTCAACTCAAATCAAATATGGAAGTTTCAACGATACCACTTAATATTGGAGTACGCTAGAAGGCCACCTTTAGTGCCCCCCTTTGTATTCCTTAATCACATGTTTTCAGTGCTCAGTTGGGCATATAATCAATGTCGAAGATCAGATTGTTGCGGTGGACATCAAAACGAATCCAGCTTCAAAACGGACAGGAAAATCAGTGAGCGATATTTTCCACTAACATCTCTCACAATTTCTATAGTTTAACTGTTGATGACCGAATTGCTTCAATCAGTTGATGACCGATTGATAATTAAACACATTTGAACAAATTAGCACATTCGTTCATTGATTCATTCTTTCATTAATTCGTTCATTGATTCGTTTATTCGTTCGTTCATTCATTTATTCATTCATTCATTAGTTCCGTTTTTCTTGATTCTTGTAAAAAAGGTCAAGAAAAATGGAGAAATTGAAGCTAGAATTTGCCACCATCCTATTTAATGTAAGTTTTTCCCATTGCCACATGACATGGGTTTCCGTAACTCTTGCAATTTTTGTCAACGTTTTCTTCAAAATCTTATATAGAATATGTTTGCAAATTAATTATAACTGATTTTTCTTTGTTTTTTTCTGTCTAGAGATTTACCCTAGTTCTGCTGAACTGGATGATTTAATGCAATTTGAAGGAAATTGTCTTGCTGATTTTCTTCACAAAAGAAAGAATGCATTTTTGAGCTCTAAAGAAGAGAAAGGTAGACTTGTACTAGAAAAGTGAGTGATATCTTCTTCTATGTTAACAATCCCATCGCTTATTCAGTTCTTATGCAGATATGACATCACAATATTGGTTAGCTGGACCTTCAAAGAGATGATGTTTACTTGGGAGTTCAAAATTCATAGATAATTATTGTCAAACTTTTTCCTTCTTAGTTTGATTGCAACTACTATTACAGCATGACAAACTCATTCACTTCCAAAAAATTGCGTGGCATGACTTTTTCATTCACTGCTCAAGCCCTACCACAACCTGACATCCCATTGACTGCCAAACACTAGCACAACCTGATTTTCTCATTGCCTGTCAAAGCACTATCACAATCTGGCATTCCTATTGCCTGCTACAGCATTAGCAAAATGTGACTTTTATCAAAGTTTATTTTTGTGGAAGCTGCTTCTGCTTTTAATTTTTTTCACTGGAGGATAAACTTGCTCATTTTAATATGAAGGATGAAAGGAAACCCGATGGGTGAGTTAGACTTAACATTGAGTTGAATATATGAACCTTTTTCTACTTTACGTACATAATTTACTTTTGATTTAGAATTGACAACATATCTTGGCGATTGGAGGAATTCAAACGAGAAACTTGGACAAGAGAGGAACGAATTGACACAAAAATGCTGAAAGTTCAACACAAATTAGAAGAATTTTCAAAAAGTCTTTCCAAAGCCTTGACTGTGTTAACTGATAAACAGAGTGGTATGGGTGACAAAGTGCGGTCTAACAGCATCCCAGCTAGTGGGATGCAGCATGTTCCCATGAAAAGCAGTGCACCAGCTGCTTCAGTCAACGGCTTAGGTAGAACCCCTCCAACAATGAGGCGGTTTCTTAGCCAGAACCCTTACATGCACCATCCTGCATATGACCAAACTCTTCAGTCAAAGAAGCTGCATGGAACTTTCGGAAATCATCATTGACGTCACCGTTAAGAGCAAAGCTTATTCAAGCATACTATAACAATGATGTTGATAATGTTGGGGAAGACTGTGTTGATGGGGCCCCTCCTCAGCCACAACTGGTGAGCTTATTCCATGCTATCTTTACCATGATATCACTTTTTGTCATGGTCTAATTTTTTGTTGCCTTTGTTTATTATCTTAGTATTTATTTTATTTTATTGAGCATCCAGATGGATATTCTAATCACTGTTTTACTGCTATTGTTCCTTTCTGTTTTTGTTGTCTAAGTGTTACTTTTATTAATCTAGAGCTCGTTGTTACTTGTAGCAAGTTTTGTGCAAGTACGTTCTTACGAATTGGATCAGAATAAAAAATTGAATAATTTTATGTCATGTAAATGGAATGCTTTAATACCAGCCCTATGAAAATCAAGTAGCTTTTCTTGTGCTAGCTTGCTGGCTGTCTGTATCAAAAGCACATAGAAATTGTAAATTGATATGCATCCATGTTTTCACTCAATTTCCAAGACAATGACTAGAAAACATGTATTCTAGACCAAACACTGATGTAAAATCTGTGCGTTCACCAAAAGAACCCTTCTGTTCTTCAGTTTAATACTAAAAATGATATAGTATTAATATATAGTAAAGTATATAGAAGTAATTGTATAGTGTTAATTTAGTAATTACATAGTATAGTATAGTAAATAGTAGTGAAATTATATAGCCGTTGATTAATCTATAACTGCTAAATATTGCGTGTGCATGTCTTTGAAGCAGGTAGATGAAGAAGGCACCCCAAAAGAAGAAGCAGTTAAAGAGACCGACAAAATATTTGCAGAAGATATGATTGACCAGGAGCTTGCTCCTGATGGGTTTGATTCAGTTGATGGCAATGATGCTATTTGTACCGGGTCACAGTCTCAGCCACATCCACTGTCTCATATACAGTCTCTGTCTCATTCACAACCTCAGCTGCATACAAAGGCACGGAAGTCACCATACCCTGCCTCAGGTGTGGCCCGATTTCCTGTGCCTGATTGCTTTGTTCATTGGGAGGTAAGCCTGCTTTTGCATAGTTGGAAGATTCCAGCAATTTTCTTCCTGCCTCCAACCTTCTACGTAAGGAGAACACCTCAACTCCAAATGAACTATAAAAAATTGTTACCAATAAAGAGATGTTTTACACTATGTTTCAACTTATCTTTAATTAATGGCTATTATCAACCATGTTTAACCTCTTTGCTAATGATCTCTTTCCGAGGAAGCGTACATGATCTCCTCCACTTTTTAGCAACACCTGGTGACTTACCAAATCACTCTTTACAGGCCTAAAAATTATGCTGTTGCAACAAAAATTGTGAAAATTTCATCAAACAATTTTCTGTTTTTGTTTTGATACTTGTTTTACTACTGTTTAACACTCACATCTCCCATGCATTGTCCACTATAAGCAATTTCTCCCTCTGTTTTCAGGTGGATTTTCCAGAATACAATCCACCAGATTACACTTCTGTGATGCTAAAGCTGTCTACCTCAATTGACAAAGATGACACAAGGCAAGTATTTCATTTTGTGACACACCTTCGACTGTGACTAAGCCTTTGACTATTATCTCGCTTTTGCCAAAGTAATTTCATCTCAAGTCTATAATTTTATCTAAGTCTATAATTTCATCTTAGTTTTTTTGAACATGATCCCTACAAATACTTAGTAGTCTTTGAGGGGTAATGATGTTTTGAATTGGGTTCATTACTAATGTTTATTTCATAGTGATAATTTCTTGTTTGCAGTGATATAAACTTCAATACATTGGATAACGGTGTGGACAGGAAAAGTTTCTTTGGGCTGTATGAAGTGAATGATGAAAGGCCAAGGTTTGATGTTAAGAATCATTCATTAGATTCATCTCAGCATAATTCCTCATCCTTAACAGATTAAAATGTTCCTTAGATTTTAGGCTACAAAGTCAGTGCTATGAGTTGAAGGGGATTTGGTGGGGATTTTGCCATCTTTTTTCTTGCAACTCTGGAATAACTCCCACAAATATAGAGAAGTTTACATGCTGGTAATCCTAAGCATGTGGTTTCTAAACACCTCCTAAACAAAACTTGAATTGCTGCCCTAAAATTTTTTTACTGGGGGCTTTGTCCATGACCCTCTGCCTCTGTACCCATTGCTCACTTTGCCAGGTGACATAGCTGTGCAAAGTACACTTAGCACTTAGCACTTGCATGACACTTTGCACTTGCGTGAAATGACACTTTGTACCTGACCTGCTAAACTCAATATTTTCATCGCCTCTCATTCTACTTCTGATATTTGCATGTCTTTCCACTCCAACAGAACATTTCATATTTCTGATTCTCTGATGACCTTTTTTATATTTCCTTAACAGAAAGTTAGAAACCACATGAAATTTGCTAGGATTTGCAATTTTGCTGACACCATCACTAGAATCCTGCCATTAAATCCATATTTTTCAAACTCTAATTTTGGAGCTGCCACTTTTTTATAATCGTCTTTCTTCACATAAGTGGACAAACAAAGTAACCTGATATCATGGGTATTTGATGTTATTGTCAGATGAAAATTTGGATTTTGATGTTGCTGCACAAAATGATGAAACATTTGTTTTCACTTGAACTTTCGAATCATTCTTTTCTCCAGCTCCTTTTATTCAAACTTCTTGGTGGCATAGGACGGTTAAGATTTTAGGCCCTCTTGAAGTCATTTCTAGAGACAGTTTGTTTTGTTTAAGCAGTTTCATTAAATTATTTAAATCATTAAATTGTTTCAAGCACTCAGTGTTCTCGTCTAAGAATTTGGGCTTTGGTTTGATAATTGACAAACATTTAACCTGTCGAAAGCCCATTCAATATGTTATCTTGTCAAAAAACCTAAACCTAAATTAAAGAAAGCATGCTGCATACAGTACATTACCTTGGTGCTCCAAAAGACTCTATGCTAAGGCCTCTTCTATTCAATATTGATTTTTATATTTATCTTATAACTGACTAGATTATGCCAAAACATACACTGAGTTCAAGTGGGTGTCTTCTCTCCTGAAAAAGTTCATGACAAGGTTCATGCAATAAATGTAGCTTTTCTGAAGAAAAATGTTGATTTTGCATTTACAAGTCAAAGTTCTCAATAATGTGTCATTTCTTCAAATTCTCAAGCAATGTCTTCTTCCCAGTGGCTATTAAGTTCTATGTTCTTTTTCACTATTTCAAATCAATGTGACGAGAAACATTATTTATGATAAACATACTAGATTATTTGTCTAGAAATCCATTTGGGAGAACTGGATTAACTGGCAGAGGTCTGTTGGGAAGATGGGGGCCAAATCATGCAACAGAAGCAATAGTTACAAGGTAGAAAATTTACTTTTCTCTGCATCGTCACCTATCACTTCGTTGACTTTGGCACCTTGGATATCACTCAAACAAAAGATTAAAGTGAAAGCAAATTCTAATTGATCTGTTAATGATACAAATTCAAGTTTTAACTGTAACTGTTTTTTTGAAATTTATGTTAAAGGAACTCTTTGTACATGAATCTTCTATTTTAGGTGGAAAAGAGGTCTGAAAGGAGAAATATTTACCAGAGGGAAATCATCATTGGAATTTTTGGGTCTGAAAAAGAATGATGTGGTAATTTTCCCTGGGGTATGTTTTCAGTTTATATATCATTATTATGTTATATTTTTTTAAAAGAATGATACAAAAGGAGCATTTGTGAGAAAGTGATTTAACTTTACAAGTAGTTGTTGATGGATTTGTAGATGTTTATTCAGAGTTTTAGATCTGAGCATAATCTCCCTAGACTAAAAAAGGCACTCTGCTCAGTTTGACAATATTTTTCAAAAGCTGTGATTTTAATTTCCTGGTGCTGCTGTTGAGATAAACCCCTAAGCACTACAATGCCTGTCAAAAGCTTTTTACTCGTTTTCACATGTTGGATTCTGACTACAATTTGGTGACTAATGAAGGTTGGAATGAAAACGTGTATCAGATATTTAGCAAAATGTTTTTTTTCTTTCCAACATTGTTTAAAAGGGAATCAAAATTTCTTTGCTTGAACTGGAAAAGGGGGACAAATATACATTAATAGTGATACAAACTAAGTGTTCTAACTAGTTTTGGCGGGCATTGTAGGTGGCATGCATCAATAGCCAATCTTGCTATTTCCCTGATATCTGTCTACCTCCTCATTTCAAAATGAAGGTTGATGTATGTGCAAGATCACAACACAAATACTGTCTGTCTAAGAGTTTCAGAAATGATTTCTGTACTATATACACAGATCATGTGCAACTCCTCACTGTGAGACTGCCGACAAATGTGTTTGTTTATGGTAAAATAAAAATGTTAATGATGCAAAATGGTTTGCATTTCATTCTTACATTTCATTTGCACTAAACAATTATAAAAGTTACCTTTGTTTGTAGGAAATCAATAAAGCTTCTGCAAAAGTCCCTGAAATAGTTCTTAAAGCCTTGGCAACAAGAAAAAAACAGAATGTGGATCAGCAGCCTTGGGAGATGTTTTCAGATACAGCTGAAGTGAGACAATAATTTTAGTTATTGGAGTTTTCTGCTTTTGCCAATTAAAAGACAATGCACTTCTAATAATTATTCATCTATAAGGTTTCTTTTGAACATACACAACATACATTTTCCATTCATATTGGCTTTATAGTTGTCCTGGCAAGGCTGGAAAATATATGCATGTTATGAATGGTCAATTATTTTTTTCTTGGATGCAGATAATCCTGCTTCACAGGAAAAATGCAAGGGAAACAAAATGTATGAATAAGCTCTAATTATGACAAAGGGATTTGGTAATAACAAGAGTTTTTTACATACAGGATTTGTTATACAATGAGAATTTGTATGGAGTTAGTCAGAAGCCAAGGAGTCAGACATTTATTTGTTATACCTGAAAATAAATTGTATCTGGGTTTCATTATACTGGGATTCCACTGTAGATTAGTCATATGATTATTTAAATTCTTTATTTAATCCGCAATTGCAACAAAATGTTAAGCCTTTTTGAAGTGGCATGAATTAATAGTACCAAAGAAAAATAAACATTTATAAACCTCTCTGAAAAACCCACAAAACCAATCATTAAGAATTTGCTCTCAAAATAAAAGAAGGCGTGTGTAATGTTGCTCTTTTGGAAAGCAGTAGGCATGCATGTTGCACCCTTTTCAATGAAAACCTGAAGTCTTATTGTGGTGCTGCACAATTTTTTCATTCTAACAATTATTTCCATTCACTTTTAGATTTCAATATACTTTGATGATACAAGAAATACTGACAATGCTTGGCTTGAAACAAAAGTTATCAACTATCATTTTGATTTTGAGATGGACACTGATTTCAAATTAGTGAGTCAATTTTGGGACGAATCTTCCTTGTTTATTATTTGTAAATATTTATTTGTATGTAATATACTCAATATATATATTTAATATACATATTTAAACATTGTAAAATATGTATATATGTATTTATACTTAATTATTTCTTATGTTAGATATTTTTTTTTTTTTTTTTTACTTTTGAACAATTTTAATTTGTAGTAGGCTTGAATTAGCTTTTATTTTTGTAGCTATTTTTATACACTTACTTTAAGTAAATAGATAAAATAATAATAAAATAATAGTTCATTACGGATAGTTATTCTAAATTGGTTGAAATCTTTGTCAAAACCCAAAACTGCAAAATTATTTTGTTGTTTCATAATTACTTTACTGTTTTGATTATCAACCAGTGAAATGTACTTGAGGTATTCATCATAACAGAGGTAATTTGACTTTCATTGAATGAAATTATGCTCGAAAGTATTTAATAGCAGGACACTAAACTAATGCTTAGTCATCTATTTTTGCATCCATTTATTTTTCAGGAGAATTCAAATTTATTCTGGATTGAATTGGACAGTGAAGTGTCAGTGACGGCAGAGCACAATGAGTGTTTAGCCAAAGTAGCAGAAAAAAGAGGAGCACATTTCTAAATACAGATATTTGAATACAGGTGAAAATTTTTTCATGATTGGGATTTGATGTTGAGTAGTTACTTGGTCAGTTTCAGTTTGCTTTATATTTTAAATCTATTTTTGTATTTTGAAACTATATTTATTTTATTTTTGTAATGCTTTGTAAACACTTATTAAGGAATAATTAGTATATTTGAATCATGACAAACATTGAGCAGATTGAAAATATTTTGCTACTTAGTTAAAAACAGATTTTGGCTTTTAATGTATTTGCTTTTTGTAATGGCTTTGGATGATTAATTTTTTTAAATTGAGTACAGTTGTAATTATTATTTGTATGATATAGGCCTATGTATGACAATTTCCATAGATGCTTGAAGCCTTGGGCTTTTGTCTATTAAATTTGGATAAAAATTAGAGGTGTACTCATTTTTAAATTTACTCATCAAAGTATATGGTGTCAAAGGTGGTTGAGACAAGCCTTCCTTGGCAGTTTTCAAGAAACTCCATCAACCCCTGCTACAAATATTACAAAATACAAATAATACAAATATTACAAAATACAAATAATACAAAAAATTTATATTTTTAGCTCTCAGTGTCATAAGGAATAGGTTTGTAGAATATGGTATTATAACTACCTGATGCATGGGACTATCCCGAAATATGAATGTAGAAAAGGTTGTCAATTGCCAAAAATCAGTTTAACTTTCAGTGAGGTTTATTGTAGAATATTAAATCTTCCTTGTAGAATGTTACATCTTAGAATCCTTGAGTACATCATTTTGTAATTGGATACAATAATTTTGAATTAGAATTTATTTCATGAAGCATATACTTGAGCAGATAACTTTGTAAAACAAATACATGAAAGATAAATATTATGTTTTGAGTAATTTGCAGAATAATTGAAATATACTGTCTCTGTTATGACACAAGGGGACATTAAAAATCATGATTATTTGACAACCCACTTTGCATGTACAGGTTTAGCACATTGCAGTTGACTACCCCTTTCCTCCATACGAGTATATTTGTTATCTTTTGCCTACAATTAAGTGGGAAAATTAAAATAACACAATATTACATAACCTATTGGAAGATTAATATCTCCCCTTGTTTTAATTCATTGTGAGCTTGTTTCAATTTTTTTAGAATGTATGTATGTTTCCCTTGAACCCCTTATTCCCCTTACTCCTTTTGTTAAACTTAGCTGTCCCCTTTCTGAGAGTATGGACTTATTGATGCTCTAGAATGTCGTTTAGCCAAATAATTTTACTTGCAGTCAGAATAACAATAATCTTCTGATGCCTGCTAAAATATTTTTATAAAGCTGTATTTAATTTTGTAACATTTATACACACACTTTTAACATTGGGTACTATTCTTTGAAATTCCTCTGAAGGTTTGAATTCAAGCAGCGAAAACTAACTATGTGGTATTTGAACAACACTCAAATTTCAGTTTCAAATTCTAGTCAAACCCAACAATTTCAAATAAAATATAAGAAGGTCATTAAGTTACCAAATTGAATTACATGTTTAATATAATTATGTGAATGATATTATTTTGTACAATTTGCAAACTTTTGCTTCTAAAACAAAAATCCATCCTTTATTTTGACACACTTCTTTCATTTCTTCTTTTCAACCTGCTAGAAATTAGTCTTCAGATTCTTCATAGTCTCTTCTTCTTTCTTCAGCTAAACTATTGATTGGGTCTTTATAACAGGCAGACATCAAATCACCTAACTTTCCAGTTCCTTGAGCTTCAGCTCCTGTCAAACTTTTCCCTGTATTACTCAAATCCATATCATCATTTGCATCTAAATTATCCTGAGTCCCAGAGTTTACAAAACCTTCACATTTTAAGTCTGTTTCAGTCATGGTGTCATTTTCTAAACTTCTTTCATTTATATGACAATGATCATCACTAAGTTTACCAATATCACTAATTTGTTCATTATGTGAAGTATTATCACTACCATCAGCTCTGTTCATAGAGAGGTTTGGATCTAATTCTTGAAGTGTTAAGATGTTCAGATCAAGACTTTTGTAAGCATCATCATTGGTACTAACCAATTCATTGTCGTGGGGCTCAAGACACAAATCAGAATCAGAATTTGTTTCATTACAGATGTTGTCATTGTCTCTATTTTCAATTTCACCCACCTCTCTAAAGGATGTATCAAGTACACTTTCCGTTCTCTGTGTGTTATTTTCAATTAGATCATCAACACTTGGTTTTTTGTCTGATTTGGCAGTTGATTCCATGACAACAACTTGTGAATATTCTGGCAAGTCAGTGTCATTTTTAACATTCAATGATTCTTTGCTTAAATCTTTATTCACATTGCCAGTGAAGTCTTTACACTGAAATGGATCTACTTCCATTGCCATCTTTTGTCTCTCCTTAAGATTTTCGATTGCTTCTCGAGTTGCTAAGAGAAGGGCAATAAAAATACACTACATTAGGGCACAATTACTTTCTGGGAAAGTAAACTCGAATGAATCTTGAAAAGTTATCTGCAAGAACCTTGCAAAGAACATAATGGGTTGCAAAAACTTTGGTAAGAAGGAAAACCACATGGTATGGTTAAGATTCAATTTTGGTAACAGTAATGGCTCATACTATTTACTTTAAAGAGAGAGGAAAACAAAAAAAACATTAATAACCCCATCTCTTAAAGACCCTGTAAAACTATAATGATTATCATCCAGGACATTTATTGGAGAAAATACAGAATATGTACTGAGAACAGAACTCAGCTCTTAGCTCAAATCCAATCTATTGAATTTTGCATAAAAGATTTAGAAAATTAATTTTGATTTAAAAGAAAACAGGAACCAACCTTCAAAGGCTTCAGGGTATCTTGTATTTAACTTTTCTTTTAATGTCCTGAAAAGAGATTAAGATATTGAGAAACCCAAACTTAGGTAAAATATCAAGAGAATCTTACTCAAAATAAAAATCAGCTGATTTTCCAGATAATAACAAATAGAAAATGAACATCAATTTTTTTATAGGCATATGCTTAAAACTCAATAGAAAATGAATTATGTAAAAAATTAGATCCTAATTTTCATGCATATAGCTAATCATTAGTAATCCTCCTTAATGCAGAGACATAAACCACCAATATCATTGACCCCTATATCTTACAACAAATAAAAATGGAATCATTAGAAATTACTGGCAAAAATTAAATAGGCAGCCAGACAAGAAATTACAAAGACAGGATAGAAATGTGATTCAATATCACTCTAGCTAGTTTCTGTGCAAAAAACCCTATTTTATTATAAGGCAAATTCACCAATCCAACAAACATCAAATTAAATATAGTCTAGCATGTGAAAGGATTTGAGCATGTAGACCATTGGGAATGACCCCAAATCATTGTTATAGTTCATACTGAGAAAACAACAAACATTAATCTGTCAGGCCTTGCACTAAGCAGAATTAAGGAGCTCCATAAAACGAGCTCCTAAGAAACTCAAGACGCTCTACTTTACAATTTTGTATCAAAATGCCGTTTGATGCAGCATCTCATTATTAAACTGATGCAAATTGATGTTAATTTGCATTTTTTTCAACGAAAACGAGTCAAACGATATGGTCCAAACAGAAACGATGCATTTTAAAATATCATAGCAATTTTCAAAGATTTAACTCCCAAAATTGTTTTTGAAAGTTTGTATCTAGGATGCATGGAAAGAAATTTTTTTATTCATAAAGGTATTCTTGTAGGCGTTGCCTTAGAAGGAACAGGTTATAAAATTGAGTCATCAAAATAACAGTGGTAAAAACTCTTACATAAATCTTATAAACCAAAATAATTTGGCTATTTGAGAAGTGTGTGTATGCTTTATCAACATTATTCTCAAACAACATTGTTTTGGTGCAATATCGTTTTACATTTTCAGCCACTCATTAAATCGCTCTCCATGGCTATATTTAGGTGCACTTTAGGTGACCTGTAACATATTTCTTGCTCCAAAGAAGTTGATGAAATGTCTTGTAAAGCAGATGCTAGTAAAACCTACCTAACTCTTTGAAAAATTTGGCTTAGGTCTTCTTTCAAAGAGCAGAGCAATGTTATGTGACTTTTGTAGCTTCTCTGTAAATCAGTGAAGGTTGATTCAGATAAATTATTAAACTGATGCAGCATCTCATTAGTCTCTTCGAATTTCCGTAATCTAAAAAAGGAAGCAAAACAGGTTAGAACAGGCAGGTTTGCAAATTAAGGGTCTCAAGACAATGGTGGTTGCAGCTTCAAAGCAGTTTTTAGGAATAAGGATGAATAGGCCTTATGGCACAAAAAAATTTAAACTTGGATTTCTGTAACTAAACACCAAATCTTTCTTCAATATCTGAGGACAGTTTAAAGATTTGTCATTTGGAACTAAATAAAGGCTTTACACCTCCTCTGTAATTTAAAAGCTGCAAACAAGAGAATAATCTAAACTAGTTTTCTATAGAAAAAAACTGGTGAATTTCTAAGGCTTATGGATTACGTAGTAGCTGCAACTGCAATGAACGCTTGACTATTATTATTCATTAAAAATCTAGTTTCAATATATATTATAAAAATGAGAAAGTTTGCAACGAGTTCCTCTTACGTTTGTCTTTGAGTAGCTGCGATCGTTTTGATGCTCTCTTGCGACACAATATTTGTCCAGGTTGTTTTGAAGTCTAGTTTTTTCTCTCTCACATTCAATTCATCTTCATTCAATATTTCACCGGTTGTCTCCTCTTTCGAAGATATACTGTACCCAAATCGTTTCATTTGAACATCTCGCCTCGGCCTAACTGAAGAAGATCTAGAAGGACCGCTAGCACAGTCTGAACTGGATCTGCCTCGTTCCTCTCTATCACCTGGCTCACTTCCTGACTTTGATACCTCGAGCAATGTTCTTCTTCGCCCATTAGTAGTGTTTCTTCGAACTATTCTGCTGCCCCCAGTACCAACAATCATTTTGACATTGTTGTGAGCAACCCTTCCTTGATGCTCGAACTGAACAGAAGTGCTTTGCGCCGGAAGAGGATTTGAGATGATTTGAAAACGAGGCCTAATGGCGCGAAATTTTCAAGCTAAAGCAGAAGTAGTGAATAGATGGTTTCGTCAAAAGTATCGACACTCGCTTCTTCTTTTTTTGGGGGGGTGGGCAAAGTCGCTGCATTTTTCATTTTTGAGGGTCAAGATCGCTGCTTTTGGATTCTGTGGCAACGATTTTCCGACAGGAAGGAAGATTCAGAAAGGTATTAGAAGCTTGAAATCCCAAATTTTCCGACAAGAATGCGAATGTAGTTCCCCCTAATTTCAGCCTCTGAATCACTGTTCTGATCTTTTCTATTTTAATCAATTTTCAGGCCAATTGTCAGGGTCATAGACAACATAGATGACAGGCGTGGCAGAATCTATACAATTTGCAAAACTTTAGTGACGTAATTGGATCTTAGCAATTTGCTAGACTGTTTAAAACGGACGGCTTTTTGAGAGACTTTGGTCCATACCTACGGAGTAAACGAAATAAAATTTACAAGGTGTACTGAAATCGAATCAATCAAAGAGAAACAGTAGAAAATTGGACATTAAAAAGGCCGATAACCAAAAACATACTTTTATTTATGCTACCTAAAGAGTTTTAAATAGACGATTCAAAAGCATTTTTTATGAACATGTTGTGATATAACATATATTATTGTAATATACTTTACCTTGACACAATTATAATATCATCGACTGATTGATTGAATTAATGCCGTTTCTTGAACGGAAATCTCAAGCTCGTAACTACAATTGTTCCCTAGGAGGGTCTTGTTTTCCCCCCGAAAATTGCAAAATCCTTTTTCCAACAAAATATCTCTTCAATTCCTGTTTTTCTTGAAAAAAGGTGCCACTCTTATAGCACTGTTCGTCTTACAGTAGTAAATACTACAAAAATTGTGAAAATACACTTCATTTACGTCATTCCTGCATTGAAAGAGTCTAGAGCTGGCTTAGTCATATTTAAAGAGTTCTTAGATCGAAAGTCACTAAGGAGCTAGCTTCCTTTCTTTAATTTTTTGAGTAGTTTTTGCTTTATTCAACTACATCTTGCTGCCACAGCTGTTGTTTTTAACCCTGTTTAAGAGCTGAATCACTAGAACTTACAAGCCCCCCCCCCCCCTGTTTTTTTGATAGCACTAAAACACTAATGTGCTCCTCCAACTTTGTAATGCCTTCAACGTCCTTGCCCACGTCACTCTCCTTAGTGTCAATATTGCCAATGGTGTCAATTTTACCAAACCCATGCACTCTAGCCAGAGCCGCGGAGAGGAATTTATGGGCCCCGGGTCAGGAAAAAAGTTGAATAGCAAAGCATGACTAAAGCAGACGCTTCTTGGGGGTATGGGGAATGCTCCCCAGAAATTTTTAAAAATGATGATTGCTTAAAATGCTCGGTTGGCTATTTTGGTTCCTAAAATTGCCATGGTAGCTGAACTACTCTGGTGGCAGTGGCGTAGATAGAGGGGGTCAGAGGGAGCAAAAGTTTTGTTATATTAAAATTTATGAAAATAATATTAATGCTTGTTAGATTTTTGTCGGAAAATCTAAGTTTCTCACCCCTCCTGTGAATTAGAAAGAAATAAAAAATAACAGGTTCAAGATGATACATTTTTAGTTATATAATTTACTGTTTATTCTGTTTCCTTCCATATCGCGCTGCTTCATTCTATCTAGTATCTCTCACTTCTTAAATACGATCGAAATAAAATGTACGCATCGAATATCATACTTACCATACTTGATCCATTGTTTGATCTAATTTGAGCATAGCTGATATCTTAACACCATGATGAATAAAAATGAAAATTTCTTAGAAATTCTAAAAGTTTTGAAAATGGAGAACGCTCAATTCGTTAACTAAATTGAACCACAACCGACATACTGTTGCAAATAGATGCGCATTTCTGTTTGTTGTCCTGTTGCAGTCACAGTTTTGGTAAAATTCAGAAGCTTTTGAACTTCTTTAGCCCAAGCTCACAAAGATGAGAAATTCTTAAAAAGAATATATTTAACACTCAGGCAGTCAACGACTTCATAGACTTTTGTCATTATTGTCTCTTACATAGTTTATGTTAATAGAGAGGCTGGGTTATCACTTAGAAATCTTTTTCAATTGAGTTATTATTGATAGATCCCTAAATTCAAGGGCACCCGGGTCAGTGATCCCCCCTGACCCCTCTCTCCTCTCTCCTGAATTTAGCCAATATCTCTTGATCTGTAATTATAGACTAGCCAACAACAGCTCCCGGCTGGAAAGTCTTTGAAAAACACTGATCTAAAAAGAACACTTATCTATAGAAAACCACTGATCTTGATCTAAGAAAGTACAGGTCTCAAAATTGTGCGATTACGGAATCGATATTGAGGCTGCTGCAAAACAAATTGGCGGGAACAAGGTAAACGAGACTGTTCCAAGCGGTGGGATTCATTTTTATGTCAGCGCTGTCTGTCTTACAGTATGTTCAATGTTCGGTGTATATAAGGACGAAAGTTAAACTACTTGCAGAATTTTCGGTCTTTTCAAGTTCTTATTCCAAGTTATCTATTTTCCCTCTGTGTTCTCACAAAATGCTAACATGCAACGGACCAACAGTACTGGCAAAGAAAGGGACCCAAAAAGGAGAAAGACCTCTAAAGGAAATGCAATACGAAGCTCAAATGTTGTTAAGATGTTTATCAATAAGAAGAAGAGTGAGAAAAAGTCCGAAAACGTTCCGTGTCCAGCTTGTAATACCTTTGTTCCCTTGAAAAGCATAAACGAACACTTGGATAAATACTGTGGACAAGAAGGGCAAGAAACGGTAATTGGAGAAACTCGTTTCAAACCAGAAAAAAGGAAACGTGAAAATATTATTGTAATTGATGATGATTGTGAAAGCGATGATAAATCAAACAATGAAAGCAAAGACTTTTGTAAAGAATCCAACTATAGCAAGAAAAATAGCACAAGCCCTGAAAATTTGGAAAATTTTAACGTTTTAATAAGATCAAATTTATTTAGTGAATCAGAAGGCATGGATAAAGAGCTCTTGGCATTTAGAAAAGGGCTGAACCCTTTTAGAGGCAAAGATGTTGTTGCGGAGGGAAAAACTAAAAATAGTGAGTCATGCAGCCACTCAGGGACACCTGACTCTAATAAATCTCATTGTAACAAGTCAAGTATGGTATTTGTTGATGATTCAAGTATGACTTCACTTGGTGATTGTGACAAAAGTGCCATCAGCAATTGCTCAGGTGATGTTTGTAAGTTAGAACCTGGTACAGAAAGCATCTCAAAGACATTAACTGCAAGCCAGCTGCAAATGAATACGAATGAAAATGATTTAGATGAGGGTGCTAACCAGGAACAGATGGCAGCCAGGCATAGTTTGGAAGAATCTAAAAGTGACAGTGACTTGCAAGCAGAAATGACAGAGAAAAGTTTTGAGCCATATTATTGGGAGAATTTTAACTTTGTTGTAGATTCAGTTTTAGATGAGACTACAAGCTTGGAACTATTTAGTTGTGAAGATACTGAGTTAATAAAAAAATTTAAATCAACAAGTCAGCTAGCACAGCAGTTGTACGTAAGACTGTTTCTCAGAAAGCATGGCTGGTTCAAGACAGACAAGATAAAATACCCTAAGATAGGGGAAGATTTGAAGCCAATGATCACAGAGCTGATAAACACAGGTATGGCTAATTTAATGTGTCTCATATCACAAATGATCAATGGTTAGATCTTAAAAGCAGAAGACTGTGCTCTGGTTCAGGTTCAGGTTCATTATATTTTAAATTCCACAACATACATTTCCACAAAATACTAAAATAAAAATACAGCAACATCATTCAGCAAAAATACAGCAAATATCAAACAATCATTATAAAAATAAGATATGGAACACAAATTATCTGTGGGATATGTATGTATGGGGAGTTATTAAAAAGAGGAACTCTCTCAATAGCAAAGCTAATTGAAGAGAGAGGCCCCTTATACATTAAGATATTTCAGCACTTCAAAGATATCAAAATAAATAATACCGAAAATGAAACTCCAATTTATGTAAGTAGAAAGTGAAAAACAGTGTGAAAATTTTTAAGGATTAGCTCTTGAAAGTAATTTATAATAAAACAAAATATTTATATCCACTTACTATGTGCCACGGTACAGTGGTTGAAAACACTGATTTGGAGAAGCTAAAACTCTGAAAATCACCATTCATACATGATTTAAAGAGAATTTAGACAATCTTAATAATGTATGAAAAAATAATTCACCCAGACAGCAGAAAGAAATTGTGAAGGCTATCAACATTTATTATCTTATATTAGAAGGAGTCGATATCCCCAATTGTTAATGACTACCCATGATTAAAAGTTGAGTATCAAGATTTGTGAAAGCTTGTCTGCTATTATTTTTGCCTATGTTAGATTGCTTTTGTAGTTTATGTATCTTTTCCATTAATTCATTTTTTGCAAAATCCTGCTTAGAACAACAAAAAGGTTTTTGTAGGTAGCTTTCATTGAGTACACATTTACATCTTTGCTTGATGCCTTCTTTGTAATTCATCAACATTTTGTCATATTCTGTTTTTATGTTCCATTTTACCATTATCTCCAGGATTTTTGGATGATAAAAGCACCCTGGAGGATCTAAATGAGATTCTTAACATCATGTCTGCTCCTGAAGTTCGTTCCCTAGCCCAGCTCTACCACTTGCTCAAGGATCGTAATGGAAAAAAGCTGTCCACAAAAGAGGAAATGATTATTGTAATTCTTAATCATGGAAATAACCAAAGAAGTGTGAAGTCATTTTTTGTGAAATCAAGTCATACTGTGAATACCATGAAAGCAGGCATGATTAAAAAGTAAGCTTTGTTTATTCTTAAATATTTTGCCATTTTGCCACTTTTTAAATCTTTCATTAACTAGCATGGTTGTAAAGGGAGAGGGAAGGGTTCAAGAGGGAACCGTTGTACTTGCATCCAAAGTAAAGAGGGCTTTTACAGGTCAACAAGACAGCAATACTAGTGCTGATTCTCTCAGTTATGACATATGAAAATGTTCTGTTTTGATTTTTGTTTTCGCAGGAACATAAAGAGACTTTATAGCTGATTTTTCAGTTTTTGCTCTGATTTCTTGCTCCATAGATCCAAATCCTTGCTTGGTGACTGTGTCAAAATCTCTGAAAAACCAAGAGAGTTATTTTCCCGATGCTTCTCACTTTTTACTTACATGAACTTCTACCTGTATGAAGATGGCAATACAAAGTCAAATCTTATGTAAGTAGTTTTTTTGTGTGGGTGTATGATAAACTGAGTACACTATGTAGTGGGTTGAGACGAACACGTACATCCATCTATAGGTGTATACTTATTTTTTTTAATTCAAGGGTTTCAGTTAAAAATAAAAGCCTGTAGACTCAAAGTGCTTCTTTAAAATCATCAAGAATTTTTCAGTGACTGAATCATGTTGTGTTTTTTGCACTGTTATTCTGTAATATATCATCAATCATAAAGTAAGCTTAAGTGTTTTCAGCATATTTAGGCATATAAGACAAATATTTAGGTATATGTAAACTTTCATGAAGATTGCCCATCTAGTTAAAGGTAAAGGTCGTGATTGAGGGGCAAATCACTCTAAGAAAATCTTGTACACCTTTTGTGAAAATCCTATTGCTTTATCTGAAAATCCCCAGAAATCTTTTTGTTTTAGGCAAAATCTCGTCTGATGTTTGCAAGAGTGAATCACCCCTCTGTTGTGCTCTTGGGGGGGGGCCTTGGCCCCCTCAAAAGTCTTAAGTGGCATAAGTGAAATACTTTTATTTTGTAAAATATGGCTGTTGTTATACTGGTTTATCAGGGTTGCCCCCCCCCCAAACAGAAAGTTGTATTTCGGTCTTTGCTTTGGTCATTGCCATTGATGAAGAGAAGAACCCTTATCATTGCCAAAAAGTTCTTTTCAGAACCGTTTTATTTGAATGAGTTTAATGATAATTTGTTTGTTCAGTTACAGAATTCTACAAATCAAGAAGGGAGAACTGATTTTTCCATCATACAAAATCACAAAATCAGCTACAGTATTCAAGAGTAGAGATGACGTCATCAATTACAATGAGGCGACTCAAACTCAAGAGGAATTTTATCTTGCAATGGAAGACAAAGACTTTGATAAAGCGCTAATACTTTATCAAAAGGCAAGAAAGGAAGTGGACAATATATTTTTGAAATTGCAATCTACTGATGGGTTAAAGGTAAGGATTTTTCACATTATTATTGATAAAAGTTGCTTTCCATAGTAGTGTGATTTCTTGAGATTTCTTGTCATTATTAATCAACTTATTAATGGAATATTTTGTGTTGTATCCAGAATTCTCAGAGAGTTAAAAATCCTCAATCGTCATTTTTATGAATTTTTTAAGCGATCCATTTTTCAGCTTAGTCAGTATTGTTTTTCCAAGAACTTTTATGATAGTAGCAAAATAGTTTTAGCCATTGTTGCACATTACAATTTAGGATAACATTCCATATTCCAGTTGTTTCCCCCAAAGCTTTTAGTATGATTAAAACAGGAATGTAATTTGTATTTGGCAGGGCGGCATGTTCCCCCTACTTTTATATCTGTCTACATTTGGTATTTTTCATTTGCGATTAGAATTTTTTTCCAAATTTCACTCTAAGCTATTTCCTCGAGATTCTCATGAACCCAAGGTCTATATCACGTTTTTTTATTCTTTGTTTTTTATTCTTGTGCCCTTATGACTTTGCAATGTTGAATGATGATCACCTGAAGACCAACATCTAGTCTTGCTTCAATTTATTGACAAAAATGTTGTGGAAACTACGACAGGAATGTTGTAGAAACTACGACGGGGAAGAGAAACTCGAAATTTTTAAGAAAGCGTGCCGTGCATAGCTTCATTAATTATAAGATGCGCAAAACGGGTACGAATTCTCAAACTGACTTTTCACTATAAATTGCTTGTTGTTTTCAAAGCGCTTGCAACCCTCCAACCCAAAGCCTTCATTAGTTACACAGGTGATATAGATGTAGCAAGCATTTCAAAAGCAGAGGGGGCACATGTAGGCAAAAAGTGCACCTCCGTGAGTTATCAATAAGTACTTTACCTCTGTTTCTGCTGATGTGTTACAGGTTAGAGTTAGCTGTAATTTATTGAGACTCGAAACTGACTCATGATCATAAGCTAATTACAGCAAAACACACTAAACAGAAGCAACATATATTAATATAGTAATGTTCTACAGTCCAGTCCTATTACAGATAGGGTGGGGGGTGGAGTGCCCCTTGAGCCTTCTGGTTCCTACATCTACATGTATGAATACTGATAAAGTTTATTTTGTGTTGCTTTGATAACCAGACTGGTGGCTCTTTAATAATATTTTTTTCTTAGATCAGGTCAACTGAGTTGCCTGTACATCTTCGCAAATTTTCACCAGAATGGATTTACTTCCGCATATGTTGCAAGTCGGTTGAAGCTTTAGAGAAAAAAGGCTGTTATGAGGAAGCAGTGAATTTAGCAAGGTTGATACTTCTGCAAAGCAAATATTGTCTACGATCAAGAGGGGCATTGTGGGAACGATTGGTTATCGACACTGAAAGATATCTTAAAGATCCGAGTCAGGTTGGTGTCACGTTTTAATTTTGATACAAATAATATTTATACGTTACGCTCGGGTACTATATGAATGACATGCAAATCATTCACTTCTGTTGGCCTTACGCATAGAAGCAATGTGTCCCTGCTTACCAAGCTGTCTTGACAATTTCTCAAACAGCTGTTTTCATCCTACGTTCAAGCCTGCAAGGCTATTATAATTTTTTTAAGATCTATTTTTTATAGCTAGAAATTTCTAATGCTTTATTCGTTTGGAAAAAATGAAAGAAGAAATTCCAGGGATTCTCTAAGATACAGAGTAGTTACACCATCAAAAATCTAGTCAAACTCTTCCTTTACTCAATTCCCCAAATATCCTAGAATTTACTCAACTATATAACCTTTGGATCTTGTAATATCACGGGGTCCCGCTATTAAAATTTCTTTAACGAACCTTTCACTATTACGAATAGGCAGTTTTAACTCTTAGAGCACTTCCTGTATAACGAACCCTTGGTATAACTCAACCACGCTATTACGACATTTGTTGTCTCTACGGAGCTGGCAATGACAGCATTCCACTATAATTTTTTGGCTGTCATATTTGTTACTAGCTTACTTAATCTTAGTTTTTTTGTGATTTTAACAGAGTAACAGAAATATAAAAAAAGAGCTCTCTAAGGGTATACTCAAGATGGTTTTTGCTGCAAAAGTTTCATCATTTTATCTGTATGCAGGCCTTTGAAAAATTCTTAAAGTTGTAGTCAATATTTCTTAGGCACTTGAATATATCAAGACAGCGATTGAAGATCCTTGGGTTCGAACAGGAGTCAGGCTGAGTCTTTTTCAAAAAGCAAAGCGGATCTGCATGGCATTAAAGAATAAACATTTGAAAGCGAGAATTTCTGAATTCGAGGCTGAGCAGCTTGATAATGTTAATGAGGTGTGGAAGAATTCTTTCTTGCTATTTTAAGCTGGATAGTATCTTTATGGTCAGGAATGTCTCCTTTAAAATTGAAATTAAAGTATTTGTTTTATATGAACTTTTTTCATTTTTTCCTACAGGAAATAGTGGATGGAGAACCAAAAAGTATTGACTAAAACTTACGTTATTATAACTTTCTTTTAAGAAATGCATTTATAGTGAAATAATCTGCTACGAAAGAAAGCCTGTTGTCTAATACACGAAATCCATTGCTAAGAAAAAACTGACTTTCTGAAACAGTTCTGTTTTTGTTCCTGTGGTATTATTGATGATAATTAGGCTCCAAACTCTTCAATTATCTTATAATTTCTGAAAGAAAACTTTACACAGAATCTTCGTCTACAACCCTTAGTTTGAATCTTCGTCTAAATACACATGTAAGTGAGAGGTCCTTGAGATGTTCCAGAAGATTCTTTTTCTCTCTCGATGCTTGTCCCACCTCACTCAATCTTTTCGTATTGAAAATCTTTCTTTATTAGCAGATATAATGTCATACCAAAGTTTAAGGTATCCATTGGGCTAGTTAAGCCCTCTTAGAAACCGAGAAATTATGGTTTCTATGATGATATCTGATTGATGTTTAGGGTTTTCACAACTAAGAAGAGTTTCAACAACATTAATTCTTCAAAACAAAACCCCATTCTAAAACCATAATCAAAAGGCTCCAACATAATTTTCGAAAAATTTTCATGATAATAATGGAGACTTTTCATTTTGAATTCCAGTGAAAACTACAATAACAAATCTCACTGTTACGTAGGTAGTTTGTAACTGGCTAGCCTGTTTTCACAAAATAAAACTATTACAATCGTAGTAATGAGAAGAAAACGAAACGTTAGCTTTGGCGAGTAGCTCTGGGTTAGTCCAAGTTTTGCTCCTACAGCAGAATATATAGTATGTGGTGCGAATGGTGATGCTTGAAAGTTTGAAGATGAGATAGCGTTTCTGTTGATGATCAATGGACAAAAAGTCACACATGTCGATGAAAGAGAAAAATAATTACATTATTTATACAGAAAGGTCTCATCACTAGAGTGTTTTTCAGAGAGGTACTGTTAGTGGATAACTCTTATACATTGCGACATAATTGTGATGTTAGCTTATTGTGATATAAAATTTGGGTTTTTTTTAGTTGACAATATCAGCACCAGTCTTCCTCGATACTTCATCCAGCAATCGAACGATTTTTCTAATGGAGGGCGGAGATAAGACGGGAAGACAGGAATATTCAGCCGTAGAAGAATACACCCTGTCTTATTTCAAAGAGCAAGGCTACCCTGAAGGAGTCCACGGCGAAGGAGCTCCGTACACATTTATCTTTACGTTGCTGTTTTGGGAAATCATTTTCATGGATTTTGAAGATGTTTTTCATGGACCATTTCAGGTAAATATTATCAAACGATCAAACTACCATTAGCATTGGCGCACAATATTATAATTTTACACATTTTAAGTAGCATCCCTACTTCCCTCTTGAAAATTATTGACTACAGTTTCAGAGCATTGCACTCGACGCTATTTTGGGGTAAGGGGATGCGGTTATTTCATCTACAATTGGAGGTTGTTAGTTTTTGCAAAGTGTCGTTTGACTACAGAGTTTTCAAAGGCAAAGAATGTAATATTTGGTGAAGATGGTTGGTCTGTGCAGAGTAAGAAATCCACTGCCCCTCAAACAATCGGCAGTAGATAGGTTTAGCCCTTGTCAGTGCTCATCGACACAGCTAGACTGCATGGGGGACAAAAGCTAACACTAGTCTGTCAGAGGCAATGTCATTGAGAGGTACTGTCAGAAGGAAAGAAGAATAGTACATTCTCAAAGACGCCAACGTTTTTTAAAAGAAAATCACCGCAAAGCAATGATGCTATGGGCTTTGTCAGACTGTAGCCATCCCACAGGGTCGCAGTAAATAGTGTAAAGTTGTGGGTCTGTCTTCCCTTGGTCTTTTAGTACGTCATACTAATAGCAATGGCTTGCAGCACAGAGCAAAGGGGAACAACACACATGCTTTGGAAGAAGAGATACTTTAGATTCGTTTTTTTATAAAACTAATTGTAACTAGAGATTCTGTAGGGGCTTTGGGTAGGGATTGTATTAAGTCACATTTTTTCAATCAATTTTCTAATCTAACAACCCACTCACCGGTTTTATTCACTTGACACCTTCCCATTGATAAACTCTTACCGAAAATTAAATATTCTGGATAATTGTAATGGTATTGACTGTCTTTCGAATTTGCAAGAGCAAATTCTGTGCATGTTTGAAGCTTGTTAGTAATCTTCTGTTTTGTGATAATAATTCTAATTTTATATTATTTTTGGCTACAGTTAGAAGTAGAAAGATGGGTAAGAGTCTTCCATTAAAATTTGAGCATACAGATTAAGATTTCTTTAATTTTTTGTATAATATGAGTTCGATTTTTCATTTGTGATTTACATTTCTTTACTTTCTTCCAGGGATGTCCGCTTGATTTCTATACAGATAATTTCTATGAAGCAAGAAAAGACCAAATTGATATAAAATTGCAGGAATTACGAAACTGTACAAAAGAAGTAAATATAATGTTTGCTGTTATTTTTTAAGTAGATTACATTATCTGCGAATCGTTGAGTTGTTTAATTATTAATTTATGGTTATTTATAATAATTATTAATGGTTAAGCTACGATGTCAATTTATGTAAAAATTGACTTGAAACGGATATTCGAATAGTTCATGCTATGCTACAATCTTGGCAAAAAATAGCTGAGACTTTTTTTCAAAAAGTGAAGTCACATGTCTTTTTATTATATAACATGCTCTGGTTAACCACACCCCCTTCCCCCCGATGTCAATGTTGGGTTTTATGATTGCGGTATAGCTGGGCATGAACGCGAGCAGAATTACTCTCATCACAACATTGGGGGACGGGGGCAGGATGATTTGAAACTAGCTCAATTTTCTGCGAGTGTCTCAGCATTTTTTGCCAGGGGTGTAGGCTTGTTTGAAACGTAATGTCAGCAATGGACCTACTTCTGTATTTTGTGTTGTGTTTCACCAGTCTATTCGTAGAATTAGGTATAACTCCTTTTTATATCTACTTCTGACTCTCTTTATTTTTTTTACTTCCGTTTATACTTCTGTATACAAACTAGTTGAGATTGTTTTATTTGTTTTTTCATTGAAGGAGCTGGCAGCAAAAGTAGAAGAATCTTGGTCAAAACACGAAGGACAAGTCTGTGTTGCATCAAACTGGAGTTTGTTCAATAGTTTACAACAAGTTCAGGTATCTTCATTTTAGTGGCCATTTTGATGATTAACCTTCCTTATTTTCTTTATTAATTGAAAAAGGGCTAATAGTCAAACAAATTTTTTTGCACGTTGCTTCTTGTAAACAGTTTTCTTGTGAAAAAATATTTATTTACCACCCTTCTTGAAGAGCTTGTTTACCTAGAATCCTCTAATTGATAAAATAGTCTTTTGCTTTATTATCAAGTTTTTCCTTAGCTGAATTTCATTTATGAAATGTTGGTTTCCCTTTTCAACTTAGCCTCTAATCTGCTATCTTCAGCCTTTTCATTAATGTTCTTTAACTTCCTGCCACCTTTAAAAATTGAATCACACTGTTGCTTTAAAATACCTGTTTCATAATTCTGGAAAAAACTGTACTAGCCATCAAGTTTGATTAAAAATATCTGTGCAAGTGTTATGGTCTACGTCACCTAGAAAGCTGTGAAAAGGTATTAAGATAAACGCAAAACACATACAGAATAACGTGCATTTTAAACCATCATCTGTATCTGTTTACATGTATCAAATTTACCTCAAATACAGACAATTTCACAACTTTTTATTTTTGTAGCAATACTCATAAACTCACTTGTTCTAGTTTCATTTGATTTCAGATGCTTATTTGGTTGTAGCGATATTTCCAATATTATTTTTAAGGGTTTGGTTTCTTGCTTAAGTGGTCAAATAGTCGCTGGTATTTGTGAAATATTTTGCAAAGACTACAGAAATCGGTGTAGTGGAATGCCTGACCTTCTCGTTTGGAACCCAGAAACACTGAAATGCAAAGTAAGTGCTTGCAAATCTCACCTGACCTGCAGATAGAACGTTTCATACCGTATTTTATCTGTTTTCTTAAATTCAATACAGAAATCAATCCATGCTGAAATTAAAACTTTTCTTTGAATCGATCACCTTGTTAGTTTAAAAAGAATCCAATTAAAGATCATAGAAAAGAAACAAGCTGTAATTTATCAAGCCTTGACTGACATCTCAAATGCTATTTTCAATTTAGCTTCCCTTCTTCTCTTCGTTTTGGGATATATCCGCCAGATTCTTAAATTCCCTATCTCTTGGCTGGGGAGGCTTAACCATCCAGACTCTCTATGTGCTTTATTGTATTATATAGATTGCTGTGGGGGGGGGGGGAAGGGGGGGTCATTGCTATGTTATGCATTTTGTATACATACATACTTCCATCTTTTTATGAAATGATGTGGATTTATATTGATATTTTGTTGTTGTCACCCGTAGGCCGTCGAAGTTAAGGGGCCTGGGGACCGGTTGTCAAACAAACAAATTATCTGGTTGAATGTGCTGACATCTCTTGGTATGGATGCTGGAGTTTGCTATGTCAAAGGTGATCATTATCATAATCCACAGTCTTTCATAAGCAGAGGAAACCTTAAATATGATTCGTCTTATATTTCTTTTAAAAAATGTCTGTGTTTTTGTTTTTCATTGTTTGGCTTGAGTTTCTGTTCTATGTAGTTTGCAAACATCGCGGAGTGAATCATCCTTGATTAGCAATCAACATTAAATGCAGCCTCTCCTCCCTTAACTTTACAAAACAAATTGACAACCAAGCGGTTCAAGAAGATCACAGAATATCTGGCAGCAGGTTTGCAAACAAAAAGGAAGCAGGCCCCTTGATTTTTGTCGCTACTGCGCCTTTCGAATTCAGTATGTCAGAATTGGTTATGCGTGTAGCATTGTTTATCTGCGAGGGTGCATAGATTATAGGTTAAATATCTGTTCATTATACTATCCATCGCTTTTTGAGGTAACAGCTGGCATGAATTACGTCATCTGGCAGACGGTAGTTAGATTGCGTGGAGTTAGTTATCTTTCTTTTGATTTTTGCGGTGAAAGCTCTGATTTCTCATTGGTAGATTTCTCTTAATCTGCAGGTGTTGGTGGCAAGAGGAGAAGGTTGTCCAAAGATTAATTTCGCTTGCAAGGTATGATCTTACGTCAGTTCACAAAGCAGCTATGAGGTTGGCATTAATCATAGAATGATTGACACGGTCAATATTATTGCTAGTAATTGCCTCGCCCTAGCTTTGTTTTTTAAATCACAGCTGTAATTTTAAAATTTTAGTTATTAAATACCTGCTATTTCATGATTGCTGTTTATAGCTTTATTTCCAATTGCCTTGAAACAATTTATTTCCTAAACGCTACCTCGTCCACATCGGCAGACGTCATTGCAATTTCTTAGGACAGGGTAGGGGCGTCATCAGTCTGAGAAAACTGGGGGTTGGCAAAAAATTCTCGACCACGCCTTTGAAGTATTTTTTACTTTTTTAGAAATTTTTGTAAAGGGAACTTTCGTAAGCAGTATTCTTCGTAACATGGGTTTTTTGAAAGAACGAAAATTGAGATCGAACTTCACAAGGTTTTTCAACAGATTTCAAGAAAATAGATAATCGACATCGGGGAAAACTGGGGTGCGCATGTCCACCCTAGTCCTCCCCGGGGCGACGCCACTGGAACAGGGGTTAATCTTGTTTGCTAATAAAGCTACATATTTATTTCACATGGTTATACCAACATTGACGTGTAAGCTCACTCCAAACAAACATCTTGGCTGGAGTTAGGGATGCAATTTGTGAAAGCAGAAATGCTTAATTTAATTATATATATTCTCCTCTACCCAGATCCTATCCCATGTTAACAACTCTTTTGATGACTATTTGCATTGGGCTCAAAAAAGGGCTTTTTCGGTTCATCGGGACTTCTTCAGAAGCTCGCTTTTCGATCGTCTTTTAAATCATATCTCCAAAAACGGTATCCTTGGCCTACTTCTGCTGAGTCGTGAACTCATTTATTGTGACTATGAAAAGTAACTACTAGATGATGATAAAGCCAATTTAGCTGACTCAAAGGGAAATGTTTAAGCTTCTTGCATATTTTCAACTTTATGCTGTGTACCTGCTCATGGTAGGAGCTAAATCAGCGGACTGCCTATGCATTCGCTGTATGGGCTATTGGCATTGCCAAAAAAGATGTTTTTACATTGACGCCAAAATCTTCAAAATTCATTTTTAGTCTATATTCAGTTTACTCCAAACGATGCATAGCTTGCATAAATCTAAATTTCAAACATCAACTCTTCACACCCCTAATAATTTGTGTCATCCACAAAAAACATTTTTTGATACCACGTGGATTGATGTCATGTTCTATAAGGATACCTGATCAATATTTTCTACAACTTGGCCATAAGTGCTAAATGCAGTTTAATGTGACATCATAAGTATAATGTATATGTGTAACTGCTTCATTTACAGATGAGAACTCTCCAAGTTCTGTATAAAAATAATTGTCCTTCGTATTGATAACGCCTGGCCTAAAGTTCTTTCCATGTCGTCAGCTTTGCGTTGTCTCACTATTGTGTGCATCAGTTGCTTCCTCCTCCTCCTCAGTATCTACTCTAGCATTTTTCTTGTTTGCTTTATTTATAGAACTCATAACTATGGAAATTCGCTTGTTCATTCTCCTCCAACTAACCCAATATTCAGATGTATACGTCACAACCGTTAGTGCTATACAGCCAATAAGGAACCAGAAGAGGCCTAATCCGAGCCCGGTCATAGAAACAGCTAGAACCGAGGCCGGAATGTGTTCTGATATCAAGCCAATGTAAGCAGCCGCCAAAAACTGGAAAATGAAAGTGATGTAGACGAGAATCGTGACAATAATTAGGAACACGTCTTCCCCCTCCATTCTGCTGAACTGTATCTGCAAAATAAAGATAAAACTTTCCAATACTGCTCTGCTTTTTTCATTTTGAAACCATTTTAACAAATTTCTGAGTATTTTTATAAATTCACAAAATTATAAACGATACAAAATTAGAATTTATCTTTGGTTAGCAAAGAAAATTGTAAACGGTTAAATGAAATTTTCTTTCTTGCCAATTTCTAAAGGACTCATGTAATGGTTACTCCACCTTGAATCGTTTTAATTCCATTCATTGCTGTGCAAATATCTACAGATTTTCATACACTAACTTTAATGGTTATAATTTTACTTTTAAATCATTCATATCATGACTCTTTCGTTTTCAGATTCTAGGTAGATCATAAATTGAATTTTAAAGATTATGATCTAAAAGTATCTACTATTTCGTAGCATGGAGATAGCATTTCATAGCAACAGTCTCTCGCATTCATGGCTTAAATTAGCCTTCTTACGTTTTGGATTTGGCTATAAAGATCATTTTTGTATTTTTCATATTAAATGAGATATTATTCAAAATTTCGGCTTTGTACCCTTCAGTTAAAATGAGACTACATTTAGAAAAAAGAGATTTGAAAACCTTACTTTTGTTATTGATTTATATTTCTTTTTGGTGATAAATTCATATTTGCACAAGTCGCAAGTGCTTTGTTTCCTTGTAGTCAGCCATTGTTCTAGACACGAACGATGCACATAGGCCAAAGACCCAGAACACCAACAAGGGCTTATTAGAGGCTCCTTCACAATCCATCCCAATGCACCTCCAAAGCAGTAACGACATTTCATTTCGTTTGATTCACTAAAGCAGCTTTCTACGTCAACGCTACTATTTATGCGTAAGATGTTGGGCTCTCGTTCTGGAGTTGCCTCCTGTCGACTGACATTTGACTCGCCCCTGTCAGTTGATGGGTATTGCTTCAGTCTTGGGCTATGCGCCGTCTGCTGAATCCGGCTGTCGCTTGACGACTGAATTGTGTATTCGAAGTTCGAAGGCCTAAGAAAATGTCCGAAGTTCGTTGAGCATGATGGCGTTACTATATCTGCTGATCTATTCAGCCGGATTCGATCCGGTGATTGGCATATTGCAAGTCTGTTTAATGGTCGATGTATCAGCGGTCTCGAAACCTCATTAAAGGTTGAAACATTTTCCATTGTCTCTTCGTCGTTCACAGAATCCCAGTTGTCTGTCTTGTAAAATATGGAATGTGATACTCTAGAAAACAAGGTGATTTATCGATTCTATTGTTTGATTTTACCTGACGTCACAATCAAGAGCTAGTGAAGACGATTTTAAACTGAGAAAGGTTTTTGAGACAATGATAAGAACTGAACTGATTTAAAACTTATTTTAGCGCAGTTATTAAGATTTGGAGATTATATTCGAGTTTAAAGAAAAATAAGAGCAAAAACTAAGTGTAAGGGTTATTTTAAATAGGCTTGTCTTTAACTTGCACTTTTCGAAGCAAATTCACGATGTTTTTATATTCACCATTATTCAAGCATCCCTGATAAACCACTGTATTAGAAATGACCAGGGCTAATTTGGCTTTAAACATACTGTACACATGTCTTGCGTTTTGCAATAACCCCCTTTATTTTGCCAAATGCATTGTTTTCTCTCCGTTCTGCAGTTGGTTTTGGGTTTACTCTTTCTGTGATGCAATCAACGCTGATCTCAAGCGATGACTCATATATTATAAGAAGAACGGTTAACATTCCTAAATAAATTGGGGCTGTCCGAATGAAAGCAGCTGCTATGTGAAACATGAAAGGTCTTGATTGAATATTTCTGGTGACAATGGTGGGATGTGAAGTTTCATTTGCGCCCACTTCCCTTTACTCCATCCTGTGACATAATTGAGATAAAAAACCTTTTTTAATCTGTAAGTTATTTAGATAATAAAAACTACATTGAAATAGATATGAGCGGCAGCTTTATGATGTGTTTTATGAAAATTAATTGATTTCTGTAATGTATTTTATTAACCTTCAATGTATTGGATTCCGCCTTGCAAACCGTCACTGTTTCTATCTTCTTTTACGAAATAAAGAAGATATGGTTTGAAAAAATAAAGGTTTACGCGTGGCCTATACAATGCTTAACTTGTTATATTTGAATAAAATGTTAGGAAATTCGGATCTGTGAATGCATCTGTTGGTTTATTTTGATATCGCCCAACTGATTGGAAAGTTTCGCGTGAATCGTGATAAGGTGCAATGCAAAATGATTCGATATCAATTTAACATTCAGCTTTTATCAAAACGCAAGATAAATGCATGTTAGGAGATAAATAGAACTGGTTGCTGACAAGTTCAATCTTCTTGTTCAATTCTGTTTGTTTCCAATTTTGATAATCCGTTCATTAGCGGCAAAATATTTGATTTGCCGCCTTTTGTTCCGTTGCAAGTGATTTTGAGTTCATTAATACCGACCGCATGTTGTTTGCAATCAGTTTAAAAAGTGCATTAACTCCAAATGTCCTGTCAACTTAAATTTTATTCAGTTTATGGCATTGTGAGCCTATTAGCAGCTCAAATTGTGATAACAAGGTATTAGTAAAATCCTTCGCACGAATTCTTAATGCCGTTGATTATTTTATAGACCATTTGTATTCGAGAAAGGCAATAATATGATAATTTTCGTGTTTGTAGTCATCACAAAAGAAAGAAGATGAAATATTCACGTAGAGCACAGGCGGCTGTCAAGGCGTCCTTTAGTTTTGCTGCTTTCGTTTGTGACGTCCTCCGTGGTTCGTTGTTCTTATTTTTTCATTATTTGTTTTTATTTCTGTGTTTCACCAGATTTTTGTCATTGAGAAAGTGTAATTTTTCTTAATTCTCTTTTTATCAATCGAAATTGCTTATCATTATATGAATCTACTTATGAAACTAATTTAAAATTTATTTGATAGGCCTGTTGATGATTGTTTAGGCTATTAATTGTTTCATTAGAAAGGTTGACTCTCATGACTTCACCACGGACTTTTGTCCACCCTGAGTATACACAATTATATTCATATGTATGTAAATATATACACCTCCATAGCTGCTTCTGTGATACGGAAAATTTTGTCTTAGTAAATACGTTTATCGATTGTTTACTTTCTCAAATGTTTCTTCACCCTAAACTCGTGGTCTTCTGGTCAGTTTGCCATGGTTTCACACACAACATTTTGTGACAACATTTTGTGGTGTAGCTTAGCTCTGACAATCATTGGTTCTTTACACAACCACCCCCGTTATTAAAGAATAATTCTTAAAGCAATGGTTAATGGCTGATAAGAAAAAGGATGCATTTTGTAATCAGCTGTCTCGCCTTGTCTGAGAATATGTTGTATTCATGTTTTCTGTATATGTTATGACTTCTGACGTTTTGAAGTTTGAGTCGCTCGTTAAATTTGTAGTTGGCCTAGTGGCGGCACATGAATTCATTGCCGGTCCTGAGATTAAGATCAAACTTTTATTACTGAAAGGAAATAGGTGCATGATAGTGTTGTGGTTGAAACAAAAAACATAGTGAGAAACTACTGACCCACAAGTGCGTCCAGATCGTCTTTCTTTGAAGTCATCAGAACTGGAGACATCCTGGCAACTTGCGGAGTTCAACTGTACTGCATTGGAAGCCTTCTTTAGCAGATATCGACCATAATACTCGGCAGATCTTGAAGAAACATCCTGAGTATTCCTGAACATGCTTCACAACTGGTTGTCAGGGCTGTTCTTAGAGCTTATTTTGCACATGGCAGGTCATTAATAATTCATCGTTCTATATCTTTTCAAAAGAAACAGGGGGTGAAAAGAATTTATCAAAACCTGTAGCCAACTATTGCATTTTACTGACAAACAATGCAACATGAAACCTTAGGCTGGCGACCTGGTAGCGCTAAAAATGGCGGCATCTCTGTAGTAATGACGTATTCATACAAAGATTGAAGATTATGTTTTTAACGAAGTTCTGTACCCAGAAAACATCGCTGTTAAAAAGGAAAGCGTCCTTAAAATTGATGTTTGTGCTTCCTCAAACCGCTTATTTGTGGTTAGTATATAATAAGAATCCGAAGTTTTGAAAGCGTGAAAATCTTGGGATTCCTTACATAGCCTTTTAAACGAGATGGAAAATTGCCGCTCATGCTCTGATGGTGTTTTTTTGTCTAAGGCAATAGCATTATCAGCCCCTTTAAGAGGAGCAATTTCTTAACCCTAAAGCTGAAGTCCCTTATTATGGAAATGGCTTTGGATCCTGGAGACAAGCCTGAAAATGACAAAAAACCCGTTGTATTCTTTCGATGATAACATTTCAAAGACGGATTGATCATGCCAGTAGGAAAAGTGCATGGCTTGATAGCAGCTGAAGCACTCACAAGCCCATGACCTTCCATACAGACCATAACACTAATTATATCCTATTGTCTGCATAAATTCTTCCTTTCATGTATAGATTATCATTTTCATGTTATATTCAAATGTTTCAGACTTGTTGGGCTTCTCTCGCCTAGGCGTTGTTTGAAAATTCATTACTTTCTTTCCAGAACACATGTCATGTTAAAAGCTTCGCCACAGAATTGCACTTCTAGCTAGTGGATGCCATGATAAATAAAATATAAAACGGGGAAAAAACAGTGAATTGAGTCTCGTTTGTTTTCAGTTTTAAATTGCCACCAAATTGCAACCAACGTCGTAGGAGCAGCAGAAGCGAGTTTCTTAAAGAACAGGGTCCTCATTAGCAGATTATCCTGTCTGAGTAGGAGTATCCTGCTGGCTCAATAGGAGAGTTGTGTCACCAATTGTACATTTCAAGCTATGTCCTTTCAGTCAGGGAAGTTTAGTAGGTGGCCTGTATAGGCACTCGCTAGGGATCTTGGACTTAGACATATGTTACAATCAAAGCACGTCGTTTGAACAGAATCGTTCACAGTGCTTTCAATGTGTATGTTTCTTTAATGGAGTACAAATGTTCACGAGGTGGTTAGAAGTTACAAGTGGCTGAGTCAGGGAGGAGTGATTCGTAAGGAGTTCCATGGGTTTTGGAGCCTTTGTTGATGTATGATTCTCTAAGGCTTTGGGTAAAAGGGAAGAATGTCTAAGGACTAGCGCTTCTAAGGCCTAATAATATCTACCTTGTTGTTTACCAAGCCAAATTGTATGCAACCATCACTTAACGGGACGAGAGATCGATAAATGCCTGTTTTTAGAACTACACTCTTTTTTTCTATAAGAACCAGTAAATTTGAGTTCAGGCTGATTGTTCTTAATTTTTCCGAAAATCTGAGGCTGGATTGTTCTTAAATTGTTTTTTTTTTGAATTTATAGGGTATAAGCAGTGCGATTTCTAGCTTTTCGTTCTGGGGAGGTGTTCAGGCCTCTTTTGCCAACAAAGTGTGTAGAGACAAACTTAATTTGCCGCCTTGTTTTAATATTCACCGAAAAAGCACCCACACATGGCTGAAAATCCTCGTTTTTGAGATAAAACGTTGTTCAAAATTTCATTTTACAGTAGCACAGCCTCAGCTTGTTCTTAATTTGTTCTTGAATTTTGACCCATTTTGAGGCTCGTGTTCTTATAAAATTGTTCTTATAAAAAAAGAGTGTATTCCGCTAAGTTGTATCATGCAAAAGATCGAATTGACTTATCGCAGGCGATATGCGTCCGCACCTCTCAACCCAATTGGGTACGCCAATGATGGACCGTAGCTGAATATCAGCTAAGATGAACGAATTGAAAGTGTGACGTTTCCAATGAATTTATGCATCGAAGCCAGGCAGAACCATCATGTTGTCCCTGAATTTGGGACAAAATCAGTCCACCTTTCCCATAACACCGCTTCTTGTTAAACTTGACAACATACTTTTCCTCCTGATGCTGTGACAAACCATGATCCAAATATGTTTTTCTTTTGTCTCGGTAATTCCGGTTGACTTTTTTTTCTTGTATCATTTCTGCTGCAGGAATCCGTCTTTGTTGCTCGCTATTTTAATTATTCATAGAGATTTTCCATTCGAACAAAATAACCTCGATACTCTTTTGGATTATAGCAAAATATACGTAGCCAACTTGGCTTGTTCATGAATGATTGATAAGAAGGATTTTTCTCGTCATTCGCAATGAACTGAATCAGATATTTGGTCGCCCTAACTCGTAGACCAATAGCCTTGTCTCTAGGATCTATCTAGACTAGATAAAGAGTTCTTATCAATTTCATGTACGCATGACGTAACTATACATAGGAAAGTGTATAGCGGCTATGAGACTTGATTTTGAAATTGTAACAACGATAAATTTGAGTAAGAAACCTAGGACTTATTGAAATGTGACGAATAAACATAAATATGGTCTGGCAGCAGCAAAGAGTGAGAACACCGATTCCAACGATTTTTCCAAGAAGCATCTTTTTCTTAGAAACATCTTTTTTTTAGTAACATCTTTTAAGTTCTATAAGGAACCACTTATTGAATTAATTCTGGTAGATATAAGCCTTCTTGGTAAGCCCTCTTCTTCTCTGTAAGGGCCAATTTCATGACGACTGGTCTGCCCTGCCTTATCCCTAAAACATACCATTTCAAAAATTAATCCCAATTTGCACGAAGGAATCAGTGTTAATGTTGCAATGGTGTCGTTTATTAATTTTCAAAAGGACATGGGTGTGCACAGGGTATAACTTGATTAATCTCGTTAAGGTCAAAGCTTCGTTACAGACGCTAACCACATGTACGAAATGGTGCCAGATTCTTCAAAATGTTATTGAATTACCTTGAATTATTGAGGAAAATATTTAACTAAATTAATGTCTATCTACATTTTTGAACTCTTTAGACGATTGCTTTTTCTCTGGCTCAAACAAAAAACAATCATTGCTATGGTCAGAATTACTACCCGTTGTTGAATAAAGGTGTCCGTTGTCTAGATGTTGCTTGTACAAGGTGCTAATCACAGGAAAGAAATTTAACACATAATTTGTTGTCTTAGGCCCCGTTAACACGAGCGCGGGTTTGATGCTACCCGCCTTAGAGGGCCAATCCGTCTACGGTAAAATCTCATCAAACGTTTACACGATAACAGCAGCTAACCCGGGTCAACCCGCCTTGCCGGGTAGCCTTTCTCGACAGTAAAGTTGGCTTGTTGAGACGGGCTGCCTTCTTCTGAAGTTTTCTCATGTGAAGTCTGGTCATCTAAACCGTGGGTTGTGTAAAGACTTCGAAGTAGCCAATTTTGGGTCATTTCTACACTTGAACTAACAAATGAAACTGACCCGGGTGATGTCAACCCGCTAAAGGAACCAGCTGAACCGGACTCGTGTAAAAGTAAATTTTTTTTCTGCAGCTTGTTGACCTGACCCGGAGTGGAATCTAGCCTAGGCACGTGCAAACAGGGCCATATGCTTGCCATGTTTTTGCCTTCCCATGCTATTTTCAAATTAATTGTCCGTTTTTTGAAGTTGCCCGGTGTTTAGAGTTGTCCGTTGTTTCAGGAATCAGCTTTTGGTGGTCTACAGACCTATAACCCAACAATTACAAGAATAATGTCTTGATAGTGTATTGAGTAAATTCGTATTTCTTGGTTCGAATAGCTTCTTTACAGTTTCTAACTCAAGAAACATCAGCAAAGAATTCCAAGCATGGGGAGCTACGAAGATGAAAGTAAATGACAAAGCAAGGATCCCTTTTGTCCAACAGATAGCTAGACAGCGTTTTAAGGTTTCCTTTCTTTAGCCAATCCTTTGATGACATCGAAGCTATTTATTTTTAGGAAAATTACAACAGAGTCGACATTGAATTATATGCCTTTTTAAATAGTATATTTGAAACAAGACATTTTAAATGTGGAGTTTAGCTAAAAGGAGTGTTTTTGATACGATGGTTTCAGGACCTGAATGAAGGACTTAGCTGCTTACCTATTTTGAGATTTAATGTCTCCTTTTGAGAGACAAACGTGGTGGTTCTCTCTTTTTGACAAATGAACATTTGAGTTTACAGAAGAACCCCCAAGAAGTGTGGTCAGGCTTTTTTGTCTATTTTTTTAGTTAAATGAATTTAAGGACAACCCAACGTGATAAATAATTTTTTATTCAAATATAATTTTTAGTCTTGTATTACTTACAACGGTATCAAATACCTTGAACATGGAAAGGAAATATGGAATTGAAATCGTGTGAAAATATTCACGAGGAAAACACAAACGACATTGTTACAATCTCAAATCTATACACTTTTTTTGCTGATGTCTCACAAAAACTGAATATGTGTTATGTCCTTGTGCAAGAGCTCCGCCACATGTCTTTCTAAACATGAAAATTTTAACACCAGAGGCTTTGCCAGAATTCACAAGAGCAGTGTCAACCATCTGCATCATTTTGGCCCAACCAAGCCCGTAGCCAGGCCTGTGGAGGAGGGGTGGCAAAATGTCCAGGAATCAGGCGAAGTTTAAAGTGAAGTTAATTGTAAGTGTAAGCAATGTGAAATCTGTCTTAAGTCCTACATGGATGATAAGATACCCCAATAAACAATTTTCCTTCCACTAATATTAGCTTGACTCAAATTTTTTACGACAATCCAATAAAAGAACAAAATAGTCATTGACAAGATTGGACACAAAAGTTTTGGGGTTGGCAAACAGCCGGTGTTCTGGTGGTCCAGGGGTGGCATTGCCACCCCATGCCACCCCTTGGCTACTTGCCTGGATCCAACCCTCTCCCTTTTTAATTCCTTTTCTTGACCATCTAAAGTCGTCATGGTACATTTTGATTGGCTTTAGAGGAAATATCTAGCATCTGGTCTTTCTAACTTTGTTATAAAAAACCCTTTTTAAGACATTTTTTCAAGTAGTATTTTTAATGCACCGATGTCGAAAATTAATGGCAATCGGCGATTACTAAAGTGGCTTGATGCCATTTCTCAATCAAGAGCTGGCTCACCAATCAAATAGTGTGTGAGTGGCATCATGTGAGCAGTACATTCCGCCTTAGACAGTATATGCTCAAGATTGTTGCGAAATTTTCTCAATTTTTAACTCAACGAAATTTTTCAAAGCACCCCCTCCCCCCTCTCCGTTTATTACGACCATACCAAGTATTAATCGTGGAAGACATTTCAAGCACTTCGTCTTCATAAAAAAACCTTTTTATAATGAACATAAGTGTGTTGGAATCTTGTTTCGTTCTGAAGCGTCTTCCTGACGTTACCGGAGAAACAGTGCAAACATTCTTTTGAAATCCCAGACGCCGTTACTTAGCAACGAGTTTTACCCTGCCTCGGTGTGGAAAATGGCCTCTTTTAGTCTTAACAACCGGATGCAATTTTTCTTGTTACTAAGATATTGTTTGGGTGTCCATGACTACCTGGCCACTAGAAAACCATCTGTTCAGAAGCGATCACACAGTTCGTTGCGTTCGAAGATTTACAAACAACGTGAAATCTGTTGTAAACTATTTTATCATTCGCTGTGATTTCCAAACTCATCATGGAAGACGGAGATAAGAGCAAGCCAGTTATTGCTGCAAGAGAAAGAGGTGTGTGAATAATTTTTTTACAAATGTTAACGACACTCCCCAAGCAGCTTGGGTCTTTGATCCGATCCTCTGACCTCCTCATATAATCACATGATTTTCTCTCACAGCTTCCTTTAAAATATCGGAAATACATTGCCGAAATACATATTTTGATTTTCGTCGTTATCAATTTTTATCTTAGATTTCAAAAGGAATATTTTCGTTGCTTTCTAGGACCAGGACCTGGTCGTTATGGGCTACCAACCACATGTGGATACCCCAACCACGATTCCACCAAACGGCGAAACCCGGCCTATTCCTTCGGGCATCGACTGGATGACAACAGTAAGCGTATTTTTTATGTCGTACCACTTGACTTATATTTGTTTTCTTAAGAATATCACTTCCCCACTTCACGAACTTCTAAAGGAATTTGCAGCAAGCGAACGGCTGACGTGTTATCCCACAAAAGTCTCCCATCATGCTCAACTATGTGTGAAATTTTCAATGTTGTATTAATTTCTTCTCGGCTATTTAATTATTTCTTCTTTTTCGATTCAGTGTTCAAGAAAGATTGCAGCCCTGGACCAGGATATTTCATCGATCCGAAGATTTCGCGGCACGGAACAGATGGAAATCCCTCTTACTCAATTCTTGGGCGGCAAAAAGATCAAAGTATGTTTACACCATGTATTTATCATAATCGGGCCTAGAGCTTTGATTCAGCCTGTTGATAATCTGTAAAATATCCCAATAAAGCCTCTAGGAACTTAAAGTCTAAGTTATTACTTCGACTTAAATATTTGTTTTTATGCGAGTTATTAGTTTAATTTGAAAAAAATTCCGAAGACAGCAGGTTCATCGTAGCCTTCAATATGTTTTTTGTTTTAAGAACATTGCTTCCTTTCAATTTGGTAACAAAGCCCTGGTAGGTCTCCAAATACGAAAATAAAATATTATTATGCGTTTTATAAAATTCTCCTACAAAGCCTCTTATGAAAACAATTTCAAAAGGAAGTGCTGCTCTTGAAAGGAAATTAAAATCAAACTTCAAAGCGCTAATCGTTAACTTTTTTCTTTTATAATAAAATAATGATTTGATCATTTCTTTTTGCAGACACTTTCAAGACACCATCACCTGGTGCATACTCACCAGAAGTAGTTCACCCCCAGGGTGAGAGACATGCACCTGCATATTCAATGGCTGCACGGACAAGGTTTAGAAAACGTATGTTTCTTAGCTGATTTTTTCACACCAAAGGCTTATGAATTAGTGAACAAGTGTATTCAAGAAACTTTGAACCACCTTTTAGTCTAAGATGACATTCACTTCTCATACTTAATAGCCATTGTTTCAGTATTGTTCAACATTTTGCTTTTCTTACAATCATAGGTGATGCAACACCAGCACCAAATTCATATTCTCTACCTTCACTTCTTGGAGCAAAAATCCCAAACAAAAAAGCATCTGCATCATTTTCTATGACCAGTCGCTCACAAACTGGATGCTTTTCAGAAGATTTAGCAAGAACACCAGGTCCTGGGCGCTACAACACACTTGAGCCACAACTTGTAAAACATAAAGCACCAGCCTACTCACTACTTGGAAGAAATAACCTTCCTGGAGGTAAGTAACAAAATATGATACATTTTCTTTAACCATTAGTTGTAGCTATCCAGCTGATGTTGATCAACTAGGACACGAGTAAAAATGACTTATGTCACTGAACTTTCCTAACACACTGTTATATAAAGGCATGTGTTTTTCTAAGAGGCAGTGTAACTATTTATTATAACAAAAAATTGTTTTGTATTGTTTTGCAAAGATAAAAACATCTACTTTCCTATGAATACTGTTGGATTTATCACTTTGCTTTTATCTATTGAAAAAAAATTTATTCTTTTAGCTCAATTTTTTATCCTTTCTTATTTTTAGATTCAACACAAAAACCAGGTCCAGGAGCATACACACCAGAAAAAGTTATTGTGAACAAGAAAGCAGCACCTTCCTTTTCACTTGGAATTCGTCACTCAGAGTTTGTTACTCCACTCATTGTGGAGATTGCAGAATAGGATAACTAAGGATTAAAATATGTAAATATTAGAATGGATAATTTTTAGATTGTAAAACGGAAAGCTTTTTACCCATATCATTGTCAAATATTTATATCTTAAGTGCTGAATTTCTTTTTCCAGTTGATAGGTAGTTATAAAATTCTTCTGATTTTGAAAAATAACCAAACTATAATTGTAAACAGTAACTGTTTAATTTTTGATATTTGTCAAAAACTTGTATCTGTTTTATAACAATTATTTTGTGTAATGCAAAATTAACCTTTATCTTTTTTGTACCACTTCCTTAATGTTATGTGATGAAATGTAATTTACAATTGTTCCAAGTTATTTTAAAGTTTAATTTTCTGAACTTTGAAAAAAATCATACAGGAAAGAACCAAAAATACAGTGGGTTCTATATCATCAGAGAGTTAATGATTTATATAAAACAGAATACCAAAGTGATACAATGCAAATAATCAAAAGAAATTCTATCTTCTATAACGATATCTCTTGAAGTGAAACCAAAGTTGAAACACATTGTTCTGAAACTGACATCGAAATCCATGTCTATGAGCAAGTTCCCATTCTCTGTTAACAACTTTGAAAGCAATATCCTGAAAAATATATAACTATTTGTAGGAAAGAACTGTTTTCGTTGTGAAATTTGGTGGGACAATTCAGAATTGGTCAACTTAAGAACGTTAAGAAGAAACCAACTACAAAGTGTGTTAAATTGTAAGATAAGGTTAACCAATTAATGAATTGCAAGGACAATAATGACATCAAAAGTATCAATTTGTTGATCTATAAGCAATCACAAACTTACTTCATATGGTGGGCCACCAGAAAATTTGAGAATAGCAAAATCTGGATCCTCCTTTATTGGTGTCTGAAAATAAGACAAAGAGGTAATAAAATATTTGGAGTGTCAGGTTTGACATATACAAGGCAAATATAACAAGGCAAAGCCTAATTAGCAATAGGCAGGAAAAATGCAAACCATGGCATATAGGACTTTATCGGGGTAAAAATGAAATTAAAAGGCCTTTGGATAATAAGGCTTTGAAACATAATTTCATAAAGAATAAATGTGCTTACCAAACTATATTCAGGAGCTACTGTTTTTTCAATCAAGTCAGGATAGAAGATCTGAAATCAACAATGCAATTTGACACATCACTAAACTGTACTTGTTTAACATCAAGTCATATGTCATTACAAGCAGCTCGATTGAATAGAAAATTGAATAGATTACTATTTCAAGTTAAATAATAAGGTTATCAAAAGACTTACATTAAACTTGTATCCTTGAACAATTTTTGGAGGTGGATTGTCACTATCATAATGTGTTTGGTTATATTTATTCCATTCATAGCCCTGTAAAAATACAATGAAATGCATTAATTCTGCAAAATAACTATTGATCATAAACAATAAATTTTAAAGGCCAGCCTACATTTGCATCAATAGCTAGAAATGTGATCAAATTTACCCATACATTGCATTTATATTTTAGAAAAATTTCACATCAAGGTATGGAATTAAGTATTATTTTACTCTCATCTACATTGTCTGAAGTTAACAACTCTTTTCCAAGACAATAAGAGAAAGTTAATCAAAATGGCACATTTGAAAATTTTTGTCTTGAAATTTTTAACTTGAAAATTTCACATATGATGGACCCTTGTTACACCACAAGCAGAGATACCCACCAAGCAGAGAGTACTAATTGGTTTGAGAAAGAGCAAAGCTTAGCAGTATCAAAAGCAAAATAGCAGAAGTAAATAATAAGAATATAATAAGAGTATTACCGTATGAACTCTGTTGAAGAATCTTGGTTTTCTTGGCCTATATTTGTCAGTCCATGTGTAAGTCTGGAAAGAGGGAAGAAAACTTGAAGGGTGACAAAAACATTTAAAGCCAATAGGAACTGAATTTTTACCTTCTCAAACTTTTGCATACTTTTCAGCTCATGCTCTTTTCTGACAATATTTGAAATGATACTTACCATAATCTTATAGATGCTATTCAACAAGAGAACAACTCTCACAAGAGATTTCATAAATAGCAGGTAAGAGATGACTCCCATCAAAATAGCCTTTCATATAAATACAAAAATTGCAAATCCATCAGGAACATGGAGTCCATTCAAAGGGCCTAAAGGGGGCTTTTCTTAATCTGAGTCATATTTTTACTTTCAATATATCTCAAAATGGAGTTCCTATTTTCTTATTGCAGGCTTACAGCATCTTTTGTGAAGGCAAGATGTGTCTGACCAATCTGTGATAGTTGAAAGGTATGAAATTTATGCAGTCTATGCTACCATAAACATTTAAAGGGGTCCTCATGAATGTGTAGCCTCACTTTTGATATAAGAATGTTATATCTCAATTCATACCTACGTAGCTCAATACTTGATCAACGCAAATGTAATAATGTGGGCATTTTTTGTTCACACAATAGAGTGCCAAGCAGAGTCCATACCCTAATTATCTTAATGTCTGTTTTTAATGGAAGAAGCGAACAAAAGAGAAAAAACAGAACCCAGATGGCAGCATAACATAAACCTAAGCATAACATATATATATTATATATGTGAGGCCTTTTTGATTTTGTTTACAAATAAAGAGAGCACAAAGTAAATAAAAACTTTAGTGAAAAACTTGCAATTCTTACCTTTTTGTTCAGGTTGAATGGGACATTAAAGGCCTCTTCTCCTTCTCCTAGGATTTTAGTTGCCTCTGATGAATAAACTTTGTCTGATGTTTCTTCCTATTTAAATTAACACATAGTTGTGATATCAGTTTTTTGAAAAAAACTCAAGTTGAGCCAAGCTCCCTTCGATAATTAATATTTGTGCAAATGAGAGGTTGTAAACACAGCAAAGATTTAACAAAACAAAATTAAAAAAACTCATTTTTATTGTTCCATCAATCAGAATGATACTTATTAAGCCGTTGTTATGAACTAGAAATATACTTGAAAAATACTACTAAGTGATACAAAATGTAAATGCAAAATTATATTACCTCATCAACGGTTGACCCAGACTGCACCTGCATTCTAAGGTAGCCCTTCAAAAATGGAACACAGAGTTAAAGCAATTCCAATAAAAGCATATCTACAAATGCAAAGTACCTAGTATTTAAAATTCAAGCAGTGATTGCCAATAAAGTTTTTATTGGAAGGCAAAGTGACATTGGGCTTTATGGATGAAAACCAAATTTTGGATTTTAAAAAACGAAGATATATTATCTTGTTTGTTAAAGGTAAGTTGTTAGACAAGAAACTAAGCATTTGAGAGAGACTGAGAACTGGCCAAAATGGAACTGAATAAGAAACATACCAGTCTGTGCAAATCATCATCATGATCAATCCACTTAGTCTGTTGAAAAAATTTAAAGACATTCAAATATTGTAGAAAAAAGCTAATTCTCAGATTTCACAAGATTCTAGCAAAGCAAGGTTTTATGATAAAAAGTTGGTATTAAAGTGGATATGTCTCCAGACTGCCATGTATTTGTAGTGCATAACACAAATCTTTATTGTAACCATAGCTTTTTAATATAGCATGATGATTTTATAAAACTCAAACTTTGAAATCATAATGATATGAAACAATCTGACCTCTTCCACATCTTGAAATGGTATTAAGCGTGGACTGTAAGATCCTGCTTCATATGTTTGGTATGCTGTGGGAAGATGGAAACTTAATATTGTTTCTGTCATTTAACTTTATTCTTGTTGGGTATTGACAAACAGGGTTCATGAGAAATATGTTACTAGATCTCAAAATCTTTAGAGGACTTTTCTTTATGAAGTTATTCTGAATAAAATGACAACCTACACACAAATTGATAATCAAAGATTTCAGTGCATTGAAAATGAAAAGAAGGTGTCACAAAAGGGGGTCTCAACAAATGGGTAACTTCTTAAAGAACAGATTAGGAGGTGAAAGAAAGATTGCTTTTTTCCAAGCAACAAGTTGGCCAAAGTGAGGATGTTAATGGCATCTAGTCAACAGGCCTGATCCTTTCAATGATAAATGATTTTTATAATTAGTGGACAAATTTACCTTCTACAGCCATTTCCTCTTCAGATCTTTGTGTAACATTTGGTTTTCTACAAAAATTAATTTGAGGTTATTCCTCATATAAAATAATGCTTGGTTTACTTAAATTTTTCTCACAATAATAGAGAAATAGTTTATAATAACTAAAGTGCAAACAATAAAGACAAAAGAAAAGACTATTAGCAAATATGATAAAAATGAAGTCTAAAAATTCCCACCCATCTTTTCCTTCCACTTCTTTTTCTTTTCCTTCCACTTCTTTTTCGTTTCCTTCCACTTCTTTTTCTTTGTCTTCATTTGGTTCCTCTGTTGGCAAATCTTTTCTTTCTGCTGGAGAGGCTTCCTGCTGCCTACTTGGCCCAGGACTATCTCTTGGGGATGATTCATGTTTGTATGAAGGTTCAGAATCAGAATCAGACTCATTTACACTCTGAAAGATCATGAAATTACTTTAATTCAGATACAGCACAAAACTGACTTGGGCAGCATGTTATCTTATAATACGTACAGACCTAGCGAGGAGAGGCGCTTGAGCTTGATCTTTTTAGGAGCCTAAAAGGTTCTATGAGCTTGATTGATCAAGCACCTAGCATGTTTATGTTGTCTAAAAACTGAATGGGAAAACCAAATATTGTTATTGATGATATATGATGATGCTCAATCGAGGGCCTAGAAAGTTGTGTTCAGTGTGTCAGGTGCCTGCTTTTTGCTCCTCACAAGGCCTGAATACATATTATCATTAACCCTTTTTAAGAACAATTACATAGTTTACAAACCTGTTTCTTTAGTTCTGCTAACTTTTCTCTTAACTTCTGCTGGTGTCTCTCTTTTAATTGAGCTCTTGCAATGAAAGCCTTCAATTGTTGTAATAATGATTCCCAGTAGCCTGAAAAAGTATAATATTTCAACATTAATATTCACCTTAATATTAGACATTATGTCAGTGTGGGGGTACATTGCACAAAAGTCATGACCAGGACTGGCTTTGCATTACAACAGAAGTTATGAAGTGGCAGTGTTGCTTTATATGATATTTTAATCATTTAACAATTTAAATCATCATTAAAACAATACCAATATCAATTGGACCACCAGCACTGATTTTTTCTTTGATTTGCTTTTGCATTGCCACTAATTGTCCATGAGTTTTGCCTTTAAATATGCTTGTAACATCTGCTCTGACTGCTGTGTTTATCACCTCTCTTTGATTACGAAGATCTCCTACAAACATCAAAGTCATCATCAAACACTGAAAATATATTCAAAGTGAATATATACAAAATATATTCACTTATCATTTAAGCATAACAAATCGGAATATCCAAAGAATCAAGAGATGGGGTCACATCGAGAGAAAGGACAAAGACACTGCTCAATAAGGACAGTTTCCCAGTGTCCAAAAACTACCTTCAGATGCTATGTAGGGAAACAATACAAGGGAATATTTCAGAAAGCAGGTAAGCTATTTCTCATATCATTTTTCATTACTAAAAATGTCCTCACTGAAAGGAATTTACTTTCACAAGTCATTTAATAAAATGCCAAAAGAAAACAGTAATTTATAGAAAATCATACTACCTTCTTGGCGTTTTGCTTTGAGTTTTTCAAGCTCATCTTTTGCAACTACAGTCATGTCCTGTTATAAAACCAACAATTATAACAATTAAAGTAGCAAGTTCCTGTTATATTTTTGCATTTTAAGAACATTTTATTGGAATAGGCACACTAAAATAATGACAGCCTTAACCTACTGCTACAGATGGTTTGATGTAAAGCCAGCAGAAAACATACACCAAAAAAATGTTTCTGGCATTGAAAACAAAAAACCAAAACACTTGACCATGTAAAAAAAATCTAACCTTCCAAAATTCTGCATTGTGTCCTTGCTCCAGTTGTTTATAAACTTTGATATCTTCTAGTAAATCCTCGAGATCCTCAATACTCAATCCCTAAAAACAAAAAAAGATTAACTATCAAGAGTAAATGATCAGCTGATAGAACTTCAAAGGCCAGTACACATACAATAATAATAATAGAATAATAGAGAAAGTAAATATCATATTTACCACAAGGACACTATATGGCTCATTCATTTGTAGCTCAAAATCTTCCTCTTCTGGATTGACATACTCAGCCAATAAATCAATTGGTTTTGCTGTAAAAGATACAATCAATATTGGATGGCTTTTGAAGGATTTCCTTCATTGGCTTACATGTTTTGGTATTCAATTATACTACAAACAGCACATTACAACACAAAAAATTGCTTCCTTCTGAAGCACTGAAATTAATGAAAATACTTGTGGTGAGTTATTTTCTTTAGAAGTTCCCTTTTTCCATTCTATGTTTGCACATAATAACCATTGTTTGAACATATTACCACACTCTTTATTGTTCCTAATTGTACCATACATTATATTTTCATAGTAGCAATTAATTGTTATTGATTGCCCATTTGATCACCCAAGTGGTAAGTAGTTTCATTTTATTTTATGTATAAAGATGTGCATAACAATTCTCCAAATATACTAAAATTTAGACAGTAGAAATTCCATGAGGTTAAATAATGACTTACCCCTTCCATCTTTGATTCTTATTTTTGATCTTTTTCTTGCTTGTTGCAAATGAAACTTATAGGGAAAAAAGTACCAGCTTAAATATTGAGCTCTAAACCAGTTTGCTTTAAATCAAGGCTTGTGGATGCTTCAAAATGCAACTACTTAGTGAGCATTCTGTCATATTAGCTTAAGCTTTGTCAAATATCATACTTTCTTTTTCTGCCACAAAGATGTGTTTGGTGAAGCTGGAGAATCCAGTGAGGATAATCTGATTAATCTTGTGTCATACATGTTGAGGAGCTTTTTGACTGCATTAATGAATCACAGATTGTCTAGGGTCAGGGAACTTGATCTTACTTTTATTATTTGCATTGTTCTTCATGTCATGAACAATCTCATTAGCAATAATTTAATGCAAACTCTACCTGAAACAACATAAGAAACTTTTGTAGGAACCAACCTACTGTTATCCCTTTGTTCATTAGTATTTTCAGAACCCTTCACAATAAAGCATATTTCTTAGAGCTTGTCTAGAGACATGTAGACCAAGGTGAAAACCAAAAATTCTCATGAAGTTTTCACTACCAAAACAATTCCCCTACTGAGAATATCACAGTGATAAAATTGAATCAACCTACTTCACTCTCTTGCTCTTCCCAAACTTCAAACATTTCTGCTTCTTTTTCTCTTTGCATCATTGTCTATAAAAAAATACAAGAGGTCAAGAGGTCTATAAATCACAGTTCAAACAAAAAGGTCTATAATTCCTACTTTATACCTCTGAATGAATTCAAACAAACTTTTAATACTTATGTTATCAACATGTTTTCAGTATTTTATTAAAAGAAGTTAAAAGGTACCAAATCACAAATCTGCCTAATTGTGATAAATTTATTTACCATTTCCTCATCTCTTGCTGCCTTTTCCCTTTCCCTTTCCTGAAAGAAAAAACCAGTAACCTTTGAACAAAAACAGAATTGTCTAACAACTATACAAATGGATGTTCGGTTGTGAGATACTTTTAAAAAATTATAAATTTTCCAGATTGTCAATTAACACTCACCATTCTTCTTTGCTTCACCTTTTGTAATTCAACCTAGAAAAATAAGTTTTGACATACAGTTAAAGGAAGCCTAGAATTGGAAAAAGAAGACAAGGCCTTTAAAGACTGGAACACATGAGACACTTATAAACTGATTCTTCTGAGGTATGTTTTCAAATAAATTAATCACTAAATTTGAATGTTTTTTACTGAAAAACTCCAACCATTACATTTCATTTCTTACATTTCGTTGCTTACATTTCCTGAAACAAATCTAGCCAAGAACAACCCAAACTTGCTGGATGACAAACACCTTGCCTTGGCGGAGTAAAATCCATTACTAATTTCTTAATTTTTCTAAGCTGTTGAAATACAAAGTAATTGCATAGACCTTTTATGAGAACCTTTTCTAAAACATACATGCTGATAAGGTTATGGATACACCAGTAATATATATAACATTCTTTATTATAATTATAAATTATTTACTAGCAAGTTTTACTTGAACTTGACACAGCGTTGTGTCTAATAAGGCAATTTTAGGACCACAAAAGGTATTCATGAATATCAAACTTTAGTGGTATACCCTCATTTCATCTTGTTTTCTTTTTTGAAATCGCTCTTGCTCATCTTTGTCATTTATTCCAACCGATTCATTTTTCTGTCAACAAATTTTCAATTAAGTTGATTTGAGATTTTATAGCATTGTAAACATAAAACATAAATCTAAATGTTTTTATACAACATATGAACATGATATATCTTATTACATTCTTTGTATCAATAATGAATTGATAAATCACTATATGTTTTGATATATAAAGAAAACTTAAAGAAATTTTATCATATCAATTAATATAACATTGATGATATAAAAAGAGTTTACATATATTAGCAACAGGTGGATATCAAAATTACTTTATGCCATGTGAAGGTTTCCCTCAAGTTGTGATCTCCAAATGGGTTATTTGTATTAGTGTACCCCTGAAAGGAAATGATAACAACATGATATTTGGAGTAGTAGAATAATAACAAACTTACAAGAACAAGTAAGAAAAAAATGTATTCAGAAACAGATAACATAATGGACTTACAATAATGCATGCCATTTCTCTTTAAGACAAATAAAGAAATTGTAAGATAATTTGCAGTTGGGATTTACAATTTGCAGACAGGTTGCTGCTGCCCTCAAGTTAAATCTGCTTTCACAAAAAAAACAAAGGGCAGCAGTAATTACAAGCATCATTTGTTTGTACAAATAGAATTGCCTTTCAAGATGAATAAAGAAATTCTTTTGATTTATTTAAACAAAAATACTTACCAAGTCCTCCTCATCCCATCCCATTTCAGCCTTTCTTTTTCTTTCTTTTGCCTCCTTCAGTCAATAAAAAATGCAAAGCATTAGTGTCAAATTAGAACACTCCCATTTTATGAATTTTTGTATGGACAATGTTTTAAGAAAGTTATAGTTTCCTGTTCATATATCAAAATAGTTTTTAAGCATGTAAGAAAAAATATTTAAATTGTAAGATAATTTGCAGTTGGGATTTACAATTTGCAGACAGGTTGCTGCTGCCCTCAAGTTAAATCTGCTTTCACAAAAAACAACAATAAAACAACAAAGAACAGTAAAAACATTCATGTTCATAAAAAACTGAAAATTTCAACAAGATCAGTCTCTAGGTGTATCTAAAACCATAAGGTGCTCCATTTGAATTCCTGTCAATATCTTAAATTCAAATAGAGCACCTCATAAATTGAAAAACACCCCTGGAGACTGACCTTGAGCAAACTCTGACACAAATTATGTTAAAATTTGCAAAATATATATTAAAAAATAATAACCTTTTTTGCAAGCCTTCTGGCTCTTTTCTCTTCAGGAGTCTCCACTGCTTTCAGTAATTCTTTCATTTTTCTGCAACAGATTTCATGAAGTCAATACAAATCAAGAGCATAAATACCAGGTTCTGTAATTACATCATACCTATATCTCTGGAAGTCTGGATATTAATCCTAATTATAGGCCTGTTCTCTGACTGATGATTTCTCAAAATTTGTAAAGGCTATGGAGGAGCTATATATATTTGTTCTGAATTCAGTATCAAAGTCTGCACTAGAAAGTTGAAATAGAATTGCTTTTCATTTTTTCAGTTTTCTATCCAGTTTTTGAAAGAAGTATGTTGTGCTCTGTTTAATGGCAAAATATAGGCTGTCTGCTTTGCCCTGAAAACAATAGGCATAGCACCAGAGTGCATTCCATGTCAACTGTATGCTGAAGGTCCACCTGGGCATTTTTTTAGGTAAGCCGAAAACAGCAGCAATTATTAAAACTGTAAATATAGTATTCCAGATGAAGAAAACTGTGGTGTATGAGTGTTTGTTTTATTCATTTTCATGTTAACTACAGGGGCGGCGGGCAGTGTTATTACCGTTATTACTGTAATAACACTTTTTCCAAAGTCTTTATCAGTTTGATGCATTCGTCTGCTAGACACAACCAATGACGTGGAAATAATATGGTATCTGTCCTCTATTCATCTGAAGGGGATGATAATTACCTGCTAATCCTTAACCACAGGAAGCCTATTATGTTTTTCAATGGTATTTCAAATCGTTCAAAACTAGTTCGAGGCTCCCGGTCTCATTATTACTTTCGCGTTTCTAATAACGGAAACAGCAAAGTCTTTGTCACGGGACTCACCGATGACGTAAAATTCAATTGTTCTTGGTCCTTGAAATAAAGGAGCCTAGCAGTCCCGTTATTACTTCTGGGATTCTAATAACGCGGCCATTTACCTTTTGCCAGTGCTGTTTTATGATTTTGCTTGTAAGTTAGCTGTTTCAAAATGAATCGTGTTGTGGAAGATCAAGTGAATGACCATCGTCTGGGTGTTCAAAGTGTTATTATTTTGAAACGGGTGGAATTAACTCACTAGCAACGTCTCGAACTGAAAGGTCGTGCCAGATATATCTCGTCATGTATTTTTCTATAATAAATTTTTAGCCTGCATCCTTTCAAATTTATTTGTACATTTGTAAACTGTAGCTATTCAAAATGTTGCAAGTTGCTTATGTAAAGGCATTTGAAATGAATGATGAACTGAACTGAACCTTGAATGTATTCAGAGGGCTTTCACGCAGCGGTTTCCGTTATTACAATCGCGATTCTAATAGCGAGCCCACATGGTGGCTCAGAGGAAGTGGCCGCCAAATATTTTTTTTGACTAATCACCGCTCGCAAGCCCTTCTGACAAATGTTACAGCCCTCCAGTTTGTTTAAAAAGACCAACAGGAAATCAGGCTCTTCATAGATTTCTTTTTGATATGCGAGCAAGGAAGTATCTGCATTTATTTTCTAGGAGTTACAGCACTAAAATTGCCAATTAACTTAAAACTTTCAGCATTCGCTCAGATTCTTAGTTGCTTACAAAAATGTGTATACCCGACCAATTTATGTCTTTTAGTGACTTTTTGTTTGTTGTTTAGAGTCAATTGAAGATATGCATATTTCCCTAACGTATGGCTAGGCCAAATTTAGGGGGGGGGAGTGTTGTAAAACCCCTATACCCCTCCAGCTGAGGAGGTTCAAAATTCCTTCATAAAGAAATTGTTAATTTTCCTTTTCATGCATCTTCCATACGTTTGAAAAAGTAATACCAAAATAAATTTACTCCCAGCCGCCCCTGGTTAACTATGTACATGGCTTAATGTTTAGCATGCCAAGTAAGGAAAATTTAATGCATGCCAAGATATTTTTTGCTGGTTTGTACGCTGATCACCAAATAAAACCTGAGTTTAAGCCAAAGATCTTTGGACGTAAGTTCAAGAAATGCACTTTGGGCATAAAGGACTGTAACAGAAACAAAGAAACATTCAAGTGTGTTTGAATGATCTCTTAATGAAGGTTTGTTTTTATCAATAGACATAACATCTAGATATTCTATGCTCACAACAGCTATGCTGGATTTTTTGCTCACTTAATTTCACTCACAGACCAACCAATAAAGTGCTATTGCTTGCAGCAATACTTGGCAAAAATCAAAATTGCTTTCCAACCCGGAGTTATGAGTGATGCACTGGAATTTTGTAGTGATTGAAAATGTCTCAGTATCTTGTGGTGATACAAGTACTGCCAGCTGTAGCATTGAAGATATTACCAGTTTGACAGGCGTAACTGAAAGTCGTACATACAGTACTTGGCGAGTGCATTCAAATGCGAGTTAAAGTTGTTGGTTATCTGCAAAGTTTCAAAATTCTACATTTAGTACCGCTTAAAAGTTTGAGCATCCTGGCGAAAAATAACAAATATAAGGCTTTCTTAACCTTTTTTCTTCTTTATATCTCATGATACTCTTATCTTTGTCTGTTGAAGATGATCTGCTTGGAGAGCGGGAGGGCGCCCGGTTTTTCGAACGACATCCACTATCCTTCGACATGCGACTTCTTGGAGACCTTGATCTTGACCGTCTTTTATTTTTTTTCTTATATGATTCACGTTCCATTGTTTACTTTAACGATCAAACTTCCTACCTATTAAAATCACTGCTAAATTCTTACCGCCATCTTCTGCAAGAAGTCTAATAAAGTTGTTGTTGTTTTGGAAGCTCGTACTAAAAAGAGGCTTTTGCATAAGTTCTTCTTGCTGCATGCTCAAAATGGCTACAACAAGACGTACTATTTGGAAAATCAGAGGTTTTTATTACTTTGCCATTTCTATTCTTTATTTTTTGCTTCCATTTACACAGTTGATAGAAGGATATGACATGATTATTCATTCTGTTATAGATGCAGCTTGCTTCCTTTCCGCTAGAAATCCGACAAAGGTAATAAAGTTTTTGAATATTTTTTGTGCACTGCATTTGCCGACCCCGTAGGGTACCAACTTATGTAGTTTGAAATGCCATGGTCTTAGTTTTGAGGTACAAGATCTCTAGAATCAAAAGCTCGGCTCTGTAAAAGATTCAGCTTTGCAATCGTGTTGTGTGATTTCAAGTAGCAGCTCGTGATGTGGTAGAAATGGCTGGTGGGGCAAAAGGTCAATCAAGAACCACTCGATCGAGTGGGGCCCCTTGTTAGTTATACTGTGCCAGACCCCCCATGGTTATTCTAGTGAGGGTTTTTCCTCATGTTACTAGTTCTTTCTTGCCAAAATGTACAGCTCATATATATGAAATAATTCATATGCTTTATAATTGAAATTTAAAACATGTGGTTAAACTTGTTTTTGTTATAATTTATACCTGGGTTTAGGTCAACTACAGATATCTCATTAATGTATATGTTCGTGAACTCAAAGTTTCTTCCTTGACATTTAAATCTTGTAAAAACTACAGTAGAAAAATTAGTCATAATAAGTTGGAAAAATTGTAACTCACTATTTTGGGAAACATCAATTTAGCAGGTATACACAAGGAGATGATGTAACAATAAATGTGAAATTCAAGCTTAACAAATGGCTGTTAGCAAATTCAGAGATTCACAAAGAACCACATTTTACTTTTCAAGTTAATTTAAAACACACATCAAGACTGCTTTTCATAACATCCATATGAAGTGACAAAATTTTAGCTTGGTGTGTTTTCATATTTGTCATAAAAATTTTGTAAACAAGACATTTTGTCCTTTATTGATTTCTGCTTTTTGTTCTAACTTGATTGCTTATTTCATCATAAGATTTGATGTTTATGGCAAAAGTCCTATCTAGAACTCTTTTTGTTCACAAAGCAAAACAGCAAACTCTTCAAGACTAGTAGCATCATGATAACCAACCTTCTTTGGAAAATAAGGAGACTCTGTCTGAATTTTGTCTGAACTGTTATGTTAGCAGTAGCTCTGGTCTGTTTAGGCTTAGCTGTTGCAGTTACTCTTTGGTCTAACAAAACTTTAAGACTGTGCCTATCCAGTTTTATTGATAATTTCATTTAGTTTGTCCATTAAAATATGGAACAAACAACAATGACTGATTTCTGCTGGATCAACCATTTGAAGCAAACTATGTTTAGAGAGCAGTACTGTGTCCTATTTTGTTCTTTGTTCTGACTGAGAGTTGTTTTTATAAACATAAGTTGTTGTTGCTCATGGGAGGGCAGGAATATTCTTTGCCCAAAAACAAGCTAAATTAGCCAATCACTATGCTCTTCAAGTCATATGATGGCCTCAATACACATGCCCAGACTGGCTATGGAGGGGCAAATTTAAATTTCAGAGCACAACAATAACTTTATGACCACTATGCCTACCTTTTGTTGACATCCATTTTCTGAAAATCTTTTAATTGTTTTCACGATATGAGTAGTGTTGCTGATTTTTTTAAATCTAAAATATTGTTCTTCATGACAGTTTTGCCAAAGATTCAAAACATCATTTAAAGAGAAGATAAAAAACCTTCAGAGCTTAGGACTGTATACAGCATCAGATCCAGTAAGTAACCTTTTTCTGAAACTGAACAAAGGTCTGACCTGAAAAATTCCAACTTTCCTTAGGAAAATCAAATTATTAAGATATGTTTTATGGCATTCATAAATCTTGTAAACAATAATCTTGTAAGACCAAGATTTTATTTTAACCTTAATTGTCTTATGTAGTTAAATTGTGTATTCAATAAAATCTAGGCCTAGTTTAATTGTTCACTGTTTACAAGCTTGAGAATACAAGTAATCATGCTATTTTGCTCAGATGGATCTTTTCCTTGGCCCTTTATTACAAAGGCCAGTTGAATGAGAGAAATTTAGATATTTATCCCTTGGAAAACTCATTGTCATGAATGCAAAGGGTACTACTAGCAAATAAATGAAATTAATGAATGAAGCAAATAAATGAAATAAATGAATGAAGGCAAACTCTAGACAAAGATAATTGATGTTTGGTAGGTTGAAAATGTCGAAAATTATAACAAAACAAAACAAAACAAAGCAGCCATTTTGTTTTTCCATAGTAAAGTTTTTAAATGTTGCTCTTTAAAAGTTCGAAATCATATTGCTACATCAAAGGCAAATTCATTTGAATTTGTTCATGTTGTTGGGGTTTTTTACTAGATTGATCAAAATGAAAATGATGTATCAAAAGTTTACCGTATAAGTGTTAAAGACATGAAGACAATATTCACTCATGGCTTTCCTACAAGAAGAACAAACAGGGTATGGAAATTATGTGTTCTTCTTTTGTTAAAGATTTCATTTTTCAGCCTTAACATTGTTTAGCAATGTTAGAGTAAATCAAATAGAATATCAACAAGTGAGGCTCCAATTGAATAGTCATTAATGGAATCTGACAATTATTAGAAGCAAAGTACATACTGTTCTGTTTACTGGTTTATAAGTGATTGCATCTCAATTTGCCAAAGTGAGTGTAAGTTTATCTGCCGTACAAATATGTTAGCTACAGGTTGTAGAGATGATATATGATATATATATTGTACGATATATAAAGATAGACACATAGGAACTGTGACAACTTTAAAGAGGTTCAACAGGTAGTTTGTTGACATTTTGCTATTAATGTACATTCTATATCAAAATTTTAGCAAGTTGATTTCACTGATTATCATATGCTGATAAGAAAGCCAATCCTGGAGGTCCTTCAGAATGTCAAGAATCTCAAAGATGGAGACACACCCCCACGCTTCGTTTTCTGTATCCTTTTCATTGCAGTCAGTTTCTTAGCAAGTAAAGCTCTTATTGAGCAAGTCTTTACTGTTTCCTGATTTATAGTCAAATTTATTTAAGGTTAAAAAATTTCATGTCATCCTCAAGGAAGCATGCATCAGCCTTGTAGCTTCTGTAGCCTTACAGCTCTATGTTTCATGTCCTTGAAAACTCACTCAGTCAATTAACTTTTACAGATTCAAGCTAGCGTGTAGCTTTATGAACTAAAAAGGGCCAAACAAATGTAAACTTTTTATAAAATTAAATCGATCTGAGGTGTTCCAGTACCAGCCTAAAAGGTTTGAGAATGCTATTTTGTCCAATAATTTCCCTTTTTTGTCTCCTTTCTTTAAGCTATCTAGGATATATTAAGCTCTATTGATTTATTTGGCATTTTGTTAGTATGTACAGAAGAACACACTGTACGACTTTATGGTTTCGTTGCCTTACGTTTTCTAATTCATGCACCTTCTCATGTGATTCTTTGTGTTACATTAATTTGGAATTTACAGGATATTATAAAAGAAGAATTTTTATTCTCATAATCTTGCCATACAATTTGGCCATTATTTCTGTATGGCATTATTATTATGACATATGACTTTTTATGTCTTTAAGACAAAGCTATCTATGTGTTTTAGCAAAGCAAACGTTTTCATAGCCTTAACAAATCTGTAGATGGCGATGATGGAACTGGTAAAAGCATAGGGCTGTGTCATTTGATACACATGTGTGCACATATGAAATGGCTCATACTGCATCTCCCCTCAGGTATCTTGGTCTTTATGTTTTTTTCCTAAACATTTACTGTTATTTTTCAAATTATAAATTCAAGATTTTCAAAGCAGAATAAAGCATATATTTAGTTTGCTGTTTTCATAATTTTTTTAGTGTACTCGTTCACACAAAGTAAATCAGAGACAGAACCGTCATCATGGAAAAATGGAAGAATTGATCAACCAGCTGACAGCAGTATATGGCTAAAAGCTTTCAAAACTGTGAATCAGTCATTTCTTGAAACAGTATGTATTGATTTTCTTTCCGCTACTTTTTCTGGTCATTCCTAACTTTATTCAATTATGTTATAGTGTTTTAATGTTATAAATAGATGCAATAATGTAGTCATTATTTTGATAAGACGAAGAGACATCAAAGTTGCAATAATGGAGCATTTGAGGGGAGTTATAATACTAGCAATATTGTTAAGTTCTGAGGTATTGAAAATGTCATTTTTATTTGATTTACCTTAACCTCTTAAATGCTACTTATTAACTTCATGAAGAAGTTGCAAAATGAATCTGACTTGTGAACACGAAACATTTGTACATGTGATGCACGATCGCCAAGGAATCTTCATATGATAAACAAAGAGAGACAAAGTTAGTTCATCTCCACGGGGCTACAATCTTGGACACAACTCTTGAGACAAACTCCCAGAAAACCTTCCAGGTTGCATGCCTGTAAAGTCCAACATCTACCCCATCCCTTATTCACAGTTTTGCTAAGCGTTTTGATAGCAGAAATTTAAAGATTGATCTAAGGAATGGGGGCTCAAAATCTAAACACCCATTATAGCCCAATAGGATTTGGAACAACTTGAATAGGATAAATATAGTAACTGACTTAATCTAACGACATTAAAGCAGCGAAAACTCTTAAGATTGAGAAAATGACAAAAAATTTTCTATCTAGTGGACACTTATTGGACATGCGCTAATGCCTGTTCGTTGACGATGGCCGTTGTTTTGGGGGGGTGGGGGGTTGCTTTAACCTTTTACAAGGCCTTGGCAAGAGAAACAGGATTGCTCATTGGCGTACGTTATTGTTAGGTCTGTTAGAAGTGATTCTACTCTAGATTTGTTATTAATACTTCCAATTTTGAAACGGTAATGTAGTTGTACTTTGATGATTTATGTAATATTCCATATCTTGCAGCAAAATGATAGGCACCTACTAGTCACAACAAAATGTTTGCCAGATTCTTGATCAATTCTTATTTCATCGTAGATAACAACTTCCAAAGAATACAAATGGGGTAGGTTAGAGGCAATACCCGCTGGAACTCCTATTGGACGAGTCGTAGAACAGGTGATCGATTTCTAGCTAAAATCCAAGTGTGTTAGGTTTTGAAAGATTCTAGGCACCAATTTTCAAACAGGCCTTTAATGGGATCTTTTGTAATGATGTTTTTTTAAGCATATTAATCATAATCCAAATTTTCCGAGTTAGTTAGTTAAAGTTTGGTTGATTAGAAAGGTTAGTTGGGATGTAGTAGTAAGTTGCCATTGTATTGTACTGTTTTCATTGAGAATTTCTCTACGGGAACGAACACATATGAACATAGCCGTGCCTTTAGAGAAGGTTTTATGAAACACTGCTTATGCATATAAAATTATTCTATATAACAAGGTAATGACAATTGCTGTTTACCGGTCGGTCATTAAGTGCTCGATACCGTATGGTCTATACAGTTTCCTGGTGATCGCAACAAGCATGAAACTTGGAGTAGCAACTTAGAACCTTCCTGTTTATATGCACCAAATACATATATAACAATGTAAAAAGTTTCATTGTCTAATGCATACAATGATAGAGTATAAATATGGGGATATCTGATACTACAGTTGGCTTTTTATGCTGTTTGTGAGTTAATTTATCTGATGATTCAGAAATGTTATGTTTAGCAACTACCTGCCTTGTAAAAAAAGGCATTATAAATATTCCTGGATTTTATTTAAAATGATATTCTGTTTCCAAGGGCATGGGAAGAACAAATTTTGCGACAGACGCTGTTGGGATTGTCCTAAAGGAAGTACAGCAAGCAAAGGAGTAAGTTCGTTAAGTCTTATCCTTATGCGTGATTACGTTAATCGCCACCAACGCCTACATTTCCCAAGTATACTCTGTTTACCTGGTTTTACTCAATTTTCGCACTGTTTGAAGGTGTATATTACATTGAAATGCTGAGAGACTCCCAGTTAAAACAGCGAAAGATTTCCATTCATGCCACTTAAAAGGGCCCTAAGTGAAACCGGCCACTGCACACATTTGTTGAGACTACATCGTTACTTTTTGCCTTAATGATATGCTAATTTAAATGACACTTTCTACAAAAAAGGGTAAATAAACCATAAACTAATGTGGTTTTTTTCAGTGTTAAAGTACTCTATGCAGTCGACGAATTCAATGGTTTGTTTTCAACGTCATCCATCCGGAATAAAGATAATGAATTCGTAAGACCTTTTTGATATATTTTCTTTGCCTCGTTTTTATCAGCCTCGCTCGGGTCGGTTATTTTCCCGAATTCTCTACTAACTTGTCACGTTTTGCACACCTTTGTAGAGTAATCAATAATTGAAATCATCGCACGTCGTATATCAAGATCCCGACACTTCTTTTGATGTGACGTAATTTAAAATCGGTTGATGTATCTTTTTGTGATTTTTCTACTTGTTATTTTTCTATCCTCCGTTTGATGTTTTTAACCTAGAACATTTGATGGATTTATCCTAGTTTTCAAATTTTAGACTTTACAGTATCAAATTGTTTTGATATGATTTAATCTAAACTAAATTACGGAATATCTTAGCACTGGCAATCGTGTAGATTTATTTCTGTCTTGGAACCGTCTGTTTACTGTAATCGGATGTATTTGAATCATTTTACAATTTATTAAATGTTAACAAAGATAAGTATATAGGTTAAGTTTTAAGCAATCAATAATAATTATATTTTTGCTCTGTCTACAATAATACATATCTTTTTGCACGAACATAATATCATATGCTTTCATACAACTTCATTTCCACAGATCAACCCACAAGACCTTTCGTTCATAAGACATTTTACGAGACTTCTAGAGCCGGGCAGCTCACTAGTAAGTAAATAGATTAATTCTCCTGCAGTCTTCTTTAGAAGTTTTGCATAAACATCTAATTTCGTGCTTTGATATTGTTACGTTTGATGTCGCTCTAAAGGTATAGCTTATTTTAGAGATTCATTGCTAACAATAAACCTTTGTGCGCTTGGCAAATTGTCCAGGCGAGGATCCAAACAATGGCGGTCAACTTCTACGGATTAACCAAAGTTGATTTAAGACTGTCTGAAAATGCATTATGGGATCCTTGCGCAGCGCAACGGCTCATTGTTAGCAATGAGTCTTTAAGGCTTGATGACTGCATACATCCAACATTATAATTTAGAATTTCTATTTATGATATTATTAATGTATATATATTAGCACTGTTTTTTGAGCAATGAGTTTTATTGCTGATCGTTATTATCGATGACATTTGCTAGGTTTTGTCTATGTAACTTCAAGACTGAACGCCTTACGAATCGACCTATTTAGACGTATTGGATAATAAATAGGCTTGAGGGGCGGATGGCGTTGTGAAACATATAGTAGCCAATAGAATCGTTGTTGAAACCAGAAAAATTTCCTAATGAAGTTATTCATTTAGGTTTCAGGCTGCTACGCAGTGGCTTTATCGCGGACGAGCAACTTCAAGCATTATGTCCATTCACTTGAAGTAGAGGACCAACTTGGAAAAATGGTAAGACGGAGTTGTTTCTATCAAGAACGCGCTAGTTGTACTAGGTTGACAAGGAAGCCTTCTCCATGTGCAAAGGGGTGTGACAGGGCTGGTGGATGCTAGGTTAAAACTTATAGACAGGAAACTGACACGGCAAAAGCTTTTAATATTACATTGACATATAAAACTATTTTTGCATGAATATTTTTTAATGAATTCGATTGACACATAAATGTTTCGACTTATTTGGAGGATAGCTACTTATAATAAGTGAGGAGTTCTCATTTCTTTTCGTTTCTAAGCCAACTATTCTATAAGACTGTTATGGATTATTTAAAGATTGACCCCACACTCAACATTTTTTGGCATTCAACATTATATAGAAACCTTACACCATATTTACTCCAATTGTATCATCTGAATTTACAGTGTGTCAAGTACATCCTAATAATTTAAATGATGTACAAGGCTTTAACGAAAACCGAAAGGTCACATGGTGGATACTGTTGATTCATTTACTATTCTGCAAGTTTGCAGACGCATGGTCTCCGTTATTAGCTCGGCTTATTATTAGGCGCAGTAGTTCTCGTTTAGCCAGGGTATCTGAGTATCTGCTATTTGAGGTTACATGTGGATCTTACAATTTTCATGTTTTCTTCATTACAAAGAAGATTTCGTGATCGTTTCTGTGTTAGAGACAATCAAGTATTGATTTTTATCCCCACTGCTTGTCACTTGTTGATTAGGCTTGATATAGCAAATCAAAATATTTGGTCGATGACTTTTTCAGTATAGAAAGGAACGTTGCTTGACTGATATCAACTGTGGGAGGAAACTGAGATTAAAACTCATGAGATAAACGTTAACGAGTTTGTAGCCTTGCACGGTGTAATGACAAGGCTGAAAAGTCAATTCATTAATATGCTGTGTTCGAAACTACACCACAATTTCATTTTGATCAGCAAATCAGACGCTGCGTCAAAGCAGTGCAGCTTCGATTACACCCATATCGGATGTCTCACAAACCTCTCTTTAAGGATAATCTGTGTCTCAACATATGTAACCAAAAGTCTATGCCGAGATAGCTGTTTTTAATGCAATTTTTAAAAATTCATTGACTGATTTGATAAAGTTTTTGCAATGTCATGTTATTTTGGTGGTTTTTCATTTAATCGACTGATCATGTTAGTGTTGACTCGTTATATATCAAATTAAATACTAACTTTGCCAAGGTACTCCCAGTTCGGAAATTACAGTATTGTTATAGGGGAAAATTATCAGCGAAAGTATGTTTGATATTTAATCCTTTTATTGACACAAATTATGTTATATTTTGTTACATATGCTGCATTGTACATGCTAATTATTACATTAACTTGTATTTCATGTTTTATTAAATAACTTTAGTGTGAGACGTTGAATCTAATTACAGGGAATGTCTCTTCTTGGTAAACACATTCCTGTCCAAGTGGAGAATTTCACAGAGGAGGAGCTGTACAACTATCTTTGCTTGCTGAAGCAGAATTTCCTATTCAATAAAGGTAAGACGTTCATTCTAATTGAATACGATTCAATGGGACCTTTTACAATTGTGAATGCAATCGGGTCATTCATTTTAGCAAATTTATCTCATCGCCTCAGATCTCTTAAAGCTGGAGGATTAATGTTTATAGACTTGATATCCTTAAGCCGTTCATCTTGCATTGATCGTTATCACAGAAAACTGTCAAATACTTCAAACCATGATGTTTGAGGAAGTGCTCCTTTATTGTTAGGAAATTGGCATTGCAGGCGTCTAGGCCAAAGTATGTCTGTGTGCTTGTAAATTTGGAGCCGAAAAAGTATCAAAAGGATGATTTACGGGATGTTTAGGGGTAACTGTGCGAAAGATGCGCAGTGAAAAAAGTGAGAACGGAAGGGAGGGAGTTTGGTTGGTGAGAGGGAAAGATAAAGTTGTTGCAGAAAATGATTGATGAAGAGAGTAAATAGGGACAGGTAGAGGTCAGTGTGTGAAAGTAGCTCAAGGATGTGAGCTGGGGGAATAAATCGAAAGGTAGAAGGAACTTTGAGTGTGCGAATAAAGGAGAGGCCTCCGGAGGAAATCTTGTGAGGAAAAATCGATAAAATAGTGGTATATAAGGAACACCGCAACGCGACGAGAATAAACAACAAACACACAAATCAGTGATGGCTAATATTTCGTCCCGGCATACGGGGCTTCATCAGAGCAAAAATGAACTTGCCGAGTAAATGTAGGAGAACAGATAGAAACTGGATAGAAAGAGCCGCGGAAGAAAGAAACAGTTTGTGGAGAAAGGAATCGAGATAGATATGACAGAGAAAAGATGCTCAAAAATAAAGTGGCCAGGCAACGGGCTGAAAGAAGAGAGTATTTATCAAATAGAAGGAGTGGAAAGCGTGGCTGGGAAGGGGATAAATAAGGATATGATTAGACAAAATGTATCTGTTAGAAATCAGAAACAAAGTATTCATTAATTAGAGCGAGATTCACCAATACTGACACGATAATAATCAGTTGTCTTGTGTAGTCACAAGTGATTAAATTGCTTGGCTTCTGCTAGATAGTAGTTGGTAGAATTTCCAGGCTTTACCCTCTTATCAGAGCTGACCTACAATTAAGTTTCATAGTTATTCTCTTTTGACACCGACTTTCGTTTTTCTCGCCACGGCTAATCCATATTGAATTCTATTTTCACCACTCTTTATCGGAGTCCTTATGAGCTTCATCCAGAAGTTGTTTCTATTAGAAGCTGTGTTGTAGCTTTTTCAAAAAAATGATTAAGGAATAGAAGAAAATTTTCAGACCCAGTGTCAAAGGACCAAATTCCTTGGTTATCAATTCCATCTAATTTTCCAAATGCACGCCCTCATAGCTGATTAGCTTAATTCAGTATTCACGAAACATTTTTTCATCAGCAGCTTAAACAAGGTAGCACTATTTTGTACTTTTGGTAGATGGTATGCAAGCAGGAACGCCAACATTAAGCCAACATTTATGCATTATATGGAGACTCCGAAGTTGGTTTTCTATGAATTGTGCCGAGCCCTTGAGGCATTGTCACCGTTCTCAAATAAGCAGCTAGTGGACTTGTTAAGATTCTGTGTTCAACGATTAGAAGGGATCTCGTGGCTTTAAAACCAGTGGCGTTTTAAGGAAAGAATTGTCAGTTGATTCAGAATCTGGAAGTATAAACTGCCGACATGTTTCAAGGTGGTCGCACTTAATTTTCATAAAGTGCTTGTAAGAAAGCTGCAAAAACTAGCATGTTTGGAACGCATTTTTTTAAGAATCAGTGCTTCCAAAGATGCTTCTACCATTTCTGACGGGAATTTACCTATTTTCGTTTGACTTACATTGAATGTGAATGATTAGTGAAGAAAATCCAAACCGCTAGATTTGTATGAAATGCAGTCTCCTTAAACTCTAAGCCTTTTCCTTTTGAGTCTCTACGTCATCAAGTTATTGCTCTTCGGGGGCCTTTCGGGGTCCCTCTGAACTCTGGGGCTTTAGAAATTGCTCTAACGCTGACGTTAGTCTGAAAAACCAATTGACTGTAGCTCGTCTTTATGTTTTTCATTTCTTTTAAGCTAACTAACCATTTGCTTTCATGCTTCCATAGAGCAATTTTGATAGCTAAGGTGATGATATACATATGTCACTTGAAAAACATGTTTCATTACGTAGTGACTTGTAGTAATCCAACATTGTTGACCGAAAGGGAAGGATTGAGAGAGAAGGTTGCAAATTGACGTTAGTATATTCAGAACTTATTTCAGATACCCATGTTTATGTTGATTAATGTCATGGTTCAATATATAAAAAAGTATTAAATCTAGCAATAAAATTGGTGACGTTCCTGGGAATATTGCCTTGTAAAGAACGAAAATCACTTCAACTGCTCGATATTCTTTAGAAGAATTTTTAAGATTTTAAGAACTGAGTATGGTGGGTACGATTTTCGAGGCTATCTTGAAACAGGGCCCGAGGATTGCTAGAGCACTAAGTTATATGCAACCTTTTAAGGAGAGATATATAATCAATTTCTAGACTAGCCTAGAAGATTTGTCTGACCTTCCTTCTTATCTGGCAGCATTATCTACTAATTATTTTACCGCTACCACAAGTTATTTTTCTTCAAAGCACAGTGTATCCCCTTGCGCTTGGACCAGGATTTCGAATCTATGCATTTGTTTCCTCTGCTCTTATTAGTTGCATTTGGGTGTCTGCCAGGTCATTCTCAAAAGAAAAGAACGCCAAATCCACACCCAAGCTATGACTGGCTCCTACTTGGAAAGTCATCCTCATTCATTGATCTGTTCCCTTAGAAATTTTTTTTATTCGTTGCTGATAATGTTGGCCAATGTATGAAAATTTGAAAATCAATTTTTGTTGAAGGTGATTAAAAAGGTGATTCAGCGTTGAGCCCTCTCGTCAGTCAGACAAAAATAGTTCAAAATATCTTAATCCAGCATTATTTTATAGATACTTCAGAATTTGTTTAAAGTATCAAGTTTTTATATCAAGTTTTACCACCTGTTATTTCAAGTAAAAAGAGGACATTATGGTATGTTGGCTTGAGATTGCATCTCCAGAGAATGGCAGAGGATGTCCAGAGTATCTTTAGATCTCTAGCTATATACACGTTAAATATCATATAATATTATGTAATATTTTGGCTTTTTATGATAATCTTTCAATATATTGGAAATAGTCCATAGAAAGCTCAATGCATTGCTAGATCTCTTCTCCAAAGAAGTTATTTATTGCATTTATTATGATTTTGTTATATGCTTGTCACAGTTGCGTTGATAGCCTAATTTATTCTCAAGTTTTTTCCTCAACAGAGATCACTGGTGAACTTCAGGCTGAGATACGGTTCCTGACAGACGGTAACCCAACCGAGGTTGTACGGCTTGTCAAGGGACACTGATAGGTGCCAGTCAAGTGCCAAAGTGACAGGTGACAGGAAATTAATTACCTGACAAATGTATATCACAGAATTCTAGATTGAGAAACACCTTGGTACAGTGTCACAGATGACATTTATGTACAAGAAATGTAATGTATATTCTTAGTTGTGTATAGACACCTCTTTGGGACACACTTGTTTGGTTTGATGTTTGACGCTGAAATCAAGCTCAGAATTTTGGAATAAATTTTCCGTTAACTGTAATAGAACAAGATTCCCTTTCGTAGATTTGCAAGGGTCATCAATCTTTCTTTTATAATATCAATTTAAAACTTTAATAAATTGGTCGTCAGTCTGCCATTTGTATGCTAGAAAACCAAATACCACAAGCGTTGTAATCAGATTTAGGCCAGTTGACTTCTTTCGACTAGGAGATGAGTTTTCAAGTGTTCTGTGGAAAAATTGGTTTGTTCTTTGATAGTATGTTGATAGACTATGGTATAGGGGTTAAACCAAGTTTGAAGAGCAGTATTGGGTTTCGGGTAAATTCCATGATCATTCAAGTAGCTGACAATAACACGCCTACTATCCAATCGTGGTTGTTTGGAAAGTTTTCATTCGGTTGCTGTACAGTTTTTTGAGCATTTGTGCTGACAGTGTATTCCCAACACAACTTTGACATGACCCATTAGCTTGACCTGACTTCGACCCAAATTGTTGGTCAGAGTGATGCTTAATGGCTTGAACGTGTTGAACCAGCCAGAGCTTCTTCCAAATCGCGGAAAAATTTAAGGAGTCAAACATTTTTGAAAGGGCAGACGTTTGTGTGCTATTTTTTGAGTTTCAGTTGAATTAAATTTGGTTGAAAGTTTATCATGGCCTTGCGAAGGCAAGACTCTACTTCGTTTATTTGAAGGAAGGAACAAGCTGGATAAGATATTCGAGGAAGCAGAGTCAGTAATTAGGCAACATAAATCACTTTTGTTGTATCAACAGGTGTGATTGACTTTCATGTTCTCTTTCTTGTCATATAGCCCATGAAAAATTTCTGTCATGTGGCCGCGCCTTGCGTTCAGTTCTGCCACTATTGACAGGAACTGTTTAATCTTCCTTGACGTAGATGATTCGAAGATGCAATGCTGGGATTCCTTGTGCGGATTTGCACCTACGGAGGTGGAGCGGAGTACCTCCGCAACACGATTTTGGATAAGTCAGCTGCCGAGGTGTTTGATTCTGTTAACTGACGAGAAACACTTGCATGGAACTGAGGAATTTATATCTTCGAAACACAACAAAGTATATCAGCTCATTTAGTGAATGTCTGAAAAAGCGTGAGAGGTTGGCATCGAAAAGAAGGAAAAAATTTTGTGGAGAGGTGTAATGTTGATTGAAACAACCTTGTGTTGTTTTGTGTTGATCAGTCCCGCTAACTGGAATGCCTAGTTAAAGAGTTTGATAAAAATGGGGTCGCAACATTTTGATGACTTATTGACTATGCTTTAATTGACAGAGAAAGACCTTGCATACTTGTTCTCTTTCCATTTTTCCGCAACAGTGCTTCATCAAATGACGTAAGCATTCTCGATAATGTCTTTCACGCATGCGCATCTACCTATTGCATGCTACAGTGCATTGGCGCCATATTTGTGTTAAGGCAAATATTATGTAAGAGATAACTGTGTTTAATAGTTTATGGGCGCAATAAATTAAACAAGTTAATACAAACAAATTATGATATATCGCAATTATTGACTTAGATATTATCACCTATTGCTGAGAAAATAATTCCTCTTTTAATAGGCCTTGTCCTGACAAGTTTTTCCCGGAACAGATTTCGGTTTCCGTCTTGTGCAAATGACTGGTTTATCTATCTTCCATTCACCTAAATCCGATGGATAAATTTGTTTAAAGTTTACCATATGTGCAGATTTTAGAACTGTATCGTTCTAATCCAAGTTTTCCTTCAAAGCAGATATTTTATAGAAAGTCGTCTTTAGGTGAACATGTGTGTTGGCACCAGAGATTCTCCAACCAAGGGGTCGAGCTTTCCTACAGGGAGCAAACTTGTTCTCAATATCGCTGGAATCCCCGCTTTAACAGATCCTGCTTTCTCTCGCCTTTTTACCGATGGGGCAGTTGACATGCTGCAAATAGAAGACTGTAACCACAAGATGAAAGTTCATTCAATACATAAATTATACTTATTCTCTTTATAAGAAATAAAGGTTGATATTAGTTAATCGCTTTTCTTAACGTTTAGACAATTTCCAGCCTTGCTTCAGCGCTTGTTGTTTCTCAAGAGTTCTTAATTTAAATATCACGACATTAATATTTGGAGTCTTATATGAAAGGTTCAATGCCATGAATTTGGTATATTTTACATAATTTTGCTACAGAAGGTAAAAGACTAAAGTTGGTTATTATGAATTTTGGGATTTGAAGAATTTTTTGTTATTTGTGTGTAAAGTTTTATGCCAAGTTCAACCTTTTTTCAAATCGAAACTGTTTTACAATTGTTTTTGCTTAGTAGCAAAACAATTATTTTGAATTTTCTTTTTCTTTTGGAATGTCTATAACTCACAGCAAGTCACTTGCATATTCAGTAGTCTGCATTATTCATTGCAGATCTTGGCCCCATTTTTGAGAACTTTTTTCTTCTCGGCATTCATCAGGATTTAAAATGTTTAAAATTTAGCTCAAAATGGAGCAAATGCTTTGTATTCATCATGCAGAGACGAAGTCACCGGGGGGAGGGGGGAGGGGAGGGCTTTGAACAGAACGTGAAAAACACCTCCTTTTTTTCTTTTCTGGAGAAGGTTTTTTAATGCATGAGCAGATTGTCTGGAGGTAGCATAAACATTTTTAATGACTCTGGCTTTACATGGAATTAAAATCATGATGATGTTGGGCTGTTGGTGAGGCGCCAAATCATTTTAGTATGCGATAAACCATCGTGGATTTCTAGCAAGTTAACCAACTTTCCACCGCTGGTTCGCCGCTGGCTAGCAAGTTGTGATGAAAAAATTTTTCTTGCTACCTGTTGCTAAGTTAATTTTTCAAAGATTTACATTATGTAACCTACTTTTTATTGTTTTGTATTGTTTTGTATTGTATTGTATTGTATTGTATTGTATTGTATTGTATTGTATTGTATTGTATTGTATTGTATTGTATCATTTAATTTTAGTTTTCACAATAGTGAGCGCACACTGATCAAAACTAATATGAAGAAATTTCAAGGATTGCATAGGACAGATTACTTACTGCAAAACAAGCACGCGCACTTGTTTTCAAGGAACCAAGTTTTGATCAAATTCTTGAATTGTTTAGTATTTTTTGCTGTCTTTATTGATTCTGGGAGTGAAGACTGATTGTACATTGTGGGTACCATAGCAAGGCAGGAGTTTTGACAGTGGGTGCTCTACCAATTTGGTTGTTAAGGTTTTGGGTACTTGTCCAGATTTAGGGCGGGAATAAAACCATGTTCAAGGGGTCTGGTACACTGACTGCTGCTGCAGTCACCGAACGGCCTTAGCGTATAAATCGAAATGCAAGTGAGTCGGCAGAGTAACAGCAAAAGATGACTTTAATTGTGATTTTGACTATATAAGTAGGGATCCTAACTCTCTGATCTTTACTGTGATTTTAGACATTTATATACTTTTGATAGAAAAGGGAGTTTACTAGCTAGTTTTCCAATGAGAGATCCTTGCGTGACCCCTGCTTAGCAACTGCTTATAGAGATACAAATATGCTTTATGAATTGAATATCATTGAGACAAGCGACTTGATCATTGGATCAACTATGTCAAGTCATATGTTGCGATGGTAGATGAAGTTAATTAAGATGCCGATCAAATTTTGTTCATGGAATACGTGTTGGTCATGTAAGGTTTACATTGCATCAAAAACTGTAAACAAATTGATACCGGGCGCTTAATTCGAGTCCGCTTATTGACGCAGATAAACCTCCGATCAATCTCCAAGATTACTTGAAGGTGACTCCAGCTATGCTGCTGGACAAGGGACGATTGATCACCCGCCAAATTTAGCGCAGAATGAACTTGCTGTAGGTGATCTGACGTCAGCAAATAAATTAGACTGTTGACTTGGCATTTACTTGCTTTTTACTTCGAGAATATAAGAAAAAGTTGTAACCTTCGAGGTTAGAATCACTCCATGAAAATCTCGTAATCGGCATCTGGAAGTTCTATTTTTATCTGAAAATCCCTGGAATTCCGTTAGTTTTCGCAGCAATCTCGTAGGCAGTTTGCCATTTTCAAGAGTGATTTGACCTTCGAATTCTTGATGTAACAATACAGTCTTGATGTAGCAATGCAGTCTGGATGTAACAATGCAATCCGTCTTGATGTAACAATGCATAAATAGGTCTCAAGAAAGTTAGATTGCCATTAAGTCAAGGAACATTTATTGCAGTTTTCTTCAGTACTAATATAACATCGTATGCTTTGTATTTCAGTATTAACAAGCGATTAATTATTCTTTAAAATAAAGACACACGTAAGATTAATCGTGACGTCATTTTCTGCCAGCTTCGAACAGAATATGGCTTAGGTATATTTTCATCTCAAATTTAGGAATGGGATACCGATATTTCTCACGACAATTTTTAAAAGTGATAGAAATAACGGAAATAATTGAAGTGCAGCTGCAATGTGTTAGTGCTTGTGGTTGTGCAAAGTTGGTTCCCCGTTGTTTCTCAAAGGGCGTTGCTTCCAGAATAATATTTATCGCTGACAGCGGTAAAATAGCTGATACCTCAAATTAGGGCACTTAAAACCAAAATCTGAAGTTATTTCTTATGCCTTACGATTAGAATCTGTTTGCAATGATCTACAGCCTTGATCGACGACGGCTCTGCCGGGCTGTCCTCTCGATCCGGCTCCTTGCTGGACCATTTATACTGTATAGAAGCTTTTAACATCGTCTTTAGTTCAACAGGTGTAAGGCTGAATGATTCGTTTACTGTTTGGTAATTATTGATCTCATTTTTAAAAACCTTTTACGATTTATGAAACCGATAAAAAAATAAGTTGATGACAAGTTAGATTATGACATCTTTTGCTACGCGCACACGAGAGAATTTTCCTTAAGCAAACCATCATTGTGCCCTTTCACTAAATTTGCTATTTCTGGTTTCACTAAATAGCAAGCAAATTTGCTATTTCTGGCTGAAAGAAAAACTTCCTTAAGATCGAAGACCAAGACGCATGCGGCGGTAGTTTCGATTTGGAATGGCATCAGACAGGGGAAATAATATTGTTGACGAAATTCTCTCATTTGCGCCTAGAACTTAAGTGGGGGTTGAAAACACTCGTCCCTTCCCTTACTTATCATCCACTCCTCCGCCACCGCATCAATCCATAATACCTCTTAGTCGGTTTCTTATAGATCAAGTACCCAGGGTAGCATACCTTTTGTGCACCGACAACTGCAGTGTATCAACATTCAATAACCTTTTATAATCATATGTTTGCTAGCTGGTATTTAACTGTACTTCAATCAGTGATAAGTACCCAATTCCTTCTCACTCTCATTTAGAATACACCCGCGAAGACAGTGAAAAAACAAGGGGGTCGTCTCAAGCGTATCTCAAAACGCAATAGCAGTAATTTAAAGATTTTTTCTTCGCTAATTATGACGGGTTACCCCCACTGCATCTCTGCCCTGCCATTGGGGTGTGATAATTGTACCTATAGCACGCTTATGTTCATTACGTTATATTGCCACAAGCTGTTTGAAATTTCCTCTCTCCACCTTTGTTGTTACCTACTGGTTTTCAGTTGAAGAATGTGTTAGCAGTTTTTCCACCCAATTTTCACCGAAATACCACAAATTAAGAATTCAAGTGGGTGCGACCAAAGCGATTACCTGAGTCTGGCGAAAGTACGACTTTCCTTTGATTGCTGCCGTCGTCCAGTACCCGCAATGAAATCTGGTCCTTTGCAGTCTTCATACTAGAAAACTGACTCAGTTTTTGTTTCATACAGTGGCGTCGCCAGCTTGAAAAACTGGGGTGAACAAAAGCAAATTTTCTCGGCCAGGCCCTTCAGACTCTTAGAGAATCATTGTTTTTTTAGTATTATTGATCTATTTTGATCTATTTTCTATTTGTTTGGTCTATTTGAACTATTTTGAAATATTTGGACAAGCAACTTTCTCAAGCAGCAAAACGGTAGCTTTTTTGCCAGTGCGAAAATCGAAATCGATCTGATCAGCCCAATCATAAAATATTAACATGGATATGTGCCAACCATACAGCTGAGTTTTTCTACCATCAATTATTCTAAACATAGAGAGAATGTTGGCGAAAATATCCATACATAAAATGGGTATTAAATAGCTTTGTCACTATACACAATATTTGGATTTATAAAATCATGTCTGTTAATGGGGCTGGTTGTAAAATTTTGATTGCCCGCAAAGTTTTAATACCGATTTATTCTTCTTTGGTTTCTGGAGTACTTCTGAGGGGACAAGTCTTTTGTTTATCATTTATTATCTTTGCCGCTCTCCCTCTTGTGGCCCACCTTGTCACAGGCAAACTTTTCAACCTTTGCCTTCTTTTGCTGGTGTTATAATCTTTCTAATAATTTCTAACAGAAATTAACATAACGAGAGTGGTCAAAGTGGTCATCAATTATCAATAAGATTCTATAATATTTCCTTATATTTCAGGGCACTTCTGGCCCCCTCTGGCCCCCTCTGCCCCTCTTCCTTATATTTCAGTTTAAGGTCCCCCGGTGTAGGCGCTCCTCCCCCTCCAGTTTAGAATCGGTGGCGCGGGCCGTAAACTGAAAGGTGCTAAACCATATGGAAAGTTTTTATAAAGAACATTTAAAGATCCTTTACAATGACAGTTCTTTTCCTGATAATTTTTATGTTATTTTTAGTCTGGCAATGGGCAATTGGCGATGGGCAAAATTCAAAATCGAGCATAAGTTCGCAGTTCAATAATCTCCTAGGGAGTTTGAATTGCCAATATCTTTATAATCAGAAGAATACAAAACCACGCCCTTCGTTAGATTGACGAGGAAATGAGCTTTTAAAAGGGTTTATTTTGTATCCAATTTGTGTAACAATGAACATGTAGCAAATGTTCCAAGAATTTCAATTTTTCCCACAACACCACATGTGTCACAGCAGTTCTTTAGAAACGAAAGTGACCCCTGGAAATCCTTTCTGGAACCCAATTATTTGTCAATTAGAACTTACAGGAATAGGAACATGTCAAGAGGCCCGAAGTGGAATTCTTTGTCGGTATGGCAAAGGACATACAAGGTATTTAGTTGTCAGTTAAGTATGCTTATTTGCTCTTTATACCATCAAATATTTTGACGTCAGTTAGACAAGTCTTTTCATGCACTTGACAATTTGCCTTTAGAACTTGCCACAAGCCTTTGGCCTCTCGAGGGTGCCGCCAGCCTTCTCTTAATAAAGCTACAAAATTACCTTTCTCCCTTCAAAAGATTATGGGTGCTGCAGATGACCACCCCCCCCCCCCCCCCCCCCCCCATTTACAACATTTACTCAAGGAGGGTTTCTAAATAAGTTTTCGAAGTCAAATTTTCACCTCTAGTTATCAATGTTGAACTTTGGCAACGCTGGAAACGGAGGAGGGAGTTAGCTTTGAATTTAGTTCAACTGCTAGTGATTGTCTTTATAATCAATGTAATTTATAAATATATAATTGCTTCATTTTTTGCCCATTTGTCATTATTCCTCAATATTTAAATAGACTTTGAATCTTTTCTAAACAAGGGAGTGCTCTCTCCTTGATTACTTTATCTATTGAGAAGGCCCTCTTTAAGAAATTCCCAGCATGCAAGTCTACTATGTTTTACATCATTCTCATTGTTTGAATTTATATCTATTTTCACTTCACTAGCTTGTTTTGAAAATTTTTATGAAATATTTAGCAGAATTTTAAAATTAAAAAATGAAACTGAAACCGAACCTGAAACTAATCAGTTGATTCTCTTTAATCTTGTTTAACAGTCGCTGTAAAATCTTTACTAAGCCCTGCCTGTTAAATACTATTAGTCGAAAAAATGGGTTTTTAGCATTTTTAACGAAAATCTAACAACAACAAAGATTATCGTAAAAACTTTAAAGTCAACTTGACCTTTTATATGAGTAATCCATCTCTTATATAACAAAATTGCTTTAGATATATGAAAATGGCTTAGGGAGTGAGAAGTCCAAATTAAATATTGAAAAATTTCGAGTTCTGTCAAATTTCGTGAATGTTTACCGAATATCTTGTGTTCAATGAAAATAGTGACTAAATAACCATTTTTTCATTTTATATTTTCTAAATAGAAAAAGCAGAATATGTGCATTAATTGCTTAATTTAAACTCGACACCCATTGTAGATGTTGAGTCTAATTTTAACCCAGTATATAAATAGCTTCATTTAGAAACGTACCTAAAACTTTGCAAACATGGTAACCAATACGACTACACGATGTAATGCCAAACCAAGATAAGCTCATGGGATTGACGTAGAAGGACTCTTGTAACAAGATCTTAACAAGTATTGAAGTTAAGCCTGGATAAATTATATCAAGCGTTAGTACATTATTGAATTGCTGTCAAAACGGAATTACAGTAATTACAATAAAAGTAACAGAGTGATCCAATTAATCTCTTTGAGAAGGGTGTTGTTAGCATCGTGTTAAAAACTTTTTAGCAAGTGAGTTTGTGCAAAAAGTGTGAGAAAAATTCAAAAAGTGTATACTTAAATAAAAGGACACATTAGAAGCCAAATTTTCAGCTAAGGATATTAGCCCAGTCTAGATTAATCAAAAAAGTATATATATATATGTATGTATATGTATGTTTGTTGGTTTTAATTAGCTTTAATATAGCTAGCAGTGTATGTTTATCAACTTAAAGAAAGTAAAGGAAAAAATGTAGTGTACATCAATGGAAAGAAGAATAATGTGAAAGTTATGCAAAAAGGATGTTAAATCGATGAAATGATAAGGTATTCAAGCAGGCTGTTGCAAAAGTAAGAATTCTTCAAACGTTTAGAATGGTGATGATAGTACAATTTTGGATATTTGAAATAAGAGAGGGGGGGGGGGGTATGAGAGGGTAGGAGTGCTTGAATATTTGCTTAACTCGTCAGCGGACTCCAGGGTCCTTTTGAACATCCAGTAGTAGCTACTCGTATGGAAGCAATTGCCCGATCAGCAATGATGATATTTCTTAACGAATATTTGACTCCTTATTTCTTAACGAAATGTTAAGAAAGATTTGTATACAGATTGCTTTCTTGAATTTTGATAGTAGTGTTTTCTGGGGTATTGTCTAGGTTATCGCTGGAAAAGAGCTTGGCTTCAACGCTTTTTTTGCTAGGAGGAAAGACTTGTTAAAAAAGAAATGGAGCAACGAAACAAAATGCTACAAATGTACCGCAAATCGCTCCAATTGCCAGGTGGAACATGTCACAAAATTGAGAAAAGCGCCTTCGCATTAATTTGCTGCACAACCACAGACTAGACTGGATTCATGGAGACCTGAATCTCAGCTAATTTCAGCCTCTTGAATTTCAATGAGTTTGGCGGTCGCAGGGTCATGATAGTTCAAAGAGGCTCCTTTCCCTGCATGAAAGATGATCACCCGCACACACGTCCATCTTGATTAATTGCACCGATGTGAGACAGTTGGTTAAATGCAGCGTTTTAACTCGCCAGTCAGTCTGAAACATAACGAAACGGAGGCGAATACAGCTGGGAATCGCTGGAGAATAATTGCGTGGCCCAGCTTATTACACGTCTACGCTTGGCTTTGTTCTGTATTTGCAGTGGTAATCTCCTTGTGGAATCTTGTTAGCCAACGTCAAGTACACAAGCTGCTGTGATAATCAAAGAGTCAGCCACTGGTACCCTTTGAGCTTTAAACAATAAAGGAGGTTTTATCACATCTAGAGGTTTTATTCCTGATGTGGATAAAGATGCATACTGCTCTTGCTATCTTCGTTTCTTGGGTGATTTTCATTAGTGATGTTTACACGATCAAGTGGCTGTAAGTCGATATTTTTTTGCCTTTTTCTATTCTTAAATTACTCATTTCAGTATTACGCATTATTTATGGAAATTTGTTAGATTCATGCATCTGAAAACGCTTTTCTCTCATGTAAGCCAAGCTTTGTTGTGGAAATTTGTTTCGATTTCCAAGTCCAATCCAAATATAACCTATTCAACATTTGCAACTGAAGACCTGTATGTATTTGACATGTTAAATTTAATGTTTCTAAAAATGGGGCTAATATACTTCTTATCCCTGATTACATACAGAGATTTTAAGCAAGTTATGCCTTAACTGTTTTTAGCATAAGCAATATTGCTTTTCGATTTTGCCCAAAATGACGAAGATCAATATTTAGTTTTCCCATGCGATCAGCGTGATACTTGTGAATAAACTAAACAATCTTGCTGAGCTGAGGATTTTAATGACAAAAACAGCTTTGCGTTTGTTAGACCTTTTGGTTTTGGTCAACTTACACTTAAACATCATTGAAATTTAACAGAATGTCACCGAGGCAAAACCAGCATATAAAATGAGGGGATAATCCTCTAATTGATTGTGATTTTATTGGCCAAATCATTTGTCTTACACCAGTAATGGTTTTGCAAATTCTTCCAAGCTTTCACCTTAAGTGGCTGCAAGTCAGCGCTCATGTGTGTATATGGTTTGCAGGTTGTTTACATCAGATTCTTGTCTTTGACACAGCGGTTTGAACTGATAGAGTTCATAACCACTAGCCAGCAGGCCTCCGCACCCTTTAATTTTGTGTGATTATCAACATCTTTTTGAGACAAGAGTATTTCGTTGGTGACAGAGACATCCAAAGCTTGCCATGTCCCCATGTCCCTAAGGTGATAAGCCCTTATCTCGGCAAGTACAAATAAAAAAATACCAAATGCCTCATGTCCAACAAGTGTAAGATCAGAGATCACTCGAGTCCCCGTTGGGAATCTTCATTGAAGAGCTCGGCAGCTTTTAAAGCAGACAAAAGTTTTTATGGAAAAGCAACAAAAGGGTTTTAGAAAAGGAAATTTTCTTCATTTGGGAGAGATACTTTTAAGCTGTCGAAAACCAAAAACGTGTATTTAGGAGTCGAGATTCTGTATCAGGAGGCCCTACTTGATGCGTTTTCTTGTCAATTGTTGCGAATAATAATACGGACCCCCTTTATCAAGATATCTTCATTTCAAATCTTGTGCCACCTTATATGGAAATTATACGGTGGTATCTATGTGCAAGTCAATGTTTTGAAGACAATTTAGCCATCAAAGGATTAAAACTATTAGTAGAAACAATATTTATAACCATCTTCTCAAGAAAGACCTTGTCAAGAGATGGATCAACAAGTCGAGGGGAAGGTCTGTCTTTTTACTATCCTTTAGTCTAGAGTGTTTTGATAGCCAACCCTACATTAGGATTATTGAAAAAAAAGAATATAGAGTTTCAACCAGAAGGATTTTTCCAGCTCTTTTTACTTTTGAAATAAGGAAAGTAAGGATATCAATAGAGAGCAAAGCTTTCCTCGTCAACTTGATGTTGGCTTAACGGACAAGGAATTATTGAATTTTGAATATTGAGCACTGTTGAAAGAGTTTCGGTAACTAAAAACTTTCATTCTGCAAATCAAGTTGAAGGGATGGTACCCATGATAATATTAATAATTATACATTTTTACTGTTAGTTTGACGATAGTGTGAACACTAATAAACACTAACATGAAGCAATTTAAGATATTGCATTATGGAAGTCATTAACTGCAAGCGTTACTGGCGCATTGATTTTCGAAATAACAATCTTTTATAAGAACTTTGAATTGACTTGCGTTTTTTGATGATTTTATTTCATTTGGAAGAGAATTCAAAATCTTTGGACCCAAAAAGCTAATAGATTTTATACCATAACTTGTCGTTTTAACCTTTGGAACAGATAGAGTAGCCATTTTTCGAAGATTATCGCTATTGGGTTTGGAAGAAAGTAGTCTTTCATAAAGGCTGGATTCAAGTTGTGCAGAGTTTTGTAAATTTCTAGTGCTAGCAGCCGAATAGAGTGAATATGAATTGTAGTAGATTTAGCCTTGAATAGAAGTTTAGAATACGATGAAGTGTAGTCTGAGAGGGCTAATCGTAGGGCCCTCTCGTTTACTTTGTCAAGCTTCTTTTGGCTTGCATTACTGCAGAATATGCTAGCCAGTCCTTCAGTCGTTGGTCCTTGTCAATGACCAAACGAACCAACGCTTAAGTTATTACGACTTGAGCCTAGAGGCCATACTCCAGTCACGTTCCTCTACCTACAGTTGTCCTTTGGTTCTGGCGACTATTGGGTCTGCTCATTTTTCTTAAGAATTATTTAACCTCACGGCAATCGCTGGTTATTGTGCTCAAGAGTGGTGTCCAGGTTCCATATACCAACATAAGGTGGTGAGACACCTTTCAATTGCCTACAAGCTTAAAAATGTGACGATAAAACACCCCGAAGATGACGAAAAGCTCCTCGTTCTCACAACGAAATTCGAAGAATGGAAGATATAACATTGGAATAGGGTTATCAAAGCTACAGCTCGCTACAAATTACTACAAATTACATTTGGTGAAATACTTTCCTCTGTAATATCTCAACTGCCTGGGGTGCCAGTGGGATGTAGATGGTGTCTACACTATTGCAAGAGTTTGGCTGTAATCTGCACTTCATAAAATCTGTCTTATGTCTGTTATACAACTCGCAGTAATACCTTTTCCTTTGGATTGGTTGAATTTTGAACATCAAGGTATCTGGACTGCATAATAACGGGGATCTAGTGCAGCAACCGCGCAGCCATTGGGCTAGTAGGGGCTTTAGCCATCCACCTTGGTGCAATAATTGGTTAGAAAATTTTAAGAAAGTGTGTCAAGCTCAAAGTAGCTTCTTGACTTCTTGACTGGGAACCCTTTTTCGTTCATTTTCTTTGTGTTCTGTATAATGATATACTGTATTTTCTAACTTTGTTAGCTTGGTGCTTAAATTGTCCGCAAGCTAACTTTTTTTTTATAGTAATTGATATCTTCTCTGAACCGGTCTGTTTATAATAATAAGCGGAAAGAAGCAAGTATCTTCTAAAAGGGTGTTTTCCAACGTTTTAAAGGGTGTGGCCTACAAAATTTTTGGTCACGCTTGTTCAGCCCCCTCACTTTCAGACTGGTGCGCGGTCATAATTATGACTTCCCGTCAATAAGCAGTTTCCTATCCATCTTTTTATGTCCGTGAAAATCTTGAATGATTTCATATAAAATCTTGGATGATTGGGTGTGGTTTAGATGCGGTTCTAGGTATGGCTTCTAGAAATTACCTACAGCACAGCCCCCCTTCCTAACATTTTAGGACGGCACCTCTGCTATATAGATAGCTCTGCTAATATCCTTATTTAATAGAGCTTGCGTACCTTTAAAGGACTTAACGTGGATTTATTGCATTTTCCATACAATTCTAGGAACATGCCCATCTTAGTCATGCTGTCTTGCTAACAATTAGAAGATGAGTTGGCTAATCTTCGTTGTATGCGTCTGGCAAACCTGATAGGATTTGGCAATTTGTCAAGCATGGTCTGCAAACAATTCTTGATTTATGGGTAAATTTTAGGCACTTTCTTTGTTGCTTGATCTATGATATCAACAGAGCTGTTAGACTTTTAGAAACGATAAAGGAAACCAAAAACTAAATTTTCGGTTTTGAATTTGAAAGTAGCTGATAAAGGATAATACTTATTCGTTCAGAATATTCTTTCGAGGGGTAAAATTACTGCAATGACAATGAAAACACTTTAACACAAAAACAGGGCATTCGTAATATATTACGGAAGAAAAGAGACAATTTTCCTACGTGATGGCTCTTCAACATCGATTGGTTTGGGAACCTATCACAAATGGCCATTGAAAAACTGCCATTTTGGGAACCTGAGGTACAACGATTTCACTCCAACCGTTTCAGGGAGGGTCTCTCAGGCAGAAAAACGTTTAGTCTAATCACCAGAAACTATTGATGATGACGTCATCGTTTATCCATCTTGTGCAAGCAGTGCTCGTATAAATGGTCTTATAAATGCCAATGTTCTTGCTTAAATCATAATTAGAGTAGCCTGAAACATGCTTGCATATCAATGGAACACACGGTAAAAATTCCGTATTTATGTCTAGCTACTCGAGGCGATCACCCAACATCTGATCTTCTTTGCCTGGTGCCTTTCTACATTGCTTAATACTTTGTCAAATTCAACTCGTGTTTTGATTGATCTGACTTTATTCCATCTTGGTATTGACCTATTCTAAATTGCAAGAGAACTGATTCCACCTAAGGCATAAGGGAACAAAGTCACGATTTGTATGGATCCAGAGGTCCAGGTGAAAGCCATCAAAATGTAAGAGAAGAGAAGTATTTCAGGCACGATGGATCTTCTTTAGAAAACATTATATATTTGCATTTATAGAATCTTTTACCTATCTTAATTGCGTTGTCTATTTGCCATTGAGGTTATATAAGCATTGGATTGCTATTAGGAAAGGGAACAAAAGAGAACTGTATTCTGTGGATATAAAGTTATGATATCATTCATTGACTTTTTTCCATAAGCATCAGTGATCAAATTAGTCGCCCCAAAGTCAGCTATATTTCAAACACATCGTAGCAAATGGCAAATATCTAGCTAGCATTGACAAACTAATGATTATATCTCATGTAATCTTTTAACTTGCTTATTGATGTTATTGAATTGAGAAGATCCGAAATCCAAATTTTTTCCTTGCCTTGGAAAATCCCATTCATTCATTCAAAAGTTGCCTAAGGTAAAATCCGTTATATATCGTGGTTAATACATTGACGATTTTCAATCCAATGGATTAAGGGAAGCGCTTTGCCTTTCCTGAAATTCACTGTATCAGCATATTGTACCTCTGATCTCCTTCTTTATTCATGCCGCTATGATGTCATCCTAATATCTTGTTGTCTTTACTTCACCCTTTGGGTTTGCAAACATATCTTTAAAATGTATCTCACAGGGAAACAAAGACAAACTTTCGTTCTGGCCCTAGCAACGAAATTGAACCTGTAGTGATCAGTTGTAGTGATGGATAGGCATCTTAGTTTGGTCTCGTTTTATTGGCTCTCCAAGTCTCTAAATGTCCATTCATTTCATCTAACCTCGTGCTTGCAAAGTCTTGACTAGGCAAGGCGGGAAAGTTGAAGTAGAATGCGCTTCGAACGCAGGAATTGATCAACCAATCAGTGATAGTAGAAACATAGGAAACAATGTTATAACGTTGCCTTGCTTTTTTGTCTTTTCTTCATCCTTCACACATTTTAACTTCATTTATGATTTTTAGCAGCAAAAAGTATATGTTATAGGAAAAATAGGAATACTTAAAAAAATCCAGCATTTTCCAGCATTATCAAGAGCATTGTGTCGGAGCTACCCACAGACCAGCAGAGAGCTTTTCTGAGGCCTGGGACCAAAAGAAAGATGGGGCCCGTGATGACGTCATTAAAATGATAACTGTAATATTGTTGCTGATATTATTAAGAACTTAAACATAACTTTTTAGCGCCTTTCCAACTCGGAGCCTGGAGCAGTCTCCCCCCCAACCCACCTCTCGGCGTGGCTCTTTTTAGGCCATCAATTTTACATCCCTCAACGATCCTTGATATGAAGGCCACAAGTCCAAAGGACGCAGTGTTTCGTGGCACCTTCCTTATTTAATCGCATGCAACTTCTTTTTCGCTGCAAATGACCCAAGATTGACCTCAGACCTAATGCATTTATTGAATAACCAAAAGCTCAGTAAGCAAATTCGGTTTGGTATTTCGCAAGTTTTGCTACTGAGTATGTGATGGCCACAAGAATGACATCCGCAACAGTCTCACTCGGCAGATCCTTACGATAACTTAAATAATTCTATTTTTTTTATTTCAATGCAGTTTATCAGATAATTTGTAACCTACTTTGGAATCTTGGTCACAGGCTCGCAAGATCCGACGTTGCTCTCGTTGATCCTTAAGTGTTTTCAGTGTTCTGTTTGCATAGGAGGTTCTATTTGCAAATGTCAGGTTTTCGGGATCCAATACCCAACTTTTCTCAGCAGCTGCATAAAGGTGCTGGAACCTAAAACCAAAGAGCTGCTACCGTTTGCTGCTTTCTTCACCTGTATGCTTCTTAATGCCACCAAAACATGCTACCAGTTGAATATTTGATTTTACCTTTTAATTAACTTTCTTGATTTACCACAAACGCTGTTTTTTCTCTTGAGTTGAATTTTTTGTTCCATTTTCGACACCAAAATATGATATTTTCGAGGTTATACCAAAAGGCTTAACGAGTAGATACAAGCATCAATTCGATTCTTTATTGAGAAATGAGATTCGAAAAATAGCAGGTTGAAATATTAATTTAGAGAAAATGTACTCGAAATGTTGCTTATAAGAAGTATTGCGTGTATATATATATAGTGTCATTGGAAGATTTTCTTAAAACTAAATTTCCAATATGTTCCATTAAGCAACCCCAAGGAGTGAAATTAATTAGAATTTACAAATAGTTATTATCTACAATCGGTACAAATTATTGTTTCATGAAAATAAGTTTTCTTTTTTGTAAATTCTTGCAGATCACTCAATGTTGCGGAAGATTATGCATGGAAGAGGTCAGATTGCACTAAAGAAAATCTGAATGGAAGATTGGCTCGTTTCTGCAGAAAACACCTGACAGAAATGGCCTTTTTCCCACTGGCAATGGCAAAAACCAAGTATTATTGCAAAGATGTATTTAGATTTAGAAGATGGGATTGCACAACAATTGACAGAGACCATCATGGTGTTGATTTAAGAGAAGGTAAGCATAGTTTTTCTTAAAATGGAATTGAGGCTTGCCTCTTTAAACTGAAGCTTCAGGGAGGGTGCAAGTTGTGACAAGTTTATCACATTTTTAAGGGAAAGTGACAACAACGTCTAATTGTCACTAGGATCTGAGGCTAGGAATTGATGCCTGTACCCACTCTTTAAGCTTTTTGGTATTACCTCTAAGGAAATCCCCTTAATTAAAGCATAAAGCAGTGAACCAATGTTTGGAATATGCAGCAAAGTCATTGTTTGCGATGTTTTTTTTGGTATATCTTATTTCGTACCATTTACAGGACATTCGTGCCCACTTTGTGTATTCCTCATAAAGGTTTACTTTAACTAAACGCCATAAATGTGGATTTTCCTTCTCGTAATCTTGGCAAATATTCGTGGATACCTTAAAAAACGGTTCTAGAGGAAATACGCTCTAAAAACTTTGGAGAGCGGTATGGCAACATCACGGGCGAAACAAATCTCTCATCAAGACAACAGAACCAAATGGTCATGAATCTTAATTCAGTACTGAGTTGAAAATCCCGTCTTGCCGAGGCAGGAAGATTCCTGGTGTAAAGATTAGCAAACGACGATTCAAATATGACAGTTGTATAACAAACACTCCGTTCACCTCGACCATGCAAGTTGCCGTCAAGGGGTGACTAAGAGACTTGATAGACTGTTGTTAGTCCAAATAATTTGTTTGATTTACTTTATTACGTCTGGTGGAGAACAAATTCTTTTTGTCTCAAAGCACGCTTATGCCAACACCAAGAAATATCACCTAGAGATTCTAAATATAGTCTAATGGCAAAGGTGATGTCTAGATTCCTGATACCCCATGTCAAACACCGTTCAATGGCTACCTGTAAATTGTTGCTTGAGTTTGTCTGTGTTGGGATACAAACAATACCTTCTTCTGTCTCTTAGTTTTAATCAAGTGACAAACATATGCTTAAGCGACCAGAGGTTATAACTCAATGTTTCTAATTTTTGAATGTTTACAGAAACGGTGTTAAGGATGATTCATTTTTGAAAAGATATGATGATTCACTTCAGATTTAGATGTTATTTGCATCTTCTATTCCCATTGCATTTTTAATATTTCGAAAACTTCCTGCCTATTTGATAACTGTCCACTGAAATAACCCTTCAAGGTCTTTTTTATTATGATGGAGGTCACAGTAATAGCTCCAAACCGTTTCTTTGATCTGCTGAGAACATTAAGGATCTATTTTCATAAATAGGGAAAATTCTAGTCCACAATACTAGGTAACATGGATTCTAAAGGCGACAACCACAATTACATGAGGATAAGTTACCTTCAATGAATACAGCCAGAGGTAATAAATCTAATTGTTGCATCCGAGGTCATATGTATCTAAATCTTTGTCATATTATCCACAACGTATAAATGAAATGAATTAAAAAGCATTAAAACTTAATTAACAAAACAGAAGTCACATTTTTGTACATGAGCATAATCCCGGTGCAAACAAACTGAGCCTTAATTTCGGACTGTGGCTTGGTGGCTGAAAAGGATACCAAAGGAGGTGGTGAACTTCAAATGACTTTTGCTTGGTTCAAATCTATCTCAGAGGTTTGCTGTAGCAATTTTTGGAAAGACGTGTTTTGGGGAACGTTTAGTTACAGATTATTTTTCCGTTGTTTGCCAGCTTCACCAGCAATGGAAATTATACCAGGCAATTGAAATACTTGGGACAAACTGGGACATAACCCAAACATACTAGGCCTATGATATTAGACTATATGATACAACTATCACTTTGTTGTGGAATACGACAGTTGTGTTTATATTGCTCAAAAGGAAGCTGCAATTTGCTTTCCAAAAATAAATCGTTGAAAATAGGTTCGCCGTTAGTAACTTGAATTCGTTTCAGTTCTTGAATTCGTCAAACTTGTTTGCCATTTTCATTTGTCTTGTTCTTAATCCTTAAGACAAAAATAGGTGTTATAGTGTGAGCATTCATACTTTAGTCGTAAAAGTACGTTGAGAAGATGAGGCAGTTTATTAACCACAAATTTGGGTATTGGAAATGAAACTTCACCAACCACGTCACAGGTTTTCGCCATTTCTGTTTAGAAAAGATATAATCTAAGTGGTTTAAGCGTAGTGTTTGGTTCAAGTGTAATACTTGCTTCGCCTCTCTAGCGACAGAGTATAGGAGAATTTTGTATACCTTTCCATCTTTAATTTATATAAGTTTTTATCTCCATATTTTTATAATTATCGTTGATAAAACCTGATAGAGGAATTGAATCCTTTTAAAATATCTTAAAAACTGGAGAAGCATTTCGTTGATTTCCGTTAGATATGTAGAGGGTTAATTACACATTCAGGGCAAAAGCATCATTTTCGTTTCTCGTGTACAACACGATCTGTTTTCTAATATGGGCTCACTCGAATCCACATTACAAATCTCAGTAGATTTCTCGACAACCATGATACGAAAAGTCCACTGTCACGCATTACGTCATAGTATGATAGAACATGTAGAAGTACCACATACTACTCAATGCTAAAGAATTTCTGATATGATCGAGCAAATCTGTGGACAAATCATAAACTGGATTATCGGTTTGTGAATCGAAGATAAAGTAATGAAGATTAATATGAATCACAAATATGACATATAAAGTTAATACAGAGCTCATTCCCTATTGTTACAGCTTTACCCAAGTCACTTAATTGATTTTTCGCAGAGTTAATACAATTTCTGATTCAATTATTTGGCCTTTGTAGGCAAATTTCATTGCCGCCAGCTTTGCCCATAATCAAGAATACAGTCTATGCTTCTTTGTTTGACACTTCATCCTCTTTAGTCGTAGACCCAGAATTGCTGTTTTCGCCTTTTAGGCCCTCGAAGCCATTTTTTTCAATGCTCTCAACTTTAGAAATGGTACCTTCAAATAGCTTAAAAGATATCAAATGATGCGAAAATTTTATCAAGGAGAACATAAGATAAATTTTGTTAGCAATTAGGAAAAGTAATTCTTTATTTCTGAACTCTTTTGTTGTTGTCACCGACATTTACAAAATGATCTCATCAGGCCTGAAATGTTGAAACATATGGCAATGCATTCATCTTATTTTTCTTATTTAGACCACTAGCAACTAGCTAAGCAGGGAAATTGAGGGTACATTTTTATTTGAGAAGTATAATGATCTAGCCAGATGGCAAAGTGGTTGGCGAAATTAAATCTTACAGCATTATTGGGGTACTGGCCCCTGCACTCCCCAGAGATGTTACACTCTTGAAAATTCTTAGGGTCACAATGCGAGAATATACTATCGAAATCTGTGGGAATTTTGTTATAGATTTCTTGCTTTTTCCTTCCTTTTGTGTTCGTTTAGCAAAAATTAATTGATTAGATTCGAAGCTGATACCTTTTTATGCAGCAAATCAATGCGACAATGCTGCAGTTGATATTTTGACGTTCCTAGGTCATTGGCAGTAACATGATGATTTCACTTGAGATCAAAGAAATGAGAGGGGGTGTTTATTGTGAAGTGAGTTGGTTAGTACTAACACCTCAAACAAGCTCATCTACGCGACCCTTGCCACTCACGAGAGGACGATAATACTGAACATGCAAGGACACCCATTCTTCTTCTTTGCACACAGCAGTAATTAGATTGAATGACCCGTCTTGATCTCTGTAGACAACGAGTCAGAGTCACAAATTTATTTTTATTCAAAAATATTCATTTCAAAAATATAGATTACCTTCTTGTGATCACGTGCCCTTGCACGTTTTCATATCTCTGACAATCTTTCAAAAAATCAACTAGTCTCGAGTCATTTTCATGAGAATTATGATTCGTTTTAGAAAGGCACCTTATGACGGCTGTTCCCCGAACTGGAATGTCATAATAAGATAGAGCAACTCATACAATATTAAATATATGGAAAAACACATGAAGTTTTCCTTTTATCGCTTTAAAAACTGAGATAAACCTGCAAAGTAAGGGCGGAGTTTTAAGATATATTTTAAAATCATGTCACTAAAGGAAGATTTGCGTGTGATTTCTAGTTATTCGTTTCGTTAGTATTTAATTTAAACATATTTTGTAAGTCCAGACCAATTTTCTTTGGTGCAAATTAGATATAGTTTACTGCAATGGAGCTTTCAAAACACTTAGCCTTGAAAGGTTCTTACGTCACTATCTCAGCAGTTTGAGAATCAGTCTGAAAAGTTTCTTAACGCGATAGATAATCAAAAATATAGTCCGACGCTGATTTTCATTTCAGTATAAGTAGTTGATCTTTCTTTGTTTTTGTATATAACAATAACACCTACCGCCGATTCTTTTCGCTTTCAGAAGACTGTCAAACAACACCAACTACTTAAAACTTTACTTATTAGCAAAACGCGGTTTAGATTTTAATGCTATTCCATATCAACTTTCAACAGATACAAAAGAGTCTGCATTCGCGCATGCACTTTTCTCTGCATCATTAGCACATTCTGTTGCAAAAGCTTGCATGGATGGCAAGGTTGCTGGCTGTTCATGTGCGAAGAAACCCGCGTATCTTCCCGAGGGTAAAAGTATAAACGATCTTCGATTCAGCAGCTGCACAAATTTCTTATCAATTGGCATCAGATTCGCTCAACGATTTGCCGATGCTGGGTTTAAGAAGAAAAAGAAGAATGCAAAGCATATATCAAGTGAACTCAAGCAACACAATAGCAGGATTGGAAGAGAGGTAACCTCGCTTTCAGCAAATCCATTAAAACTCTTAAACTATTAGGTAATATGCTATTTGGTAGGCCTTCTTGAGCTTATTAACATGTAATTGATAAACATTGCAAAAATAATAAGTAAAAAAGTGAAATTGCTCGAACTAAAATACAATTCGTCAGTTTTAAAGCATAATTGTACATTCAAGCATGTGTGTGTACAAAGTCAATTTCGATAACATAAAGAATAGGCATTCTATGTCGTGTTCGCCACACCAAATTATGTCTGGTGCTAAAAAACCGTTTGAAACGTATCTTTACTTATTGATAACGATAGAAAACAGATATCAATTTACAAACGGAAGGTATATAGATCGAGGCCTATCTGTCAAAAACATTTCTTGGCATTGTCAATTATCTTTACATATTTTGACAAAATATGCAAAGTGCTTTAAATCTTGCTAGCAAGTACAATTTCTCTCAATTGGAGAGCCTTCAAGGTACACAAGGGACATGCCATGGTACATTATGGTTTTGATGGCTCACCCTGCACGTATAAGAAAACAATCCATGCCATCTTTGAATTTTAGACCTGTTTGAAATCGAAACACCGTTTGCTTCAATACTCGGCTATTGTTGCAAAGGCAATGTTGCATTGCTGGACCTCCCATAGGCACCGTACAACATGTGTTGCACCGAGCGTAAAGCTGAAAGCAGTCAAGATTATGGCAAGGTTTCAAAAGTGTTGCATCGTTTTGCGTGGTCATGCAACATTTGCTTCATCCACGGATGTATAACCTGCTCTCTCCATGTCAAATAACCCAGCTGAACATTGTGCTTGGTTTTCTTTTTTCTGTCATTTATTCGAGCAGTTTATACCCGCTTAAGGTAAAAGAGACTAGAATATAAGGGATGAGATTTTAAATTAGAGAAGCCCAGTCCCTTTTCAAATAAGCAGATAAAGGTTGTACGAGATGTTTCGTTTGGCCACAATCGAAATGCTGCGTGCAAATCCGTGCAACCTACGTTGCACTAATATTGCAACATTTAGCGAGGACTTGAGGTAGAAATATTTTGCTTCAAGATAGCTTATGGGATCCAATACAAATCCGTTAGCTCGATTTAGCTAGACATTTGCCTATGTAAAATGGGAAGTTATTGTATGTTAAAATATAAGCACCACAAATTTCTTCTTTGTAGGCTCTGATCAGCCCAGACAACATACATTGCCGCTGCCATGGCGTGTCTGGAAACTGCGCAGTAAAAAGTTGCTGGAAAAGAATACCATTCATGACCAACATTGCATTGAAGTTGAGAAAACTGTACGACAATGCAGCAATGGTCGTTTACGACAACTTGAAACGTCGTTTTGTATCAAAATGGCTGGGAACTGATATCAATCGAAATCAACTGATATACGCCTATGAATCTCCTAATTACTGCATTGCAAACCGCGATCTGGGTGTTAGTGGCACTCAAGGAAGATCATGCAATCACACAGCCACCGGGTACAATAGCTGCGAAGTACTTTGTTGTGGTAGGGGTGTTAAGGTACAGCGCACTGCAGTGGTCGAGAGATGTCGCTGCAAATATGTTTGGTGCTGTTATGTCAAGTGTAAAGAGTGCAGTCGATCATATGACGAATACATATGCAAATAGAAGACCGTCGAAATCTTATTCGTGTCTTTTGGGGCGATCACCTTCAACGCGCCAAAACCACCTTAAAGGTGGTATTATTGTGGCATACTTGATCTGCCTTGCTTCTGCATGTCGCTCTTCAATTTATTGTCGAGGAAAAAACAAACTGTTAGTCCATGAAAATCTCTGCAGTATAAATGGAAATTTGCACCATGGACATAGGCAGTATGGTGATATGCTTAATGTAAAAATGCCTATTTGCTATAAACGTAAATAATGACTAAGCTATTGAAGTAAAAGGCAAATTGCATTCGTTGCTGCATAAATGTACATAAGGAGAGTTCCGAAGTACACAAGTAGCAAGGGGTATTATATTTATCTCAAAATAAGAATTTGTCCATGTACCATATAGAAGTACTTTTGATTTCAATGAAAACTAGGCCATTTTCTTTTTTTCCAGTCACGATTATTTCAAATTACTTAAATGTTGTTTTAAGCACAAAGAATTTTCTAGAATGTTCCATTCACTTTGAATTCTTTAATAATTCACCAGTCTGTGGTTTTACATCTGTCATATCTTTATATAATTCTTCTGAAACTCATGTTACAATTATTCTGGAAATTAAAACCTTCAAGAAGTTGCTAGAAATTAATTAAAATTGATATTACGATAGCAACTTGTAATACTATTTACCCTTAAAAATCTTATCAAAAATGTTGAGCACCATTTTTCACTGGTTATTTATTCTTTATACTGTTTCAACAATGGATATAATTTCCTAATAGTGGTCCCAGGGTAACCTTGTTCCCCAGTTCTCAAATTTATTTTAGGAATTTCTTTTGCTCTTTAATGTTCTTCCGTAATGCTCTTTATGATTTTCATAAGCCATCGGGTCCCTTGAGTAGAAGACATTTACTTTTCTAGACGAATACTCTCTAAAGTATGCATTTGATTTCCTACTAAAATTAAAGCTTACACAGGTCCTCGATACTTGTGATAATGTGTGATAACGACGAAATGAAACGAATCGACTTGGAATATCTTGTCTATCTTTTTTATTTTCTATGGGTGTTGCTATGAAGGTAATCAACCATTTTTAATACGTCTCCTCCAGGTAATCACGATGAGACTTCCTGGTTTATTAGTAACAACGCCTTAATATTTGGGACATTATGACTCAAACGACTGTTACATTGCTAAAGGTTTGACGTACGAGAAAACAAACGTAAATTTTAAATTGACTTAGATAATAATCAAGTTTCGAAACCGTTTAAAAAATTTAGACACTGTGTGCGTCACGGTAGAAATTGATTTGAAAAACAGTTTTTTTTAAGGTCAGAGATCGCTCTACTTCACGAAGTTTTTTTTACAATGAATTTCGAAGACAGACAGTGTGTCAGTATACCAAATGGTTTACTATCGATAACAAACCTCTGGAGGGTTTTACAACTTTGAGAAAAATACTTCTCTTTTGAGCGATATATACTATACACTCTTCTTTTTATATAAGAACAATTTTATAAGAACACGAGCCTCAAAACTGGTCAAAAGTTAAGAACAAATTAAGAACAAGCTGAGGCTGAGCTTCTGCAAAATGCAATTTTGAACAACGTTTTTTCTCAAAATCGAGGGTTTTTAGCCATGTGTGGGTGCTTTTTCATTGAATATTCAAATTTGTCAGCAAATTAAGGCTGTCTCACTCACATTGTTGGCAAATGAGGCCTGAACACCTTAGAGTGAAAAAGCTAGCAATAGCACTGCTTACACCCTCTTAATTTAAGAACAAATTAAGAACAATCCAGCCTCAGATTTTCGAAAAAAATTAAGAACAGTCAGCCTGAACTCAAATTTACTGGTTCTTATAAAAAAGAGTGTAGCCAGTCGTGATTATCAAACTTTTCAAATACTCCAACAAGTCAATCTCATAGTCTTTACATCAAACTGCATCAAAAAATGGTCCAGCAGATGGTAAGTCCACAACGTTCATCTGACCATAAAAAGCAACCATTTTAAATTTATGCTGATAATAAGCAGCAAACACAAACAGCTGAGCAATTATTTAAATAAGAATAAAAAATCTTTTGAAGAAGACCAAATAAGGAGACTTTCCAAAATAAAGAACCTTCTCGAGCCTTTGGGAGCAAATGTCTCGTTAGTTTTACCCTATACATGCAGCTTACTTGACAAGTGTGATTAATATTGTCGTTTTTCATCTTTTATCTTTTTCTATAAACATTTAAATCTTGCATTCTTAAGTTATGCAGTTTTCATGCAAAAAATCAAATAAAGAATTCTAATTCGATTTCAAAAAGGATATGAAAATTAGTCTTGACTATTCTATCAACCCTTGAAAGCTTTGACATTTGTTGACTATTTCATAATTTCTTCAAATTGAGACGTTGTGAACGATTTCAGTATCATAGAGGCGGATAATGATCTTCAATCATCTGCATGTTCTAAGCAATTCACAGTATTTACCAAACCGCCTGGCATCTTTGTCAATTTTGGTTTCACGTCCTCGCGAAGTTTTCAGTGCTTTCTTTAAAATATCATCTTCTACATGTGTCACATTGTGCCATTGCTTGAAGTTGATGTGAATATCATTTACTTTGGCAAATGAATGCTCTTTAGGTTTTTGTAAAGAGTGTTGTAAGTATTCGTTGGCTGGGTGTAGATTTTCATTTGCCAGAACTTCTCTGAAAATACATTGAATCTCATATTGCCTTTCTACCGACTTCATGGGCGTTCCTTGACTTAACATATTATTTGCTGCCATTATATTTGCAGCGATGTTTTCTACTTTTGCTTGTTTAATTGTAGCATCGATAATGATGGCGTATGAATTAAAATTTTCATATTCATTTGTTGCCTCCATCTCTTCTTCAACATTTACCTGCATAAAGCGGGCAGCGAAACTGCGTGCATCTTAAGAATTCAGGCTTCTCTAGAGCATTCGATTTGAACAGGAGAAGCCTAAAAAAATCAAACTCCCAAAATTGTATTAATATTTTGTATGTGAGATTTGTATGTGAGAGTTTCTTAGGTTCTCCAGAAAGCAGTAGTTTAATTTTCTGAGGCGAAGTATAAAAAACCATTATAGTTGAGATTAAATTTGTTCAGCAAAATATGTTGCTACTTTTATTATATTTTAGGCCACAAATTCGCACCCTGAACAGTTTGCACCAATTCACAGTAGAAATAAGAATTGAGATAAAGGAAAAAATACGCTATATTTGATTTAATTTTTATTGAGATTTCGTACTCAAGACTTCAAGAGGGTGTAACGAAATGTTATTGAAATAGACGTCTGTTGTGATTTACATTCACTATCAAGGTTTTGAAGAATAAAGGACAGACTCTGATCCTTGCATTCTAAATTATGAGGCTTCCAATGGTTTCTTTCTAATTTTTCTTTGCACGGTCTAGTTTCAAATCAAGTTTAACTGCATAACAAGTTTATGCCTGTATGGCGGTTTGTCTGTACTTCGTCCACAGAGTCGATGACTTCGTCGACTTTGTATGGAATATGACGTCATAGTTCATCAAGTCAAGCTATATGCTGGAACGAGGCCCCGTTCTGTTTTCAATTTTAGTTGCAATGGCGGTGAAAACGGATGGAAGCCATGGAGAGAAATTGAAGAAATTCCTTGCAGAAACTTCAGCCGATGAGAATATTGCAAGGTATTACTTAGAAAGTGAAAAATGGAACTTAGAAACTGCTCTTGCTGGGTTCAAACAAATGAAACTTGAAGAAGAGCAGAGATCTGTGAGTAGGTCTTCAGGTGGCAAAGGCAATGGTGATAGGCCTAAACACACAGAAAAAAGTGATCGTATTGGACCTTTGCGTCGAGGCCTTTCCATGGCAAACTCAGAATTGGTTGCAAATGCTCGGCTAGAGATGGAAAATAACGGAAAGGCAGATGGAAAAAGTCAATCGGATCTACCTCAGACTACTCGTACTTTCATTTTACCAAATATTACTGTGGTTAAGGATCCAGAACTTGTCGAAGCACTAAAAAAAGACTTGATCGACAAAGCAACATATCAGTCGTTAACAAAAGCAGGTAAACATTTAACGCATTATAGAACATCAAAGTAATTGTTACTTATTTTTGGAAGGTTGCTCTAAAAGAGAAATATCCTCGTCACCAGACACAGAGGAGTGTGAAAACATAAATTACATCCGTGTGACGGTAAACAACGCCGAAACAGGTAGGCAACCAATAATAAAGCTACAAAACATACACAGCCTGGGTCATGTTATATATAGAAAACTGAAGATTATAATTAGGAGTTAAGCTTGGAAAAACATAGTGATATGAGCATGACTTTGCTTCAAAACATTTTTTGTACTTATTAAAAACTTTTTGCAATAGTTTTAGACATGTTTTTTTGATGCATTCAACCATTAATGTATTCTCTTGTATGATATTTCAATTTAATGTAGATGTAAAGTACTGCTTCCGTATATAATCAAGTTCTTGAAACATTCATGTTCAAATGAATTTTCCCTTATCACTGGATGCTTTATTGGCAATCAGTAAATAAATAAAAAATATTTTTTATACATATCATTTTGCTGTTTATTGTTATCCAAAAGAAAAGTCTTTTGTGTATCTATGCTTTTTGGTAAGCTTTATGCACATAAAGTTTAGTTTAACATACTTGGTTTTATCATTGGAAGTTAATAATTAATGACAACTGACACACCCTGGTACTAAGATAGCAATTTAAAACCATTGCATTAACTTCGTTTTATTTTTAGAGATATACAGACTTTAAAGTCATGTTTTGGAAAACAAATTATTAAAAGCAGAAAACTTGCACCTGCTTGCAGATGTAGTCATAGGGGTGTTTTTATTACCTTCAACTTTTCAATACCAAATTAGTTTTAAGATTATTGAAGTCAATTTTAATTGTGGTGATCTAATCTTGGCATAATATCGGCAGCATTTTAGATGTAGATTGTAGAATTGTTATGAAATACATTCCTATTTGTTGACAAAACATTCTTACCATTAAAATTATTGTATAGACATTGAATATTCTTATGACTGGCTACTTTTACATTGTATGTATCTTTTGCTAGGAGTTCTAAATTGGTGGTCAAATGGAAATTTGTCAGCATGTAGAAAATTGTTCCCAATGTCAACAGTTGGTGATGGAAACTGCTTGTTGCATGCTGTTTCCCTAGGAATGTGGGGATTTCATGATAGGTTACTAACACTGAGAAGGGCTCTTTACCACTCATTGACAAGTGAATCTGCCAAAGGAGCTCTGAGGCGAAGGTTTGTGATTAGCAAGCATTTTTGATCAAGCATTGAAAAGTTATTTTTTATTTATGCTAAATTTCATTTTCTTGTGCTGTATTTTAATTCAAAGTGAGCTCATACCCCAAAGTTCAATAACAGAAAACTAGCATGATACCTGCAGTGGCACATGTGCTCAAACTTAAGTTGGAAAGTAGGGGAGCCAAGGTCAGATTAAAAGCAAGATCAAAATGTTTTGCAAATAAAGCTCTATCGAGTTGCAATAAAGTGGGGACCATGGCCCCTGCCCCCATTATTGGAGGCCCTGAGGGAAAGCTTGTCCTTCAAGAGAAGGGGGATGGCCAATTGCTTTGAGGCTAGTGCAAACTATAATTGTTATTACTGTATCAGTTTAACAATAAATTTTCTTTCCTTCTCTTTTTCTTTTTCTTCCTCACTATCTCCCCTACCCTTATACTCTGGTTGTTTTTGTTGTAAATTTATTTTTATTCGATATAAAAACAATAGCTAACAATACATACATAAATATACAATGTTAACTAATCAAAATCGAACATAGCTACCAATTAATTTTTTTCCTTGTTTCTCAATATTACCTGGGAGCATTCATATTTCATTTCTGTGGCATCTAAGAGTTTTACATTCTTTAGTCTTAGTGGTCAAGCTTCTACTCTTCATACATTGTCTCGATCATGGTATTATGATCTTGGTTTTTAATAGTGAGGCTCGAACTCACGACCCCTGACTTTGTACGTCAAGTGCTCTACCGCTGAGCTATCGGGTTGTGCTTTCAAGCCAACACCCAAGGCCTAGTCATTCACTCGCACTGCCCCTCTTTTTTACCAGTTACACAGGGGAGCCAACGCAGCTCCATTGCAAAGTGCAGAGGACCTGAAGAGTGAGAGAGGACTGCCCACACCAGGAGAGCCATCACAGCCCCAACACTAGATAGGGTTGAAGGAAAGTTTACAGGCAACAGAATTTTAAAGATAATTAATAGAATGTGATCTTGGTTTTCTTCTATCATCAGCCTCCTTCCACACTGCTTTCACATTCACTCAACAGCCTCCCTCTGATCCACTTTCCCATTGACGGTATTTGACCTACAAGTATTTGATTACTTCAACTTGCTTCCAATGCAATACCATTCTTGTAACAATTGAGTCAGATAAACCACAAAATTAGTATTGTACTTCTTTGAGAGCGAATCCATTTCAAATTTACTATAGTTAGAATGTTATTTAGTTTGAAAGTTATTTCGTTTCATTTCTTTCCTAAGAAGCCAGCCAACTCTTGTCATTTCTCATTTTCTCATGATCTGGTTGCAAATGCTCAGACCTTATTGTTTCACGTGGGTGATCCCCCTCCCCCCCCCCAACGCCCTGACTTAATTATTGACACGGGCTATAGACTGCTCTCGCAGATTTCATTACATCCTTCTCTCTAGATATCATTACAACAAACAGTTTTTTACAAATCGGCAGTAGGCTAGGTAATCATGGGCAGTTGATACTTTTATACCCCCTGAGGCCCTATAGGGCTTCTCCTCTAACAAGACCACACAGGTCCTTGTGAGAATTTCTTCACGTAAGGGCCTTCAAATACTAGATGTTATAAGGTTGGATCATCTTGGATTCATCGTTGTGAATATTATTGATAAAAATGTTTTAGGACAGTTTTTCATATCTCGTCGATTTTAAGCTATTTACCTTTAAGTTTAGGATTTAATTCGTAACAATAAACTGGAATGTTCTCGATCTGTTTATTTTCATTATTCTTTTACTATGTTTCATTCCTTGTTATGAGTTTCTCTGACGAAAAGAAATTTATTTTGAGAGTTCTTATTATTTCTTCAAACGATTCAGTAAACATTCCCGTTCTTTTTATGGATTCTATTCAGCACTGTTGAGAGTAGTGTCAATGGTTTGCTATTTCTGATATGGATTATGGTTTCAAGTTTACATTCGAAGAGTATGGAAGCAGCTGTCTCTCAATACTTGCCTCAAAACATAACCTATGTACTTCCTTAAACATGTTAATCGCGCAGAAGACCAATCTAGCAGTTACGTCATTACCCTTATAAACCTACAATGTTTCACTGTAAAACAGCAGAGGCCGAACTTATCCCGGACTGTCGTAGTCACGGGCCCTTAAAAGTCTCTGATTCGTCCCTGTTTACTCTAATAAACCGCAAATGCATCTTTCTCATAAAACATTTCTCCCAAAGATACCTGAATGCCGAAATAGTAACTTTTACAGGGGACTATGAACGCAAAGCCTGATGGATAATTAATTTTTTTTGGGGGAAAATGAAGCATGTGAATCTTAAAGCTGTGACTTTCATTCCACAACCAAACTTGCATAGTTCCAGTGGATGGATTTAGAAAGTAACCTCTCTCATTTTGCTCTCTCTTTTTTCCTCTATCATTATAAACACATGATACCAAGCACTCTTTGTAACTTCCCTCAGCAGGGGATCATTTAGCTATGTAAGTATTGAGTAGTGAACCAAATTGGCTATGTTTATAACACTGCTCTATTTTGTCACCCTAATGCTGGAACTGTAATGTTTATCTAGATGGATGTTTCAGCAGTGGAAGCTGAACATGGAGGCGGGTGGACTGTGTTTTACGCCCGACGAATGGAGGGAAGAATGGGAAGGTATTGTGCGATTGGCGTCTGATAAACCACGTGGTCAAAAGAAAGCACCACTTACACCTCGAAAGATAAGCAAACAGTACTCGATTGCAACAAGCTCAATACACGATGAGTTGCTTAAACGGACAGACTCAGAAGGCTCAGACAGTTTCGATAGCTTGGAGGAGTTTCATGTGCTTGCACTTGCCCATGTATTGAAAAGACCGATTATTGTTATATCAGACACCATGTTACGTGATCTAGAAGGTCAACCCTTGCAGCCTATACATTTTGGTGGCATATACTTGCCTATTGAGTGTGATCCAGCCAAATGCTACAAGTACCCGCTTGTCCTAGGTTATGATTCCGGTCACTTTGCTGCCCTTGTACCGGCTGAAGGCGAAGACGTTGGTTCAAATAAGATAACCTTGTCTTCAAGTGTCCCTCTCATTAACTCTGATATCGATCTCCTGCCTCTCCAGTTTATTACCGATCCTGGCGAAACGTGGTTGTTGACATCAGATGATTCGAAGAAAAAGAAGCTCCCCGAATTGTCGAAACAAGAAAAGCTTCATATTCTTTCGAAATATCTTCATATAATAAAAGTAACCCGCCCAAATGAAAGGCAGTCGATTCTTCCAGCTTTTCAAGCCAATGCACCTGAGGAGTTTGAGCTGGACGCAAGTGACCTAGGAAGCTTTTTCCGTAAAAAGTCAAAGGAAGGCAAGCAGATAATTTCGAAGGCGTTCGAAAACATCACCACTTTGATGTCAGGTCATTCAAATCTTAGTAAGAGCAAAACGTCGCCAAAACTAATGAGGAAGGTCTCATACAAGCCATTATATGCAGCAAAGCTTGATCTGGTAAATAGGCCAAAGTATTTTGATGATATGATCAACAATTACATAGAAGGTGCAAGAAAAAGATTGCAGGAACAGAAAAATACACAGAAAGCTGTACCATCCCGTATGCAATGTGCAACGCCCGGATGCACTTTCTACGGTTCTCCCGAAAGCAACTACCTTTGTTCCAAATGCTACGGTTACCAACAAGAGATGTCCAGGGTACATAAAAGTATGCCCGTTTTGCGGGAAGAGCGGCCTCCAATGTTAAGGCAGGCTCAACGTCAGCTTTCCAATCCGGAAAATGCGAAGAATTCGGAAGATCTACTACTAAACTTCCACGACCGAACTTTCTCAGATTCTTTCAGACCAGCTACTGCCCCGCCACCGGAAAATTTGATCGGTACGAGCAGTCATTTTGGCGTGAGCACAAGTTTGGATGAACTTCCTGAACGGATTAATTTACCTGCAACGGCCCCGTTTCCTTCATTAGACACAACTTCCAACGTTGGCAGCCTGACAGAGCAAAGACAGGGCACAGTGATAGATGCAAACAAATCGAAATTACCAGAGAGGCTACCATCATACGAATCGAAAATATCACAATCTAATTACAATATTGACTCATTGAACAAAGAACCGAAGTTGCAGCAGCAACAACCAAATACCACTACTCGCAGCTTTTACCGAAGAGAACTTGCTCAGTTCGATCCAGTTATAAATCCAAATATTAAACCATTTTCCTTTGAAAGGTTTTGTAGAAATGTTGGTTGCAAAATATTTGGTTCAAACGAATACGACGGATTCTGTTACTCATGCTATTCAAGAATTCACCAGGAAGGTGGTTATGTGTAAATATATCTGTTATGGGAATGAGTGGTAATTACTTCGTTAAAAGTTCAGCCAGAAATCCAATTTTACAGAGACAGTGGTGGGTATAAACAGGACTGTTGCGGGTAGTTTCTTGTGTAGTTAAACTGTTAAATTGAGCAACGATGCTCCTTCTCACAATAAGGTGTCCGTAGTCTAGCTGTAGGATCACTTCTGCATGGCGTTAACTGTAATGAAGCATATTTGAGAATAAACTGTTTGCCCGTTGCTTGCAGGTGTCCGCCTAAAGTTGGTATCTGCTTTGAGGCGGTGTCCCTTAATAAAGGTGACACAGGTTGTTGTTTTGTTCCAGCCTATAATCGGTCGAAAGGGCGGCCCTGTAATCGGTACGATTTTCTTTTGATAATAAGATCTCTTATGTCGGAGACAAGTTTTGAGGGATAATGAGGAATGATACCAAATCTTGCAATAACCTTCAAAAATGATTTATAATTTGAAATTAGCTCTCCTACCCTACTTACCCTGGTTGCCTGAGCCTCAAAGAGAATTCCTTTCCCTCGTCCTTCATCCTCTTTGAGGTTCTGGCATCCAGGGTATACCATACTAGACACTTGAATTTCTAGCTAATAAAGAGGCTTTTTGTCAAATAGAGAAAGAATCAAACGGGGCTCTTATTAATTGTTATGTCTATGATTCGATCATGTTGCAGTGATGCCATGGTTTATTTTCTTAGTTGATGGTCGTATATGGTTTTGTATTTGTGTTTACGTTGATATTCTTATAGATGTTTAAGGTTGATATTTAAGTTTATATAGAATTGTTCTTCTAGTGTGAACGGAAATGATCATAAGGATATAATTTAATATTTCTTATGATTTATATATAGCGTTGATTTTGGGTATTTACAGAAACGATTGCTCAGCTGCATTCGAATGATATCATATGTTGACTCTCTCTTTGGGACTTCTTCTAGTTTATGCTAAGAATTTGCTCTAAAGAGTTCCTCATGGATCCTGCTTCGATCCTATACTGTTCACTGTGTAGGCTGATCATTCTGAGCGTTGTTTAGGGCCTATCTTCAGCAAACATATTGTTTTAAGGTAGTCTTAGAAGGTTAGATATAAAATGTTAACAGTTGCAGAAAAATATTTTATAAAGTATAAAGTATTTTACCCGAAAAAGGAGTTTTTTGCAATTCTTGAAGTTACAATGAAAGAAATCATAAGGAAACGTTAAAATATTTATCTTGGTAAGAATTCAGTTTTTTTATCCTTAGAACAATGAATTCCAGATCCTATGATTCGAATTTTAGTACTCTTTGTAAAAGTACCCTTGTTATTTTAATCGAGAGAACATATTTCCCCATTTATAATGAAAACTGCTGTAAACTTGTCGTTTTTAATGTGCTTCCAGTTTTTTGTTGCCTATGGCATTTTCGATTCCTACAAGAAATAGCGTATCTAGTATGTATAAGTGCAAACATACTTCAATGTGATTTTGACCAAAATTGATACTTTATCAATACTTCCTTAGTTAGAATTTGCAGACCTTTTCATTCAAAGTTATCGCATTCGATAATATAAAGACAGGCATGTCAAAATGCTAGCTTGGCTGACGTGAAGAAGTGATCATTTTTAAGAGAAAAACTGACTGGTCAGGATGTTTTGTGTTGTATAAAGCCCCGGCCAAATCAGTGCTGCATTTCGTCCGACAATTCCCAACATTGTCAATAGAAGTCTTGTTGGACATTGTTGGGCATTGTTGGACATTGTTGGATGTTGGGGTGGCCAAGGCAGCACAACATTTCATCGAGCACTTGTCGATTTATCAACCACAACAACTACAGAGTCTAATTCCATTCACTCGAGCCTATGCTAAAAACTGAGCATGGTAACTCAATAACAAGCAAAGCAAAAAGCAATTATTTAAACAATTATTAAACTCTAGATTCTAGCTCTTTAAACAAGAACATTGCTTTCGTACATCTTGAATTTTCGTGGTATTAATGCAGATTATAAGACCAGAATAACGTTTTCTCGGATACAGAATAACTTAAAGCAGTCAATTTTTCTATAAACATACACTCAATGTTCCCCCGTCTCACAATTTTTTTATAGGGTTACTTTAATTACTAATTGAGAAGATATTTTTGGTCTTTAAAAACGACGCGACGCAAACAAGGAAACATTCCTCCAAATTCTGGAACTTGCTGTGCTTTTTTATGGTAAACAGATTAAAAGGAAATCATTTTGATTGACTGAACTTTGGAGTATTTATTCCAGCCATGCATTCAATTGGATTATTCAATTTAATCACAAGAAACTCTCCTTTCTAGGGCGATTTATTGTATGAAGAAAATGCATTTCTAAATAGAAAATACGTACGACTCTCTGTCACTCCATATTGATTCATCAACATGTATTATCTTTCTTGATCATTTTACAAGAGCTGTTATCTCGATAACATATGGGCCAGGATACACTGCTTCCTCGTGGCTACATTCTTTGTCCATTGTAAAACAAACCACATTTGGTGAATCTAGAACCTACACCAATGAAAATAGATCTCTATTCTGTTTCGTTAACCAAAATTTTTCTGGCGTGCAGATGTTACCTCTTTCCAATTCTTTTGCAGTTCACCACATTTTGAATGTAGCTAAATCATTTTTACTGATACATGGATATAACTTCGTCCTTCTAAATACATACAAGAATTTTGCACATTCTGGGCCAAAATGGATTGGAACCAACTGAAAAGCTTTGTTTAGGAGAGCAAAGCGAGCGTAGCTGTCATTTATTTGTAGTCATTTGAAAAACCAATAAACTTCAATAATTCTCATAGCTCTCTCTGCTTATTTTTCTCAAATGTTTTCAAAAGTCGAATTTTGCGATCGTAACTATTAGTTCTCAAATTCCTTAGGGTTTGGCACGATCATTTGACAAAGCAACTTTAATATTTGGAAATGGTGGCAAAATTTTTGCATCAGTGCTTCTGTTGCAAAAAGAATTACAGCGTTTGTATGGGCACTAAACCAATCTGATCATTCAAAATAGCCTATAAGAACACTCAAATGTCGATAGAAACAGATATTCGATAAAAGATCTCTCTCTGACTCTGAGTTGGGTGCAAAATTTAATTACCCTAGCGACAACTCTGATTTCTTTTTTGATGGCCATAAAACGTAGCACTTGAAATTCCGAAACATGAAAAATGCAGCCTCAGTCTTAGTCTTATCAGTTGCTATTCCAGAAGAAAGGCCTAAATCAGGTTCAACAAAATAAGCCCAATTATTGATCCTTGTAGAGCCTCAACGGATTTTACGCAATTGCAACCTTCTTTTTGCCTATTTTCTTGACTTTTAGTAAACATCTGACAGATAAATACAAGCTTCAATTTTTTTCCTAAGAAGTGAACATAAATCTACGCGTGTATGATAAGTCCTACAGTTTAATGAAGCGTAGGATGGTGGAGAAAGTTTAATCTGGTGAATTCTGTTGTTGCCTGTACGGTTACACACAATTGTAAAGCGCTTTTGCATTTCCGTGACCCATGCGGGTTTGACGTTGATGCCTTCCATAATGCTTTCTTCAGCTGCATTGGAAGCATATCAGAGATAAAAATTATTGAAGGATGTTTGCTTCACTGGACATGACCATGTTTTTCTTTCACAGTAAGAAGGATTTTTTTCTTGAAAATTGTAACTAAAGATTTATTCGATAGCCAAACCATATAAGATAGCCTTTTTGTGAATTTAAGCCCCCTCCTTTGAAAGAAGGGTTTTTGTACAGCCGAAGCAGAAGCATCCCAAGCAACAAATATAAGTCCATTCTCTTTTGCCTAAACAAGCCTATTCATCCACAAACATTGGTGTATCAAAAAACTCTCAGTTTCCAGTTTTTGTTTGCTCAAGAGCAAAGTTTGGTAACTTTTTGCGTCTTAAATGCCCCCTTAGTTTTGACTCGATAATCTAACGAAATTCCTTCGGTTAGCCGAAAAGGTACCCAGCATATCGAAATACCGAAAAGGTTTTCAGCCTAGTAAGAAACAAAAATAGTATTTCATGCGACCAAATTTGGCATCATGTCCTTTATTAAGCCCTATTAATGCCCCATTAAAGTTGTTAATCATATCCTGATGATCTTTGAATTTAGCGATTTATAGGGCCCCTAAAGTTTATGTCTTTGGAGGAAAAGATGATAATTGTGGTATTCTTCCATGAAAAGGCAAAGTTAAGCTGAGAGGGGGATTGATGTTCTGTTTCTAAATGGTCAGTATACACTGGGTCCGCAAAGATGAGGGGACATGTGTGCTTTGCAGTTCCATTTTAAAATAGCTGACTGTCTTTCAACCTTGTCTTAGTGGCTCACTTATACTGAACCAAACTTATGTTTCTTAACTTATGTTTGTTACCATGATAACTGAAGTCTGATCATATAACCTGATTAAAGAAGTACTTTAACCTGGAAAGTGCATTTGCTTGGATTATCTGAACTGGAATTTTCTTATAATTTACTTAAGTTCACTTATAATTGTAGTCCAATGTGTGTAACAGATCATTCTCCGTTGATTCATGTTTTTTGTACAACATGCATGTCTTTCAATGTTTGAATTGATGACAGTTTTGAGTCTTTTAAAACAATTAATATTTTTGGTTAAAAGTTGAATGATGCTCTTTCGAAAAATACAGCAAGCAAAAGACATTTCTAGTTGATAAACAGAGCCAAATTTACTCGATACAATACTAAAGGAAATGTCAATATTCAGAATTCGCGCTTTGTTTATAATTGTTATAAATGACAATTTTAATTTTTCAAAGCTACCAACTTCAAATTGATATTATCATTCAATTTGAGTTGCTCACCTGGAGGTCAGAAGGTAGGGGGAGTAGGATCTCACGATATTGGAGAAGACCAATCCTATATTTGGGAGAAAAGGTATTCTAGTACAGCTGTAACCTTTGCTTGCCATTGTATAGATGAAGCCACTTCAAAACCAGTCTGGAAACTAAAGGCTCACCCTCACTCGCAATTCCTTTCCCCCGCTCTTCATTCTTTGACTCTATAAGGCTCTGGTTCCCTGGGTAACCCTCACTGAAAGTTTTTCAATGGGTGAAAAAAGGTTTCCTGAGCATTTTGGCAACTGTTTCTTCAAAATAACAGTTAAACACTGCAAACTTTTTAGAGGAACTTAATCAGATACAGACTGGTCCAAACCCTTTTCTCAGCTATGTTTTAACGTAAAATATATTTTTGGTTGCATCTCTCCGGTAATGAAATCATATTTAGAACTATAATGTATTACTTTCTAGTTCATTGTTTTCTTCCTAATAGCAGCGTGAAAATCCCATTTGTAGTGTGTGACATTTTACAATATAAAGATGGCTCTACTCAGAGCTATTTGTACTCAAATCAGTGGACCACTTAAACATCAAAGTAGGGAGGGGTGTATTGAGTTAAATCTGATCATATTTATTTGATATCCTTATGAATGAGACAGCGTCTTCTCCCTTTTTTCTTCGTTGTTTTTTTAATTTTAAAATGTGTAGAAATCAATTTGTCTAGTTAACTAACGTGTAACATGCTCGGTTTTTCTAAGGAAAGTGCCAGGAAAAAACATTGCTGTTATTGCTTTTGTGACAGTGAGAGGTATGATTGAAACTTTCAGGTAAACTAAACTGTCTTCTTAAAAATTGCGTGTTGCCTTTCTCATGTATACCTTAAAGCTGTATTTAAATACATTAAACAAGGATTTCAGAATCAAATGGTCATGCGATGCTAAGTCAGCAGGGGACTACCGGACGAGGTAGATGGCATGTGATACGTACATTCCACGAACTGAAACGTGCAGAAGCGATTGCGTGAAAACGTAGAGCTATTTCTCGAAAAATATTTTAACAGCATGACTTTTTAAAGGAGTACTCTACAACATAATAGAGATTGCTGCGTTCTTCTTTTCCATCTAAAAACGATATAGCTCCAAACTTCCAGTAGAAGTGAAGACCATGGTTGTAGTGCTAGGGGGCTCACGGCGGCTGAACCCCCTATTAATGACTTCCCTGACAAATAGCTCATTTCAATTTTGATATTGTTTTTCACCTTTTTTGCACAAGAGCCTCTTGGTAATTTTGATACCATTACACCCCTGGTAAAAACTTCAGTGGGACTTACCGGCGAACCCCTGAGAGCTACTTACGACGAAAATTCCTTCACATTTCATGAATTATAAAAGCATCTACTAGATGTGTCGGTTTGATTAATTTTGAATGCTTGTAGATACTGAAAAGGTTGTTTGTTTGCAAGAAATGATTAAGTTGATTGAAACAGCCACATTCAAACTGAGTTAATCAAAACGACATACATCTATTGCTTTGTTGTAGAACAATGTGCTGTCCAACTCAAGCAATTTTATTGCTATTAAGTGCTCCTTTAATAAGGAGGGATAATAAAGCTATTTATGGAAGACTTAAATAAAGGCCATTATCTTTAATTGAAGTGTGTCTTGTCTACACAAACAGTCGTGTTTGATTTACATTAAAAGAAATTATCACAATCACATTGTTGATAATAACAATAAACTGAAGGGTTTGAAAATACACCTTTGAGGGGTTCTTGGCTTTAATGATGGATTAACTATAAATTAATGTAAAGGGGATTGATGGGGGAGGTAGCCTGAACATTTAGTCCAGATCATCTCCAGCGCCAATGTCAAAACTCACAACCATTCAAAACTTTAGGGAACTGATCACAGTGGTATTGACAATACAGAGCAGAGATAAAAAGATAAAATTGGAAGGCAATTTTCCTCTGCTAGGCAAATTGATTCAGATTCCATATGCAAATTTCCAATTGTACATACAAATCTGTGTAAAGATACAAGAATTCAATACAGAGCACACTGGATCAACAGTCTAGTTTTGCAATTTCCTTTGAAACTTCTGTCCTTTCAATTTCCTGATTAAGGGGGTATGCCTGTTTGGTTCTTTTAATAAAGCCACAAATATAATTTGATCTTCCTGAATCAATCAAAATAAATATTGCACTTCTTAAGGATGTTTTCAATATTATGCTTATATCTTTAAAGTTTTAAACAAATCCAGTTTACTTTTTAAATAAATATGACCAAAATATATAATAATGTTTTCCCTAGCAGTATCTTACTTCTACATTTCCCTAACACTAAACAACTTATATTATTGCGATTCAATTAAGCTTTATATTATTCTCAATGCAACGCATCCAAAATTACAGCAAGTCTGAACAGACCCTATGATGTTCCATTCATTTGCTTTTTTATTATAATACTCAATGGTATTAGCAACACGTCCACCAACTGCATAAATTGTCCCATTCACAACAGCAACACCTGGATTTCTTCTACCGTTCTTCAATCGAGCAATATCTTGACACCATTTATCTTCACCTGGATTATAAACTTCAACTGAATCTGCGTATTGTTCAATATTATGGTTGCCTCCAATTGCATATAATTTACCATGTACAACAGCAATACCAAGACTCCATCTTGGTGTTTTTAATGAATCGATGACTTCCCATGTGTTATTCATTGGGTCATACCGCTCACATGACTTCAGTGACATCCAATTGTGATCTAGACCCCCAACTACATAGATCTTTCCTCCCAAAACCCCAACACCTGGGTAATATCTGGAATATCTCATTGGTGGTAAATCATGCCATTCTTGTTTCTCTGTATCAAAACATTTGCATGTTTTGGAACTGTTCCCTCCAATCAAGTACAAATTACCATCATATTCACATAGGCTGGCCCATTTACATTGTATTCCTGGACCTTCAGCTATACTACACCACTGAGCAACAATAGAATCATATTTAGACACCAAATTTTGGGATACAGAATAAATTTCATTGTTTGACACAACAACTCTGAAGTAATCTTCCACTGAAGCATGGCCAATGCTCATTGCTTTTAATGTTGTCCACTGCAAGGTGTCTAGGTTGAAGCATTGTACTGTCCCTAGCTTTTGTCCATTAGACCAGCCTCCAATGACATAAATGTCCTCACAGGCTGACCTAGGCCTGAACCTTGTTGCTTTTAGTTCCTGAGCCTTTACCAAATCCACTTCAGCTCTTTTTGATTGATAGAGAAGTGCCTCTCGAACAATTTGTTTCCCCAAGGCATAGTTCTTCATTAAGAACTTGACATTGACACTATCAGACAAGTAATTTGGTTTCATTAATGAAAACCTTAGTTCTGGTATAATTTGATTAAAGTCAACTTTCCGCTTCTCCAAATCGTAAAACAACCATTTCATCACCGTTTCCAGCAGAAATTCTTCAGAGGGAACTTTCAAATACTGGTTGGCAACCACCTGTTTCAAATGATCAGTTGGTAAAAGCAAAAACCCTTCTTCATGAGGGATCTCTGCAAAGTGCCATGATATAAAACGCAGTGCTTGCTGATCAAGTCCAACAAGTCCATAATACTTTGATAAAGAATACAATGCCATGCAATTTTGAAAGGACATGTTTCTTCGCATGTACGTCTCACAGTTTGTTACCAAATTATCCAGATGTAGTGAATTGGCTATACTTAGAACACCCTCCGCGTTGTCAGGAGTAATACACAGTTTTCCTGTGTAAAAATAGTTCACAATGTCTTCTAAAGCTTTTCCGTCCACACCTTGCATTTGAACAACTGGCAACGAAGCTTCCAGGAAGTCTGCAGTGAACATGGCTCTGAAATATGGGGAACATGCGGCCAAAACTGCCTTGTGAGCAGGCACTCTTACGTGTTCGGCTTCGAGGAAAACATCACAAAGTTCATTTGTCTCTCGGAATTCATTCAGAAGACAAAACGTAGCATCAAAATGCGATCTTTCCTCGATAAATATGGTTTCATATTTCATCTTTGCAGCATGTATTTGCTGTATATTCTACGCTGTGTAACGTGAAAATAAAAAATTCACTAGAATCTAGTTCCTACTTCTTTGCAGATGTGTGGCCCATAATCTCACGTCTGTACTCAGAATGCGGAGGCGAAATGTTGTTGACTTGAATGAGAAACGCGCCTTTTGTTTCGGAATAAATCGGACACGCATGCGTTATCCGTTAAGCACCGACGGGCTTTGTTCTCTCTGACGGGGGTTCTCTCTCTGATCGTACCCCGTATAAAGACATTGTAGCTTTTCAAAGCTCTATATTGGCATTTTAGTTTGCATTTTATCAAGGCCTATAAATTTGGAAAACAATGATAATGTAAAAACACTATTAATCTTTTTGCGATTATTGTAAAAAAGGAATGTTGTGCCAGTTTTCAAACTAAACAGGAAACGAAATAAGTAAACAACTTTTAAGGTTGAATTGGGAAATCGTGATAGAGATATTCCGTGATTAGCTTTAATCCTTGTCAAATATTTCACACCAGGTCTTGATCTTCGCCTCCAAATGAGCAAATATCCGGATCATCTTCTAATGACAAATCAGAGCAATATTGCCGGAAATATGACATCCCAACTTACAAATCTAAAAGAAAACAGGTGTGAGGATGCTTCAATGTAAATGAATTTACTTTCCTGAATTTGTATCATGGGTTTTTAATCACGAAATGCTTAAAAATGCTCGTGAAGCCTGGTTCTTAATCTGTGTTGCAGGGGTAGTAGCATTCCTGGGCCTAATATATAGGGTATACTTCTGACAGCCAAAAGCTTGGGGTTTGTTTTTGCAAAAAAATCAGTAAAAAGTATATTGTGCCCATTTAGGCTTTTGAATTACTTTCCTATATAATTCTATTTAAGTATTGAAAGTTTTGAAACTTAACAAAGAAGCTCTGAAATTTAGGAAGCAAACCCCACGCTGCTTTGACTTACAACTAAATACTATCAAATGGATGGATTTGTAAGCAGTTCATGGCTTGATCTTATTAAAATTGAAATATTCTACATTATCATTCACTATATGCCAAGCATTGATAAGATCATTACAATACAGTTATTACTATAATAGAGAGAGGAAAACAAAGAAAGGGAAGAAAAAAAAGGAACGAAAAACAACCAAAAAGGAAAAGAAGATCGGTATCAATTATGTAAAGGATCAATTATGTTGATTTAAGGGAAAAACAGTGAAAGCTCGAAAAACTTGCAAATGGAACATTCATGGGAAATGCAAACAAATGCGACTTAACTGCGGGTATAGCTATGATGAAACAGTTATGTAAACATTGGACAGAAACAACAGTTGTAGAAATGGTAAAACGTGTACATTTGTTTAGAATGGTATAGGACAAGTAATCTTCAATAGCTGGGGAGCCAAGTAACTGTGGAGCCAAGGGGGAGCCAAGTAACTGGGAAGCCAAGTAACTAGGGAGTCCAACTTGGGGGCACCAAATTCTCTCGGACCCCTTATATTGGACAACAAACACAAAGTTCATGCTACCAACAATTTTTTCATGGGTCAAATATTCTCTAATAGCAGGGCCTAAAATAAGCGTGGATCTGACTCCCTTTGTGGAGTTGTAAATTGAAATTGTGGAACTGTAGATGTAGAATGTGTGGATTTGTAGATAGTGTATTCCCTTAAAGTGCAGCATAAAATAGCAATCGAAATGCCTAAGGTAGAATTAGGAACATTTTTTCTTCAATGCGAAGTGAATTCCCAACTCCATTTTTCATGAGAAAATTGATATGAGAAACGAGCAATGGTTAATAAAAAAGCATTAAAAAACTTAAGAACTCGAAGCTTCAGTACACGCGGAGAAGAGTCAATTTCGTAATTAAACTAAGGTGTTTTAAACTGGAGAAGCGCTGGAAAGATTCCTCGCAAGGCTACAACAGCTGAACAGTAATAACCCTTTCGGTGGTATCTGGGAGGAAAGTTTGCGCTAACGAACCTATTAACAGCAGTTCTTATTGACTGCGAACCCGTTATTGTTCTTTCTCATGGTGCTTTATCTTGTGTGATCAAAGATAAATTTGTATTTTGTCTAACTCGGTTTTGTATTTTTATAGTAATTGAAATCTTTCCTGAATCGTTATGTTTATGAATAAGGACAGAAAGAAGTAAATATTTTCTGAAAGGGGTGTTTTCCTCTGTTTCAAAGGGTGTGGACGTAAAGAGATTTAGGGGCAAGCCCCCTAGCTCCGTTTCAGCCACTCCCTTGTGGGCTGGTGCGTGGTGTCTGTGTTAAAAAACAAGACAGGGGTGAAGATCATGTTTCCAAACTACGTGAAAAGAGAATAAGAAGAGACAAGCACAATTTGTACATCAGCGAGAGAAGAGATTAATTACCATCCGTAACGAGGTTCTCGTTTATAGTATCAAAACTTTTTGAAGAATAGATTTGAAGATTTGATGACAAGGGATTTGATGGACTGAATGCAATTAAAACTTTCCATAAGCAAAAAGCTTTTGTCCCGGACAAAAATTTCATTAAATCATGCCTTAAAAACTTATACTTAAATCTTAATGACTTAAATCATAGACATCTGGGACTTGTTCTCAGATAAATTCTACCATGCGTACAATGGCTCGGATCTCGCAGCAAACCCTAATTCTGCCGATGTAGAGAGGCTAATTCCAACCCATAACAAGATAGAAGCAGGTGTGGAAAGCAGCATAGCTCCAGTAAAACTTAACAAATATATGAATGTTGCAATGAATATGCTTGATCTTGCAAGTTTCGAGCTCCGTGAACTACTGCAAAGATATGGCTCCAAAAAACCAGAAAACCAAAGTCTGGGAAGCAAGACTGATTTAAGGGGGTTTTTGAAGGTGAAAGGAAAGAAAAATAAACCATGTAAAAGTGTTTCCTTTCAATAACTTTTTGCTCACAAGTTAAGACATCACCATAAGTTGCTAATTTTCTTATTTACCCAATCAATATAATGTAAAGAATCAGCTTTTGCTAATTATACTTCACTCATTTAAGATGTAGCAAATCATTACTACATGAAGCTACCAGTATTATTTAGAGATAAATGGTCCCCTTTACAACTTGTCCAGAGGCTCTAAATTAAGGGCGAATTAGAACAATACATTGAGGAAAGGCAAAGAACCAAAGAAATAGAACCAATAGCAATAGTTTTATCACTTTCAAATAAAAATAGTTTTAAACGCTGGAAAATTTTCCTTGTGCATTGTTTTAAGTTTTTCGTTATTTCAAGTGCGTTATTTCCTTGTGCGTTGAGAATTGCTATTCCGGTTTCCAGTGGTTTTTGTGTTCCAGTTCTGTCTCAGTAGCCTGAGTGTTTTCCTCCGGCCCCAAACTTTGCATGGTAATACTGTGGAATTGGTGCAGCTTTCAGGTCTAGAATCGAAATCCATCTTTAAATTTTCATAGTTATATCCTATCTAAAGACTCTCATATTGTTATTGCGCTCTACAGGACTATAGGATTTAAGTAAAAGATTTATGTGAAAATTGTACTAAATGTGACGTGCAAATTTTTCGCTAGATGAGACGGTGGGAACATAACATCAAAGTGAATTCTTTTGATAATTAGACAAGACCAAATGCTATACTCAACGATAAGGAATTATTTAAGAGATTAAGAAGCAATGGTAGCGATATTTTTAGCTCATATGGTACAGCATTGGTTTTATAAACTGATTTTCACTGAATGAAATGTAGATAAGGATCCCTATATCTACAAATACAGCCTTGTCACGAGAATCTCATTATCAATCATTGGTCAACTAGCAAAACCAGCCTTTAATAATTCATAGCCTATATATTATAGGTGCTTTGGTATCTTTTTATATTAGATCAATAAAGTCCTCATTTCTATAGAAAGAGAAGTCCCTTTTCTCTCTCTTGGCATTTCAACTATGTGAGGCAGTACGGAAGGAAGGTTCGAATTCATGGGGTACCATCGTTTGAGAACATTAAGAACAAAAGGAACTGTTCATTGGAGACAAAGGGGTATTCATGATTATTTTTTTGAGGCCTGTTCCCCCCTTCTAAGAACAAAGGTGGCTATGGCCTTGATGTGAGAGGTTGGCGGTCGCAGTCTGGTCCAAGAAAAGAACCAATGAAATGCACCACTTATTACCCTGGGTACCAGACTCATTATATATAAAATAATTTTATATATAGTGAGTCTGGTACCCAGGGTAACCACTCATATTCTCACCTTATTATATCTCCACAATTCACTTTAAATTCCCATCCAACTTTTGGCTATATTTCCGCTATTTTGAGAAGAGGGTGGCTCAGAATGTATACTTCAGTTGCCTGTGTTACGTTTTGCTTTTTGTACCATTTTTAAACCAGATATTTTAAAAATTAGATCAATATCATACCGTTTTCTTTATCATCTGTGTCATGCGGGCCATGCATATAGACACCGACATCAGGGCCAGGAGCTGTTAATATAATATCAATATCATAATTTCTTAGCAGCACATCACAACTTTTTCAAACGTTTCATTTAATATTGACATTTATCAGGATAGAAACAAGGTATCAGTTTCAAAGAACTTTTGAAAAGCTAATTGTTGATTGCTCTTATTGCATGTAAACGGTCTGTAGGATGTCTGGCTTATTAAAAAGTATTTTGTAGGTGCAGTGTTGAAAATCTTAAAACGTCATCCCAGAATCGTATTGATCATTATCACAGAAGTACCGTAAATCCTCGAATTAGCCCCCTGGGAGCTTATTCATTTTTGATATTTTTAGATAGGGGCTTATTCGAGGGAGGGCTTATTCGAGGGGGGCTTATACAAGGGGGCTTATAAAATTACTGTAGACATTAAGAAGACACTATTAACAGACCTCGTTTATTTTATTAGAAATTTATTTATCAGCATTTAATTAATTACTACCAAAAGTATGAATTTGTTGTGGTTATTCAATAAAACGCCATAGGCAACCTCAGATGGCAAAAATCATCAAATGGAGGGGTCCAATTCGAAAACTTACGGTAGTAGTGGGAGCTTATTCGAGGAAGGGGGGCTTATTGACAACTTGTAGTTCTAGGGTTGGGGCTTATTCGAGGATTTACGGTATTAAACGGTCGTTGATTTGAAAATAAAACAGTACAAGTTTTCTTTTCTCTATGTAGTGTGGCAGTTTTCCAAAGGGTTTTTCAATAAAAATATATCTTTGTATCTTTTGTATCTCTTCACTCTCAAACATACTAAACATCTCATAGATAAAAATCTAGACTTCTAGCTCATAAGACATGATGTGCAGCTTAGATGTGGATATGGATTGCAGTAAATTGTATGATAGAACAATATTGAACGTTTAAAGTATATTTAAAGTTCGTTAGAGATATGCCACAAAGATACCTGAGCTGCTTGTCGCCAGCAAACATGCTACGAGTATTATGATTATTAGCAGTTTCATGCTTTATCTTGTTTGCTGATGTTCCAATATTGCAATTGAATGTTTAACCTCCAAATTCTTTTCGAAAGTTAGCTGTTTTTTTTCAGACGAGAATCCATAACAAACTGGTGCTCGAATTCAAACCAAGGTCAAAAGTCTGGAATTTTTCATGGATGTTTTTGTTATATTTTAGCTTTGTGCACATTTTGCATTTTAGTTAATGTTTGTTAAGCATAATTCTAATTTAGAAATTCGTCGAAAGGGCGATTTCTCATTGGCACAAGTACCACTTATGCAATAATGGAATGAGATCACAGTTTGTTGTACTGCCTCTACTTCGGTATGAGGCTGATTATCATGGTTATGGCGGGAAATCTTTCACAACTACCTGTCTACATGAATCTTCTAGAAATGAGAATCACACACTTTGCTAAAGCAATTTACCTGCCAATATTTATGCTCTAATAGAAGCTGATCTGTAATTTCCCAAAGTTTTGGATAATTCAACAGTTAACTCAATGAAAGTTTTGTGATTCGCAAAGAGGGTCGACGTCGCTGCACAAAATGGTTTATAGGAAGAAGATGGTTTTTATGATCGATGTGAATCCATTAACATCCCAAAACGCAAGTTTTTGTTTCGAAGATACAGTGAGGCTCATACGGTTCAGCATAGTGCGAATATTAACCTACTTTGGTGGTCGTCATAGATCAGCCGGAGGGAAATCGGACACAAGCCCACTTTGGGGATTTAAATTTTACAAATCTTCAGGAGGACAATTGGAGTACGGCAATCATCACTTCTACGATTTAAAGCTGAAGGATTTTGAAAACTTTGAAGAAGAGCTTGAGCTTAAATTAGCGAAGGCAAAAGAGGACTTCTCATTAAAATCTCGATCGCAGGGCTTCGTGGCCGACCAACTATCTTGTGCTTTGGCTGAAGTTGTGACGGGTTTTCAATGGGAAAGGCCGGATTTCTTTTCACCTGTCAAGGCAAACAGAAAAACAGGGATTGAGAAACAAAACAACACCCAGAACCGAAATGATGCTTCAAATTTTGTTTTTCTGTTTACACCTTGCCCTTGCTGTTGTGGTGATGTTAGCTATTTCTCAAATGGAAAACCATCAAATCCAAGTGACCTAAAAGCTGCCTTGATGAAGGATGAAGTTTACAAAAAAATGACACTAGAGAATAAAATTGTTTTTCATTGGGTTGATTTAGGGTCAGCCTGGTCTGCAAAGGCAAGTGCTGTAGTGTATATTTTCTTTTAAAGAATAGGCCTCAACAACAAGTCATCTCCTGAAGAAACCAATATATATTTTCCAATCTATCAGCCTTTCATTACTTTTGAACAGGACCTATTTGAACAGGGCCAAGGTAACTTGCTGGACCAGTTAAATGAACTCTTTTTCAGTTTTTAAACTAGCACACCAACAAGCTGGTCTCCCTATGCTTTTTGCAAAATACTGATGGCTCCGCAAGTAGGTCCTTCTTTTGATAGTTTCTGTTTGGAAATTGTTTATTAAAGCTTTCAAAATATCACCATGCACCCAAAAGACTTCTTTTATTCCTAGCATAAAGAAGAAAAGCACATGCATTGCATCAAGTTTTCTACTCCTATGAAAATTTTAGTTACTTTAAATCAGTAACATACAAGCATGCAGAGTAATCAGTAACATACCAGCATGCAAAGTGAAAAAGTTTTGAAGCAAAATTTGCAAGTTGTTAAAGCAAAATGACCAATTCTTTTCCATATATAAAGGATGTTTTTGCTTAAGGCATTATCTGTTTTAATTTACAAGAAAAGGACAGGTAAAATATTTTTTTGTACCAATTCTCAAGGATATATTCAATTTTGTTTTAGATGTCTGATGATTTTCATGGAGTACTATCCACAATGATGACTTGGTTCTCAGGCTCGTTGATACCCATTGAGAACATTTCTTATTGGTGGGTTCAAGGTGCCACCACAAAGGCCCAAAAGACATGTCAGCCTGGTCAATTTTGCCTGCTTATGGATACTATATTGTCAAAAAGAAAAAAGGAAACTAGCAATGATGGTCACTCAAACTTTTCCTTGAATGTGCACAGGGTTTTCATATGTTTGGGTGGTAGGAAGATTTTCTATTCTCCACCTTTTCTAGTAATTGTTCAGGATCAGTGACAATATTTGTCTCTCATAAAGTCAACAAGCACTTAAAGCAACCAATTAAACAGATTTATTGGAAATGGAAATGAAATAATAAATCATTAAAAAAAGGAAACTTTTATCCAAAGAGTTGATTAATTTATGCATTCTGTTCTTAATGTCATGGGTGCTATTATTTTTGTCTTGGAGTTTTGAAACCTCACTTTTTTCAATGATATTTATAAAACAAAGGATATGATAAAGATGTTTTCTCTGCGACTTGATCTGTTGTTATTCAACCCTCTTTATTCTTAGTTTGAGTTTGGTACAATAAATCTTCTTTATGAACATACAAATATTTTTCAGAAATTATTATCTATTGTTATGGTCTTTTTTAGATTCATTTTCTGGAAAATCAGCCTCATCAACTCATCAATATTTGCCAGTAATCCTCAGAAATGTTTTGCTGCAAAAGAAGGGTTTTAATGCCAGTAATGACGTAGAGTCTGTGGCCATACAAAGAACACCTACAAAGCAATCAGAATTACAAGATTGTGCAGAAGTACAAGATACTGTGACTATGAATCTGAATGGTACCATGGTTGCTGAAATGGAGGGAGTGTTCAAAAGCAGTGCTATTTTGATGTTTTTACAGAATAGCCAGGAGTCATACTATTGCACATTTGACTACAGCCAAGGCCAAGATGGTATGTTAACAGATAAATAAATCAACAAAAAACTTGCTATCTCAAATTCAAAAGTCAAAGTTTATCAACTCATTTAATTTTCAAACATTCCATTTTGAATGTAGATTGAATACCTACAAAAGGAATAGTCATAATGTAATTAAATTCCAAATAAAGAAACAAAACTGCATCATCAGATTTCTTGTTTAAATGGACGTTATTTAAAGTTGAATCAAGCTGAACCAAGATTCCTTAAAAGACTTTGTAAAATCTTTGGAGGAATTGTATCATAATTTAGTTATGCAATATTAATTTCAAATCATAAATTTATGAATTCATTTTTGTTTCTTGTTACATTTTTGTCTTTATAATCAGTGTGATTGTGCATTATTTTCTATACTTTTACCAACTCAATTTGTAAGTTAATAAATTTGCATATATGGTGGGTGTTTGAATTTACACATTGTGTGTAAGAAATATTGCAAAATTTGATAGTTAATCATTAATCATTTATATCATTTTATCTTATCATAAAATTTTGCATTCTTTCTAGGAAATAAAAGAGTTTTGACTGCAGCATTCATAAGCTTGCTAAGGATACTGAAAACAAAGCACTTAATCCTGGTATGTGTTATCATGTCTGAGATTTGTTTAAAAAATTGTTTACCACTCTGTGTAAAATGATAATCAAAACATTGTTTTTAAATAAGTTGCTTCTACTTTATTACAAGAACAACAATTTCTTGTTTTAAATCATGTAAGCTTCTTGTTTTCCAAATATCTGGTTATCACTGGGCTGTACTCATGATCTTATTTCCATCTGTCAGCTAACTCATTTATAAGGGGTTACATCATGCATTGGAACAGCAAAAGGTGCTAAAGTTTTTGTAATTTTGATCTGCTGAGTTAGCAAAATCCCTAAATCAATCCAGTATACAGAACAAAATCTTTTATCTGTTTAAGATAATTAAAATGAATCATCCTGAAAATGGCCGAAAAGTCAGTGCTTGCCTCCAATCATGGACTGCCTCTTCTGGAGTACTTACAATCTTGTCATCACCAATTGGCATTGAATGTAGAAGGAAACATGGTGCAGAGGACTTTGCTAAACAACAACAAGCTCTTGTGGAAGGGTTGATAAAGAGTATCCATTCAAAACTTGCTAATAGAAGGTCAATGGACAGTGCAGAGGTTGTCAGTAGTGACCAAGGTAAATATTTAGCTAAGGAAAGTTTAGTAGTGTTAAATGACCATTGATTTACATGATTTGCATAATTGATAATGAATTGATGACAGGGATATTCTATAGCCACCAATATATAAGGATTTCACAGTCAAAATATTTTCAAAAATCCAGCAAAGAATTCTGTCATATAAAGCCGATAGAACTTCATCAGAGGAAGTAGATTGTTCAATTGTATTGAAAATTTTTCTTTGCTCATTAGAATTTTTGCTTAAACGTATTCTGCAAACAGACCACACAATATTTTAAACCTGCTTTGTTTTTTGTACATTTTTGATACAAAATTAATTTTGTATTGCCATTGAGTATTTGTATATAAGCATATTTCTAATGTACCATGAATAAGTAAGTTCATTATTTTGCAGCACTTACTAGTTCATTATTTTCTCATTTTATCTCTTGGTTTTAAACCCGCAGAAATTTTGTCAGCCCTGACGGAACGAACCGCCTTGCCAACTTCTTCATCTTTCATGCAAGCTTTCAATCACTGGTTTTTTGATCTTCCATCCCACTCCTTACCTTCCAAACTGCATCAAAATATAGAAAGGTATGTAGTTTTTTTGTTGTTATTGAAATTCAGTTCTTTTTACGTAAGGCACTTTACCCAATATAAAAATTGTTGCAGCTACAATCATGAGAAAATTGAAAAGCAAATCAGTTTTTTGACACTATAACTTCTGTTTTCAGTTGGCTTGCAACCAAAACTGTTTTACAACATTATTTTTTCAAACCTTTGATGATAATTGTAGCTATTGTTTCCCGCATTTGTTGAGTTAATTTTCCAACAGAGATGTAATGTATGCCAAATGTACAAATTGTCATGAGTAATTCAATCACATTCATTAGTTAGGATTTCATTGCCTAGCTTGTGATACGTGTAGTCCAGAAAGTTAGCTATAAAGGAAACTCTCAAAACAAGACAATGTTATGTGGATTGCCATGTTATCTTTGATTGGATATGGTCCTAAACCAAAAACTGTACTTTGGCTAAAATTGTTCCAAGAACAGTTGGCTAGCATTGCAGGTCAGATATTAGATTAGGATAACATTTCGAGAATACAGATCTGTTTTTCCTCACTATATTGATATTTATTGATGAAAAAAATACGGTATCTTAGAGCAATTCTTTTATTATTTGCTTATATCATAGAATTACCAAAACAGCAGTCTCTTTGGTTTTCAATGTTTAAGCTTCAACTTGGCATACACTTTTTCGCCTCCAATGTTTTGCATGAATGGATTATAATACAAGTAAATTGTTGTACAACAAATTGCTGTAGAAAGGTTTCATTGAATAATGATAATAATAATAATAATAATAATAATAATAATAATAATAATAATCGAATGTTTTAACAGGATAACCTATCAGTACAATATATACTGTTATCATTAGGGTCCTGATACTTAATAAATTAATGGTAAAAGATCTAAAAACTAATTACAAGAGTTCAATACAGTCCAATCGAAAGATAAAATAATTTTACATCAAATAAAATTTTGTATTGAATTCCTATCATCCAACATATTGCGAATAGAAATCTTATTTACTTTTGCAGAATTCAAAATGTGGAGCCAGAGAAAGTTCTGAAGGCAGATCAAGTATCGACTGGCCTTTTCAAAAAACTTAAAGAATGTTATAAAAGCCAACGTTGTGCGGGTAAAAAGGAGCGAGAAATTTCACTTTCGAAGGAATCTAATTCTGCTGTTACAAAATTAAAGTCAAGGACATTCTCTCGATCTGAGCATATGCTTGCGAAGTCGAAAGCAAATACAATGAAAAAGAAGTCCGAGGAAGAGATTAAAAAACGTGAAAGGGTTTCTAGTAACCAAGAAACGGAAGGAGGTGGCAAAAGAGGTTTGGAAGGAGAAAATGAAGCAGAAGAAGATCCTTTGAAAGATATTGATTTGATTCCAAATGGTAAATATTCTTGTGGCTTCCATCTAACTGATGATGTGCAGAGATAATTTCTTTTAAGAACAAGAAAGTATCTGTATGAAGAAGGCCTTGTTATTTCTTGTCTTTAGGGTATGGGTATCTTGTTCACTTCATTTTTGAGCTCAATAGTGCCTTTTTTTAAAATATGTTTAACAATTTTTTTGTGGTGCAAAATTTAATAATGGTTTTGCTTTTTTTAAAGTCATTCTAAAATATGTTTATAAAAAATAGTAGTATAAATTTCTAATTCTTAACAATATCTATCGCCACGTGCTATTTAGTACAAGGAACAATCTCTTTCAAGGGACTCCTTGCATATCTGCTTCATATCAAGGGTTTCAAAGCATTTGGTAGAAAGACTAGGCAAATCCTTACTGCGCCATCTCCCTCCCTCCCCTCGGAAATCAGATCATAATCTTTCTTCTTCACAAGATTCCTTTACTGATGTTTTTAACATCAGCCCAATGAGTCAAACACACTCATTTGAAACTATAAAAACTAAGATTAACATAAATACAAATGTTGGCTTTCTTTCACAGATTTATCAACTATGGATATTGACAGCATTTCCGGCTACATTAAGGACCAGATCGCTGAGGTGTTGGTAAAGGTATGTTACTTTTCGTTACGTTTTCTTGTTTTTGTATATATTGTCCTAGTGAAAATATATTTTGAAGTAGAAGAGGTGCTTTCAAAAGGTACAGGAGTCCCGTTGCAGTTTAATAGTCACATATAAAGCGTATTGTTTATTAAACTCATTTCCAGCAGGGCCTTATCTGTTATTTTACGAAAGTATGAACCGATTTGAACTAAACTAAGTTTGAGTATAAATTCATTACACTCCTATAATGTAGTAAGCCTTTGAAAGTTAGACCTACTGAAAATAATCCTATTCCATTTGAAGACTGAAACTGCATAGCAGTTTAAAGGAATTTATTGATATTAAAAGATAATATTTTTCTAATTAGTGTGCAAGATAATGAAAGGTATTTCATCGAGCTAGAGGATAACCTGCTTGGTGTTTTAAGTTGCACATAGTAAAAGTGTGGCCTACTGAACCCGTTAAGATATGTATGGCTCGGGGCTTGATAAATATGATTGAAGAGCGTTAATTGTTTTCTTAGGACTTGTCTGCTTGTGAATCAATCGTTAGAAAGCTCTCAAGAGCAGCATTTCTGTTTTTGAATAAACACAACGAGAGCAAGGAAGCAACTGAGGTGAGTTTGAAGCTTGTTTCCTTGGCTGCCTATTTCAATTATTAATGGATGCTAAGAACTTTTTAATGCCAAATTTGCATGCATTTTGATTCAATATTTGTTTCGTCAGTGCTCTAAAACACAGATGCGAAACATTTTCATCGATACATCATGAAACATTTAATTGAATTAGTTGCTAAGTTCCCTGACTTTGGTCACTTTTCACTCCACATAGAATCCCACTGTGTATTGATTAGAATCATTAATTTGTTGATTAGAGTTATAGAGTTTTGTATTGGCATTCTGTAAAATACACCCAAGGCTAATTCAAGTGCTCTTGATTAAATAAAGATTGTTTCAAAGCAGAGGATGAGCATGGTTTCTTGTTATACTTTTTTTGTGGATAGCTGGGTTTATATAAAAAGATGAAAGCACTTTCTAAGAATACTTGAAGATCGCAAGTCTGACAGTTGGGCAAATGGGGCTTCTTATAGTTGGTTTTCTTGTCTATAGAGAATTTAAATAGATGAAGGGGTCTCTTTTGCGTGGGAGTAGCAAACTTACATTTAAATTCAATTTGAAACATATTTTGTTAAAAACTTATAGAAATCTCTCCTACTTAGAAAACTCGGTACTTTTTTCTGGTCCGCTGCTGAATGCAACAGATTGTATAAAAAATCTTCAAGGGAGAGGGAATCGTGCTCAATAGCTTTATCCTTTATGAACTTTCTTGGACTAAAGATAAATTATAACTATGAACGAGTAACAAGTCATCGTTTATAATTTTTTACTCGTAGTGGTAAGAGAGTCTAGTCTCCAATAGGTTGTATGAAGTCAAACGCCAGTTCTTTCTATCCTGTGTCATTTCAGATAACCTATTCAATGTTTGTGCTTCTTTTGAGAGCTCCAGTTTAATTCAAATGCTGGCCAAAGTTTGTTTTAGAATTCAAAATTACCACATAGTCTTGATAGCTTTTCTTCAAATTCATAGAGGATCAGTCCTGACCATTTCCTGGAAAATGTTTTCAATAACCTGGAAGACGTTGACGATAATAAACATGTGAAGGTCGCAAGGTTTGTGACGTCATTAGTTTTTAATGGTTATTTCGATCATTAGCTATCAAGTCATTATGATTAATAGAAACCGTAATGGTATGCAAACCTATCCTTGTGCAAGACAGTAAGGGTATGCACAAAGTCGCCTAAATATAAGCCTTTGCTGTTGACCATGATCTAAACGTATATTGACTATTTTGAGAGTATTTTGACTGAAAGATACAAGTAGAAGATTAAGCAATATGGATACCTATGATTAATTGATTATTATTTACTCTTAGCATTTATCATAAATTGAGTTAATTCTAGCTACTATGGAAGTGGGAAAATTTTGGTCCAAGATGCAACTTGAAATATTGCAATAAGATTTCAAAAGGTTTTCATTCTTTAAATTTCAAATATAGAACCGAATATGCTTTGTGCACATGTTATCAGCCAGTATAAAGGACGTCTTTCTTCATTACAAAAGATTGTTTTTTTAGCTATTGATATGTTTTTTCCTTGATCAATTTTAGGCATATTACTCGCGTTTTGATGGAATTAGAAATGGCTGTGTTGAAAAAAGTGACAAGAGCAGATGAGTCTAGTGGTCCAAGTGACACTCAAGTTGACCAGTCATCTAAAGAGACTTTAGAGGGTGCTGGGGTAGAAAGTCCTGGCAAAACAAGAAAAAAGAGTGATTGTGGACAGGGAACAGGAGATTATGCATCAGCTGATGACACAAGCGATGATGAAGATGTGGAAACCATTTGTCCTGTTGCTGAAAGAGTGAGTAACCATGTTTTGTATATGATAAGACTGTAAAAGGTGGGGAAAGGAGTGAAAATTATGAAAATAATTTCGAAAAATCTTTCAAGTAAATTATTTTTTGACCGAGTACTGAATGGTATGCAACTAAACCGGCCGCCCCTCCCTCTAAAATGTGTTTTCGTTAATCGTTCCAACGACACTGACAATTTTTTCCTTAGCAGTGATGGGGTGATGGCCTGTGACGCAGACTACGCCCCCCTTTAACGTCCTTACTGCGTCGCAGGATGAAGAGTTGGCTCGCAGGCCATATCTCAGCCTAATAAACATTGAAGCACAATTTTTAAAGTATGGGGCAGAACCCTGATAAAACAGTTGTAGAATTTGTTGAACTGGTCCTTGTGAAGGAAAAGGTGGATTGTAAAATTAAGCAATAAAAGTATTGCAAAATTGTCAGTAAGCAAAGGCAATATAATTCGTTTGTCAGTTAAAGCAAAGGAAGTATGATGACGTCAGTAGCTAACTCTCCCGGCAAAGTTTTCATTGTTTTTGTAAAAAGTTACTGGCCAGTGTGGGTCTCGAACCCACGACCTTAGCGTTATTAGCACCACGCTCTACCGACTGAGCTAACCGGCCATGACAAATAACGTGAGAAATTTTATATAATTCCCTCGGAAGATCAGGTGCCGAAGCAGGGGGTTTTCAAACTTAAAACTCAAACTCTTTTTCAGAAACACAATTATAAATTACAATATGAATATACTAACATAAAATACAATTACTAGAAATTTCAAAAATTAGAAGTTAGAAAATTAAGTAGGTGCACAAAAACAATTGGTTTTGATTATATAATGAAGGTTGAAAACTCTTAGCGAGCTATCAAGTCATATGCCCTGTTTATATACTTAATTAAAGATTATGTATAGATTTGAGTTTAAATGAAACATTTATTGCATAGGGACTTACTGAATTTCAAGTAGGTCGAACTAGGAAAATCATATCATGATTACTTCAAACAAAAATTAACTTTACTATATTTTTCTATTTGTTTTTACTATATTTTCTATTTGTTTGGTGCAAAGGTGCGAGTAGTAAGAGAATCCTTACCTATTTAGGGATCTATCCTTTTACCACCAGACCAAAGTTATAATCAGCAACCCATCTAGATTTCTTAAGAAAAACGTTAAATTTCCTTCAGTCTATCATTCACATTTGAACAAACACAATAACCTTTTCAATTTAAGTTTTTTGTGTTAAAATGAACTGGTCGAGACCTAAAATAATTCAACTGAATTTTTCAATTTTCAAAATCTATATTGACTCATGTATATAATATATGATTATATGAAATAATTTTTTTCATTTTTCGCATAAAAATCATACAGCTATGTAAAAGCTAGTTAATGCCAACTTTCACAATCTACAGTCATGCAAGTTAATAGGCTCCTAATCATGTTTTAGAAGCTGCTAAAGATTAGGACTCCAGTATATCGTTCTACGGCTTGACCACTTATATCGTACTTACCATTTCTTTTAGCTCACTGTTTTTAAACCATAAAAAATGTCCTGGAATTAGAAATGCCAGTGGTATTCGAAAGTCTACATATCTGCTCATATCTTTTCACAAAATTCTTTCCCATGAAACTGGGATTCAGGTTATTCATTCTTTTCCGCATCACTATCAGCAAGAACAGTAGTAGATGAACGTTTACTGCTTTATCTAATTTCAGTGAAGTTTCATAGTCCACATGACTGTTTTTATACACAATTTTGAGTGCTCTTTTTGGTATTTTATTCATATCTACATTGAAATTTGCAATAGCTAAACTAAGACTTTATGGAGCTGTTTATCTGGACCCACGGATGAGGATACTGTTATAACTTAAGGGCAAAAGTTATTTGCATGAATATGAAATATGAATTTTATAATCAAGATTTTCATCTTAGTAACTTTTCGCCATAGCTCTTACCAGGGGCGCCGAGAGGGGGGGTTAGGAGGGTCAAAAGTTCCGGGGCCCGTGCTCCGATGAGGCCCATAAAAAAGTAGCAAGATCTATTTGTAATGCAAAAAAGCTACAATCCCGGACAAAAATGTTGAGACAAAATGCAATTTTTGTAATTTTCTACTTTACCTTGCCCCTGTGAATTCGAGTCCCCCCCCTTTCCCCCGAAGCAATGTTTGATATGTAGTTCTATCATTTCTCCTTCAAAATCCTGCATTTAACATTGAATTGGGGGAGGGGGAAAGTTATTTTTTAAAGAAAAGTGAAAATATAAGCTTTTCTTGAAAAGTCTCAACCATTTTTGTCCGGGATTGTAGTATTTCAGCTACTTAAATGGAACTAACACCCTTGTAAGTTTATCAAAGAGAAATGTCCAAATATCCTTGATTCATGTAGAATGCTTTTGCACGTTCTTTTAAATATCCTTAAAAATTTTCAACAATTGTACCTAAAAAGACGTTTCCCTTATTCTCCGGGAGACTGAAGGGCGTGGCCACGGAACATTTTCTTAAGGGGTGTCCAGTTTTATGGATCACCCCTGGGTCCAAGCTGCCTCTCGACGGCCCTGGCTCTTACGAATTAGAAATGGCTGCTGTTTCAGATGGTCAGTCTGAGTCTAAGCTCTGTCTCGCCTTCTGTTACTTGTCATTGTGCTTTTTGTACATTCAAATCTATTCTCTGGGATTAACTAACCCACAAGCTGGCCAGTTTTGAACTGAGGACTTTGCGTTTGACACCCCTTGGCCTAAGAGAGGATAATGATATGACCATGGATAATGTTCTCTCATCTCTTTGGTAAAATCAAAGACATTCTCAAGATCTAGAGCTTTTCATCGCAATTCTCATTATTGTAGTGGTGTTTTCTCTATAAAATTACAGCATCCTGTTAAATCCGACAATTTGATGTTATTTTGAAATAATGTTATTCTGAATACTGTTACAGCCCTCATTTTGTAGTGGAGCTTCTAGTAAGGAATGTGATTCGCATTTGTTGAAGATAATAGATTAAGAAACTTTGGTTAGAGTAACGCTTAAAATGTACATTCTCAACCTTTTTGCCTTCCAGGTGATAGGGCAGCTTCGTCCTTTGATATTTCTGGAAAACACCGGCTTCCTGGCCAAATACTTAAACAGCAAAATTCTACCAAGGTGAGGGACTACAGATTCTATCCTTAAGGATGTGCATGAAAATGTCTTTTCAATGTAAAGCAAATTTTTTTTGTAATAGGTTGTTATAAAATGATGTCTTGTAAGACATATCGAAACTCAAAATGCCTGCCATTTTCAGCTGAACTTGAAACTCACAAGTTTTCAGCTTGTAATGTAGTTTTTTATTTAACTAAATCGGACAGTGTGTTAAAAGAATGGAAACTTGAGAGTTGATTCCCAATTATAGACATAACCTATATATTCATATTTCATATTTGATTTGTTTAGGGAGGGTTGCCCTTAAACGGAAGTTGTTTTTCAAGGGGCCCTCCAATAAAAACTAATTGCAATTGATTTTTCTTTGATTTTTAATTTTTTTTGTAGATTTAATTATTGTAAGAACTTTTTTAATTATTGTAAAAACTTTTTTAAACTATATTGTTGTAACATTTTTATCGTAGGTACATTAATTTCACAGGTCCTTGATTGATAGCAGCAAACTCATTTTTGCTGAGCAAGTTTACCTGTATAAATATGGTCTTATTATTATTATTATTATTAATATGCAATTAAAATACTAGAAATTAAAAATCATATGCTGCCCTTTATGAATCTCAATTGACAAAATAAATGATCTGAATGAAAAATAATTCAATGTTTTAGAATAGTAGTAAAATTAATGGATTACAAAGTATATGTCTACCTTGAAATTTTCAAAGATTTTCTTAATTTCAGATTCAAGACCAAAATACCAAATATTTTGCATGAAATATACGAGGGTTTAGGCCATCAGACGCCATTGGAAATATTAACACCATCAAAACAAATTGCCGATGCCGATGACTCGTTTGATATTGCCGAAGATGATCCTGCTTCGCTGTCGACAACTGATTACGGTTCGAACCAGCCTTCAAACCAAAGGTAATGATGCGCCACTATGGATGCACATATTTGGTTTCTTGTATTCCATGCTGAAACACCCTTTAGAAAGAGTTCTATAGCAATGCTTACTGTTAAGTTGGCTTAGATAGGACAAGAATCTCTCGTTTATATATGATTGCTTACATGCATAGTGGCATCGTTCGCATAGGCGTAGGAGTATTTTCTAAAACTATGAAAACAACATCGGCAGTTTAAATTTGGCTCGTTTTTAACATTTGTTCATTTTTAGCATGCAAGTGACAACGATTGGTGACAACGACTTGTGACAACGATTTGACATTTTCTAAAATAATATGAACCAATGTTATAAGTGATCATTCCTTGCTTTAAAAACACTTTGATAATTTGCTTCTTACAGCGGTACTACCTTCAGGAGATTCTTAAGTATCAATGATAGTATGGCGACGAAGAGACAGATCATGGTTCCTGCAAAACGATCCAACAAAAATGGCACCAAACGAGCAAAGAAAGGATATCAAGGTGATAGAACATATTTCATTTTGGTATTTTTATTATATGTTATTTATTTATTTCAAATGTTTGTTGTGGTGTTTCCAATTTAAATTGATATTTTTGTACCTGTTCCTTTTTTGTCTTAGCTTGTGATCACGATTTTGTAAAATGTTGGCAAATTACACATGTTGCCTCATTTGAGAATCTTTGTTTTGTTTGTTGTGTTCTTCTATTGTACCTCGGTCTTTTCTGGAATTTTCTGTCCCTTTCTTTATAAACCACCCTCTTTGTACTTTGAATGTCAATGTTTAGATAATCCACCAAAACCAAGCAAAGAGGGTTGGTGCCGAAACCTCTTTGATACTGGAACGAATAATGAAGAAACCACATCTTCTGTATCTGGCTGCAGAAAGAGAAAGCTGCAGAGGAGATACACAGAAATTGGTAAGTGAAGGTAAAAATAGAATGAATTAAATAAACAACTGTGATTTTTCGTCTTTAAGCAACTATCGTTATAATGCCCACTCATTCCTGAAAGAATCGACCCGGCTACTACTTTAAACGCCATTATTTATAACATGACAAGGCATGCAACTATATCTAATCTTAATCCGTTTGGAAATAAATTCTCGAACCATCTTGAGGTGTAACAAAGTATTTCCTTGTAATATCTTACAATTTGTAAAATGGTAAAGGCTGATGACGTATGAATATATTCCAATGATTTATAAATGCTCCATTAAATCATAAGCAAACATTGGTATGCAAAATGATTTATTTTTGAAGTGGTTTGTTCATTCGTTTTATTTGAAACTGTTTCTATAGCTCCATCAGTGAAGGATACCCCTGCTGTTAAGCAGCGGCGCCATTTCTTTTGGAAAAAGCAGCACAAACAAAGGTGGGCAGCACAAGCAATATTCTAATACATAATGTTGATGTAGCGTAGCAGATCTTGCATATTAACCCTGTTAAAACTATATATTAGTTTGTCAGTACTAGTCACTAGAACTGCTGAGAGATTGCCGTTTGAAGATAATAGATTGAAGATAATTTTAATCTTTTCACTCTGGTCATTCACCTTTTTAAAGTAAACAAATATTATTGAGAGAAGCTATTACCTCAGTGCTAAGACCATATAATGGTTTTTCTATTAATCATTCAAAATTATTTTTCTTGAAATGTTTATCTAAGACTTAGATTCTGGTTAATGTGCAACATTTGTTACCAATTGAAAAGTTTATATTTCTTTGGCCCATGTTATAAGCAACAATTTTACTTTTATTTTGCGAGAATTTCGAAGAAAATCTTCATTTTCTATGAACATAGTTACAGATTATTCATTGTGCTTTAGATTTTTAGTATTCGTGCACACTGAATTGCAGGTTTTTTTCAAAAATGTAATATTGGCATTTTTTTAAACGTAATTATTTAGCAGATATATTTTACCTGTTTTAGGAGAAAAACTGACTGCATCACAAATGTAACGGTTATTGAGGAATCCCCTTTAAAGGAATGCAATATTGAGGAATCACCTGTGAAAAGTGCATCCTGTATGTATTTGATACTCTTTAAATCTTATCAATAAGATGTATGTGTCTATATATTATAGAATAACTTGTTTCAACCCTACTTTTTGAGACAAATTGGACCTTAAGACTTGTACAGTATTTAGATTTTAGCTTCACATTAATAGGTCTAGCTATCAAAATTTCGCTGGATGAAAATGAAATGGAAGTAAAGTCAGATTTCAGACTTTCTTTAGAGGTTCCTTTCTTTGGTGAATATTCGAATTTATTTTTCAATTTTGTGATGTTTAAGTTTTCCTTTGTTTCTTATTTTCCAGCTGCTACAAGATTTTTCAGCAGATCACAGTCATTCAGTTGTAAGACATCGCCAAGACGGTTTTACGCTTCAAAGCGATACCACCCAGAATTGTCATCTTTGCAAAATTCTTCCTTTCATTACAAGTTTGGTAGGAGCATATCATGTTTAACGGATGAACGCAAACTGGCAAGAAGTGAAAGTGATTTGGAAGATAATCGTAAGGAAGAAGTGGAACAATTTTCTGTCTATAAATGGGATAAATGTCAACCTTTGAATATTGCTGAAACTCCAGAAAAACCTGCCTATGTTTCACCTGTGTTCGACGAAGACTCCAGAGAAACAAAGTTTGGTACAAGAAATCAGCAAGCTACGTTAAGAATGCGCAGTTTATCAATGGATGCTAGCCCTCTCCCAGCAATGACTCTGACCCCGAAAAAATTGAGTTCAGATTCAGTTTTAATCGCAGAAAAATCAACAGATCGTGGGCATGAAAATTACAGACCAAAAAGAGTTCTTGATCTACTGGAAATTGCCAGTGCCACAGAAAGTTTTGGTTTTGATTCAAGATTATCAACTAAGCCATTGATGTATTCTGAAGACTCAATGGACTGGGTGGCAATGTTGGAGAACGATCGAGAAAGTAACGAGCCTAATGATGTTTCTGGTGAGAGCCCGTTGCCTGTTATTGACTCTGTCCCGAGTTTGCGAGAATCAGAGTGTGGTTCGGTTAAAGGCAACTCACCAAATATTTTCACACCAATCAGAGAGGGAAAGCAGCCGTTCTCGTCGCCATTTTTGTCAGCCAGCAGCCTGGAGACATTAGAGACGGCACCCATTATATCGCCAAGACTACGAGGATCGAAATTAAACAAAGAAATTTCTTGTCGCAAACGGATCAAAATACCAATAGAGGATTGAATTACATGGGAAACAGCCATCAAGATATCTTGTATGTTATATTACTCATCTGTTTTTTTTATTTTGTTCTTTTATTCTGACTGAGTTAAAGGTTTATTTTCTGACTTATCATTTTTCATAAATCACAGAAAGTGTATTGAATAATTTCAAAATAATGAATAAAATGAATATATCAATAATTAATCACTTCTGATAGTTTGATTTCAACTTTGTACTTGCAGAAAACAGCTGTATAGAACACTAACTATGACGACATTAACACTTGTACCTAAATGTAGTTATGCGCACTAATGGTGGCTTATCTCGTTTGAAATGCTAGAAAGAGCTCACAACTACAATCTGCTGTTTATTCTTGCACTAAAATAAAAATTAAAGTGTGTTTTGAATAGAAAAATTATTGGTCCAGAATTGAGATTTTTCATAAGATATAGGCTTACCTTTTCCTTAAAAAAATTTTAGTTTTTTTACGATCAAATAACTCATTTAAAATGCTAGATAGAGCTCATAACTACAATCAGCTGTTTATTCTTTCTCTAAAATACAAAATAAAGTGTGTTTTGGATAGAAAAATTATTGGTCCAGGACTGAGATTTTTCATAGGCTATAGGCTTACCTTTTCCTTAAAAAGATTGTAGTTTTTACGATCAAATAACTCATTTAAAATGCTAGAAAGAGTTCATAACTACAATCAGCTGTTTATTCTTGCTCTAAAATACAAAATAAAGTGTGTTTTGGATAGCAAAATTATTGGTCCAGAACTGAGATTTTTCATAGGCTATAGGCTTACCTTTTCCTAAAAATTTTTTTTGTTTATTTACGGTCGAATAACTCATTTAAAATGCTAGAAAGAGCTCACAACTACAATCAGCTGTTCATTCTTGCTCTAAAATCCAAATTAAGTGTGTTTTGAATAGAAAAATTATTAGTCAAGAACTGAGATTTTTCATAGGCTATAGGCTTACCTTTTCCTTAGAAAAATTGTAGGTACTTAAGGTCGAAAAACTAATTTTGCGATGCTAGAAAAAGCTCACAACTACATTCAGTTGTTTATTTTTATTCTAAAATAAATAAAAGTACGTTGGACTAAAAAGGGTGATTTTTCAAACACGAAGATGTGTTGTTAATGACTCATCTGTCGAAAAAAGGTAATGGTAAAGATGAATGAAGCATACAGTCTGAACGATAAATTTCCTGGGCCAACAGGATAGTGAGGTAGGATAGCTAGGTTTTGTTTTCCTTTTTATGTTTTCCTGAGCCTTTTCGTTGTTGCTACTAAGTGCCCTTTTCCTTCTGGGTGCCCTATTGCTGCTGACTGGAAAGAAGGCAAGCCTCGAAATCATTTGTCGAGCCTGGATTCGAACAAACAACCTCAGTCTAGCACTATTACTGCCTGATTAAAAAGGACAGTAAAAGAGAAAAATTGCTTTGACTAAAAGGAAATAAGGTATTATACAAGATGTGTTTATTCAACAAGGTTGTGTATATATTACAACTATATTTAATATTTACATAATCTCTGACATCGTTTAAATAAATCGTGCAAGTGCAAGAATATTTACATCAGAACACGAAAATGAGGCAAAATGTTGAATGCGAGGCTTAAAAATTGCTAAATTTCCACGTTCAGTAGGAGGCACTGTAGGTATGTTTATCTTAAATAAAGTTGTAGAGGAAATTGCTAAGTTTGTATGAAAACATCACTGAAAAAGACCGCATTTACAGGCCGAAAAAGAAGAAAAGTATGTTTAGTGAAGCCCAGCCTTTGTCTTCAAGATATGTCATAAACACAAAACAAGATATAAAAGAGGTGCGAAATTTATGGATGCTGATACATGTCGCTGTTGTAGGAAATAACAAACCTTGAAAATCCCTAATTTGGATTGTAACAAGTGCGATATGGAGCAAAAACCCTGTTTGAGCTATGAGCCAAACGATACAAAACAATCAAAAAGGCTGTGGAAAACTGTGACAATGAGCAGCTATAGTGGCTGGAGCATGAAGAGCATACTACGCTCAAAGGGGCCTCCTGAAATGTTCATTTAAATTGAAAATATCAGGCCTTCGAGTTTGTGTCATGTTAAAAACATTTGCTTTCACACATTTGCCTACGTATAAATGTATTGAAAATGCGTTGCAAAGGATTGGAAAAATTAGCTCCTGTATTGCAATTCACAAGCAACAATAACGTTAAATTCTATGTTAATCAATTTGACTCTTAAAAAAGCTACTAGAGATCTAAAGCTCAGTTGATATACTATAATTTGCTATCTCGCTCTCGATTTCACTTCGATTTTGTGCTGCCTCTTGCTTTGGAGGAGGGCCAACAACCTGAAAGAAAATATGAGGTCTTGTTGGGAGGAGAAACGTACAGTGGATGTCGAGCTTGAATGTTTTTGCAAATGGGATACATGATAAGAAACAGTAGTTTCTTTCTTGTACTCGACACCAGTGGCACTGAAGTAATTGTTTGTTTAAGGAATGTCTGAGTCAAGGATGCATTTTACAACGTCTTGAGTTACATCTATAAGGTTTTGGAAATGGCAAAACGTATTTGTTCATTGTTTAAAAATGCAATTATTTGAAGGTCTTCATTGTTTCAAGCGTCAGTTTGGGATTCGCAGTAGAGGGAAGCCTGGATGCAGTTAACTTGTTTTTCACACACACCTCTTTGAGTTTTTGTTGACCTCGGGTTGATATACAGTAAGGTTGTAAATTCTGACACGGTTTCCAACAATTTTGGACTTAAAAAAGCTTGATATCTAATGCAAAAACACATTAGTCATAGTTGAAAGAACCTGGCAAAAATATTAAGATTCCAAAGAGAATACCTTTAACTTTTTTTCCTAAAAATAAAAGGACTTTCAGAAAACATTTAAGCTTTTGGGGCGCTTCAAACCGTAGCTTTCTGCCAAACGAATATTTTGGAAGAGCCAGGACAGAATGCTATGACTAACAAACCTTGTACTCCACATAGATTTGTCTTGGTTAGAAATATGTAGGAATAAGTTGCACAAACCTGTTCCACAAACTGCCGCTTGTCGTTGTTGTTCGTAGCAATGTCATCCTACAGGACAAAGAAAACATCATAAATTTAGGAACATCCTTCGGTAACATGGGACAAAAAGACAACGATCTATAGCCACCAAGCCGCCATTCTAGACAACAAGAATAAATGATGACATCAAAACAGTTAGTAAATGTATTAGTCTTAAAGCTGTTTTTTGCAGCGTGTTTGCAGTGGACGGAGGCTCTAAATGAAAAAGGGCACAGCCTGCAAAGAGTACAAATATATATGAGGATTATTGTAAAGTTCTTGCGTATTGATTAAGCATAGCACATACCTTTCTAGGATGATCGTTGATCACATGTCTAGAAGAAAACGATGGTAAATGTAAGGTTACAAATCACATCAAAACTGCTATAATTGACTCAATCAAAATTGCTTTTTAAGGCTTGGGTATTTTGGTAGTAAGAAGGATTTTTTGAAAACATTTTACAGCAAAATACGTATTAAACTCTTTAAATTCCCTTTCATTTTAAAACTTACTATTTTACTTAATCAAACCTGGATGATTTTCCAGCCGTGACAAGCTTTGTTATCGCCTATAGACTAATGATAGTTACTTTTAAAGGTAGGTATTAAAAATGAAAAGAATACGAACTTACTTCATCTAATTTTCTTCCTGAATAAACACAAATTTCTTTTTTGTCATTTTTTACTTTAAATGTGAAATAGAACGATTTTAAGACTTACGTCGGTAAATACTGCTGAACGTATCTGTTTCTTTCCCCTTGTTTGATCATTCCGTTCTCTTGAGATGGATGACGAATAATGTGGTGGTGATGGTGGTGATTCATTTGTCCGGCAGCCATTTTCATCCTCATCGGATCCATCATGGCCGGGTGATAATTCCGTGTATTTACAGGTCCGGAATTAACAGGTCTTGGTCCGTGTTCTATGTAATGATAACCAGCTGTAAAAAATTTCATATCGGCTGATACCGGCCTAGGCTGCATAGGGTGCGGTTGATTGCGATTGTATTGATCAGTTCGTTGATTTGGGTGACTAATTCGGTACTGATTAGGCATTTGTCCGCTATGATTCGATCGATTAAGTTGACCTGATTGATCTGATTGTATTGAATGATTAAGGTTTGCAGGGTGTGATTGATATGTTCCTTGCTTTTCCTCGGGGATTGACGAAACCGTGCTATCACCGTAACTGTTTTCAGAGTCGGGTGGTGCACTTTCCGGGCCTAGCTCTAAGAGAACCTGTACATTAGATGAAAAAAACAAAGAATTAGTCTTTTCCGGACAATGACAATCCTAATATCTATAACGAATCCAGGAAATGACATAAAAACAAGGACGAAAATCTTCCTACGTCAAAAACATATGTTCTTTAATAGAAAACAAGAAGCTGATGAGTATTAAATAATCGTTCAGTGATTCTATGAATTTCCAAAATATAATGTGGAAAGAACGCTACCAAACCAAAATAAACCAACATAAAAGTTACCAAAATATAGTTACCAAAAATAAGAAATTTATAATAGCAGTTTCAATTGGATACCTTAGCATTTTCTGGATCAAACTGAGGTGGTACACGTGGCCTGCCATGGTTGTGGTGATGGTGATGATGATGATGATGCCTCTGCTGCTTAGGTCTTCTCCTAGGATCCCCGACTATTGCTTTGCCATCAGCTGCTCTGTATACGTTCAGTGCAGGCACCATTTCGCTGTAAAAGTGGATGTATTACATCTAGATGTGGATTCATTGTCTCAGGTATTACAAAGAAATGAAACAGAAGTTCACAAGCGTTTATACCCGTACAGGGATTCGATCGAGTGTGGGCCATAAATTTTCATTTAGAAAAATTTAAAGAAGCCTTTACACCATAATGTAAACCTTTCACGTATTTTGCGGTTTTTTTACTCAGATATAATACCAAATTTAGAAATTGGGGTGCTCTCTCCTCGATTAGTTTATCTATTGGGAGAGTCCCTCCTCAAGAAATTTCCCTCCATACAAATTTCTATCAATTTTCTGTTTTTATTTTATTATAGTTTTGTGTTTTTCATCTTTTGAGGTCTTGTTATATAGTCTTTGTAAATTTTTGCATGTTGGATGATTTTTGTATGTAGTGGAATTTTAAAATTAAATAAAAATTAAATGAAAAATGAAAAGGGTCATCGGAACCAGCAGCCTAGCAATAAGGGGCTAGCAATAGTAGCCAATCCATGTTTTGGCGACATCATTTGATACTAACAACTAGCTTTTAAATATTTAATCGTAACAAATGGCTTGGTAGGCAGAAATGAATTGACTGAAAATGACAGAGTTGCTTTTGGATAAAACAGAGGAGCCAAGAAAGGCATTTTCAATGATTCGCTTTGTCAGGGGCATCAAAATAAATGACTAATCTTCTAGTAAATATATCAATCTGAACTTTAATTATATACGCTGGTTAAGTGAATCTGTACGTGAATAATTTCTAGATGTTTTACGGCTGTGGTCAAGATTTCACACTTCGTTAACAAAGCGGTTACGATAGAGGACTACGTACGTATCTGACAACCCAGCTCTACTTCGTTGGACTCTGTAATACTGCTGCTGTCTTCTTTGTCGAGAATTCTGCTCACTGTCACTTTTCGATCCAGACTCCCTCGTGTAGTAACTAAGAAGAAACGTAAACACAAACGTTGACTTAACCGCAAAGTAGCAGAATACTATGGTGTAATACGTCTTTAAAAGAAAAGGTTTTTACCAGTGTAAAAATAAATATTCGCTAACAGGTGTTGAGGTATTTTCAACACAATCACAACCCTAATTTTTCACGGCTTCACAAAAAGATAAAAAGGGACAGGTTTATCCTCTCGACTCTCTAACAGTGCAGATTCTTTCATTTATTAAAAAGGCAAGGCTCTTCTAATCGATAGAAAAGTAGTAATACGCACAAGGAAGGTACATTTACAGTTAGGACAATTGTTCTTAATATTATTTGGGTCAAAACTGTGCTACTGTTTCCCTGTTAGAGAAAAAGGAAAAGCCATATAACTTGTACTGAGCTAATTACCGATAGTCAGGAGCGTTGCGTGGGTCATAGCCATTGGTAGCGACTGACCTGCAAACAAGAATTTTTTATAAATCAGATTTCCAAAGGTTTCTAATCCAACAGAAGATCAACTATTCAGTAAAAAGCTACTTTAAATAATTGAGAATGAGCTAAATCTCGGATAATCTAAAGAATCTGTTAACGTATTGAGAATCTACTGGAAAGACCAAACTTGATCCTTTCTTTCTTCGTATTTTCAAACAAGCTGTAACGCAGGAAAGGAACTTGATACATTGGATCTTAACTCTGCTGGGAGTGCGTACACAAATGTACGGTATTTACTATAGCACAATGTACGTATTTGGGAAATCATCAATGTTCCTTTTGTAAAAAGGAATAAAAAAGATTTCATGTGTCGACATACATAACGTTTATTTGCAATTCCATGAAACTCAATAACGTCCCACGCAATACGGTAGAACCTCCATGAAGTTAAGAGAATACAAAGGGAAATTTAAGACAGAGTCGGCGTCAGGGTCCGCGGAAGCGGGGGCAAATTATCCCCCAAAAGTCCCCCTGTAGCCCCCAATAATTTTCAAAATGTGCTTAAACCATATAAAATATTCCTATTTTTGGTTATTAGCATGTATAGCGCCCCCAAACGTTTAACCCCCTCAATCCGTTATGTGCCTCGCGATCCTTGGTCAGCGTACTGTTGTCTGTTTATCGGTGACGTACACAAAATGCAGGTATCCAGTTCAAGGAGGAATCCAAAATAAGGATGGGTCCATTAATTTAAGTGTATTATATGGAGGAGGTATTCAGTAAAAGGGGTTTCCATTATTAGCAGGTGCCCAATGTCCATTAATGAAGGCGTCCATTAGAAGGAAGTATCTACTTAAGGTGGTGTCTATTAATTAAGGTGTCTATAACTGGAGGTATCCAATTTAAGAGGTGTCTGTTAACAGAGGTTCCACTGTATTGGGAAACACATTGATAGGAAATAAATAGGCAAATTAATTGGAAACGTACTCCTTGCTTTGCTGTCGCTGTCTATAGAAATCGTTCTGCTGCATTGCAAAATTGCGATTATTCGTCCCATGGTGCATAGCTCCACGCATGTAGGCCATATTTGGCTCTGAACCAGCCCTAAACAATAATATAAACAATCAGATAGTACACATGTAAGCTGTTCAGTATTGTTAACTAGCAACGTATATATGCGTCCTTGCTGGTGCCACTGAGCTGCTTTTTAGGGGCTAAAAACGTAAAACAACAACCGCTAAACAAAGTAAGGCAGCTCTATACCTCTCCTTAGGTATAATAATTGCTTGTGAACCTTAGTTAGAGCAAGACTAAGCAAAATCAAGGTTCGCATTTCTAATTAGTGAAAGTAAAAAGGATTCATAGACTACTACCGTTTGACCTAGACGCAAGTGTTGAAATTATAAAAGGGTAGAGACTTTAACTTAAATGAAGACCAAGACTTAGAAATGGCCTATCATATGATCTGCAATAATGGCAGAGCTGTTGAGACAAGTACCCAAACACATATAGGGAAGTATAAAAAGAGGTGACATGCATGTTGAATCCAATATCTATCTCTCCTCCACCCCATTTACAGGAAATGCAGCATCTCCACATCATCTGTCTAGGAATTAAGACGAAATCGAGCTTCTTCATTTTGGAAAAGAAAGGAAAACAGCCTGATACCTGTGTTTCATTTTGTGTACAGATTCTCCGTCACTGACTCCACTTGTGTACCCGCTATAGTAGTGCGATCTAAAGTGATAAACAAAACAAGTAATATAATTGTTGCATGGCAAAAACAAAGATGTGTTGCTTACACTATGTACAATGAAAGTATTCAACATGACTAGCATTGGAGATGATCAATAATCAATAAAATAGAATGTTTAATAAAAGTGCTCAAGTTTGGAAAAGCCAAGGCAATCATGCAACTACTCTTGGGCATATTAAAACACCACCACTGAGAGTTTAAGCAACAAAATACAAGGATAAAGAAGAAAAAAATAGCATAAGCATTTTTTTAACAATGGACAATACCAGCGGGTAGCTAGCAAGGGAATGTAGGGGAAGTGACACTCCCCAATACTTCATAAATTGTTCGGTAGCTCTTCAGTTGGTCTACAAAACCCTTAGTTTGTCGGTAAAATCATCTATCAGTTGTTGGCATAGCATTTAAATTTTGATGACCCTTCTTTGTCGGTAATTTTTTTCTATTGATGACCCTTCAATCCCTTGCCTGGAGGGTTAAGCGACATAACTGGACAAGAACACATTAAAAAAGACTTGGCATATATAAATATATAATCAGCAACAAAAATTTTGTTTCCTGCTTTTCGTCTTTGTCTACTCTCACCTTTTCCTTCTAGCAGTTATTTCTTCCCCAGAACTGTAACCAGCATGATAACTAGATATTTTCCTGTACGACAAGATTTATGACGAAATTCGTTTATTTATCATTTAATTAAATTTCAATTCGATTTATCTTTGAATTGAACATTCATGAATCATTTTAGAGTATTTAAGTTTAAATTGGCTACAACAACTCAAACCATCTCAAAAACTCAAAACATTCTAAAAAGGGGTTGAAAAGTTTCAAATTCAATTAGCTCATCAGTCGAGTATTTACATTTATGATAAGTCTTCAATACATTAAAAAATCATCTGATGTCTTCTCAAGATTGTTTGATTTTAGATCTGTTATTTCATGACAGAATTCAAGCATAAACTAGAAGAGCGGTTGTAGCCAATTCTTCAAAATCACAGTTATTTATCAACTCGATCAAAGTTTAATCAAGCTTTAATCATGCAATCATCGTGGCAGTCAAGTGTTACTCAGGCGAATCAGGCTGTTTTCCAACATCCTGAGATGTAATGATTAAGATGCAATGATTGCATTAATATGTTAATGGGTTAGTTTTTTGAATTAAGTTTGTCGGACAAAGCAGATTAGAAGTTAGTTTAAATGAAAGGAAACGGATAATGAAAAATATAGGATGTTTTTCTGTTTTGGATCTCTGTATCTTGTATTTTTCTGTTTTGGACCTCTGTAGAGAGAAGGGAGGGGGACTGGTTTGGCTTCTAATATAACTGGAAAAGAGCGTCGGTGGAACAGTACCGATTTAGAATCATTATTAGAGAGGAGATATTAATAAAGGTGAGACAGAACCTTGAAATATAGAATTCTAACCGCTAGAGGTCAGCTGTTAAAGTAAACCTTAAGGGACATCAAAGCAGATAAAAGAAAGTGTTGAGAAATAGCAGATGTAAATGATTATAAAATAAGTTGTTAAGTATAATCAAAGTTACATGTACTGCATATAACTGAAGAGAATTAGAAAGAAGAAAGATATGTTAGAATGGTTAATTTTAAGTTGATGTTCAGAGGTTATATGATGCATACATAGAACTTGAAAATTTGGTATATCGACCCAAATTCTGTTTCCACGATGGTTAGATGGTTAAAGCTAGTAAAAGGTTAGAGCTTATAAATGATTATGGGTTAAAAGTGCTCAGTTAATCGGTTACGTCACAAAAGTTAATCACAATCTTTGAAGGACAGTGATTAGTCAGTTAGGCCATCCGGCTTAATTAGTTGTTAGGAGGCGCTAATTCTAGGTTTTTGTATTGGGTTAGATATCATTAAGATAAATCGTAAATAAAGAGATGAGCGCCCATGAATCACATTGATAAATTCAAATTGCAGATTTAATACATGAACAGGATGGAACCTTTTTGGAATCTCTCCATCCCCCTGCAAAGAGGCAGTTGACTTGTGTGGCCTAAACAGAACAAAAATAGAATCGATTAGAAAATTTAACCACCTAGTCACAGTTTAATCTGGAGTTAAAAATTAGTATCCCGCAAAGTACTTTTCACGAGTTATTTTGGTTAAAATCAATCGTTTGGTTTTTATCATATCTGAGAGTAGAACAGATAGAAGACATGTTTGGGTATGGGCTAAAAAAAACTTCTTATTCCCTAGAACCTTAAAAAAGATTAAATATAAACAGCTTTTTTACATTTTTATAAATAAGATAACTCTATCGTGAAATAGCTTTACTTACTTATACTAAAGGAAGTATCTACTTAAGGTGGTGTCTATTAATTAAGGTGTCTATAACTAGAGGTATCCAATTCAAGGAGGTGTCCGTTAACAGAGGTTCCACTGTATTGGGAAACACATTGATAGGAAAATAAATAGGCAAATAAATTGGAAACGTACTCCTTGCTTTGCTGTCGATGTCTAGATACTAAATACTAAACCACTAAAAATTTGTAAACACTGTCCTGAAGTCAACTTTTTGGATTAGATTAGAGAAAGCAAAAGAGCGACAAATCTGACTGGTTACAATTAAAATAAACCTAAGAACTAGAATAAAAATAAAGCTGTCCATCAAAAAAATTTAGAAGCTGGTATGGGCTGCCTTATTTTGGTTTGGAGCGTGAAATCCTGTGAAGCAACTTAAATCTGTGCGTTTCTTCATGTCAAATCGTTTGGTGTTTGGCTTCAAGACATTTAAAACTGGACATATGACATTTACCTGGGAAATCTTGCTGACACTGGGTCTGCAACCAAAGGCGTTTCATGTGCAACACTAGCTGGTATGCTATGGCCACTTGTGTACAGCCCGCTATGAAGAAAGGGTAACCAAATATCACGTTTGATTGACAAATTAGCCATCGCCAAAAAAGAAGCGAAATCAAATGATTGCTTAATGCTTGAATTTGTAAAATGAATGGCATACCTCTTTTTATTTGACCTCTGCTCCCAAGGAGGCGATACTCCGTTGCCATCGATTGAGTAAACTGTGTTGCGTGAAACATCCCCATTGGATATATACCTGCAACATTGTAAACATCATCAACTCTTACATGATTTATGAGAAAAGTATTATATGATGTAGAATAGTTCCTTGACGATTGTTGTTAATAACAGAAGCGAGAAGGAGAAATCGACCCGAATAGTTGAAAAAAACAAGCAGTGCTTTTTAGAAACGATAAAATAATAACATTTATTAGAAACAAATCATTCCAAATGAATAGACGCTGCACAAATACTCGAAAAAATAGTTAGTAATAACTAATTGCGAACTAAAAGAGTAAACATAAAAATTGACTCACGATCTTGTCATATTAGTAGCATTTGAACGATTTACTCGGTTCTGGGACTCTGTAACGAAACGGTTTAGCCTCATTACAAATACTTTTATGCTAAAATATAGCTATAAAAAACCAATCAGAAGGGTCCTTTTGGTACAAATGTTAGCATTGCAAACGCAGTGAAGGTATATTGGCACCAAGAGGGATAGAGGGAGAGATCGGTGCAAAGGGAATGGTGACTTTATGGATGGTAAGACGACATCAGAATGGTCCTAAGCTTCTACGACAGACTTAAAAAGCAAGACGACCAACACAGGAGACTCCCACGCATTGGCTTTAGTTTAGGTACTTCAGTTTAGAGTACTTTAGTTCGACAACAATGGACCCCCAGTCAACAGGGGCCCCCTAATTATTTTAATATCCATCTTTTCAGGATTTCACTCAAATCCAAAATGTTTTCAAAGGCCTCAAAAAGTTCTTTAATTGAAAATTCTATAACTCAGCCTCCTCCTTAACTAAGTTTACAAAAAATTGTAATTTTCATATCTTGCTTCTGCATTTGACATGTTCTACACTATTGAATGGAATGTTCTTGCCTATCAAAAATAGGGGCACGTCTTTGTTTTTTCCTTACAGCCCCATATATCCCCGTTACGACACTGTTCCTATGGCTCAACATAGGGGTAAGGTAATTCAATCATTTTTTTTATATCTTATCAGAATTAAAAGTCAATAAAAAACATTACTTGAAAAAGCTTTCTAGATAATTTTTATGTTCCTAGTGAAATGCATGGTAGAAAATAGATAAAAGATATTACCATCGACGCTCGGTCTTCTTGTGTACCGCTTACTTTGAACCCTGCAAAGAAAGTGACATAGGTTACAGCAGCAGAGCTTTGGTAATAAAAGTGACAACAAGTAGCATAATGATCATAATATTAATAAGAAGAAAAGTATTATGCCAACAGTTTAAGAGCGATCAGGTTTGTGATGACTTGGTTAAAAGCAGCAACTCTTATAAAATACTTCCTTTGCCATTGAATGCCACATAATCTCTTTAAAGGAGCATTGGCTAACCAGCCTAACTTTTCACTATTACGAGGTCGCATGTGGCATTAAGAAAACGATATGGTTTGTAACGAAAACTGGTCACGGTTCAAAATTTATTGATGTTAAAAAAGACTTAATTGTGCTACCTTTGAACAACAGGTGGCGGCCGCTTGATCCTCGTGCTGTCTTCAAGAAGTTCTTGCTGAGTTCGACCACTAAAATTCAAACATATATACACTGAGTATTTTTTGTATCATTATTAACTAATAATTCCGTATTTTATCTTTTTCCGTCCGTGCAAAAGCAGCATAATCAATTAAACGAGGTGTTACAACGAAAGCGTGCTTTATAAATTAACGAGAATGCAAAAAAGAAGAATGCAAAATGCTCAAAAATTAATAAGCATTAAATAGGAGTTAGTCATAAACGAGGTTAGCCATAAAGATGACCTACCTATACGAGCTTGCTAAATTCTATCCATAATCTTGTGTAAGTAAATTCAACTGTGGTAATAAGAAAATATGAGCCTCTAGTTACCTGAATCGAAATCCCGACCCTTTCTTGAAAAGGAAATTGTATGCGGAAGCAGGAACATCGTTTGCCTTTTCTAGCCTTGAAGAAAAAAAGAAGCAATTCACCAAATGTCATCAAAACAAAAAATAATGAGAAGGCCTAAACCAAGGACATGTAACTACATTCTAACTAAGACCCATGGTTCAACCTGTCCAGATCTTAGGAAAATTTACTCAAATTGGGGCAAGAAATGTGTTCTCTTTTCTCATAAATGGGGGCAGCATCAAAATGTTCTTAAAGACACGACCCCTTGGCCAAGTCGTGTGCCGCAAAGCACCTACATGATCATAAAACATCCATTGGGGGAGGGAAACTGTAAAAAAAAAGGGTTTGGCAATACCTGAAAAATGTGTGATGCTCCGCACAGTATTTCCAGAGCTGTTTTGCAGCATGCTTCGTCTCCAATGAAAATGTATACTCTTTTTCCTCATCCTGTAAAACATAGACATATAATAATATGTAGCAGCTGTATTACGATATGATATTAAAGCAAATGATTACACCGTGATATTTCACCTACAATACCTTTAGCTAACTGAAGTTTGAATAATTGCCGCTAAAAAGAACTGAAATATACTTACATTTTTGCCTAGGCTGACCCTGATGATGAACTGATGACCCTTGAATTTTAACTTAGTGATCTTCGGCCTGAAACGTGACGACAAGGCATTTATAATCAGAGAAAGGATATCCAAACAATCTTTTGGTGGTACAAAACTTGTAAATGGCTTTGAAAAAAGCAAACATTTAGTAAACTAAAGCTTTTCGTCTGACACTCTTCAGAGTTTAAAACGTCAGAACATAGATCGAAAACTCGACGCTAAGAAATATATATACCCAGTTGTGGATCGAAATAGCGGCAAGCGGCACTGATTGGTCAACCTATACAGTCATGTGCTCGTGTTTCTGATTGGCCTATTTCGATCCACAACTGTTCTGACGTTTTAAACTCTGAAGAGTGTCAGACGAAAAGCTTTAGTTTACTAAGTGTCTACTTTTTTCAAAGCCATTTAGAAAGGATATCGTTTAACAGAGAAGGTCATCCAAGACCATTATTCAAAAGATAAGGAAAGAAAAAAGGGTAGGATTGATTGGCATGAGTGAAAAGTAAAGATGGGATATCTTACCATATAAAGCTGCCAATTTTATTGCTATTTCGAAACAAAACAATGCCAGTTGGAGTCAAGCCAAGGAAATACTCCAGGTTGTCTTGACCCTGGAAAAGATTTCAAAAACAGGTAAAAAATTGTCCTAAGCACAAATATTCCATATCAAAATTTTTTTAAATCTACTATTACCCCTTAAATACATGACGGTGGTAGAGCGTTACCATGAAATGTCTGGTTTAGAAAGCTGCCAAGTACCATTTCATACAAAGTGGGGGCTTAATAGACATTCTGATTACAATTACAAGATTAAACCAACTTTTTAATTGCGCAAATTTTGAAAAACATTCTAATTATACACCCGGTGTTTTGAAACCATTAACACGCCCTTATATTTTGCAAACCTGGCTTCGAAGAACTTTAAAAACGGAGTCCATCCATGGCATCTTTCATAGATTTATAGGCATTGTGGAAAATAATTTCACCAAATGATGCATTTTACAAATTCTGATTAACTTAAGAGATTAGTTCCAAAATCCTTAGATGTCCCAACATTCATGCTAAGACTTAAAGACTCATTTAGTTCTGCAAGTTTTTTATTGATTTCTGGGAAAGGGAGTTACAAAAATAGCGAAAATTAAATAAGAGTATAAATTCGAATAAGGGAATCAATTACCCTGACAGGATGAAGGTCCACTCCGTACATTTCCAGCCATTTTACTCTTTCCAGAAAATTGAGTTCTGAGTCGGAAGGAACTTGCCCCCTGAAAATGAAAAAAAATCATGTTGCTTGCGCTTCTACTTGCGTATCTTTGTGAGGCCCAAATGGAGCCTATGTAAGCTTCAAATCGTTACAATTTCAAACCATAATAATTGAGACTACCATGCAAAAACACGGTGTAGCTATATTTACAAACATCAAAACAGGGGAACTTAAAAGAAGAATAATGTAAAGAATACTAAGCACTGATTCTAATATTGTTCGATAAAACAGTTGAACCGGCAGTAGCAGCCTATACACTATCTCTACTCTCTATATTCTATCGGTTCACAGACAAAACCATGTAAACAAACACAACAACAAAACCTAAATCTGAATAAAAGAAATACTATTTACATGTACCATTCATGGCGGCGAAAGACGCAAGTTCATATGGTCCCCACCATAGATGATACTTACAATTCAACTATTAATTTCAAGATAATATCAGTACAAGCAAAAGTAACAAAAAGACACACAAAAAGACAAAAAAGAAACAAAGAAACGAAAAAGACAAAAAATTTATTTGAACGATGCTGTAAAATGTTTGCATTTTTCAGAGCCATTTGCAAAATTTCATTTGCAATTCCAGACTACTCGCGGCTTTTTCTGCACCTAGCGACGTGAAAAGCAGTTTATGAATACTCGAAACCTAACAGGAAAATAATACAGCGAAGAACGACAGGTGAGAAAACTTGTCTTCACAACGAGCAGAGAGTTAGGTGATAATGCCAAAGATGTGTGAAGACCACATGGACACCGCAAAATAACCCTAAGCGGGAGGATGACAGAAGGCTGCTGTAGGCCAATCCTGGCGTTATAGCTCTTTTTGGCCTCTGGAAAAAAATTTCAAGGTCCAAAGAAAGCTTGTGGGATTTGCAAATTGTTGACCATATATAAAGCGTCGATCATGGTTAGTTGATGACTGTCGAAGATTAAACGCAAAATTTGCAAGGTCAAAACTTTGTCTTTAATCAGAGAACAAATCTGGTTAGCGATTTCGTGTTGAAATGGATTTTCCAGTAAATCAATTATAGGACAGACGGTGTTCCCTACACAAGCATGTTTACTGGTCAGAAGGAGCATAGTTCAGTAAGAATTGCATTCGAATCCCTGTATCGTGGTTTTTAAAGCTGCGTTATTGAATTAACAAGACTTGATCCAGGTTTGACTAATCAGCCCCTATCGATAACCTTTATCAATCATTGTCTGTGATAAGGTTTCATGTACCGATCTGTGGTGACATTTGTCGGCGATTTTTCACAACATTGAAGAACCAATTCGCACTAATCTACACATCCATGCCGTCCTCTCGCGCCTGTGAAACCCTTCTCAGTAGTCTCATTAAGACAATAATCATTCGTTATACACAATTACTATTGAAGCTGACTATTTCTACGTACAATTCTTTTCTAATAGCTAGAAAAGAATCTATCGTGTTTTCGTCCCCAAATCATATCTAGCATCTAGACGAAATATAAAAAACATTCATTGAAATAATAAACGTTAAAAGTTCAAAAGGAAGGAAATTGAAGGAAAGGTGCGGAAGAGTATGACGTCATAATTACATTTAACGACAGTTGTCAACAAATAGCATCAGCAAATTGACAGGGGTTTCAAAGATGAAACCCTTACGATGCAATTGGACAGATATGGCGACGATTTCCACTGTGTCGAAGAGACAAGGAAAATCAGAAGAGCAAGAAGGAAGCTTGAAAAATGTCAATGACAAGTACACTTTTTGATAAGCCTAATTTTAAAAGAGATAGAACCCTAAAATTAGTCAAAAAAAGAAAAATTGAAAACAAGCTGAGGCTTGGATACTCGATCTTTTGTTTACATTTCTTTAACCTGTACCCAGACAACTAAGACGAGAACAAATTGAGAATAATAAAGCCTTGAAATTTTGGAAAGATTAAGCGCAGCTAGTCTGAATCTTAGTTTACTTGTTATATAAAAACACTGTAGTGTCTTTCATTTGATAAAAGAGACCCAATAATTGTTATGTAGCTGCTTTGTATAAGAATGAATATATCTAGACACTGGTACTGGTAGCAATTTTAAGTTTGACAATAAAATATTTAAAACATGAACGACAGTTGACAGACAACACATACCAGCTTCAGAAAAGTCATAAACATGTTTAGGTATTTTACGCGTCTATTGCGTATGGAGATTTAATGTAACAATACCACTCATTTTACGTTTACTAAACACTAACAATAATGGACAGACAATTTTTATACATAGATAACTAAATATCAAGGTTTATCAAACAACAAGATGGCTATGATGGGATTACCATTAGTTATGAGACTGAACAAAACTTTACCTTAGTTTTTGGTGGATTTCACCAATCTTTTTTTCCAGACTTTCACTCTACAATTAAAAGGAAGATTTTTATCTTTGCATGAAAAAATTGCTGATTCCAAGGGTATTTCTAAACTTAATGGCAAGGATTTGTATTGTCCTTAACGAATGAAATTACACGAAGTTACGATCGATATTACGTTTTATGATTGATGCTACATGATATCACAGATGATATTATAAATTGACATTACCAATTATGGTTGATAAACATGATATCACGATTTATATTGCCTTTTGTGATCAATATTACATGGTATTACGATTGATATAACCTTTAATGCTTGGTACTACTTGATATCACAGATGATATTACGATTGATGTTACCTATTATGGTTGATCTACATGCTATTACGATTTATATTGCCTTTTATGATCAATATTACATGGTATTACGATTTATATTACCATTTAAGATTGATATTACATGACAATATGGTTAGTTTTACTCTTTATGTTTGATACTGTATGATATTACGATTGGCAAAATCCTTTGTGATTGATATTACACGAAAATACGATTGAATTATCTTTTATAACTTATCAAACCTTTTATGATTGATATTATTTGATATTGAGATTATATTACCTGATTGGGAACAAATCTGAATTCCGAAATATAATTCTCCGTGTGTAGATTATCATCATAATCGCCAAGTTCAGCTGCAAAAAGAAGATCAGAGAAAATCAGAGAAAATCAGAGAAAATCAGAGAAAATTAGAACAATCAACTCGCTTCTTTCAAAAGAACATACAAAACTAAGACATCGTTATTCCTCAACGATATGCAGACGCAGATATGATAATGTTTGCTGTATTTTCGTTTTGACAGACCTATTATTGCAGGCAGATGTCTGCATAGTTTAATGCTGGCGTATGATATGTCGATTGAAGGTATATTGGCATCTAAAGTTACTATCAAATAAGAGGTGCAATGAAAAACCTAAAATAGAAGTTCCAAATAATTGATTTGAATTTAAGCAAAAATTTTAAACCAAGGACCCAGTTTCTAGAAATTTCAAAAGAGTCTTCCATTGACTAGGGAACGGCCATTTTCAGACCTGCGAAACAATAAAAACGCAAAGAGAGATCATTACATTCTGAAATATCTTCTAGATCACCTGTTACACGCAGTCACAAACCGCAACTTTTGTTCTCTGTCATTACCAACAAGAGCCCATCACTGCCACAAAATCTTAGCCTTTAAAATTTTGATCAAAAATTTCTACCTTGTTGTATTTATGTTTTATAATCGCCAATTTCTTTTCGAGAAGAGCATTTAACATAGAAAGGATTTAATTTCTAAAGCACAAGGAACAATTTGATGGCGCTTACATTGAACAGCGTATGCACAAAGCTCCGCAGCCACGTTGAAGGTACAAGGCAATCTGGAAATTTAAAGATCAATAACAGGTTAGATAGATTGGTAGGCAAAGATTTTCTGTAGCCGTTGTATCTTTTGTAATAATTAACAGGCAAATGTAAACATAGGTGAAAAAATGCTGCGTTCAGTTGAGAAAAACACACCGACAATAAAATTGGCAGCTAGCAGCTAACAAGGATATATGATGTTCGTTCAATAGTCTTAATGAAAGCAATGAAAAGGCAGAAATACTACTTTAAAGGCTTTGGACAAAAGCTATACGACAAAAGTACATTTTGCTTAATGCCTGCAGAGTTGGAAAGTGTTACAAGGGGAACCATATAAAATTGATGTTGTGCTGTGAAAAGAACAAAGGAGGGATTTCAAAAATAAATGTTTCAAAAAACAATATGAAGAAGTAAGACTTGTTTCCTTTTGGCATCGATAATGGGGGCTTAGCCCAATCTGAGCCCCAATAACTTCACTCATGATAACCAAGACAGTACCCTATACTGATTTCAATCAAAGATTGACGATTAGAAACTTGTGTTTCAAAGGCCCTTTATACTGACACATGAACCACTCTTACAGATTTACATCAGTTGACAGTTGACAACCAAGTATCATGTGTCTTCTGCTAACAAAACCACCCAAAGCAAATCTCAACGATAATGACTAATAATACTTTTGAATCAAGTGGGCAAACAAGCTGATCACAAGAAGGTGGGTGCTGGCTTAAGGCATGCCAACAGACGAAAAACAAACATTACAGCATAGAAAGTATGGAAATTGACATAAGAAACATTTTGAAGGGCCACTTTTCTACGAATTCAAGCTTGATACTAGTAATTAAAATCATTTATAATTAATCGCATGCTGGACACGTCAGACCATACGTAACATTAGCCAAGGGTAACAGTAAACCAGAATGCACAAAGCTTTGGATTATCAAATACTTGAATGATTAGACACAAAGTCGTTGGTTTCGATGTGGCGATTGCAACAGATTCTTGCGGTTAATTGGGGGATATTTCTCAGCGTAATGACCATAGAACAGAAGCAGCAAGTTGCTTTATTGCTCAGATCTCTAGGTTACAAAATCCTGCCTCCCAACTTTCTCAGCAATGCGATTTCAAGAGGATTAATAAAAAAGTAACAAGCTTATAAACAACCCGAATTTAAAATACTCGCAACAGTTATGACTTTGTTTGTGTTGGCGTCACATACCAGTGTTGATAGTCTCTTATCCGACACTGCTGCTTCTGATTCTGTGGTAAACTACTGAATATATGAAGTGCCAGCGGATCGAAAAATTTCTGGATTCAGAAAATACATGATTTGCTCCAGGTGCAGAAATCAAGGCCTTCAACTTAGCTGCCGATAATGGCTTGAAACACAGGAATAACTAATCGAAATGGCTTCTGCTACTAGACTAAGCTTCTTGATAATAGAGTTTGATAATAGAGTTACAAGTATTTTTCTCATAAGGAACCACTTCATAAAGAGCCTACATGTAGAAGGTGAAATCCCGAAGGAACTTTTCAAATTTGAATATTTTTATCATTGCAAGTATTCAAGAAATAGGAAGCCCGTTCCATTTATTTGGATTTAAACGTCAGATTAATTACGTGTTAAGAAGGTAGCTATTGAGTGTTTCATTGTGTAATGTTCGGCTTTGCTGCCTATTGCCCCTCAGTAATTTCAGTTAAAGCACAGGGTGTTGAGGGAATGATATCGCTACAGTTATATTAAGGAACTTTTAGTACTACAATTCGATCAAAAGAGGTCAAAAAAGGAAGTTCCAGAACTAGGCCTCGAGCTAGGTTTCTTTTAAAAAAGCGTTTACCCTGAGGTGGCTTTAAATCAAAACTTTGTACCAGACTACCAGTCCCTCCTTTCATCTCGTCCGTTACACAGCATTTAAAGGCACCTTAACAGATTCAATTTTCAGCTCTATTTATGACTTTTCAAACAGTTTTCAAACATGACAGAAGCATGGGTGGTTTTATTAACCAAAATATCATTTTTCAAAAGGAAATGTTAACTTAACAAGGTGCAAGACCAAGAGTTTAGATTAACTGGATAAAATTCACACAAATCATGGATAATAAATGGTGGTGTCAAAGGCTAGTCCGTTGATTTAAGATCTAGAATAAAGATTGTTAAAGGTTATGGCTCCTTAGCTAAGCTTCGTTATTGATAGCCTTCAAGGCGACGAACAGTTCAAAACAAATTTCCTAGGAAATGTTAGCAAGCATAATGAAAACTGGAAAACTTGAATCTCGTTGCTGCGGTTAACAGGTCATGATTTGATTACAGCAGTCAAAAGACACGTAAAGCTAGAATCCTGTATAAGAAAAGGTCATCAACCAAGGGGAAACTAAAACTAATTCGATCAAACATACGCGCCAACATCATTTCATTTAATATTGTCATATACTATTTGTGGTTTCAATTTACTTTCGAGCCTTCTATTTTTAATGGCAAATAAGGAGGATAGAAAATGAGGTCATGTAAAGACAATTCTTGCAAAATTTGGCGCTGTCAGTTTTAAAAGAGGGCTGTCATTGGCAGCCTCTAGGAGTATTGCTTAGTAAGATCGATGATTCAGAATTGTTATACTATCTCGATAAAAAATCGACGGCATTTCCCTCATTACACTAAGACCTTTTGAGTGATATCCACCGCTAACAAAAAAATGGCGTTGCGTACAAAACCCTTTCAAACAAAGATTTCCGTACTTCGTATTGAACACGTAGTCAGTTAGCTGTAATGATGGAAACAACTTTGAAGACACAGAAGCGTGGTGTTTTCACATACCAAACCTACAGATGGACCCACAGATGTAAAGACATCTCCGACAACAAATGTCTAGGTGCCAACGATGAAAAAACAACGTAATATGGATCATAACATTACCAAGAATGATGTTTTATAAACACGTAGAAACTTTGCAAAGCAACCCACCTTCCTTGCAGAATATCCTTTTTAAGCTGCAAGAAAAACTGATACCTAAAAAGAAAAGTGGAAAATTTGAGATGACACTTCTTTACGTTCTAAACACGTAAAACAATAATAGGCAGCTTGATACATGAAAAACAAAACGAAAAGGCCTATGATATCCACTGAAGATGCAATGCCGTTCTTAGAAAGACATTTTAACAGCCAAGAAAGGCTTGAATGAATCCGAGACCACGATCGACTGGTATCATCAGCTTCGAAAAATAATGGCTTTATCGTTGCATGAAGATACAAAACGTTTATTATTAAAAATCATTAGGGAGTTTTTCATTGAAGAGCTATCAGCTGTTCTGTCGACTAAGTTTTCATGTAACTTCAACTTAGTTGAGTCTTATATTAAATAATAGCTAAAAAAGGAACTCGCTACAATTAATGGTAATTTGGCCCTTTCAAGGGAAATTCCCAGCCTTTCCATAGCAGGGAGTTGTCATCGATGAACAGCTAACAAATGTAGAAAGGCTTTAAAAAGCATCGCTAAAAGATTGAAATTATTACTAAACTACGCAGTTTTTGAAAACGCGAAAACAAAGAATAAGGCCTACAGGAATAGCCAGAAACAAAGTCAGTTATTGTAGACTAAAAAGAAGAATCTATATATATACTGTAGTTGGTCAAAGTTACGACATCTATAGATTAGCCTGTTAAGGCAAATCAAGAAGAAAGTTGAAACAAAACAAAACCTTGTCAATTCTTCTTTCAGTTTAGTCGGATCAGCGGCATAAAATTTCACACCAAAATACAATGTGTACGGTGGGCCACCTACAACAAATTATTAGTAATAAGTTTCGCATACTTTTTAACTCACTGGTACTAAATACACTTATATTAGATCACCAAGAAGAGAGGGGCAAGGGTTTATCTAAAAGGTTCGTTCATTTACAGATATTGATGCCAATTATAACAGATGCCTTTTGATGCCATTGATGCCACACGTGCCGTTTATATTGGTGCCTACTTTCAAGCCCCAGTAGTATCTCCCATCAGCTAGTTGAGTTGGCTTGTAATTACTGATGAAAAACCTTGGCATCCATAAAACAGTATAAATTGCACAGAACAGTTGCATAGTGATTGCAGTAAGCGTGAAACTCGGAACTGTAACATAAAACCGTCCAGCTTTCAAACCCAAAGGATTTAAAACTAGTATAAGACTCCATCCAATTGCGTTATATATTGACTGAACCAAATTGCAGTTCAATTTAGTATCGAATAGGTTACAAATAGGGCAAATCAGGATGCCCCCTGCCATCTATAACTGAAGAGAGTTTCTGTAACTGGATTGAGGTGGATTCGATTTTTAGAGAGGAAAGCTTAGTACGGCAACATAGTCAATCGATAAGGGAATGACGACACCCATTGAAAGTTATAATGACCAACGGGTGTCAATTAATGCAGGTTGCTTTTAATGGACTGCATGAAAAGCTCAGCAGGTTCTAACAATTCGGAGATACATATCATTCAAACTTTTCAAACTAATCGTGCGAGCATCTCCTTAAAAATGTTTTGATGAAATAAGAGATATAGTCTTGCACTGAAAAGGATCCAGAATGGGGAGTGGATCCAAGAGACACTGAAACTGGGGGGGGTGGAGGGGGGTTCGGGGGGTGGTGAGCTTCTACAAAAAGCTTTACAACCGGGCAAAGGATCAAGAATCAAAAGCTGGCAATTTGAAAGCGGTGAATGTTCAGTGAAATCAGTGGTGCAGCAAATCAATAAATATGTCATATATTTATAGAACTGACACAGGCCCTATTTGTCCACAGCCAGGTTAAGCACACAAAAAAATTGAATAGGGTGGTTGTTGATTAGTTTTTTTGATATAAGAACATTACACCGAGCATCAATTATTTCTGGGATTAAACATAATCCCATAACGTAATCTCATCGTACTGTGAAAGATCCATTCAAGACATTAAATATCAGAACAGATGAACGTCTGCGAACAGGTTTTACACCAACCATCCAAACACTTAAATTAAAACGAGGTCTATCTTTGCGCAACCGCACTTTGAAAGTTTTTATTAAATAACAAACCCATAGAAAGATTCACAGAGATCACCTTTGTCCTTAATCACTACCTTGAAGCTTTTTATCTATTCATTTAAATTTACATAAACTTTAGTTGTTTAACTAAAGTTATGATGATGACATATCTTTCCTTTATGCCTGGGAAACCACAAGAAAGCTTTGTATCTTCAAAGCATTGAAAGAATAAAAGTTTGTTGTTCAAAAATGTGTTAAAGATGAACAAACAGTACCATTATCAAAATGGCTTGCTAATTAACATGCTTTTGAAGGACCCAAAGATAGTGCCAACTTACAGCTGAGAAAAAAACTGAGTATATTTCTAGATATAAACATGTTTTTAAATAGAAACAAAATATAAGCATGCCTACTTACTGTCTATTTGCTTTTTAATTGCTTTATCTGGATCAAGCCATTGCTAAGAAAAAAGGGAAATGATAGGATCAGAACAAAGGTCTATATATATGTGTGTGCCTAGATGCTAATATTGGCACTGGCAGCTCATGGTTGATATAGCATCTAATGCAAGCAGTGTATCCAAAGATTCTCAGCATGATAGTCACATTGATAAAACTCCATTCAATACAAATCAGGCATCTATATTTGAAGTGAATGACTGGAAGTACTGAGAATTGGACACCTGAGTTGAGTTTAGATCTTTTCTTGCAAGCTACAATAACATTGGTTTTGACACAGGTTTGAAAGTAAGGGAGAGGCAAAGAAAAATCTACCAGCCATAGCAAAAGATGTTGAAATAGCTCTTTTGTTTTGCAAAAAGTGGGGGACCATGGACCCTGCAGCCCCCCTGAATAACCTTGTTTTCCAGGCTTTTAGAACTTTATTAGAGAGACTATACAGTATCAACAAAAAATGAAGTTTTTTAAACTAGAGGTAATGTGGGGTTTAGTGGTGCCACAAAAAGACCAATAATATGTGGTAAATAAAGTTCATGATGGCCTCAGGTAGATATACTGTATGATTGTTTAACTAAAATCTCTTCACCTAATTTTTACATTTTTAACTACTGACTCATTTGGCAAGCATATGAGATAAATATGAGTGTCAACACTGAGAAATAAAAATACACAATGCTACCTATGAAGTGATGCAAAGAGTCCAACAAATATTTTTAAAAATTTTGCAATTAATTTCTATTCAATAATTTTACTTATGCTATTGGAGTTAAATAGTCCCCATTTGACAAAACTAAATTGAAAAAATGATGTTTTCAGCTGAGAACAAGAAAAAAATTACAAAAATCCTTTTAATAAACAGAGTAAAGAGATTATTAGGTTGCCTTTTAATTTCACATCATTTTGACACAGTAAACCTTTGGTTGAGTGACAGAAACACAATACAGAAAGTTTGCAACTGCACAATAAAATCAATAGTAATTTGTGCAAGTGATCAAAATGATTATTTTACTTTAAAAAAACCCTTGTAGAAAAACAAAGGATCTTTTATCAACAACAATAATGATCAATATGCTCACAGTGCTGCTGCTGACTAACAAATTAAAGTGATGCTTAATTCCCTAAGGTAGAATATATTTCTAAATGAGCTCCCAAATTGCAATATATATTCAAAGATGCTAAGAAATATTTACATCAAGCATTAAAGGATATAACCCCATGGAATTCATTGATGATATTTAAGTTGCTTTACATCAAAACAAAACCTAGATGAAAAATATACTGGATTTATCAATGAATCAAGGAAACCGTAATGAAAGCCAACTTACTGTCTTGTCATCAATATCTCTGAACCGCAGACCAAAGTAATCCTTTTCAAAAAGATTCAAAGACACAAAAACTTTGTCAAGCAGCTCAAATCCTTTTGTTTTTCCCTAAAAACAATGAATCAATATAAAATATTTGAATTCAGTGAAAATAAGCCAACAACACACATTTTAACAGAAAATACTTGACCTCAAGCAAAACAAGGTTGAAATTATCAAATGCAAATAGTTGTTTAGTACTAAGGTGGGATTAGCTTTAAGAAAAGAATTTTTAAGAGCATCAAAGAGTTATTAAAAGCAGACAGCATAAAAACTTCTTTGGAAGATATTAACTACACAAAAATGTGGTTACCAGCTTACTGATGAAATTCATAACAAATTTTGTACTAGCAATCATATCGAGAGAGTGAAAGACCAAAGTTTGAGAAAAATCTAATTACTTTCTTTAATTTTGGCAGGAGATTATGATGGCTAGACAGACAAGACACTCAGTCCAAGCCAGCTCCTCATTAAGTTAAAAGTTTTTCTCCTAAATAATGTTGAAAATAAAATGACATAATTCCAGATATTCCTTACTATCTCACCTTTCAAAACCCAAAATTATGACTGGTTGAATCAAGACCATGTTAAAATAATTAAGACCATGTTAAAATATTTTCTTTAAAATCAACTAGTTACAATAAAGTTAAAAACAAAATAAATAAATTGTATGTGAATCCAGCATCAATTAAGATGTTAGCTGAAAATTAGGCAAGGATCTTTATAACTAGCTGAAAAGAAACATTTCTATTTTCATTTTGATAATAGATTTAGAATAGCACAACTGTCCATGATGATACCATGACAAACAACTAAGTGTTCTATCAATGATATTAATAATTCACGCAGACAACTATCCTAAGAGCCTAATACAAGCATTTTGCGGAGATTTTCAAGTTGAAATTCTTAATTTATAACAAGCTCAAACATCTTTGATCAAGATAGGAAAGCCCTACTTGAGAATCAGGTCAGGGGTCAGTTATTTCGACCATCATTGTTTTGTTGACCTGAGAGAAAAGGACATACCACATTGTGGTTTTAAGCGATTTCTGATGAATGATGTGACATGTACTATGTTTCCTTTTGAGTTTCACAATACGTGGATATTTAATTGTAGAATCCTACACATATACACGAAGTTTTGCTTTTTACCTGAAATCATTCGAATATAAATTAAGTAGGCACTAGTTTGGGAGAGATTTCTAGAGCCCAAACAATCGCAGAACTCTCGAATAGACTTTAATTTGAAACAAACAACTACTCTCACAACTTTTTTATAGACAAACAATATCCTACAAAGAAAAAGACTCCAATCAAACCGTATGGTAGTTTAGACTGGTTGATTGTTGTACACTAAGGAACAATGAAAACTGAGACAAAAGAAACACTTTAAAGATCGGATAATTTCAGATGTAATTTGTCATGGGCCTAAGCCATTTATCATTTATGAACCATTTTAATTCGATATTATAATTCAAACAGGAAATTAAAATTGACAAAATTCCGTAATTAGTTGCGAAACATAATCGACAACTCACCGATATTTCATGTGTTAACTCACTATCATCCAACAAAAGTACACGACAATGATACTTGTGAGAATTTTTCCCGCTGCTACCAAACGAAAATAAAGGCATTTCTATGCACAAGTCTTATTGAAGAACTGCAGAATGGTTTTCTTTTCAATGGATTTTTATACAATTTGGATGTTCCAACATTGATGTTGGTGATCAAATTGTTTCTCTAGACGCGAATGGAGACAGAAATCATGCCCAAATTCGGTGGATCTCTTTCGGCATCTCTGCACAAACTCAACAACATTCAAAAGTGGCAGAAACATTCACCAGAAGTGAATTGGTGGACTCCACTGTCATTGATTCTCCCACGAGTAATTTCCTCAATTTTTCCTGCATAAACACTTCTTCCAAATTTAAGCTTTCATCGGTCACTCAGCAGAACTTTAAACATCTTTCAAGTTGCCTCTCTTCATCAAGCGCTTGGTAAATATAGACTCTTTTGTCTTTTAGCGATGTGATTGGCTCAATGGGACAATACAATTGTTATAAATCCTCCTTCTTATTGGCTTGTGCTTTTTGAAAGAATAGACTTTTGTCAGTCTTTAGATACCTTTGTTTATTCAATGTGTGGGAGAAGCGCCTTCGCAGCTCGGATTTCATAATCATTCAAGGTAGGCTTTTCAGTGAGAAAAAATCCACGAAATCCAGTCTTGTGGGTTTAAAAGCGCTGTTTGAAGAGTTTTAAAACAAAAAACTGAGAATTTAACAGGCTCAGAATCATGAAACGGTAAGGCATTATCTTGTATAATCTATAAAAACTGCCAAAACAACGTCCAATCTGCAGACTCTTCATAGTTTCTTCTCACCATCAAAGAAAGTTCCACAATGTTTAACGAAATATTTGGACAAAAAACTATGTCAAGATATTCAAATTCTGTATTACAAAGTAGAGAGGTGAATTCCCCTTCCCTTGCTTTATTGGTCTTGACGCCGTGCAGTTTTTGTCTTAAGTAAATATATTCCACTTTTGTAAACATGCAAGTAAAGTATTGTTTATTTTCTTGCGAAACATACCAACAACTGAATGTATAACAACGATTCCATTGTTGTTAATCAAAGGGACGACCAATTTGCTAGAACCAACGCCACAGGAATGGAAAAACAAGAATTTGGCAGCAAAACTCTTCACGAATACTAGTCTTTGTGTAGATACGTCCCATCCTAGTGTCGCTCAAACAGTCAACATAAATTGATTGAAAAGCAAAGCTTACAACAACAAAGGTGGCCGCAGTGTGGCAATGGTATCTTTTTTTTGATTAACTGATCACGGCAATGGCATTCTCTTGCTAATTGAAAACATTTTCATATACAGAAGAGATGTGCGAGGGACCTCTTCAGTGGTGGTTTTAAGGGGGGCTCCAGGGGGCCATGGCCCCAGGCCACGCGCTTATGATAGACAAAAGGGGCCCAACACCTAAGAAAAAAGATAGAAGTTGTAAAGGACAAGGTTTTATGCAAAGATGTAAAGATGATTATATGTAAAGAACAAGGCCAAGATGTTTTTGGCTCCGGGCCCCGCAGTCCATAAAACCGCCACTGAACCTCTTCTCAGGAATCAGGCAAATATCAAGTTCATATTGTAATTACACTTTGCTTTAACAACATGGCCATAGATTTTTGTAAACATGCAATTTCGTTTTAAAGCATTAAAGATTTTGTGGAGCGGATTTATCAGACATACTACTAATTGCACCAAAACCTATTAATGCAATGGTACTTATCAAAATGAATTTCTGCTTTTAGTTATGTGAAACAATAAGCACTTGCAAACACACCCTTGCAATTCAATTATCGCAATTTATTTCATATATTTCTGGCTCAAGATGTAATCGATAGAAAAAGCAGATTTGAGAAAAAGTAAGAAGACATGGTGATGGACAGGGCAAGTAAAGAACTGCTCTCTTTTTGAATCATGGGGACAGTGGATCCTAAGCAAATAAAACATACAGCAAGTCTGACGAGGAACCATGGTGACTTTAAATTGACAATTTGAAAGAGGTACTGGTGTTTGTTCTTAGAAGTTTGCATTTCAATGGCATGATTTACCCTGTTGTCATTTTCAGTACTGCCTGGTGTTTGGGAAATCTGCAACCATCTACCTCCCTTCTTCCAAGGCAAAAATTCATGACATGACAGGAGTATGAAGTATTGAGCGTGGAAGAAACTTGGAAAAAAACGACTCCCTTCATTATTGAGGCTTGTTAAATGATAAATTTACCGGTCTAAGACCTACACTGTATTTGTATAAAATGAAAGAAAAAATTAACGATTCCAAAAAAACGTGTCATTAACTATGTCATGAAATGCTACATACAAAGCGCCAGTATCGATTACAAAATTTTAGTATATTCATACAGACTTAAAAAAGACATTTATTAACCTGATAAATAGAAAGTTTAAATACAAAAAAATGTTAAAATCAATTTTTGACGGGCTATAAGCATGAAGGATCTTGGATTCAGGAAAAAATCACTACATTGTCAGAAAAACAAAATTAATGGGGTTTGAAGTTTGGATAGCAGTGCTGCATCGTCAGAATTATTAGCAAGCTTTCCTAAAGCTGCAAGCAAACTAAATTCTTTTTTATTTTCTAAGTATCCAAAACGTGAACAATGTCTTTCAAGACAGTTGTTTAAAGACTGAGAGTGACTACTCATTTAAATAACCTCAGATTACGTCACTAGTCCCAGACTTCCCATTAGCGGTGCAGAAGAGAAAGGTGATGGCAGGAGCGCTAACATCCTGTGCTATTCGGTCATTCGACTGCGTCCTAAAGCCTCTGTACGAAATTGGGTACAAAATGATAGGGAACAACACGACTCTTTCACTGGAAGTACCTATACCCCCATTGGGATTACGGAATTTGAAGCAATCCGAGCCAGGGTGCGATATTATTCATGAGCGCACCAATACACTCAGCATAAAATGAAACGGCTAAAAAATTAGTAATTGTAGCAGTAGATGAGCCTTGTTACAACAGGATGCTATATTTCCACATGATAGATCAACAATCAAAGGATAAATTTTTCTACAAAAGGGCCGGGAGTCCGTTTACAAAAAACAGAGAGTCTTAAAATCGATTTGCTGATAAGCACGTCCGTTATCACCTCCGGGCAATAGCATTGGATGTTAAGGCTGAGATTGCCAAGCCGTTTTGAATCGACTTCCTATTACAGAATTAAAAAAATAACTGTTTACTAAAGAAATCGGTTATCTTCCATTGGAATAATAGAAACGAGCCAGAAAAGAAAAAATTTACAGCGGTTGAGGTTACATGCATGGCTTTGGATTCCACCTAACTACGCTTAATCAAACTTGCTTGATTGAACTTCACTAACACGTTTTTACAAACTTATTACCGTCACTGCGATGCTACAGAAAATTATATGGTTCTAGCATTTTGTGTCCTGTAAGTTGCGAATTGGTGAAAACTAAATTTACTCCAAAATGCGAGTTCAATGAAATAAGCTTGTTTTTCTTTACGTTTTTTACCTAATCTACACATTGTATATTTACGTCTATTTCTAATCTTACTTTTAATATAGTCACGTTATCTCCCACTTTAGGGAGCATTCCTGCAAAAATTTTCGATAAAGCACGGCAAGAACAAAAATACATGGCAGTTTGGTTCAATCTTGTCGACATCTGAAAATCTTCTAGTAGATCAAGGAAACGACTTGCCTGCTCTCAGGAATGCCCCCCAGAGTAAGGGCATTCTTAACTCTAATACCGCACATTAAATGTGCAATAGCTACTGGCTTACCTAGCACAACTAGCAAAATATGAAAGCGGTTAGAGCTTTCGGCACAAAGATTTTGTCCTCGACAATATTGCTGGAACAAAACACGAAAAGCTCACGGAAGATTAATTTGTAAATTAATTGAGGCATTCCATTTCAAAATCAAACTGTCGTTGAACCCGCAGACAGTTATCTGAGTGGAAGTGAAAAAAGTATTATCGACCATCTCAAGTGAGACACGGTTTCCAGATCATAAATCTAGCAGGAGGAACAATTGGGGCTAAAACCCATCGCTTAAGGCCTGTTATTTGGGTTATGGAGAGCTGGTATTCTTGGAAATACAGAACATTAAACTGTACTGCTTTCATTTTTACATGGAGTTCAAAATACCGTTAGATTGTCAGGTATGCATTCTATCCAGCATTGTTGGATCTGCAGCTTGCCTTGATGTCTCTTGCGTAACAGCTTTGTGCCGCAACTGCCATTCTGTAAAATGCCATTGGCTAGGTAACATTTGCTGCTTCGTAAAATGGAAGCATTATCCGTTACTTCTAAGGCATCTATTACCTGGATGCATCGCGGCATGTTTGACAACAGTGACTTGAATACCGTGTTACAGAGCAAAACTTGGCAAGTTTAACAACTCTGCAGAAGTGTTTGCTTAGTTGGTCACCAGTACAACGGTGCCATCTTGGTTTTCCTGTGAAAAGGATTTCGATGTGTAAGCTGTTTGCTACGTAAACTTTGAAAAAATTGTATCAGTGTATTTTATGAAACTAAGAATAAATTAGGCTTTTCCTACGGTATTTTCATCGTTAGTTAAAGGGTGGTAGATGCTGAGGGGCAATTCCCGCCTGCGAATAGCGTACGAGATGTCCAACAAAAGAAAATGATTTCTGTGGAATTTCTGATAAAACAATTAGATTGTCACCAAATGTGTACGAGAATTCCATAGATTGACTTGTCCGTCAGTGGATTCTATGTAAAACTGATAAAATATGACTGGACGCAGTTAGTGGCGCTAAAACAATGGGATATAAAGACAAACGAAGGGTACAAGGGGAATCTTTAAAGAACTAGCTAATCCGTTATCAATAGTTTGACTTCAAGCGAAACCGTCGATTTTTCGTCTCTCTACATCCCCTAACCTCAACCTAAGAGAATTCTTAGGGCAAGACGTCGAGCCGTCATCTGTAGACTAGACTGTTTTGCACGTATTTTTTCATCATTTACGATTCCATCAATGTTACAGAGTTGCGTAAATATTTGCAGCAGCGTTGCTAACTACTGTCAATATTTGGAACAATAAGAGAAATAAAACAGCATGCAAAAACAAAAGGATTAAAAGTTTTTATGTTCATATGTAAATATTGATACGGGAGCAAACTGGACGCAATTAGTAGAGGTATTTCAATCAAAATACCTATCGTATTGAATGAAAATAGGCTTTATAGGAAAATCTCAATCAATAAAATTACTTTTTGATCCTGTATAGATTACCAAGCACAAGAAAAATTAGTTATTCTAGAAGGTGAAAAGAAATTTGATGGCCCCCTGTTTAGTCTAAAAAAGAAACGTGCGACACAGATCTTTCTAATGAAAAGCAGGTCGAGACTTACTATGATTGTACGCGGCTGTCCCACACCTGCCACCACTGCATTTTCGAGTTCTAGGTGGGCGGGTCCTATAAGGACAGGAGCTCGAGCTACGTAATGACCCAACAGCTCCACATACAACGGTTCGCCACTGTACACAACTGTTTGAGCACTGTTGACAAAAATACAAATATATTAGAAGCTGTAGATCAAATGATCTCGCATTTTCATTATAAACACAGTATCAACATAACAAAATCCCTCACAACAATAAAGTCTGCATTGAGTCCTAGACAGAAAGAACCTGTTACAAATAATGCATTTAACAACTGCTCTTTAATAACCCATGCATGGATAAGCTGAAGGATTATGGGGATTGAAAGTATAGGAATTAAATATTTATGCAGTAAGAAGCTGGAGAGAAAACTTGTAAAGCTGGCGAAACACTCTCAACAAGATTTCAAAACATAATACTGTTATAGTGTAGCTATGTGAAAATTTTGATTCTCAAAGGTGGGGATTGTCTAAACAACGCCTAAAAAATTCATAATGACATTTTTACATATCAAAAATAAAATAAAATGTGAATTTCTACAATAATATTAAAAGATGGTTCGTCAAGCCTGAGTGATTTTCAACAAAATGCAAGATAATTTGACTGAGAAATGAATTTCCTGATCCTAAGTGTCAAAAGCAACAAAAATTCAATAATTCAAGTTAAAAATCCATAATGCTTTTAAAAGAAAAATTTACCTCTCCCCATTGACCCGTTCGCCAAGATGCGCAGGCGCCTTTGGAACATGATCGCTGTGATGGAGGGCGGTCACTATGCCTACATCTATCTTTGATCAGACAGCTGACACTTCTCGTTTGAACACCATTCCCACAACTTCTTGAACACTGAAGAAAAATATTGTGTCTGAAAATGTTTTCAGTGCAGCAGCAAATTTAAGTGCAATGTATAGGAAAAGATAAACTTTGAAAATGGGTTAATTCCCTGTCTGACTATCCAAACAACATGAAAGTTTCGGCACAGACTAATTTCAACACGAAGGTTCTAATTCTATGACCAATTTTTGATCAATATGAAGAATAAAAATTTATAACACCAACTCAAATCCAAAAGTATCGGAAATAAAATGTGGGTACATACGATAAAACCAGTTACGAGCGTTTTAAAATAGGCAAAACTACTTTATGTAAAAATGCTAAATTCCATAAAAAGCATACAGCTGAAAGACGTCTTAAAGCTATGTGCAATTACTTTCCACCTGTGTCGCTGTTATCCAAAATACTTCTGTTACTTCCTTGAAAAGTTTCTTTATTAGATCACGGCACACCACAGATATAATTCCGATTGTACTGATCAACATAGGTTAAGATGAAGTCATTCAGTTGTATAGGCTTAGTCATTAGGGCATGTCACGAAAAAATATGAACACAGGGTTCTTACCGGTGACCAGGCTGATGTTGTCCACTGAATGCAGCTTCTTGTAAAACAAGACTCTTTGTTGATTGGTTTAACATTCCTTGGGCATTTCCTGGCCGAAACCTTCTTTGACGTCACACCATCGAAACAGATTACAGAGCGTTCCCTGATACCAGTTCCGCATCTAGCGTTGCACTGAAGAAAGAAAAAAAACAAGTTTTTAACTACAAGCGTTACAAGATGACCTTGGGTCACAAAGAAATGGAGAGATCAGGTTCTGAAACTATTTGGCAGGTCACGCAGGATCCTCAACAGCTCTAGGATATTATGCAAAATAAAAAGCTAAAGGAAATGTGCTACTAAGTAGCTGTTCCAATAACGTTAGATTAATTCAATGACGCCGGATTTCGGTAGATATCAATATTTCACGGAGAATTCTCTTTTGAATAAATTGAACATTGATAGGATAAACAAAATAATATCTTGAAATATCAGTTAAAGAATCAATTTCAGATAAAGTAAGCAAAAAGGAAGAAATGGTGGAAGTAAAATAAGACAATATTTTGTTAGAAGGGTATAAGAAAGAAGAAAATATCAAAATTTTGAAGTAGGATAGCTAATGGCTTTTATTATATAGCTACATACATCGCCCCAAGATCCTGTAATCCAATGTGGACATCGTGTTCCATTGCAGAGTCGCATTTCCGCTGGTTTAGGGAGATGCCTACACATATTGATGTCTTCGCTGCATCGAACGTCACGTCGCTGAACACCCACCCCACAGCCTTTAGAGCACTAGAAAATAACAAATTTTGGATAAATGGCTGAAAACCTATCTGTAAGACATACGATACAAAATATTTATGTGCTTTCGATATTGAACTTAATGAAAACTTTAGTCAACTAAAACTAGTCCTCAAACAAACTTGACAACAAAATAGTTCTTGCAACACTGGTCTCAAGTTGGCAAATTTAGAGAATGTCAAAAATTATTTGCTTAGACTAACATTTGATAAAAATCACGATACGATGAAATAAAAAATTACAACAATTTACCTTTCCCCATTGCCCCTTGACCCAACGCGCTCGGCACCTCTTGTAACAAGTCTTGGTTTCTCTCGGTTTTTTCCTCTTGTCACAATGTTCATCTCGAAGAGCTAATTGTTCATCTTCTTTCAATCGCTGCACACAAAAGACATATCTCCTTGAAATTCCCTTTCCGCAGTTCTTGGAACATTTTTGCCACGACCCTGTCCACCATCTGACAGAGAAAAAGTTTAGATTTAAAAAAAATTCTTTGTCACAGTGTCAGTCGTGTTACGTCAGGAAATTCACAAGCTGGATCGCTTAGTTCTGTATGTAGAAATTTCAAAATCAGATGCCATCGAAATTCTTCGTTTCATAAAAATGATAATATACGCTTAAAAAGGCGAGGGAAAATTTATTAAAGTAGTTGGAAATAAAAGAAAATGACGAACTACAAGACCCTAAAAATACTGAATTGATCGTACAAAACTCTTTACAAAGGTTTTCAAATACAAAGTTGAAAGTAGAAACTCACTCTGGTGGGCATCGCTTCATATTGCATACTTTCTCGTGTTTGTTTGGTTTTTTGTCTTGATCGCAATACCTATCGTCAACCGGTGCGTTAAGGTTGTTTTCGATACATTCAGGCAGTGATACCTTGACACCTGGTTGAACAGATAAAGGAAAAATTTCATTAAGGGAAGGATGGCATGCACAATAAATTGTCTTTGGCCAATTGAGTGGATTGGTAGGGTGGGGCACTGCTTGGCATTAGTCAGGCGTTCCAAAGGGCCTCGCTAGTTACTATTCAATATTTTTAGCTTCAGTAATTCAAAATTTTTTTTTGTACAAAATTCCTGGTTTTGGTTTTCTTCTACCAAAAACAAGATGCTGAAGTGTTCTATATGGCAATATCAAATAGCCTGTCACAAGACGTTTCAAAATAGTTATCATACATGGAACCGAATTCCCTATCAAGGGATATTCGATGGCCAAGGAAAAAGCATCATTAGCCTTTTGTCAGTTGGCAAAACGTCTCTTAGTCAGCTTGACGAAACCCCTTCTTTACCCTCTTTTTAAATGAGCAGGGAAATTATTAATGAAACGCAAGGAAAATTCAATAAAGACATACAATGCAGAGTTGGAAGATTACATTCTGTCTCAATGGCTTGGCAAAGATTCACTTAACTAATATACCATTTCAGGGATTGATTTACATGAATGAAAAAGATAATTTGTGAGGAACCCCGCATTACAATTAACAAAAACAAAACAGATAGCACACACAGAGCCTACTATTCAGCTTCTGGAAAATGCTTGTCTGTTTCATCTGGGCCTAATCCAGGTTTGGGCCTATTTCAGGAATAGCCCCATTATAGGAATGATGCAGCACCAATAGCACAAACCTTAATTCAGCTCTGTTAACAGACAATTTTTTTGCATAACCTTGGCAAACAAATAATATAAAGGCAATACCTATGCCACAACTGGCAGAGCATCGTGACCAAGCTCCGTTCTTCCATCTATACGACGTCTTTGACTTTGTCCCATTGACTTTTGGAATCGTGAATTCGATATCAACTCCAGGGTTTGGTCCTTGCACAAAAAGCTATAATATAGGATTATTACAAGCATTAATAACACATTTATCCTATTACGAGAAAACTTTCCTACATAACTACACCTATTTAGAAAAAGAATAATTCGAACAAACTTTGCTTTACATAACTGCAATTTTACAACTTTCTGGTGATCGCAAAAGTATTAAACTTTAAGCGGCCCTGTACTTTACAAAAAGCGTAAACAGCTCTGTCAATATGACTGCATCGAGAGCTATGTAACAGAACACGAAACAGCGATCTTTATAAATCCCAAATTAAACGTTTGCAGAGTCAATACTGACCAAAACATGCAAATCCTCTTTCGTTGGACCAGTTGCACGCAGTTGGTCCTTCTGGTTACTTCTGGCATAAAAAACTTTTGTCCCTGCTGCGTCATATTTCCCAGTGTCCTGAATATTCCAGTGTCCATTTAGGTAGTAAAAACCATTTGATGATTTCAACGCCAGGTAATTCTCGGCGCCCTTCACTTCCTCGATGCGAATGTAACGTGCGCCAGCTGGGATGAAGGCCGTCTCCACATATTCTGTAAAAGAAGTTTTTTATATGACACATTGACAATGTTTTTTAAAAGCAAGTAAATATCATAGCCAGGACCTTTTATATGCTTTGCAAATGAAGATTAAAGCAACATTTAAAACTGTCTATATAGAATTACCGAGTTTAGTTTGACATAATGCTAATTGCTGTCGTAAGTGATTTATCGAATATCAAGTGCGTTCCTCAATGAATGTGGAAACAGGCGTTCGATGGAAATTTTAGAATAGCGATGTTCCGACTTGTGTTTTATTTGCTTCCATGCGCTATGTTACTGCGAATTCCTACAAATATTGGAATGCCACTTACTTAGCTGGAGTATTGTTAGAAAAGTTCCCAAACAGAAAGCATGAAAATATAAAAAACCAAGAAAACGGAGTCATTCATCAGAGACTATACTATTGAGAATGCCTATTGGCAAGCGGCACTGATTGGTCAACCTATAGAGTCATGTGCTCGTGTTTCTGATTGGCCTATTTCGATCCACAACTGGGTATATATATTTCTTAGCGTAGAGTTTTCGATCTATTATCTGACGTTTTAAACTCTGAAGAGTGTCAGACGAAAAGCTTTAGTTAACTAAATGATTGCTTTTTTCAAAGCCTTTTACCAGTTTTGTACCACCAAAAGATTGTTTGCATATCAAATTACACTACATTACATATAATCATCAACACGATAGCCATTAGGGTACTTACTATGTCAATTTTCTATAAAGCATATAATTGTAAATATTTTGTTTCAAGAACTAAGAAAGTTAATTATTTTTTTAAATCTCTCAAAGGGATAAAGTGAAGTTACCTCCTTGAGATAAATCGGTTTGATTGAATTGGGACTTCACCGTATGGCACGAGGATCCATCACCATGGCAGACGCCACATTTGTCTTCTTTCGCCGCGGAGCGTAATATCCAGTCACAGCCAACAGGCTGAAAATAATAAATTGGTTAACTGGAAATGAGGATTTTTATCAAAGATTCAGGGATAAAAAAAATACTTTTAGCTTGGTAAAAAAGCGACAAATGTTTGCTTGCATATTTAAAACTATGTTGTTAAAGTGAAAATAACGCATACTTAAAGAAAGAAACACTAGCTAATCACGAAAATCTGTTCTGTCCTATTTTATCATATCTATCTGTGATTCGGGAAAAGTTTAATTAAAACTTCTTAAAATTTCAGACTATAAAATGAAACCCTCGATTCGATACTGTGTGATCATATTTCTACTCACCTTAATGGCAACATGACCAACCATACTCTACTTATATCTTCAAAGTCAGAGATAAAGTAGTTGTGACCAGAAGAAGATAAACCTTTCAACTTACCTCACACTTGCCACCAATGCAAACATCGTTATGTCCCTCTCTACAAGGAGTCCCATCGATGACCTCTTCCATGACTTTTATTGAATGGAAAGATCCCCTGTTTCGGCAATGTAGCTCACATGGCTTGTCTACACGGATGAATAATGGATATCAGTAAAAAACCTCGACAATTCAAACTCTTGGTTTCTTTTTAATCAAATTGGTCACTAGTTGATCTTATCGTTGAGTATAACAAATGGCTGCCTTGAGACAATATCTTTGCAGGGGAACTCCATTATACTTAAGTCAAATGTAAGAGAGGCTGAAAAGTCCGTCCGCCGACTAGACTTACTCCGTGAGCCTCTGTTTCGCTACAGCCTCACTTAACGGACGCTACAACAGATGTAGTAGCGTCCGTCAAATGAGGCAGTAGCGAAACAGAGGCTCGTGGAGTAAGTCTATCCGCCGACTACCATAAAGCCTGCGATGATAATTTGATCAACAATGGATAGACATGAACAATACAAAACAATAAGAGCAATCTAATATAATATTTGAACCATCCTATCGTGAGTCCAACAATATATGAATACCTGATAATCAGTTTATATTCATGGGCGTGGTGGAAAGAAAGGGTTTAGGGAGCATAGAATGGATATTGCCCGAATGCTATTGCTTCATTGAGACAGAACTGCCCTATTGGGGTAAATGTTTCCTGATTAGGGGATGCAGCCCCCCAGACCCTATGTCTCTTACTCCTATGCTTGTATTTGCTGTTATTAAGAAAAGTTTGAGCAGCTAGCAAAAGTTTACCTGGAAGATATACAGATTCGACACTAGATCTTGAATTGATGTAAGTTGGGAAAGCATGCATTGCATAATATTGACACTGCAGATCGCGGAATCCTGCTGTTTGGGCCTTGCATTCCTGCAAAGAAAGTCATATTGGCCGAGTTTAATAATCTTTAATGATATGCATTGCGCAAATACTTTTCTCATTAAAGCCAGGATACAAAATATTAAAGTTTTAATCGTTTGATGAATCGTGAAAAACACGCTCAGATACAGCCAAAAAGAGAAAAATGTTACCAACTCGCATATTTAGTAGGCCAACGATTATTGACATTCAAACCAATATGATACCTAGCAAACTATAGCACAATTTCATTGAGACCATGAGCAAACTTGATGTGAAACATTGGTTTTTCGTTAATTGATATACTTAAAATAAATATGTTACTGAGAACGAAGGTTTACAAAATTATGATTGGCTTACCTTCTTGTTACAAATTTGATATTTCTTATAAACACCAAGGCAATATTTTCCGCCATTTTGGGGCCTGAAAAAATCCATAGATATTAACTATCTTACAGTTTAACTTTGCAGTCTCTTTTGAAATTAAAACCATTTATACTCTATAAAAACAGCAACTTCTTAGGGGCTACTCTGTACCTGCTCCCAAACGCCTTATGAAATTATATCAATTTAACTGGCTTTGAGTGAATAAAACTACCACTTAGGCCGAAAGGTTGTTCAACCTACTTGGGGTTATCGCAGTGACGTTCTTTCGATCTGACTCCTCCTCCACAAGAGCGTGTACAAGAAGACCATTTGCTCCAAGGTCCCCAACCTCCATCCACAGCTTGAGGGAGTTCCCTTTTCTTGATGCATTTACCACGATAACACCACTAAATAGAGAAAATAGAATCAACATCAACCAACAGTGGTTAGCATTGAGTCGATGAGATAAAATGCAAGGTCTTTAATGAGGAGTAACATTGAGGGATTTGTAAGGGAATTTGTTAGAAAAAAGGAAGAATCAAAACAGAGTCTTACGTTTTGGTGTGTTGAATGCTAGCTAGAGGACTGTTCCAACTGTATTAAATTATCTACATCTAGGGTAGAAAAAATGCAAAATTTAAAACATTTATGGAAAGTTACATACATGGCCATGCTTACAGTATGTACCATCTGCGGCAGGCTTGTTTCTCATTACACAAGTTGTCGTTGATTGATATTCAAAGCGACACCACAAGCGAGAGCACGGGTCGCCATCTTGGATCTAGAAAAGATGAAACACGTTTTATCACCAAAAAAACCACCAATGTCTTAATGTAATTGGCAAGTCATATACTTCTAGAATATGTGAGATGCAAGATCAAGAGTTCCTTTATTGAATCGCGCCAATGCCATCTACAGACTGCTAATATAACACTGATGTCGCGAATTTTCTCAATTCAGAAAGGCAATGACCGTACCGTGTAAGGTTAGGGTTCTTTCAGTAAAGGTTTAGTATACTTTTATTACAAAATAAAAATTGGCTTATTTTTAGTCGGAAATTTAGTAGCCTTCACCATCCCAAAAATATCCGTTAATTTAAGTCACTGCAAGCATCGATACGCTGGAAACATTATGCAAGCCTCAATAAGCTTTCAGGGGAGCTAGGGAGTATAAAACAACTGCATGTTGACAAAGTGAATAATTATTTCTTTGAAGGATGGAAACAACCTTGGGCTACTTGAAGGAAATGAAATCTCTAGAAAGATAAAGAAGACCGATGATGTAAACCATAATGGCAGCAGAAAACTAAAGAGATTACGTAACAAGATGACCCACAAAGGGGTAGAGTACAGAAGTGACTTCCCACTCGAAACATCGATTAAAAAAATTCAAAAGCAGTTTTACAATCGGCAAAAATAAATCCCACGAGAGAACATACCCATTGTACGTGACAGACACCTGACTGGGGTCCATGTCTCATTTTGCATTGTTGATCCAGGTCGTATATAACACCAGGCAACACTGTTTTGTACTCATATCTGTGGTTGCTTGGTTCATCGTCTAAACACCAACCAAAGCCTTTGCTGAATCAAAAAAACTTCACGTCAAAATTTTTTACTCTTCATTTCGTCTTATAACTATATGCTGCTAACTCTTAAAGAAGCCAATGGACAATACTAATTGAAGAAGAATCTGGATAACTTACAAAAGGAATTTCCTGATGTATGCTCGACTGCATGAGGACCACATGTAAGGGTGGTTCGAAAGTGACTGGGTTGGTGACATGATGTATTTGTCATCGTTAATCGCATACTTGCACTCGTTTCCAAGGCCATCGTGCTCCATTCCGAAACTAAAACAAGAACAATATCAAATTTGCAATCAGTCCAAGAATAAGTGGTGAATTAATAGATAAAAAATGATGTAACTTCAAAGATTAAGTCTCGTCCAGAAGCAAGCAAACTTCGAACACCCAAGAAACAGAAACAGCCAAAGTAAAGCGAGAGAGTTAAAATATTTTTTGAAAAATAGAATATTCATAACGAATATTAATCAAACCACTTTAAATGAAAAAATCCTTTGATATCTTTGCAAATCCTGGCTTCAGGTGCTTTCCATAAGATTTACCGGAACAAAATAAAATCTCTCTTCACCTATTTTTTTCAGTAAAAAGCAAGCCAACTTACTTGTGCCCTAGTTCGTGTGCCACAGTGTAAGCAACAGAAAGACCAGTATCTTCGTTGATGTTGCAGCTTCTGTCTTTGGAGCACATTCCATTCACCTGTGCTAGGCCAAGGGTGCCACATGGCTTGTTCATACCAAGGCAAAGATCCAACCTAAAATGGCCAATTTAGATTATAACTTGGAACAGTGAGTTACAGAATCGTTACAAACTTAAATACTTTTGTAAATCATATTATATCGATAGCTGCTTGAAAAATTGCCTCTGTAAATGAATGCGTGCTGCTTCTAAACATTCGCATAATTGCAAGTCTTAATGAGTTCACTATCATCGCACAGATCCATAATAAACATCCAAAAATAGAGAAAATCCTTCGAATAGCAAATATAAGGCAGTTCCCAATTGATTATAAACATGTTATAATCATTAAATCAGCAGAAGATGCTTCACATTCCATCTACGTTCTTTAATATGAAGTGCCTCATGAAAGAAGTACAACCATTTCATGGCTGAAAATCCTTAGGCTCTTTGCAGGAATTTTGTTTATCAGTTGTTCAAAATCACAAAAATAACAATTCGTTTACTCTTTAAAATATTCATAGCTTTAACACATATAATACGTTACCTCGTCAACATTATAGCCACATCGTGATGTTGTGGATGATATTCACTGGCTGGGTTAAACTTGTTTGCCCAATCACAAAAGCTGGACAAGGTCGGCTCGGCATCGTGGTCGATTTTCAGATCATCCTGATAGAAAAATATTTGAAAAGTTAATCGTAGAAAATACTGTAAGATGAAAAAGAATCAACAAAAACTAGCAAATATGAGAAATTCTCAAAAGATTTTTCCAAAGATTTTAAAATCATCTAAAGAAATTCCTCTCGTTCTTCCAATATTAGAGCTTGACCATTGCTGAAATTATTGTAGACCTTTTTCGTTCGACGACAATGTACAATTGATGAAATAAAGATTTTTTTGTTACTGTGGGAGTTTTGTTTAACGAGGAAATCAAATCAAAGCATGACTGTAACTTTCCGTCAGCTAAAAGATAAAAAATGTCATATAATACTGTCGTTATCAGTCTTTATTGAAAATACCTTTATTCATTAATCAATAATTAGCTTTTTATTAATTAATTAATGAACTAAGCCGATTATTAATTTCTTTGCCTTCATTCGTTTTCATTTGTCTCTCTACATTAATTTAATATCATATTTGGTAACCAACCCTTTTGAGGTGAATGAAAGTTATTTTTGATTCAAATATTTTGAAAGAAAAGAGGAATTTATAGTCAACGCAAGTCATACATTTCCAAAAGAGGACCACAGAGAATACACAAAATCTTCGCTGAAAACGGGCCATAACCTATCTCACTATGTTCGGTTCACACTATTCCAAGGTTTTGTTAAAAAGGAATCAACGAGAGAGAATACAAAATTTTAGTTACAACCGAAAGTGTGCATCGAAAGTGTGCAAGTGTGCATCACTTCTACCTAGGCATAGCAATATCTTTGTAAAATGTCTTCTTGATGGGGAAGAATAATGATGTAGGTGTATCTAGTGTCAGTAGCTTCATAAGTGTATTCTGAAAAAATTCACGAGTAGGATAAGAAAAAAGGATAGCATACTCGATCTTCATCCAAAATAAAGAGGCGAACGACGACAATGTTGATTGCTGCACCTATAGAAGCATCATGATACAGAGCTGCAACCTACAAATGGATATGAATAATTAAAGATCGAATAAAAGAGACAAATAGATATATCTTGAGAATGTCAGGATACTTAAGAAGTGGTAGAATAATTAAATCTCAACGTTACTTTTCTCTGTGCCAATTTTTAATGCCTTAAAGAAAACTCTGTCAGTTTTGAAATTAAATAAGATTTTAAACTGCACAGTCAGGTTGCTAGAAGTGAAGACCTTGTTTTATTTGGATTGAAAGGGACAGAAAAATGATGCATTTGATCCTTTTCGTTTTAATATTAAGTTTTGAATAAATCTACGAGTAGTTGAAGAGACAATTTAAAAAAGAAGTCTTTCTATAACGTGGAATCAAATATAGACGTAGAATGAAATGCAGGAAGAAATTTCGCTAATGCGGGGCTCCACATTGATTATTTGATAAATATCTGACATATTGAATATCGTGGGAATAACATTGCATATACGTTGGAGTAACTGACATATTGCACGTTGCTAGTAAGGAGTTTTTCCGTAAAAAACAGATCTCTGATTAAGCCTTGACATGCATCGTGTGTCGATTTTAATTGTTTCTGGTTTGTTACGCAGAAAGAAAACGGTCGGGAAGATCAAAGAGAGGTGCAGCCCGACCACCCGCCTTGGAGAAGATTCTACGAAAGGCAGCTCGAAGGCACAGAAGATCGATTTCGAAAGAAAGATTTGTAGAAACACTCGCGTTGTTGACAAGACTATGATGTCTTTCTACCATGGCCAGAATCTCGAACATAACGTCCTGACCGTCATGAATATGGTAAATGCAAATTATATACTTTGAAAATCCAAAATCAAAGTTTGCCTCAAGAATATGCTTTGAAAGTCAAGATTTATCTATAAACTTCCCTTACTAGAAAAATATTCCTCTTACTTGTTTATGTGTTTTTCAAAACCTCATTTTCCTGTATCGAATTGACATTTGACCTGTATTGACGTTTCTGTATCGAAATTTTGGGTTTTGAATTGAAATTCTTACGAGGCAATTAAAATTTCA